TACCCGCTCCGGAGAGCAATAATCTGGCAGCACTGGGGAAGCATCGCAGAACGACCGATAAAGCAGAATAAATACACCACGAATACACCATCTTGTGTCACAAAGATGTTGTGGAATACATCCTCCAGTCTGGAGTGGGGGCCTTATTCTGTTCCACATATTCCAGCCAGGCCCTCACAAACAATGACTCTGATTAAGCCCCACTTTCCAAGAAACTCAGGATTTCTGGCCGGGCTCCCCTGCCTAAAATGCAGGTTTATCTATTTGACTAACACACTTAAAATGTCATTCAACAGCATATGCAGCATCACAAATATTTCCTGGTCTGGAGTAGGTCCAGGACAGGGTTGCCATAGTAACAGAGGGGAGGGAAGGAGGCAGGGGGGAGAGCGAAAAAACTTCAGTCCCCCAAAACTCAAGGGACGCAATAATGCCACGCAGCTTCAGATATTTTAAAGGTCCTCTGGGCTGCATTTGCAACCTCACGACACAACCCACATAAAACGAAAACGGAGTGGCAAGCTGGGTAGAATTCACTGTCTTGGGAGGGGGGAGGCACCCCCACCCCTGTGGGGTGGGCAAAAACTTGTGGGTTGAGATGGCAGGACCATGGTCCAGGGCTTACTTCTTCAGAGAAACCCACAGAATTGCTGCCATAGACTTCCTGTCACTAGCGTGCCCATACAGCTCCTATGCCTGCTTGCCTTTTGCCCAACTCTGGCACGATTTTCTCCATGCCCAGGTTCAATACACACACACAACTTGTAGAAACTGCCCCGCCATGGGGCACGCAACACCCCCTCCTTCCCCATCCACCCTTGGAATTAAGCCAATGAATTTTCATCCTTTTACCCTGGTCCCAAACCCCTTGGGCCATCTCCCCACTGAATCACCCACATCTACAAACACACCACTTTTTTCTTTACTTTTCCCTATACGGTGTCTTGCTGCAGGGTGGGCAGGGCCCCCCCCCCTCCATCTATTCTCCATACTTGCAAATACTCTTCTTTATCTTACACACACACACACACAAAAACCACAAACACACAATTCCCATCCAGTCTGTCACGTCAGACCCCTTCTCCTGCCTATAGCCCATTCCTTCCCTTGACAATCCATTGCATTGGTAGGTGTTTTAAACTGCATTTCCCATGTCGTTTTGCAAAGCTTGTTTTTTTAAAAAAACAAAAATCCCCACCTACCCTAAGACTAAAGCATATGATGGGACCAGGGCTTTTTTGTAAAAAAATGCAAAATTATTCAACCTGCTATCTTTCCTTCCCCCTATCCACTATGTACACACTTAGAGGGAGATTTAGGATACGTATATTCTATCCAACTTTCTACTTAGATATTGCAGATCAGAAATGCTTGTATCACCCCCTATTCCTATGTTATCAAGCCCCAATCTTTAGATCTGATTATCAGATGCCAGATCACTCTCTCTGGGTGTAAATACATGCACAGACTGTGCAGCCAGTTTTCTCTTGCTAGACACAGGCGTTCAGCCCAAACAGATAAAGTCCATCCTTCATCGTCTATCGGATCTAATCTATGTATTGCATATCAGATCTCTGCACCCTGCACCTCCCTTCCCCGGTTCTCCATTGTCTCCACCTCCCTGCCTGCAACCCCCCCCCTTCCCTTGCGCTCTCTCTCTCCTTCCTTCCCTCCCTCCCTCTCTCTCTCTCTCCCTCTCTCTCTAAGTCTGTGGGATCCCCCAATCGACCGCCTCTCATTCGCTGCGCTATCCCCCTCCCCACCGTTACCTGTTGACAGGAGCAGCACCCAGGTAGGATGGGGGCAGAGGGTTGGGGGGAGGTTGGGGTCCCGTGGGTGTGAGGATAAGGTGCAGGCACTACTTTGGGGGAAGGTGGGAAGACAGTTGTGGGGGGCAAGTTGGGGGGAAAGAGGGTGGGATGTGGGGTTCCAGGTTCTCGAGGAGTTTCTGAAGAAGTGGGGGAGTTGGAAGAGTTGCTTGAGAGGTCTTTTTGTGCATTGGGGTGGGGGGGCTAGTGCAATTTGGGGGAGGTTGGTGGGGGGTAGAAAAGGCAGCTTCTAGGGGCAGTTTTCAGGTTGTGGGGCTGGTGCAAGATGGAATCACAGGGAAAGGGCAATTCAGGCATCTCTCTTGGAGTCCGGTGGGGAATTAAGGATGTATTTGGAAAGTATGGGGGGAGAAGTGAAGGGGTAAATTGCTTAGAAGTGGGGTGGACGGTGTGGGAGAAGGGAATAAGTCAGGGGGGAGAGCAAGATGTTAGGTAATTTCAGGTTATTTGCATTGATTTACATATGTGTGGGGCAGATCCTGGGCAGGAAGATCAGAGGGCAATTCTGAGAGTAGGTGAAACTGATTGAGAATTGACGAGTGAAGAGAGAAAAAAATCCACAGACATAAAAGAAATAATAATAAAAAGACAACTCAATTTAGCAAACTCATTCTATTAATATCGGTTAATAATCCAATACCAATTAATTAAAAATAACCCTCGCAGGAACGCCGGTCTCTAAAGAAACTGTCATATCAAAATGCCATTATGCTTCTGGCGATGCAATTTCCTTATTCAATTAGAATCGGCTCACTACCACACACACACACACACACACACACACACACACAAAACCCAGCACAGTAAATGAATTCTACAGCTTTTGCCTGCGTGTCTACGGAGTTGTAAATCTTGCTGCTTGGCCCATCTACGTTCCATTACAACATGACATCAATTTGTCAATGCTTCATTTAATGTCACTTCTAACACACTGTGGGGTTTTATAAAAACAAACAAAAAACAGAAGTCACTCGCCATGCAAGCCTGTATTGCCTACTCAGGAGTAAGCCCCTCTGAGTTCAGTGAGACTTACTCCCAGGTAGGTATATGTGCAGGATTGCAGCCTCGGTGCATGGATAGACCTCTGAAAAGCTCAGTTCTGATGCTTCAGAAGAGGGGGGGAAAGAGCCACCAGTTTTGCCCATTGTGCCTCACTCTGTAACTTTTGACTTTCGATAAAGGAACATAAAACTCATTTTTAAAAAGATGGACAGGAGAGAGCAGATTTCCTGCATAATATGAACAGATGCAGCTGAAAGTTCTTCCTTGGTATTTTCCAGCAAAGAGAGAGAAAAATCCACCATTAAGCCGAAACATTCCTTTTGGTTTTACTGGGAAAGTTTCCCTTCTTTAGAGAATTGGAAGCATATAGAAAATGGGCACCAGCACAGATCTTTGTGGTGCTCAGTTTACACCCATAATGTGTGAAGGAAGGCGAAATGTGTGCCTCTCTAAACAAACATTGGACTCAGGAACCAGCTGTAAGGAATCAGAAATCAGCCTGCCTGGTTAGAAAAGGCCAACACATTTAAGGGCTCTCTCTTAGGAAAACGATGACTGGAGAAGGGTCACAGTCAAGGAGCATAAACTTATACTTGGTGTGGACAGAGAAAAATTCTCTATTCCTCATAACACGTGAATTTGGGATTATCCAGTAAAATTGATGTGTAAAAGATCAGGGTACAGGAAACATTTCTTAACACAATGTATAATTGGTTTATGGCATTTGTTGTCACAGGATATAGTGGTTGTGGTCTGGGGCTTAGATGGCTTTAAAGGGGGATGAGAAAATTTCATGGGGGGTGTCTATTGTTCCCTCTTAATAGTTAACTTGGAACTGGAGCCACTGAGGATAGAGGGGGGATTTTCACATGCTTGCAGAAGTACCCCCACAAAAAAACTTTTGTAAAAACAAATAAATCCCTAGAGGGAGGGCGGGGAGGGCTTAAAACAATCCATTAAGGGCTGAGCATGCTCAGTAACCATGGAATTGTTGCTGCTGGCATCCTTCTGTCTCGAGAGACAATGGAGTGTGCCTTCAAACCGTTGCGCTAGCAGCACCGAAGTGACCTCCCAGGAAACAAGCCTATATGGAGGTCCTGGGCTGCCCCAGATGGCAAGATCCCTCTTTTGGCCTCACTGATGTGGTCCAAAGGAAAGCAGGGCAATAGGTTTGGCACCAGCTTGGCTGCAGGAGACGCCGGAAGGTGTACAAGGCACCACCCAACCGTCTTAGGGATTCCTCTCTGGATTTGTGTAGGGTTTACTCCCTTAGTCTTTTCTCCTCCTGAAGACATCCTGCAAAGCAGCAGAGGTTTAGGATTGGAGCTTTTCTTCTTCTAGATGGGCTAACTTCCGGGTTGAGAAAATCAGAGGGTGGAATGGAGTGCCCTGGTGGGAGGCGTGGCTGGCTAGCACCCTAGGCAGGAGTACTCTTTCTAGGTGAAGATTCACTGGAACACTTTGCTGCATGTCCCACTCACTGATGGCTGTCAGTCAAGGTGGGCTAAATGGAACCACCATAGTCAGAGGAGGCACTATGCCCCTGACTACTACCTGCTAGGAGTTTGCTAAGGGTGCTGGGAATTGTAGCTCTCTGGTGGGTGAACCACAGTTCCCAGGATTCTGTGGGGGAAGTAATGTGCTTTAAATACATGGTGTGTGCGCATCCTTCAACCACTGCACAAACCTGGGCACCCTTACTTGAGAGCGACAGCCCCATGAAGACTTAAAGGTAAAGGTAAAGGGACCCCTGACCATTAGGTCCAGTCGTGGCCGACTCTGGGGTTGCAGCACTCATCTCGCTTTATTGGCCGAGGGAGCTGGAGTACAGCTTTTGGGTCATGTGGCCAGCATCACTAAGCCACTTCTGGCGAACCAGAGCAGCGCACGGAAACACCGTTTACCTTCCCGCCGGAGCGGTACCTATTTATCTACTTGCACTTTGACGTGCTTTCAAACTGCTAGGTTGGCAGGAGCAGGGACCGAGCAACAAGAGCTCACCCCGTCGCAGGGATTCGAACCGCCAACCTTCTGATCGGCAAGTCCTAGGCTCTATGGTTTAACCGACATAGGATTGTGTTCCACATCAGCCTACATCTGGTGCTCACGGTGGAATAATGAATCAAAATAAACATCTCTTTCCATCCTCCACAGCTGACTGCACCTCCAATGACCGTCCGACGTGGAGAACGTGCTCCAGTCCCTATCCGGGAACATATGGCCATTGATGTGTCCCCAGGGCCAATCCGGCCCATTGCCCAAATCTCTGCCTATTTCCCACATCCTGGGCTGGAGGGAGTGTTGGCAACACGAGACAGAATGAGGGGTCAAGGGGCTGCGGCCATGCCCCCTGGAACCGGGGAAGGAGAATTGGTGGACGGAGACGATTCTGATGACAGCAGTGAGTATGAACCCTCTCTTCCATGCCTTTGAAGGGGAGAGGACCCAGGTGTTCTGGATCAAACCATCTATTCATTCCATGGGGGGTGGAGAGGGGTATAGGCGGCCTGAACCACATATCTGATACATGCATGTTCACACATGCAGACTCTCTCTCTCTCTCTCTCACACACACACACACACACACAAAGGCTGTCATCTTACACACCAACTCTCTTGCCTTTGTACATTTTTACAGCCAGGTGCACAAGAGAGAATGGCTGCATACACACCACCTGCTGAATTACACTGAAAGCGCATTTACCCTCCAAAGAATCTTGGGATCTGTAGTTTGTTAAGGGTGCTGGGAACTGTAGCTCTGTGGGGTGAACCACAGTTCCCAGGATTCTTTGGGGGAAAGCCATGTGCTTTAAATGTTGAGTGAATGTGCAGCTAGTAGCTCTGTCTTATGTACATACATACAAAAGAGTCTCAAACCAAAACAGGCACAAATTCGAGACATTTTCACACATATAAATGTCCACAAATTTTTCACATACTGTCACCCAGGGCTTCACTACAAGAGTCCTGCCAGCCGCTTTTTTATACCTATATTTTCTCTCCCACACACTTACTTCCTTAGACACTATCTCTCACCTGCATCTGAGAACGCAAGTCTTGCATTTTGTCACAATGCATTTCATACAGCGGTTCTCAGAAACACCAAGCCTTTCAGATGATCTATACCTCCCAGCCCTCCCATATCACAAACACACGCTTGCCTAAATGTTACACAAGAATTCCCACTCAGAAGGGGTGCCCCCTAGAACCTCCTTTACATGTCAATACATTGAGATGGCTCTTGTGGTGTGGCCAGCCCTGTTTTCACCATACAATGACTCAGCAATCACATCACCTGGTGGGAAAGTTCTCCCTTGCACTCTCACTCACAGCCTGGCATGCAGACCCTCATTCTCCCTCCCTGCCTCCTTGTATACACACAAGGCATTCGTGAGACACACGCTGACCTGCAAGAGGAAGCCCCCCTGACCTTACTTCTGGACTTACCTCTGAAGATAGGGATGCGGGTGGCGCTGTGGTCTAAACCACTGAGCCTCTTGGGCTTGCTGATCAGAAGGTTGGCACTTCGAATCCCTGCAACGGAGTGAGCTCTCGTTGCTCTGTCCCAGCTCCTGCCAACCTAGCAGTCCGAAAGCATGCCAGTGCAAGTAGATAAAGAGGTACCACTGTGGCAGGAAGGTAAACAGTGTTTCCGTGCGCTCTGGCTTCTGTCACAGTGTCCCGTTGATCCAGTTTAGTCATGCTGGCCACATGACCTGGAAAGCTGTCTGTGGACAAACGCTGGCTCCCTCGGCCTGAAAGGGAGATGAGCGCCGCACCCCATAGTCGCCTTTGACTGGACTTAACTGTCCAGAGGTCATTTACCTTTACTCTTTACCTCTGAAGAAGCATGGATAGGATTGTGCTGCACATCTCCTGTCTCAATAATACAAGTTGTGCACCAAGGCTGCCAACCTAAGAAGACTCCTTTGGAAGTTGGAAAAATGACCGAGGCCAACGTGACTGACTTCAGTCAATGTGCTGAGATTCAGGCCAGGGAATGCGATACTTCAGTGCTCAGATAGGTGCACTCTTGGTATACTCACATAGGTACACACCTGTGCTCTTCTTCACACACAGGTTTGTGTTCTCTCTCTCTCATACCTACACCTCCCCACAACTATTTATCGCAAACAACTTTTCTCAGTTCACACACAAGCAAAGCTTCCAAATATTTGCCTTCATATCATTATAGGACTAGGAGTCCCCATCCATCGCAAAGATCCTATGGCAGTTAGGTTGGGGTCTGGACAACAGAAGTAACGCTCAAGTCAAGGGCTGGCAATCTTTCTTCAGCCTGAGGGCCCCATTCGCCTGTAAGCAACCTTCCAGGGGCTGTGTGCCAGTGGCTACATGGGGACTCATCACACAAAACACATACATCTTTCCATCCTGGCTCCTGAGTTGCTACCTCAGTTCAAGGATGCATTCCAGCCAGGCAAAAGCAGGATGGACTGGGGAAGGTGTGGTCTGGGGAGACAGGGCTTAGCCTGGGAAGTGTCCCGAGGGCCAGACAGCGCAGCCTGGAGGGCCGCCATTTGTTTATTTATTGAATTTGTGTGCTGTGTCCTTCATCCGTAGATTTCAGGGAGGTTCGCAACATAAAAAAAAGTAAAAACACAATGCATAATAAAAACAAGAACAAACAACAACACAAGCCAATAACACCCCCCCCCCATGCACCTACACCTGAGATTCCCTAGCCCCTGACTTAGTGGTTAAACCTGCCAGACAGATTCGGCTTTGTTTAAGTAACTGGCACAGGTGATGTGTTGCCATAGGAATTAACGGTTGGAGAGCCTTCCGAGTCTCTGTAAGAACATTTTGTGTGCATCCCTGCCCCCCCACCGGTCCCTAGAAGTCTTGATGGGGGAGCAAGATCCACTGCAGTGTTAAAGCTGTGAATCGTGGGCCATAAACCATGGGGCAAACCTTGGTTCCAACTCTGCTGAGTCAGAAGAGATCTACACCCCGAGCCCAGGTTGGGACGACATCTGAGCGAAACCAAAGCTGAGCTCGGTGCAGCAGCATAGCAGAAAGAGCTGGGCGGAGCCAAGCAGCTGCAATCTCCTCTCTCAGTCGGCAGCACAGTTGTCCGTTTGCACTAAGCCGTGACTTGGCTTAGCATGGCAGGCAAACCAGGGCACCACGTTGTACACACCCCAGCCCCAGCAGTCATCGAGAAGCACTCTGGTGCAGAGAGCAGAAGCTTTTTGCTCCCATATGGTGCCGATTCGCAAGAGACGCACACAGAGATGCATGAAGGAACACAGTCACACACTTCTGGGGACAAGCTCGCACATAACAAATGGCTCGCTCAGCCACCTTCCCTAACGAAAACAAACCCACACAAACTGACACCCTCACTGACACAACAGCCTGCCTTTGAGAGAGAGACGGTTTCGTATTCTCGTCTACGCATGTGCACACAACACACTTGCACGCAAGCAAGCTCGTAGAGTTGCATGTGTAGTTACACACACCAGAAAGGAGGGAGGGAAGGAAAGGTGGAGGGGTGGAAGGATGAATGGAATGGGGTGGTGGTGGTGGTAAGGGAGAGCCAGAGTGGAGGAAGACAGAAAGGAAGATGGATAGATCAAGGCAGAGGGATGGATGGATGGATGGATGGATGGAGACAGAAGGGCAGAAAGGTAAAATGTCCATGCCAGAGGATGGATGGATTTGGATGGACAGAAAGCAATTTATGAACCAGTGCATGTAAAGATGCACCCAGATGGAAAGAGGCAGGGACAAATCTGTAGGTGGACTGACACATAAGCTTATTTCACACAGTCTTCCAACCATGCAGCCTGGCTGCGTTAAGTGGGGGAGCAGCAGGATTGCACCACTCTCCCTGTTCCCCAGCTCCATGTGTTTCCCAGCTCTTTGTGCACAGAGCTACAAGTGTACCACTTGCACACCACAGGCTCTGTCCTTGCAGCCTGCTTCTCTCTGACCGTGTGGGGAACACCTGTGCATGTATGACTTGCATGCGTGTAGGCTGTTCTGTGTACCCAGAACTGAGGTATACAGCGGCTGGAGATGCAGACAAAAGCATGGTCCTCATTTCGACTTTGTGGGTGGAAAACTGTGTGCGAAAGGGATCTGCAGCTAAAGACCAATAATGTAAGTAAGATGCATGGAGTAGGTAGAAGCCTACTTTTTTGTCACACCAAGTTTCTACCCTAAAATACATGGAGTGGTAACAATGCCTTTGAGCATGTGCAGAGCACAGAACCTTGAGTACTACAGCTGCTCCCCATTCACCTGAGATCAGAAGGTAGGCCATGCAGGTTCAAAGGGTGTGATCACGCGACTACCAGGCAAGGTCCAACTCTGCGCTCAGAGATCTGCCCTGGTTGCTGATTTGATACCAGGCCAAGTTCAATGTGTTATTATTAGTATACAAAGCCCTTAACAACTTGCTTTACCTATGAAATCCCCTTACCCCACATATTCCCACTCAGCCATTTCAGTTGGTGGAATTGGCACAGCTACAGGTGCCACAGAATACCCATTCAGCAGGGCTAAGAAATTTGATTGTTTAATGCACTTTGGAACTCCCCGTCTATTGAGATCAAGCAGGTGCCTTCACTGTACACTTTTCAGCACCTGCTAAAAACATTCTTGCTTAGACGAGCCTACCCAGATGCTTAGAAAGCTGAGGTGATTTCAAACTGTTTCCGTATTTTAACTTTTGTATGTTTTAAAGCAGGGCTGTGAATTTTTCTCCATTTTATTGTTTTATCTTTTTGTAGACTGCTTTGAGGGTTGTGGTTTTTACATACAAGTACTGTATACAATTTATTAAATAAATACATAAATGCTAAGAACCTCCCATTGCTGTAAAAACAAAAAGAACATGCGTGCACACACACACTTTTCCTAGACCTAGTGGTTGTAAAGACGGAATCAGAACTATATGGGTTATGTCTGATAAAGTATACCAATGGGAAGGGAGTTCAGCAGGGTTTACTGTACTCAGGATATAGGGCTCTGATGCACCACTCAGCCCCTTTGATTCTCCCCTCCCCTGAGCAGAAGCAAAATAAATTATGCATACTTAGGTAAATTGGCCTAACTGGCATGATTTATGCAGGTCGCAGCATAACATCCCAGTTTTATTAGTGCCTGGGTTATCTGGGAGAGGTTTTGTTTATTATTTTTTCGATCTCAGAGAAAATAGCTGCATCTATATGCCAGCTGGCTGACAGATGACTTCTACACAAACCTATAGTGGTGAGCAGTGCAGAAAGGTAGACAGGTAATATAGGCAGATGGAGGGAGCTCAATATGCAGGCAGATTGTATGATTACAAGGAAGAGAGAGGAAAAAGAAAATTCAGATGCGACTGACTGATTCCTTTTCTTCATTCTGTTTGGCACCCGATTCCTTTCCTAGCATCGCTTGGGACTCTTGAATTTGACATTCTCTATGATCCCGAAAACTGCACCCTTGACTGCACCATCCTACGGGCCAAGGTAATGATGGCAATCTGGCAAAGTACCCCAGAAACAACTGCTCTCCTGCAAATGGATGATGCTTTTTGATTCCGACCCGCAGGCTTTCTGCATTCTGTGTCTCGTTTTCACAACAGAGGGACATGATTTAATAAGAGAGGCCACACAAGGAGGGGAAATCTCATTACGGAGCCAGCGCTGCTCATTTTCAGTCTGTTTCCTTTCTCTCGCCTGCATTTCAACCCGTTCCTTCTCCTCCAAGCCTCTGGAAAGCAGAGAGGTTCACTCAAAGGCCCACCTCTCTCACACAAACCCCCGCGGACTTCAGCCGGCTCTGTTTGCACAACCCCTACTACCCTCACATACATGCCAACAAACACAAACCCCCTCTCCCCTGCCAGCTGGTGGGCTTGCAGCATCTTCAAGCACCTCGGCGACGCGCCAGGCAACCGGGTATCCGCAGGCATCTGGGGTTGCCGTGGCAACAGAGAAGGGATGGGGAAAGCAAGGGAAACAATGCGGCAGTTCAGAACCACAGCAAAAGTAACGCTTGCCCTCCATCATCATTACCCAGAGCCCCACCACCACACCTCAGGCTCCCATTCCCCCCCCACACGACTGATGACCATTAATCCACATACCATTCTCTTCTCTCTTTGCTCCCCCACGTTGCAGGGGCTTCCTCCCAAACTATTCTGGGTGTGTTAACATGATGTGTTTTTTGTTTTTCCTGCCTTATATATAACTGGAAGTGCCATTTTCCCTGTGGCAATCCTTCAACGAAACCAATTTAGCTTGATGCTTTAGCAGCGGCTCTGAACAGTGTTTAAGAAATCACAGCACGAAGCATTCCAAGACTCAGAATAATTTATTTTAGCCACGAGTGGCGTCAAGTCTGTGTTCCCATCAACAAAGGCAAGCCGACACTTTTATGAGGATTATTCAAGAAGGCCTCTCTGCCCAAACACTTGTCTCGTCCCACAGATTCTGCAAAGCTCACTGAGGTTCTCCCCAGAGTTCTCCTGTGTTTCTTATGCCCCATAAACAACCTCACTCTAATTCTAGCTTCATACATAGAATAACTACTAAACAGGGCTGCTTTTGAAGAGTGTCTAAAAACTTCCATTGGCTCAGAAGGCAGCAACTAGCTTATTATCTAGGGCAGGCATAGGCAGACTCGGCCCTCCAGATGTTTTGGGACTACAACTCCCATCATCCCTAGATAACAGGACCAGTGGTCAGGGATGATGGGAGTTGTAGTCCCAAAACAACTGGAGGGCCGGGTTTGCCTATGCCTGATCTAGATTGAGGTGCCCAGAGCATATTATTATTATACCAGTGCTATATCCATATCACTGGCTCCCTATTCATTTGCAGGCCTGATTCAGAGTGCAAGTCTTAACCTTTAAGTCCCTAAATCAGGGATGGGGAAACGGTGGCCTACCAGATGTTGTTGGACTTCAGCTCCCATCACACCCAGCCAACATGGCTAGTCATCAGGGATGATGGGAGTTGTAGTCCTTCAGCATTGGGGTGAGGGCACAGATACCCCCTTCTCTGCTGTACCTGCAGTTGGGACTCCCTCCTCCCCTCCTGCTTGGACATGTGGCTCAGCAGCTGAAACCCTGATCTCTGTCCCTTACCCTGGCATCTGAAATACAGTGGAAGAGAAGGAAAACCAGGCAAAGCTAAGTTTTGGGCAGCCCATAAGACCACCTCGTTGCTTGCTTTTAGTCAAGCAGCAGAGACCTGGCTTCTTAAGCATTTGTATGGAAGAGGATAATCCTTTGCATTACTGAGGTATCAGCTCATTTAAAAAAATATCTATCTATCTGCTACAGTTTTGCTTTGCTGTTACTTGTGTTTCGGTTGTTTCTATTTCTTCGTTATGTTAACGACCTCAGAGGTCTGTCCATGGAAAAGTGGGATGTTAGCCATGGCATTCAAAACATTTATACTGTAAGTGAAGATATGCAGTAGAAACACTGTGCATAAGGTCAAGACAACTGTCACACTTCTTCCTGCTTCTGTGTAGGAGTGTGGTCATGTGTGCAACAGTCGAAGGACTGCGTGTCTGAGAAAAAAGCATGAAGCATTCTCTTGAGATGTTAATGAAATGTATAAGGACAATATTTTGTTTAAAGAGGAGCTGATCACTGTCTTCTTATTCTCAGGGTCTGAAACCGATGGATTTCAATGGCCTGGCTGACCCCTATGTCAAACTGCACCTTCTGCCCGGAGCCTGCAAGGTAAACATGGCTTCAGATTCGCCTCCACTTTCACTGTCTCACAGTTCCTGAGCCTAGCACTATCCAATATACACATGCACAGCTACCACCACCATGCAGAGAAAAGATGAGGTGTGTAACCAAGCTGGAGATATTGTGCCCCTATAGAACAGGAGGAAGGCAGTGTTTCTCAGGCCCCATCAGTGCCAAACATTTAAAGCAGTATCATACCATTTCATACAGTCTTGACTTCCCCCAAAGAATCCTGAGAACTGTAGTTAAGGGTACTGAGCGTTGTTAGGTGACCCCCATTCCCCTCATAGAGCTACAATTCCCAGAGTTCACTTAACTCATGCATCTATTCCTCTGGTAGGTTCTGTTCCCAGGTCAACACTGAGCAGCGACAAATAGGTTGAAGCACAGTTCCCCCGTTTCTTTGTAGCTAAGCAGAGTACAGTGGTACCTCGGGTTAAGTACTTAATTCATTCCAGAGGTCCGTTCTTAACCTGAAACTGTTCTTAACCTGAAGCACCACTTTAGCTAATGGGGCCTCCTGCTGCCGCCACGCCGCCAGAGCACGATTTCTGTTCTCATCCTGAAGCAAAGTTCTTAACCTGAAACACTATTTCTGGGTTAGCGGAGTCTGTAACCTGAAGCGTATGTAACCTGAAGCGTATGTAACCCGAGGTACTACTGTAGCTCATGCAGCCGGCCACTCACTCCAACATCCAGGGAGAAAGAGAAGGAGCAAGCCAGAGCCATGCAGCTCAGTAGACTAAGCCACATCAAGCAAATATGAGAAACCAGACTATTCTATTGCATGCTCTTTAAAATACATTCAATAAAGCACAGTTTGGAAAAGGGGCTATCAGTAATTATCAGGACAGAATAAATAGAAAGACAATGATAATTCCATGCCACCATTCTCCTGCTTCCAGCCTAGGAAACAGGTACACCTCTGGTTTTACTAGAATATTCTGCTCTTCCATTCCAATGCCTCCCCGCCCCCCAAAAAACCTTCTCCTCTCCAGGCGAACAAACTGAAAACACGAACCCAGCACAACACTCTCAACCCTGTGTGGAATGAGGCTCTGACTTACATTGGAATAACAGCTGAGGATATGGCCCGGAAAACTCTGCGGTAAGACCCCCCGCCCCGCTGACTTAAAATCCCAATCTACAGGGTCCTCTTTCATTCCCATGCTCCCTTTGGCATTCACACCCTTGGATCCTTTTTCTCTCTTTCTGCTTCCCAGAATCTCCGTCTGCGATGAGGACAAACTGACCCACAACGAGTTCATTGGAGAGACCCGGGTGCCCCTGAGGCGCCTCCAGCCTGGACAGAAGAGACACTTCAATCTGTGCTTGGAAAGACAACAACCAGTGAGAGTCGAGCATAAGCCAACTGCATATCTCAAAATGAGTCAGGAATCAGGATCTATTGGTTTATTTTATGGATAAGGATCCTCAAGCACATCCTCTGGCTGCTTGGCTGCCCAGTCCCTTGTCCCCCTGTCCCAATCCCCACTAACAGCTCGCAGGCCCTCCTCTCCCTGGGACCTGCCTGAGCTTCTCCCCTGCTCTGCCAAACTCAGTGCTTTCTGCTGATCACCAGCATCTCATAACTGATTCTTCTTCACCAGCAGTTGGAATAGTTGTGGCGTAAAAAGCCCAGCTAACTCACGACGAGTGGAAGTGAAAAGACTTGTAGGCAGCAACCTGCCTGTAGCATATTTTATGCACGTGATTTTTGTGATCCTCCAGTGGGCTAGAAGGTGTCTCAGAAGGGGCAAGGAGGGGAGATAACTCGGGATTTTGAGTGGTGAGGGTGGGTCTCCTTGCTGCTCCTCAGCGACCAACAAAAGCAAAATACGTCACCTTATCAGCAAGTGTGCAGTTCCATTCTACAATTTAATACTGTTCACAGAATTCAGATTTTATGGGTGTAGTAGATTAACACATCTCTGTCTTGTCACTGATTCCACCCACCCACCCCCATGTGCAGAATATATTGCATTTTGATTCTATTGGGTTAATCCCTTATGCCTACAAGTCATCATACTTGTGTACCGGTCTGTACTTCCAAATGTCAAGGGAGTTTTTCCTCTCCCCCCTCTGTGCACTTGCTCACTCACTCTGTCCCTTGACTCCTCCAACTTTGCTCATGTTTCTGTTTGGAAGAGCAGGGAAAACAGATTTTTTTTCTCAATCCTCACTTCCCTCAACAGCTGGCATCCCCTTCTTCCATGACAGCAGCTCTGCGTGGCATCTCCTGTTACCTGAGAGAGGTGAGAGCGTATTCCCGCCCCCTTCCTATTCCTAGCATTATAAAACCTGTAGCTTAAGAGTGAGGAACATGAGGGCCACATTTTTTCAGCCTGAGGGCCACATTCTCTTCTAGACAACCTTTGAGGGGGTTACATGCCAATGGTGGGTGGGACCAGAGCTAAAAGTGGACAGAGCAACAAATGTGAATTTTACCTCTGCACAATTTCAACACACACACACACACTTTACACGCCCTTTTTACCCTCAATCCAAGCAAGCAGGAACCATTATCCGAGTTCAAGGACTTATTCCAGCCAGGCAAAAACACCCAAGGAAGATGCAAATCAGGGCTGGTGTTTGACCCTGGATAAGGGTCCCAAAGACCAGATACAGAAGCTTGAAGACCCACATTTGGTGCCCGCCGTGATGTATCTCTTGATACAATTTATTTATATAATTAGGGGCCAGAACTTAAGCCTGCCAAGCAGACTCTTTCCCCCAAATATTGTGAAGAAAAGCTGTATGGTCCACTGCAGCAAAGTGATTACAATGTTGGGCTAGGAGTGGAGGGCCCCAGTTTTTTAATTCCAATTTCAACCATTTAAAAAATTTATCATGGAGACTTCCAGTCAACACCTCTCAACCTAAGCTACCTCACAAGGCTGTTGTGAGGAGAAAAAGCGGGGGGGGGGGGGGAGAGGGTAAACATGTACTTTGGTTATTTTTAGGATTTTACCCTGCTATCATGCTCACCCTCAGACACATCTTTCTTCTAAACCACTTCAGAGGTTTATTAATTATTACTACTACTACTACAACAACAACAGTCAAGTGGTATATTCATTTTGTGACATAAATAGGGTTGAGTCAGAAATAAGTTGCCAGGCTGAAATTTTGGGCAAGCGAAGTGGATAGTGGGCCTAACAGGATAGAGGAGCAAGTCAATGTTAGCAGGCATTGTGCCAGGGAAATGCCAGGGAGAGCTGCCTGCCAAGGATGGGTGAAGGAGGCCCGAGAGGCCTTCCAAAGCCTTAACCTGGGGTGTCAAAATGCCCAGGGCCAGCCCTGACAGGCTGCAAAGGTTTGTTTTTGGGAGGATGCTGGGTGGATATTTTGCACAAAAGCACTCCATGCTCTTTCCTTTTCCTCACTCCATAGCTAGAACCCCCAGCCGGCTGGGCCCTGGAAGAAAGGGGTCGTATCCTGCTCGCCCTCACGTACATCTCCGAGCACCGTGGATTGCTGGTGTCTATTCTTCGCTGTGCCCACTTAGCTGCCATGGATGTGTGTGGATACTCAGACCCTTATGTAAAAACGTGAGGAACTGTGCTTACACTTGACCCTAAGAGAGAGGCCTACCCTTTCCTTAGCCTGCAGACATATTCAGAAGACTAAAAGAAAAAGGAAACCCCATTTTAAGGAAAGTTTTCAGGGATTGTTTTTAATGACCCTGGAATTAACTTCGTTACAATGCTGTGTTTGTGTAGTCATTTTGCATTTTCTTCTATATTTCTGGCATTTTGAGTTTACATTTTGCAGCTGTACGGTGGTGGTTTTTAGCACTTGCATGCAGAATTTTAAGGGTGGCTCGCAGCCTTTTGGGGGAAGGAGACAGAAAGGAAGGCGACAAATAGTCTAGACAAACAGGCTCAGTCCCCGTTGCTGTTTTGGCAGGTACCTGAGGCCAGACGTAGAGAAGAAGTCAAAGCATAAAACAACCGTGAAGAAGAAGACGCTGAACCCAGAATATAATGAGGTGATGAAAGAAGGACGAGTGAAGTAACTGCATGTTCTGGGACTTGGGAGGCAGTCAGAGCGAGGGGAGGTTGAAGAGCCAACATGCTTCAATAATTCTAATTCTGTCTCTTTTCTGTGCCCAACAGGACTTTTTCTACGAGATCGAACAGTCAGAGCTTGGTCAGAAATCCCTGGAGATAACAGTTTGGGATTATGACATTGGGAAATCTAACGACTTCATTGGTGAGAAGAGCAAGAGGAGGAGGTGGCCGGGTTACAAAATGTGGATATTCCTTCTGGGACCCTCAACCAACGTCATAGATTTATAAAGTGGCTCTCTCACGGGACGTTGGGAACTGCCATTTCTTGTGGGTGGCTGTCCCTGTGATAAGATTTGCAGATGCCTCGCCAAATTAAAGCTCCCAAAATTCTTTGCTAGAGAAGTCACAACACCAAAACTGGTATAAAAAAAACAGAGGCATGCCCACTATTTCACAGGATGACCCACGAGGGGAATCCCTGTGCTTCAGGATAGAAGGCGCTATTTGCAAACATCAAGAACCAATTTATCTTTCTTTTACAGGTGGTGTGACCCTCGGTCTAGGGGCCCCTGGAGAATGCAGACAGCACTGGCTCTCATGCCTTCAGACCCCCGACTGCCGCCTTGAGCACTGGCACACGCTCACCAACGAGCTCCCAGAATCCTCCACTTTCGGCCCCTGAGAAGCCACCTCGATTGCCTATATAGAGTTGCATCCTCCCACCCTGCCTGCCTGCCAAAAAAAAGGGAGGGGCACAGCACCAGGGGCCCCTCCTTTGCACGAGGATGTTTGCACGTTTTGAAAATTACTTGTCGTTGGTGTCCATTTATATTACGCTCTAGGGAAGGGCTTAAATGGAATGAATCGCCTCTTCTGGTTCCGTATGTTTTAAGGCACTGGGAAGTGGGAGGTGGTCATAGCAGAGTGGAAGAGCCCAGGAAGAACAGGAGGTGCCCAGGAAGCCACTTGTAGAAAAAGAATTTGCATCAATGAAAAGTCACAGAAATAATTATCCGTCCTCTTCCTCTCTTAACACCTGTCTTTCCAAGCTGTCCATCGCTCTGAAATCCCACTACTTTCAAACCAAGGCTTTGCTTGAATTTTAAAGGACAAGATATTTGCTGGCACACAAAATTTGAAGCATCGGTTTTGATTTCTTTTTCTTTTTTAAAGCATGTTAAAAACTTCCCCATATGGAATTTCTTTCAGCGGTCCAAAATATATTTCCCTCTTCTTTCCACAGCAGCTCCTTTCCCTACTCAACTTAACCTTAGAGTGCCAAATACAATTTATACTCCTGAACTGCTGGGGGAAAAAACTATTGTTTATTGTCTCTGGAACTTCCTGCATGGATTATAGCGGCATTCATCTGGCACACTTCTTCCTGCTAACTCATTGTTAGAGGCCTGACAAAACTGTTTATCCCTTGTTAAGAGACTCTGCAGTCTCTCTTGTTACAAACAAGGCTGACCCCACCACCACCCAAGCAGTTTTAAAAACAAGGTTGCAGGAAATTATTGTGCTGTTAATTCTTGCTTCCATTTCTGTCAGAAAGCTCAAATCACTGGAGGCGATCCAGATGGAGGGAGCAATCTTAACAGCGGGCTGCCCAGCCTCTTCTTAAAGACTTCCAGGAAGGGAGAGCACCTCATCTCTGGGCAACCGGATCCCCATTGTGGAACTGCTATTTCTATGAAAAGGTTTCTCCTAATCTTCAGCCAACACCTGCTCTTCCTGTAACTTAAGCCCATTACATATATTGACAGTCCTGCACTCTGGTGCAGCAGATCAAGTCTTCTATGTAAGACCCCTTTAGGTATCTGAAAGGTGCTTTCTTCTCCAGGCTAAACATACCTAGTTCCTTCAACCTTTCCTCATAGGGATTGTTTTCCATACCTTTAACCATCTTCACTGTCCTTCTCTGAACCCATTCCAGCTTGTCTATATCCTTCTTAAAGTGTAGCATCCACAAATGGACAAAGTACTCCGGATGAAGTCCAACTAGCACAGAATAAAGTGGAACTATTACTTCTCATGTCTTGGAAAAGATGGCTGTATTAATGCTGCCTAAAATTGTTTGAGTCTTACAAAGTGCTACTGGCTCATGTTCAGCTCAAGATCAACTTGTCCTGGGATCCTCTTCATTTTTACTGCTGCTTCCACCCTATACCTGTGCACTTGATTATGGCCATGATTATTTTGCCTGAATGCAAAACTCTGCATTTGTTTCTGTTGAATCTCATTTTGCTTCCGTCCAGTTTCCCATGCTATCTTTTCCAAGTTCATAGCATTTAACCAGCTTGCAAATCACATTATCCTGGGGGACACTATTAGGCGTTTTGCTGAAACCAAGATCATTGCATTCACAGTCGTTCTTCAATCCACTAAACTACGAACTTGATTTTATATTTCTCTCCCCCTCCCTCCCTCACACTCACACACAGTATATATAGACACACATTTATTCTTTGTAATCCGTGCAGGCTTCTGCTAACCATTGCATTGCTATCAAGGTGCTTGCAAACTGACTCCCTTGAAATCTATTCTAGTTATCTTCCCTAGCACTGAAGTCAGATAGACTCATTTCACAGATCCTCCTTTTCAAGATCTGGAACAATTGCCTTCAGCCCTGTGGCACTTCACCTGTTCTCCGGGATCTCCCAAAGATGATTAAGACAGAAGTTATGAGAGTACACCAGTGAGTTCCTTTTAGTACCCTCTAGGATGCAATACATCTGGTCCTTGAGGCGAAGTAATTTCAGGTAGTGAGGCTTTTCCTGATGAAATTTCTTAGAAGCTCTGGCCACACTACTCATGTGCTGACTATGCTACTTATGGAAGATGGAACACAATTCCCCTTTGTGGGGGGGGGGGGAGACAAGAGGCAAAAGAGCAACTGAGCAATCCAGCCTTCTGTGCCACCTGTTAATATTTCACCATCCTTACTGAGAAACAGGCCTAGTGTCCTGCCTCTTCCTCCAAACACACCTTTTTATTGTTTTTGGTAGCACTCACCAGCCTCAGCTTATTCTGATCTTCTGCTTTCCCAGCAAGTCTGGACTACACAATCCTAGTGGCCTGCCCTTCCATCCTTCCATCCATTTCTTATACAATACATGCCTTTTTTAAATCTTCAGCTCATTAGGCTTTTCTACAGCTGCTCTGGCTTTAAGGGGGAAAAGGTCCCATTTTCCTCTCTCGCTGGCTTGTTTGAGATGGCTCCCGTTTTCTTCTCTCATTGGAATAGTGCCTTTAGTAACTTCTCCTTTCGGGATTTATCCTGGTCAATGCTGCAAATTCTGCTGGAGAGTCATGGGAACAGGCAGTGGGCATAAGCCAGGGAGACTTATGTGTCCATCACACACTTCCAGGCATGACCTGGCCATACTTTTAGACAGGATAGGGAGGCCTGCCACAAGCAACTGCACTTGTGGTACCATTAAGGGCAGCACATTGTCATGTATTTAACTTAATGTTCTTTTAGTAACATATTTGGGGGGCCCATTTGACCTTTCCACACCGGGCACAAAACCATCTGTATCCATCTCAGCTAGACACTTATTTCCCCGTCAAACATTTCAGTTGTTCATCAGAAGACATTCAGTACCCAAGTGACACACCCATTTGTGGGTAAAATGTGAATCAGCTCTTAGAAAGGCAGAGTCTTCCATCTATCCTTTTGAGCAAATGTTTGCAGCTAGGCAAACATTTGGCATTTGCCCTTACCTTAAAACTCCTGTCACCCAGGCATGAATCATGACATTTTTTGTCCAGTTTCTAAAGATTACTGTGTGTGCGCGCACTTATATTTGTAACGACAGGATGGTTTCTTGTATACATCCTACTACCACTTTAAAATATCTGTAGCAAAAATAATAATAAAAACATTGCAACAAGTAGCAAAATTTGGGTGCTTACTAGAAACCATCTAGTAAAATATATATATTTTAAACACTGGTGATCTTTCTATTTTATGTAAAACAATCCCCAAGTGGGTTTTGAAGGATAAACTTCTCCACACAAAAATTTCATAAGCAGATTGACTTCAAATGTTTACATGTGCAGCGAAAACCTCTCCTAGTCCTTAAAAACGTTCACTTTTTTCTCCCCTCAGGAGATTTCCAGCACTTTTTCAGAGTTCCCTGCCTTTAAAGGGATTTTTTCTTTTGTAGCTAAAAAAAAAGAAAAGAAGATTCTTCCCACCTCGTAAAGGGATGCACTTTTTCACAAAGATTTTTCTTAATCAATACAGTTTGTAGATGAAGGTACATGTCTGAAGAGAATCAAGAAACCTCTGGCCTCAGCAGGAGGCAACTTCTTCTAAGGGCTCATGGGGTTTAGGAGAAGAGGGAAGTTTGGGGTGGGGGTTTGGGGGAGGGTATGTGTAGAAACTGCAACTGGAATTTTTTATATATATAAAAAATCCCATTTATTGACTGGTTTGCATGTTTTTGGAGTCTGTAAACAAAAAAAATAAAAATTGTGGGGCGCAATCCCCACGCACACCACTGCGAGGCCTGTGTCCTTTGAGCAGAGAGAGCCGCTTGCCACTGTCACTCGGGAATGTCGATTACCAATTCGTCGTCACCATCCAGGGGGTCTTCGCCACTTCCCTCCCCGGTGTCACTGAACATCTGGTGGGGCACTGTACTGAGGATGGTGGGCGGCGGCAGCTTGGGGGTCCCGCGGGGCGAAGGAAAGGGCAGCCCCACCACCACAGATGAACAGTCAGAGTGGGAGGTGGGGGGCAGCGGGAGCTGCAGTGGGGAAAAGAACAAGAAATTGTGGGTGGGAGAGTGAGCCAGGCAGAGCCAAACCTCCTCCTGCATTGCATTCTCTAGTCCCACACAGAAAGGAGCAGCATGTTGCCCACCCCCGTATGAAATGGCAGAATTTTGCGGAAATTTCCTTCCACACAGAGTAACGCTGTACTTATTTTAGCCTGCCCAAGCCCATAACACTTGACCTCTCTTCTAGAACTTTCCAGGCTTGCTACCGAGAGCTTAGCGTTTATCCAGGATGTATAAGGACAGGATGAGCGAGCCTTCCAATAATTTACAGGGTGGGTCTGCAATGTTGTACGTAGCACTAAGACCCATCCAAGAGAACCTCCTCTTTCTACCATGCCCCACATAATTTTCTTCTTAAAATGCCTCTGTGTTTTTTGGCTAAAAAGGTGCCGTATTGATGGGTTCAAACAATCCCCCAGAACAAACAAAAATTGTTCTGTGAGGAAAAGTTTAATTTTCCAGCGGCTCGCTCAGAAGAAGCCTCCACAATTCCCAGGGTTCCCTGGAGAGAAGCCATGATACCACAGAGGTTCAAAATGAGTTTTAAGTTTGCAGTGTAGTTGCAGCTTCATTGCTGTTCTATGTTATTATGCCCTACTGTGTTCAATGAGAATAATTCAATCTACATGTGCATAGAAAACATCACAATGTGTATGTGTGTATATATAGAGAGAGAAACACACCCAAAATTATATTCTATTCTCCCCACCCCCAAATTATATTGCAATACAGTACAGCAATATGAGCCCCAAATTTAATTCAGTCCCCTACATTCAGACTTCAACCTGTCCACTTAGTGGATTGCAGACACCCTCTGCCCTCCCCCACCCCACCCCCGACCCAATCTCGATGGTACCTTGAGCTTGCGGGGCCTTTGGGGCCGCCTGGCAGAGCGGGTGGCGTTGGCTTCAGGTTGGGGGGCCCCAGGCTCAGGCTCTAGTGCCAGGTAGTCAGAGGGGAAGGGAGCATAGGGGGGTGAGGCCAGCTGGGTGGGAAAGGGGTGGAGGCGGGGTGGGGAGATGGAATAAGAAATCAAAGTATGAATGATGAGCATGCAAGCCCCAGAAAGGGGTTCTGAGTAAGAAGCCACACACATATAATTTGAGAAATCTATGCCTGTAAGCTTGAGCTGGTCAAACATCACCACCGACCGTCTTAAGATCAGACCAGAAGGCCACCCAATCCAGCCCCCTCCCAGCAACTCATGTTCAGAGGTTGCGTGCCTCTGAAATTGCAGGTTCTACATAGCCGTAACAGCTAAGTAGCTTTTGGCAGACCTCTCCCCCTCTGCAGATTTGTCTAAACTTTTCTGAAAGCCACCTGAGCTAGTTGCCATCGCACCCCAGCGGCAGCCGACTCCATAAGCAATTGCACATTTTGTGAAGTAATATTTTCTTTGGTCGATGCTGGATCTCCTCTCCATCATTTTTACTGGGTGAGCCCAAGTTGTAGTATTATGAAAGGGGAGGGGAAAGTCTCTCTCCACCTTCTCCACACCACGTGTCATTTTATAAATCTCTTACCACAGCCTTCCCTATATTGGTGCCTGCTGCAAGTTTCAGATGACAAGTCCCATCAGCCCCAGACTTACTTCTGAATAGACATGCATTAGGATTGCTTGGTTAGTCACCCCCCTCCACCCCCCCCAAAGGCATAAAATTTTAGCCCTTCCTTGGTAGAGGAGGGGTTCCAGTTTCTTGATCGTTTTGGCTGCCCTTTTCAAGCAAACGTCAAGCCTTCGTTGAAATGTGCCTTGTCCACTTTGAGGGGACCAGATGTACATACAAAACGTGACTGACTACCCAAACACATAGGTCAGACCCAAACACTGCATTATTATACAAGGTGTAGGTAACTAAACATCGCCCCCCCCCCCGCGCACATACCAGTATGATGAACTCACTTCTCCCAACGTATTATGCTATCTCTGGCCAAGGCAGAGAGAGGCTCCATTTCATGTCTATATAGCATGTTAGCAACCACAAATAAATGCTGTAATAAAAAATAATGAAGCGAAATGGAGGTGGTATGGAAAGGAGAGGGTGAGGAACAGCCTTGGGCATATCCAATGTCAGTTCTGTCCTTGAAGTCAGGGAAGCCATTTTGAGAGAGAGGCCCAGAGTACTTGTGGCCATAATGAGAAATGGATATCCTACCAAACTCAACAGCAATACCAAAGACACCAGAGTGACCATTTTGAATGCTGGCCAAGAATCTTGGCCAGAGTGGGCAATGGCATTCAAGCGTCTGTCAGCGCAGCCATGGTGGATAGTACACAAGACGAGCGCCTTAGATTCGTCTTGGCCTAGGAAAGTAATGGGAACTTCACTGCCACTCTAATCCCTGACAGCATTGCCTCATCTCTATGGTAGGCCATGTTGAAGGTCAGGTTAGCTCAACTAAAACCTAGCCAAGCTATCTCTGACGTTTGAGAAGGACCTTATCCAAGGCCATATTTACCCCACACATTTAAAGCTCTAGGATGACACTTGGAATAGTCAGGGCTTCTTCCCCCAAATAATTCTGGGAGTTTTGTTAAGGGTGCCGAGAGTTCTTAGGGAGCCCCCTATTCCCCACTCAAAGCTACAATTCCCAGGGTGGTTTAACAGTCAATCCCTCTTCCCAGGGATCTCTATCCCTATCTCTCAGTGTTTTAAACCTATGGGGCAAAGGTGGCCCAAGTCTTTCCCTAGTTCATAGCATTTGAAGACAGTGCCTGCAAGGTTTGATTTGAGCAGCCCTATCCTACTCAGTCCTTTTACCCAGGCGGAAATGAAGTTACTCACAGAGGTCAAGTAGGGAGATGGCGTCCCTGAAGCTGGGAGCCCAAAGCCGGAAGTTGGCTGGAGGGAAAGGCCTGAAGACGAAGGGGATGAAGCGCTGCCAAGCTGTGGACTTTGTTTTCTGTGGGTAGAAGGAGAAAGGAGTTGCCACGCGGATGAAAAGTTGCCACGAGCACAAGCCACAAGGCCAGAGCACCTACGGGCATGGCTTGCGCATGGTGCCAAAGAAATCATACTGAGTGGCTCAGTTTACACGTCACACATCTACCCTGTACACGCCTATCATTACTCAATTACAATTGGATTTACATCCCACCTTTCCCTTTAAAGAAGCCCAGGGTGTCAAAATAGTGAGTACTTTTTTGTATTCTAAAAAATAAAATAAAATTCAGAGTTGCCAGGAGCAGTGTCTTTCAGCTATCAAATGTTCAGATAAAATTTCTCCTGGAAGTCAATACTGAGGGAGGGAGACACACCTGACCAGAGAGGGTGTTTCACAGACTGGGAATGGCCGCTGGAAAGACCCATCACGGGTCAACACCAACCAGCCAGCCCCCAGTGGCAGCACCACCACCACCAAGGCTCTATCTGCTGATCATGTCTGTTCCCCACTTGTACTGGGAGGAAACAAGACAGAAATAAACATTGGTTTGGTTTGGTTTGTTACGTATTTTGTGTTCTCATTTTGCATTTTTATGCTGTAAACCTCCCTGCAATCCTTGGATGGAGGATGGTATATAAATAAAATAAATAAACTTTAAAAAAACAAAAGCCATAATAGCTGGCTCAGGGTTCAGTCCAACCTTGGGATTATGGTTTGTTTTGCTCCAAAAAAACCTACCACCAGTAAGCCAAGAACAACAAAACTTGGCTTGACCGTGGTTTAGTTGGGAGCGAAGAAAACTACAGTCCACGGTTCAGGAATAACACAAAGCCAGGAATCACTGTTTATGTTTCCTCCAAGCATGTCTGGGGTAGGGGAAGGCAGGGGTGATTTGCTCATGCGCCGTAATGTGTGGTTTATGGCTTACTGTGGCATGCAATGGACGATCAGCAAAACAGACATCTTTGCTTCCTGTAAAGATCACCCCCTAGCATATACAGTGGTACCACAGGTTACAGATGCTTCAGGTTACAGACTCCGCTAACCCAGAAATAGTACTTTGGGTTAAGAACTTTGCTTCAGGATGAGAACAGAAATTGTGCAGCAGCGGTGCAGCAGCAGTAGTGGGAGGCCCCATTAGCTAAAGTGGTGCCTCAGGATAAGAACAGTTTCAGGTTAAGAACGGACCTCCAGAACGAATTAAGTTCTTAACCCGAGGTACCACTGTACATAAAAATGGTCCTGCAAGGTCATGTAGGAAAACAACATATGGTCTTTTTTGCTTCCTAAAAAGGGATAACATTTTGAAAACTGGCTGAACTTGGCCAAGCAGAAGGATTCTGCCCATTGGGGAAGCCCACAGGATATATCATCCCATGGTTGGTGGCAATGATCGTGGACACTGATCCTCACCCTTCATCTTGGAGACACTCACCTCTTTAGGGACTGTGGCTCTGTCCCCTTGGGGACCTCCCCATCACTATTGTCAGAGGAGGCTGTTGCCTCCGAGTCTGAAATGAAAAATTAGTTTCAGTCAGATCTGAATACCAGCGTTCGGCTGAGAAACTCAAGTACCTAACATAAAAGGTAAAGGTAAAGGTACCCCTGCCCGTACGGGCCAGTCTTGACAGACTCTAGGGTTGTGCGCTCATCTCACTCTAGAGGCCGGGAGCCAGCGCTGTCCGCAGACACTTCCGGGTCACGTGGCCAGCGTGACGAAGCTGCTCTGGCGAACCGGCACCAGAGCAGCACACGGAAACGCCGTTTACCTTCCCGCTAGAAAGCGGTACCTATTTATCTACTTGCACTTAAGGGTGCTTTTGAACTGCTAGGTGGGCAGGAGCTGGGACCGAACAACGGGAGCTCACCCCGCCGCGGGGATTTGAACCGCTGACCATGCGATCGGCAAGTCCTAGGCACTGAGGTTTTACTCACAGCGCCACCCGCGTCCCTAAGTACCTAACATACATGGGAGTAATTTTATCCATACAACACTCTTGCGAGGCAGGTTAGGCAGAGAGACATAATTTGGGCAAGATTATCCCGTAATCTTCAAGGCTGAATGGTGGATTTGAACTCGTGTCTTCCCAGCCTAAGCTCATGCTGCTTCACTGCACTGATTCATGTGACCAACTCCAAGCGCAAGAGCTCTTGCCCCAGATCTTCCTCATTTTGGGCCTCAAACTGCAGACATTTAGGATTAAGCTAATAATATCCTTTCAAATGACTTTTAGCTACCAGTCTTTCTACCACCACATTTATTGATTTATACACTACCATGACATAATCAAGACACTGCTTTGTTATTTTGGACAAGGCTGTTACTGCTGCTGTGGAAACAACATTTCATTTTCTTCCACTTCTTTGCACATGTCCAAGACAGTGTGGGTGGGCTACCCTCCCCAAAGCACACAACCAGAAGAAAGTCGTGAGCCTTGAATTACCTGATGATTCTTCATCCACGTTCTCATACTGGAGCAGGCGATCAAGCAGAAAACTGGAAAACAGGAAACGATCAGGAGGAGAGGAAGTCACAATCTCAAATGCAACACTTAATTTCTAAGCGGAAAATGTCTGAGGCCAGCACTCTGCCACCTGCCTCCGAAGCCCTGCTCTTCAAACCCAAGTGCACAGAGATTGCGCCAGAAAATTCAGTAGCAGAAGAAAGGCACTCTGCATGTACACTGAGGCACTTTTCTCTATTTTTAGTGCTCAAAGTCTCAAATACTGCTCTGGTATTGAAAACAAAGTCTGCATCTCAATGCTAGACATCTTTGACATAAACTAAGTCCTGCTGCCACTTCAGATATCCTGTTCCTGCTCCCTCCCCACCATTTACGGAACAGTCACCTTTTCAAGGCAAGGCTCGCATGCAACATTAATAGCAGCTTTTCAGGCAGAAACCAAACAGGTGCAGTTTTCCCTATCATGAGTTGCATTGAGGTCTACTGATTTTCCCCTGTCACATAGCTTTTAAGGACCCAGGAACCCTGCGAAAAAAAGATGGCAACCCTATCTATTATTTATTTGGTTGTAGAATTGATATCCCACCCTTCATCACTAGAAGATTTCATTTCTCCTGCACCAGGAGCATCTCTCAGTTTCAGCTCCACAACCTCCCCCATCATCTCCCCATTCTGCACCCTCTCTGCCCTTCTCTATCGCATCAGCTCACCTTTTATCCCGTGAAACTTTTAAAAGTTTCCTTTGCGCTTTTCTCAGTTCTTCCTGGAAACATTCTTGTTCCTGAGAAATAACAAGAGAGACCATGCAAGTCAGAAGCAGACTTTAAAACAATATTAATATTACAGTTTTATTCATATGGAACAAAAATTATTTTGTTGTGAATGGATGTAAAGGTGAGAAAATAGAATTTGTTAAAATTTTTGTTTTGGAATTTAATCTTAGAGAGGAAGCTGGGAAAGGGGGAGAGATTCCACCCCCCTCCACCTGAAATTAGAAATGGTAGAAGAAAAAATTCCAGTGTTGAAACAAACCAGCAAGGTCGTAAGTCAAAAGAATATACTGTAAAATATTAATTTTATGATTTGATTTCAGAATTTAAAAGAGAATTGTGCAAGATAAAGCAAAATGTTGAAAAACAGCTTCTCAAATCCGGGAAAATACTAATTTACTTTCAGAGACTGTGGGACAACTTAAAGAGGTGAACATACAAACCACTGAGGTGGGAAAGGTTGAGGTGGTAGGCTCGAGGAAAAGGGAAAGTAAAGGTGATCCACAGTAAAAATGGCACCTCGTGTGAATTGATCTGGGAAGATTTTACTTTGATGGAGACAAAACAGAAAGGAAGGGGAAAAGGTATGAGAGGCTACTATATGTGGTGGCAGTGTAAAGTTATTAAGAAGGCCTGGGAGGTAACATATAAAGATCTGAAGAGAATGTTGAAAATGACCTTTGTTTAAAAAAATAGAAGCTATGATTCTGAAAGGTACAGGACTTAATGGATTTACTGGGCAAAAGACTTTGTTCCTGTACCTGAGAGTGGATGCCAGGCCAAGACCAGCCCAACCCCATAGAAGAAAGAAGCCACCGCCAAAGAAGATTGGTAAAATAAATTAGTGAACCATGCAGGACATATTAGACAACTTGAAACCCAAAGGACATTGGTTTTCTCTTTTTTAAATAAGGGAAATGTTTAAAGCATAACCTTGTAAGCTTTGTGGATAGGCTTTTACATTAGTTGAACATTTAAAAGTCACTTGTAATAAGATGAACAAGGTTTAAAAATTGAATTGTTAAGAATATAAGATTTTAAGGACATGCTTGAATAAGAGTAAAATAATGGAACCAGGAGGGGAAGTAGAGGGAAGTCTATTAAGATTATGGTCTAAATTTTTGAATGTGAATATTATTATTGTTTTTTATTTTGGTTGTTTTTGGAAAATTAATAAAATGCTATCGAAAAAAGAAAAGAATGCCAACCCGTTAGTCAGCCATTCTGGAATTAATAGCAGGACAACAAAGTGTAATTTTTGCAAGCTCTTGTAATCACTAAGAGACTTATATTTTTAACCTGAAAGGATAAATACCCACCATCTATTATGGAATGGTTCAAAGACCCTAAAACTCTTGCTACATTTGAACATACTTTTTAGAAATGCAAATCTCGCTTGGATATCTTTTTGGACAGCATATATTGAGCTATATGTCTAAACTAAAATGTATTGACAGTTACTGTATCATTAATGTGAGCTGACAGTGTTTTTCTTTTTCTTTCCTTTTTCAAACTATCAAATCACTTAATCAAATAATATTTATATACCAGAGGGAAGGGGTGCTTTTTGAATTTCTACCAAAGGTTCAGCTCTGCTCCCAAAAATCATCACGTTTCACACTAGTCTTATATTCCTTTGTTTCACAGAGATTCCTTGCTGTTCTGCTGGTTTTAAAATGCCTTCACTGAAGGACCAGGTGCACGGCCTGGGAGTCATTTTGGACTCACAGCTGTCCATGGAGGCACAGGTCAATTCTGTGTCCAGGGCGGCTGTCTACCAGCTCCATCTGGTACGCCGGCTGAGACCCTACCTGCCCGCAGACTGTCTTGCCAGAGTGGTGCATGCTCTAGTTATCTTCCGCTTGGACTACTGCAATGCGCTCTACGTGGGGCTACCTTTGAAGGTGACCCGGAAACTGCAATTAATCCAGAATTCAGCAGCTAGACTGGTGACTAGGAGTGGCCACCGGGACTATATAACACCGGTCCCGAGAGATCTGCATTAGCTTCCAGTACGTTTCTAAGCACAATTCAAAGTATTGGTGCTAACCTTTAAAGCCCTAAATGGCCTCGGTCCTGTATACCTGAAGGAGCATCTCCGCCCCCATCGTTCAGCCCAGACACTAAGATCCAGCGCTGAGGACCTTCTGGCGGTTCCCTCATTGTGAGAAGTGAGGTTACAGGGAACCAGACAGAGGGCCTTCTTGGTAGTGGCGCCCGCCCTGTGGAACACCCTCCCATCAGATGTCAGGGAAATAAGCAGCTATCCTATTTTTAAAAGACATCTGAAGGCAGCCCTGTTTAGGGAAGTTTTTAATTTTTTATTTTATTTTATTTATACCCCGCCCTCCCCGGCCAAGACCGGGCTCAGGGCGGCTAACATCAAGTAAAAAAACCATTGATTAAAATACAACTTAAAGTGCAGCCCAGTGGAAGCCCAGATCAAATGCAGCCCAGTGGAAGCCCAGATCAAAAACTGTTTGGGGGAGAAAACGTCAAATCTTCACCAAGGCCAACCCTCCAGACTGGTCCTACATGGGCCAGAAAAAAGCCAGGGAAGTCCCCAAATAGGGGTTCCATCACAGAAGGAAAAGGCCCTGCCGAAAGAAATCAAATCCCGCAGGGCCCTGGTCTCATGAGACAGTGTTCCACCAGGCTGGAGGCCTGGTTGAAGGTAATCTGACTTCCTTAGGGCCCGGGACCTCTAGAGTATTGCTATTTATGGACCTTAAGGTCCTCCGTGGGGCATACCAGGAGAGGCAGTCCTGTAAGTATGAGGGTCCTAGGCTGTATTGTTTTTAAGTCGATTGGGAGCCGCCAGAGTGGCTGGGGAAACTCAGCCAGATGGGTGGGGTATAAATAATAAATTATTATCATTATTATTATTATTCCTTGAATGTACTGTACTGTAAATGTTTTAACTGTGGTGAGCTGCTCTCCAGACTGACGAGCAGGATATTAAATGGCTATAAGAAAGCTCTTCTCACACATTTATCTTTTTCTTAATGCTCAGACAATAACCCTGCAAAGTAGGTTAGCACTGTAAGCTCCCACATATTGCTCACTCTTAACCTACAGTTGCCTATCACAGAGCTCATAGTAAAGATAATCCCCAGAAAAGCCCCCCAAACCTAGCACACACCCCTCCACGTCACACTAGGTTTCGAAAGATGTGTTTTTTCAGGGAACAAACCCCACTGAAACCAACCCCGCTCTCAGCTCCCTTACAAGTGAGCAGGCTACTCATATCTACTCGTATCTCCCTATAAAAACAAAAGCGCGGGTTGATTCAACAGATCTTAACCCGGGGCGCCCCACGTGCTCTCCCCCCTTCCCACGAGAACAGGATATCCACAATGTTTTGGACACATGGAATCGGAAACATGTTGACCCAGCATAACCTGCCGACCCTCGGCTCCCACCCCGTTTCTCACTTAGCCTTAACTCGCCTGCAAAGGTAAATATTGCCCCCTCCTTCCAAAATAATATGACCTGCTCCCCCAGAAGTCCTTCCCTCCAGTGCCTCCCCTCTCCCCACCGCCCCCCCCCAAGCTCCTCACATAGATCAGGAACTTCAGTCTCCTCTTCAAGGCCCTGTAGCGCCTTTTGTAGCCCCCGCTGCCAGGATCAGGCTCTCCCGCCCCGTTCATGCCCACCTGGGGGAGCAACGGGAGGCAGGAACTGAGACTGGGGTGAGAGAGAGAGCGCGGGGGGGAGCGGGGGGGAGGTTACAGTGGAAGAACTACATTTCCCGGTATGCTCCGGGAAGAAAGCGCAGCAAAGCGGATGGGCAGGAGGAGCGGGACTACGACTCCCGGCATGCCTCGCGGCGGGGAGGCTCTTCCCACAACAACAACCCCCAATTTATTTATTTTTTATTATCTGGAGTCCCTATAATTCAGACACGTCATGGGAGCTTTTGAGAGGCCCAAACTCAGGGAATTAAACAAAGGGCAGCGCTTCGTAATATAAAGACAACGTTTCCCCCATTGGACGCGCGTTGGCTTGTCACACCCGGAAGTACCCGCTGCCGCCCCGTTGCTACGGGCACGTACGCGTTGCTAGGACTACGTTTCCCGTCAGGCCCGGCGACGCCGTCGAATCCGCTCCCATTGGCTCATGTGCTAACCCTCGCGAACCACGCCTCCCGTGCCTTGCGTCGCTCCCTTATTTCTCCACCCGCCGCCGTGATAGGCTCTTCTGGTTGCTGCTGCTGCGGTCGCTGTTCCTCGGAACTACACTTCCCAGTAGGCCTTGCGGGGAGAAGGACCGCTTCAGCTCGGAGGAGCCCGTTGGCGGGAAAGGATGGCAGCGGATCCCGCGGAGTTGCAGAGGATGGAAGCCTTCGTCAGGGCTCTTTTCCAGGAAAAGCCCGACCTCAGGTGAGAGTCCGGAGCTGCGCAAGGCTTCCGGCTGAAGGGGCGCCTGCAAGGCTGAACCCGAAGCCGGGCCCGGCGGCCTTTGGCCCTGCTTTTCCCGCTCGGGACTAAGGAAGACTGGGGTGCCCCCTGAGCATTTGCAGAGTGCGTTTGCCTCGCCGCTGAAATAAACCGCACAGCCGGCCGCTTTCGCGTCGGGGAAGGCGGTGGGGGAAAGGCGCTTCCTCGGGAATGGGTGTGATGCGAGGAAAGACTGAACCGCTGAGCGCACACCTGCTGGCACCTTTTGCCATGAAGATCTGGCCTCCCTTGGAGGAGAAGGTCGTGGTCAGTCGCTGGCCGGGGGTGGGTGGGTGGGTGGGTGTCCAGGATATCCCTCTGACCTGGTAAGGACGATGGATCCTGAATCTCTTTTACAAACTTATACCGATTGATACACAGGTGCTCTAATCTTAACAGAAAATATCTTAACAGATACATGCCAGACCAGTTTTCCAGGGAGGGGTAAGCCCCCCACATGCCAAGCAATGTTATCTATTAGCAGGATTTACAGGTGAACTATTTTGGGGGAGGTATTCTCCCTCATCTCCTTCCTTCTACTGCAGAGAAATAGTTGAGGTCATTTAAGAGACTCGAAATGGCTTTAGAATTGCTCGCTACATCTTTTCAGAATATGGTTTATATACCTATGTATGTGCATCCACCCTGTGTATTTTGAATATTTATTGTTTTGCCATCTTAGAGTTGGGGGGTGGGGCGAGTACACACATAGAGTGGCGCTGTGGTCTAAACCACTGAGCCTCTTGAGCTTGCCAATCAGAAGGTTGGCAGTTCGAACCCCCGCAACCTGGTGAGCTCCCGTTGCTCGGTCCCTGCTCCTGCCAACCTAGCAGTTTGAAAGCACACCAGTGCAAGTAGATAAATAGGTACTGCTGAGGCGGGAAGGTACATGGTGTTTCCTTGCGCTCTGGCTCCTGTCACGGTGTTCTGTGGACAAACGTTGGGTCCCTCAGCCTGAAAAGCAATATGAGCGCCGCAATTCAATAGTCACCTTTGATTGGACTTAACTGTCCAGGGGTCCTTTACCTTTTTACCTTTTACACACATAGGCCAGTTCTCAGGTAACAAGCCCAATGTCTAGGATGAGGGAGCCCACAGACACCAGCTGTGACCATTTTGCTCAAGTACTTTTAAGTACATGGTGCATCTGTCTCCCATTGGGAGGTTGTGGACATGAACTGTGCATTGCCTGCTCCCATTTAAGCCTGCCCGTATGTTGTATTTATCAAGCACTTGCTATGTGGCAACACACAAGAGGGTCCCTCAGGACTGGCAGATCAATAATGGAATGCCCTCCTTTCTTAGATATAACAGGTGCCTACGCTGTTGGGCTTTTAGTACCAAATAAAAATGTGTTTATTTGCCCCAGATTTCGGTTAATCCGTTCATTGGTGCTGGAGATGGGCATGCTTGTCTTGCTGGTTCCTTGTGACTTGGTGGCTGTTGATATTTTATTATTGTATTGTTTTTATATGCGTTGGAACTGGAGATGGAACTTGAACTGGAAATGAAATTAACAGTGAATGTGTGGCTATTCCAACAAAAGCCTCATTCCTCACCATTATTGCTGTTTCTTGCAGCACCCTCACGAATGCTATAATCCGGAAGAAATATCTCCTCCATGCCGGGCGGGAGAGTATGGCTGAAGAGCAAAAGGAGCAACTCAGGCAGCTGGTGGCAGTAGAGTTGAACCGGATGGAGGTGCGGGCAATGTTAGTGGGCAAAGGGCAGGGCAGGGCAGCACTTTCGCTGGGAGAGCCAGCTGGAGGAGAGGAAAGGTGTGCTGTGCCGCCAGAGGCAGTGAAAGGGGTCCAAATAGTTAAAGCTGGAAACTTTTCATTTTGATGTCATTCTACAGGAGGATGATTCCATGAATGCCGTAGAGTTCATGGCAAAATTCAAGACTCACATCAAATCCATGATCCAGAAGCGACCTCGCTGCAACTCTGATACCCCTGGCGAGGAGTTAGAAATCCACGAGCTCAAGAAGCAGCGAACTGGAAGCATACCAGGTATATGACAAGATTGCAAAATGCTGTCCTGTATGCAAATGCTCCCTGGCATAGTCTTGGTCTCTCGCTTGTGGAAGGGTCTTTCTTAAGGTTGGTTTTCACAATTATTTGTAAATGGCAGGCTGACAGTTTTTTTGGGAAAGATGACTTTTCCCACCTGTTTACTATTCTTTCCTTGTGATATGCAGCTGCAGGGGAGTATCTGAGACTCTTGGAGCATGAGTGTGTGTGTGTGAGTTCTGTGCATAGTGGTCAGCCTTCACTTTTTTGTGGGAAATTCCCTTATTCCAGCACAGTTTCCTGCTGCTATCCCGGATTGTTAGATATCCCGTAGACTGTCCCCGGGACAGGTGAGGCTGCTGATCCCTTATTTTCAAATCTTAAAGTTGACAGCTATGGTTCTGTGATTGTTTAAAGCAATTGCACAGTCCGTGAGGAAGTGCTGCTTCTTGCCTGTCCAGTATGCACTGCTTTCAGTTTGCTTGGATGACCTTGCTTTCTGGCAGGAAATTGCTGGGAACTTCCTCTGCAGGCCATGCAGTCCAGATAATGGGCTGATAGCAGCGCATAATTGAAATCAGCTTCTCTCATTTTAAAAATCCACTTTGTTTTATCTTTTATCCCACACTGAGGCCCTTCCATCCATCACTGATGGGTTGCTTAGCTTCAGCCAGATTCCTGCATCATAGAATTGTAGAGTTGGAAGGATTCTGTTAGTTATGTTGAGAATTACCTTAATGGAGATCTGTGTCAGCTGCATTTTTATGTAAAGGGCTTTCACAGAAAGCATGTGGTTACCTCTTTTACAGGCTCTCTGCCACTTTCAGAACACAATTTTAAATATATAAAAGAATGAAAAAGCTATATGCCCATGGAACATTAGCATGTCTCTTAATTATCAAAATGCAGAGAGTTTTTCATCTAAGGGGAAACATTCATTCCTGTTTTCTGAACACACATTACCTCTGCCACTGTCAGCTTTCTCCTCATTGGGTAGATCCCTGTCCTGGCTTGAGCCTAAAAGCAGGCCTCGCGGGGAGGAGGAGGCGGCCATAAGGGAAGCACCACATCTTCTGAGTATAGATGATGGTGGCCTGAGGTGGTGGAACATCTCTGGAATATTTGCCTGGAACTCATCTTGGCACTACTACGGTGCCATGTCATACCCACTGTGCATTGGTGCAAAGTTGATTGTTTAGTGGGACGGCACCTGCGCTTTGGAACTCCCTGCCTCTTGAAATCAGGCCGACGTCTTCACTGTATCCTTTTTGGCACCTGCTAAAAACATTCTTTTTTTAGACAAGCTTACCCAGATGCTTGGAAAGCTGAGGTAATTTTGATCTGTTTTAGTATTTTAACTCTTGTACGTTTTAAGGTAGGGCTGTGAACCTACTTTATTGTTTTATCTTTATTGTTTTATCTTTGTTTTTTACAATCAAGTAGTGTATAAATTTTATGAAATAAATAAATAATAAATACTAAGTCTCTAAACACTTTTAATAAACACTTATCCTTTAAAAAAAGTAATGTTACTATTTTTCCTTTATTTATGGTATTTCAGGTTTGTAGTTCTTCTCTCACCAGTAGAAAATAGGACAGTGGGATATTGTTATGCTCCACTTTCTTGAAGGCAGTAAAAACACCATCCTTCTCGGAGGCTTCTAAGTTGCCCCTCTGCAAGCAGCAATTTGTTTTTTCTGCCCTTGCTTGAAGCAGGCCAGTTTAATCACTGGTGTTCTTCGGGCCTTTAGCTGCTGTTTTCTTGTGAGTGCAGTTACTTTGTGTGTGTTTGGTTTGCCCTTTTTTGAGGGGTTTTTTCCTCAGCGGGTTGTTTTTTGTTTGTTATTAGATGGATTTTTGACCTCTGATCACCGTAATGATTCCTACTTGCTTTCCTCTGTGGCGTTTTCTCTCCTCCGCTGTTTGCTAAATTAATTCTACTGAGTCGGCAAATAAAATTGTGTTTTTTATTCTTTGCTTTTTAAAAAAAATTCAAACAAATGTTTAAAAGAAACAGGGTGGGGAAGAATTTGAATTAAAGTCGGACAAGGGTATATTCCTCATAGTGAGTTGCTATGCGTTACAGGGCTATGCTATTATGGAGGGGGCACACGTGACCCTATTGGCTCCACCACCAGCAGTTGCGACAACATTGGGGATGCCTGGTCGCCTGCGGACAGTTGTTAACTTGCCACAGGTGACCAGGCAAATTTCCAGCCAGGTAGACTGATTAGTGCCCCTTCTCAATATCTGTCATGTTGCTCACTTTTTATCTTCCAGAAGTCAGTTCTGATGATAAAGATTCTGGGATTGATTCCAAGAAGATACCACTCCGTTGTGACCCTAAGCATGTTGGAGCTGGGAAATCTTCTAGCTGCTCTGACCAACGAGATTCCGGAGCCGAAGGACAGGCTGGCGGATCTGAGAGTGATGGGCAAAGTGCAAAGAAGAGAACGAGGGAACGACCCCAGAGGGGGAAAGGTAGCAAACCAAACAGGGAGCAGCAGAGCAGGAGACAGAGAGAACAATCAGGGAGTGAGTCGAAGGAGACAACAGAAGAGGAACAGAGTGACCTTGAAGAGATCAGAAAACATAAGGCAGCAAAAGGCCAAAGAATCGAATCAGAGAGTGACTCTGAACAAGAGCTGAGCAACTACAAGACCCAGAAAAAGAAAGGGTTTGGCAAAGAACAGAAGCTCACTGAGACAGTGGGCAAAGGAAAGAACAGAAATATGGATGAGCAAGGGAGAAAAATGGGAGAAGAGTCGGAAGAGGACATGGAGTTGCCCAAGGCAAGAAAAATGTGCAAGGGGGGAAGAATTGATGGAAGTGAGAGTGAAGAGGAGATGAAGGGCAGTGGCGGCAAAAAGGCTCAGAACAGGCCAAGACGAAGATGTTTGAAGGCTCAAGGTGAGAGTGAGGATGAATCAGAGAGCGATTCAGAGGATGAGCAGCCCAGCAGGCAAAACAAGATGAGGAGAAATAGTAAACGAAGCAGGGAAAGTATGAGGGCAGAGGAGCTGGAGAGGGATTCAGACAGTGCCGGAGGCAAAAGTTGGGCGAAGAAGGAAATGCACAAGGCAGCTAGGAGGGCAAATGAGAAATGGAGCCATAACTCAGAGAGCGATTCTGAAGACGATGGGGAGTTCAAGAGGCAGGCCAGCAAAGGAATGAAAAAGACACAGAAGAGGAAGGAACTGGAGCAGGGAAAGCATAAGCCTCCCAAGCAAAGCACAAGCAGGGAAGAATCAGAAAGCGAGAGAAATGAGTGTAAGAGCTCAGAGCAAAAAAGAAAAGGGACCAAGAAGCCCAGCAGTAGCGAAGATGAATCGTGCAGTGAGACAGAGGAGATGGAAAGGGGCAAAAGCAAATCCAAGATGTCTGATGGGAGCAGTGACGAATCAGAGGATGGGTCGGAAGAGTGGGAAAGTGGAAAGTTGAGAAAGAAAAGAGAGCTTAAAAAGAAGGGCAAGAGTGTGTCTGGGAGTGAATGTAGCTCAGAGGAAGAGTCGCTGAGAAAGGAAGGAGAGAAGTCCCAGGGAAAGCATACCATCGCTGAAAAAGATCTGGGGACGGATTCAGAGGACAGTGGAAGTGAATTGGTGGGAAGGAAAAAAGGCCTGCAGAAGACTGGGATGCAGAAGCCCCAAAGGAGGGAAGCGAGTTCAAGCTCAGGAGATGAAGATGACCCCCGTTCTTCCAAACGCAAAGGAAAGGTAAGGAGATCTTTGCTTGGCAATGCCAAACATTAATAGCTCTGTACAACTGCGGGCACAGTTTGTCCTCTCCCTCCCTCCCCCACCAGCATGTTAAGATATTCCCAAGATTGATATTTACTCAAGTCTTTTGTGTTCTGGGTGGCAGTTCCAGCACCATAATGTGCTGGTCAGTGTATATTCAGCCTGGCCATGGAGTGTAGTCTGGCACGAGCGTTTGTTCTCAAAAGTAACCTGAATCATTGTGCGAATGTCAGGCACGCAGGGAGCACAGAGTTTGGGGATTAATGGCCAGTGGGTGCCCTCAGTCTAAGCAGGCTGCCCGCCTTTACTCTCTCCTTTTGCTTCTATATCGAAAATCAAATTTGTGCGTGTGTTTTAACTATGCATCCTGCCTTTCAGGATACACATCCTTCCCAGGCATTTAACTTAAGACCATAGGAACAGAGTCTCAGACCAGTGGCCCATCTATCTCATTGTTGTCTACATTGGCTGGCAGCAGCATCTGTGTGGAGAGGCTGGGGATTGAGCCTGGGAATCTTCTACGCGAAAAGCTAAGGGCCTTCCACTAGCATGCGGCACCCAAAAGGGAATGTGGCTGGAAAAGTTTCCCCTCCCTTCCAATAAGGCACAGCACGTTATTTTAAAGGAATGGCTGCCTTTTGAAAATGCAGCGGTTTTATGGACCCCGTGTCAGGTTTTGCGATCTCTTCCCCGTTCCCCACCTGCTGCAGGACAAAGAACATCACTCCAGGAAGAATGAGGAGCATTCTTCAATCCGACGCCTGAAACGCTACATCCGGGAGTGCGGTGCCCATCGGAATTACAAGAAGCTGCTTAGCGGTTGCCACTCCCGCAAAGCTCAGTTAAAGGTGCTCAAAGAAGAGCTGGAAAACCTCGGCCTGAAGGGTAGGTGCAAGTTGGATGCTTTAGGCAGAAACTGGGAAGAGCAGGGAAAGCCTGTTTGCAAGGGAAGGAGAGAGGGAGGGAGGGAGAGGCTGGATCCAGGAACTAGGGGTCAGCAGCACTGTGTGTGCTTGCTTCCAAACCCCACATTCAGGCCAAGGAAGTTGTGGATGCTGCAACCAGCCTGTAGGAGTTACGCACGCACAGCCCATTTTCAAAGTCAGTGGCTGGTCTTGTGCGATTATGGAAAGAGCTGTTGGGAGTCCCGTGACCACACACACCGCCTTCACTACTGTAATTCCTACTTGGGGGTCCTCTGGTTCAGAAATTTAAACAGGTGTCTCTGGAGACTATCTTTTACAGCCTCAAAAGCCAGATTCTTTGCATGATCCAGAAATCCGTCAGATGAAGCTGTCTTTTAGTGTGTTGGACGACTGTTCCTTCTAGCTCAGCATTGGCTGCCAGTGACTCTCCCGCACTTTAGGCAGGGGACTTTTCCAGCCCTAACTGGCGATGCCAAGGGTTGAAGTGTGGACCTTCTGCATGCAGAGCATATGTTCTGTCACTGCACTAAAGCCCTTCTCTAGTTTCTCCCATCCATCAAGGTTTCTTTGGTTTGTGAGACTTGAAGAGAACTTGCTTTCCTCACTACTACATCCCCACGTGAATGAAAAGCTGCCCCTGTTTGAATTTGTACCCATCAGGCTCTTTTAAAGGCACCGTATCTCAGGGAAACTACAGCAACATCTTTTTCAGAGTGTGGCTATTTTTCAGTCTTATCCTTCTGAGCACAGGGGGACGCTTGCCCACGTGTCTCACTTCTTGGCCTGTGTTTTCCCTCCCCTTTTCTCAGGGGCACCAACTCTGGCCAAGTGCAAGGCCTTGAAGCAGAAGCGGGAAGTGGCCGCCGAAATTGCTTCGCTCGATCTCTGCAACATCATCGCCACACAAGGTAAAGGTGGGAGGAGCCAAAGAGAAGGGACATGGCTAGTGGTAGATAGGAAGAAACCTGGAAACTTTAACTTCCTGATTTCTGCCTTTGTTTTGCATGTGTATTTGAGCCAACCTGCCCCACGCAGGGTGATAACCAGTTATGTCACACTCAGAGCAGGCCCACTGACATCCGTGGATTTAAGATACTAAAGCCCATTTGATTTCAGCGCTCCCACTGTGCGATTAACATTTAATATTGTGCATCGTCTGGTGGGAAAACTGGAAATCAGACGTGGGGCTTGTGATATGCTTCTTCCCAATCTTGGATATTCTACTTTTCTAACCGATTATCGTTTACTTCCAGTCTTGTTTTTGCATCTTATTTCTGACCAAAGGATGCACGGCAACCGTTCCTTTTGGTGATCAAGTAAATACTACAGATATTCCAGTTTCTTTTTTCTTTTTCTTTTGCATGCACGCATGCGGGGGCAGGGAGGAAAAAGGGCACGGGTGTAAGAAAAATGATGGTAGAGCTCTAGGGGTTTCGTTTAGATGCAAGGGGAGTGAATACTGTAAGAGGGGAGAAGCCAAGAGGGGGTTTTGCTTGAAGGCATGTGCTTCACATCTTGTGGTTGTGAGCTCAGAGCAAGTGGACTTGGTCCATGAAGCCCTACAAGTGTCCTTAGAGCCACAGCTGTTGCCTCTTCATGTGAAACTCTTTTCTGTCTCTCTCTGCCCTTTTATTCACACAGGCCGCCCAAGGCGTCAGAACGTCTGGAGTCTCTACAGCAAGCCTAAGCAGCTCAGCTCCCCAGAGGATTCACCTGTCCACAGTCCTATTAGGGACTGGTCCCACCTTAAAGGTGTCATCAGTTCAGATGGGGAAAGCAATTGACTCCAGGATCAGAGGGAAGCGTAGGCATTCGTGGGTTGCTTGTTGCCCTAATTTTGAGGGGAAACGCCAGTTGGTCTGACCCTGACAACCAAGAGAGGGCTTCGTGATGTTTTTGGCCCATTTTACCCTACTCGACATGCATGACAAAACAAAGATAATGCCAATATTTTTGTTGCTGTTTCCCCATCACCAGCATGAAAGGCGGGACACAAATGTCTCTGCTGAGGGCAAAGGTTCATCCCTTCCCAAAAATATTTGTACTCCTAAGGGAGATGGGCAGAAAGAGAGAGCACCAGTTCCTTCAAATAGTTGTATTATAGTTGAGGTATGGCCACCTTCCCCTATGACCCTTCTTTCCAAGAGTAAACAAGAACCCTAAACAAGAACACATGCAAGAGTATATTGCAAAGGAGGGGATGTGGAGCTTCATTTCCCATATGGTTTGGTACCTTGCCTCTTTTCATATTTTGTGGCATTTCTCTTCCCTCTGGGCACCTCCTAAATGAGAACGGAATTGATTCACTTGGTTAGAGGACAGATGTGCCTTTGCAATGTGGACCACATTTAATTATGGATGTTTGTTCTGGAGATTTTACAGCTAAAATGTTTTATATTTGTTAATAAATGTTGGACTTTCTAAGTGAGACTTCGTACACGCTCCCGATAGCTCTTTTCATGAACGTATAGGCTGAGTAATTCGCCGTAATCCAACAACTGGTGCAGAAGCTGGATCCGTCAAAGCGTCTAAATTATTGCAGCTTTTCCTAAAAGGCCAAACTTCTAGATCTCGTAGAACCAGAGGCTCTGGCACAGGGGCCAGCAACCTTTTTCAGCCGTTGGCTGGTCCACTGTCCCTCAGACCATTTGGTGGGCCAGACTATACTTGGCGGGGTGGGGGGATGAACGAATTCCTATGCCCCACAAATAACCCAGAGATGTGTTTTAAATAAAAGTACAGTGGTATCTCAGGTTACATACGCTTCAGGTTACAGACTCCGCTAGCCCAGAAATAGTGCTTCAGGTTAAGAACTTTGCTTCAGGATGAGAACAGAAATCATGCTCCAGCGGCAGCAGGAGGCCCCATTAGCTAAAGTGGTGCTTCAGGTTAAGGACAGTTTCAGGTTAAGTACGGACCTCCAGAACGAATTAAGTACTTAACCCAAGGTACCACTGTACACGTTCTACTCATGTAAAAACACCAGGCTGGCCCCACAAATAACCCAGAGATGCATTTTAAATAAAAGGACACATTCTACTCATGTAAAAACACGCTGATTCCCAGACCGTCTGTGCGCCGGATTGAGAAGGCGATTGGGCCACATTCGGCACACGGGCCTTAGGTTGCCTACCCTGCTCTACCCTATTGGGAATGGAGCTTCTGTGGCTGCGTGGCGCTTCCCCCTGTGACATGATCCCACACTGCTGGGGAGTGTGGGTGCTGTGGGCTGCAGTGACCTCACCCATTTGGCTACTACAGACTTGGCTTATACACACCGATACACACACCTCTACAGTCTAGGAATCCACCACAGGGAAGTTGCTCCAGATCCTTTAACTGCCTCACTTGCCCAGGCTTCTCATCCTGTCACGGCAACATGTTTTGTACCGATCTCTGAATGCATACAAGAAATGGCAGTGGAGAGTTTTTTGCAATAGCTACAAAAACTTAAAAAATAGCAAGGTCCTAATAAAGTATATGGGTGTGGCATGTGCTGATGAAATACTCTGCAAGATTGGGGTTTCCTGGGACAGCATCTTTTGGTGCCTTACGCAAAGTGAGATCGTTCATCATTCAGTCCAGTTTGGATTATTTTGAAAGGAAGCCTGCCAAAATCCCCTCTCTGTTTCCTCATCTGCGCCTCCTAGGAACCAGCTTTATAGCAGGGCAGAAAGTTGGTGCATTTGGCGCAGGGTTGTGCACTGGCTCTTAGGGAGGATTCTTTCCCATCACTAGATCCTTTTAACTAGCCAAGGATTAAAACTAGGCTGTTATGCATACAAAACATATGTTCTATCATGGAGCCGTGTGGTCCCTCTCCCTCACATGAATGCAAAAACAAAACACCATTTTATGAAACTCTAAAACCAATAGGCAATAACACTGCAGGGAGCGGCTCATTTACATTTTTATATTTATTAAGATCTTTTGTCATTGAACTGAAGCAATAAGAAACCCTAACTTTAATTAATATAGATATTTTTTCTTTTAATCCTCTAGTATTTACAAAGTATACAGAACTGCAGAGGTTTTATGTACATATTCACCACTTGAAAGGAAGACCAGCTTATGTTCCATCCTCTGTGACAATTTCCTCCTCAGACAGCAGTAGTTCTGTTTCTGAGCCCAATTCAGAGATACTTTCGGAGGACAATATATGCTAGATGTCTCTACATTGACCAGTCCTGTGTTCAGTCTTAGAAGATAGGACTCTTTCTTTTGTGTTAATTCACCTATTAAGATGCCAGGCCTTTGGGGAGATTTAAATGCTCTTCTCTAACTTGGGGGTTCAGTGTCTAATTTTGAAGCAGGAATATGTAGTTGTATGGGTAAAAAGTTATCTTTCCAGATGTCACTTTCAGCTCAAAATCCTTCCTCTTTCATGCAAGACTATCCTTAAATAGCCCAAACCTTTGGGCTTTGACACCTATACTTGAAAACATAGAGTGAAGGGTGTTTGAGTTTTGCTCAAAAGCAACGTAGTTTTCCCTCAGTCTTTTCAATAGATGAATGTTCAGCTGCTAAGAGGTTTGACATAAGGAACCACCGTACTAGCATTAGTCTACAAGAGAAAACCTAATATGTCATGTATATGTTTAGAATTCCTTAACCAAAAGAATTACACTTCTACATTTTCATTAACACTGTCTATAATAGATGACAATGTGGACACAAATGAATACACTGTCCACTTCAATTTATTCATGGTGAGTATCGTATGTGTGGGGCAGTCGTCCACCTTCAAATATGAGAGAGGGTCCTGAGTTGCCAGTTGCTTATCTATGCTTCAAGACATTTTGAATGTAGTAGAAATTTTGCAGTGAGAACAGAGGAATTCAAAAACCCCACCTCCACACACATACACACTTTATAAATTAGCCTTGAAATATTCAGCCAGCAAGCGATCCTTTTCTCAGATACCACACAGGCCTACTTTAGCTATGAGCTTCTAGAACTTTCTAGCCAGGCTTGACTGACAGGTAAGGTTCTGGGGGGGAATCGCTCTGAAAAGTCAGTGCAGGCTAAAACTTCCAAAAGTGAGGGTGAAATAAGTTCCTTGTTCTGGAGAGAAAAGCACTGCTGTGGAAGTCCTAGTTAACCACACCTTTTACAATAATAAAAACCAGTACTAATAGAAACGAAACAACAACCAAGGGGTTGCTGAGTGTTAAGCTCATCCATCCAACAGGGCAATAACTTTTTGCTACGGAAACTTCTTTAAAGGGGGTCTCTCTATCTGGAACATCCTTATTTGGTAAAGATTTAAAATGACAAAATTTGTGCTTTCCAATAATTTCTTTAAAGCACTTGGAAACCTGTACCTCCAAAGCTAATTTATATGGCAGAACACCCTATGTAACTTCTAAAACCTATTCCATTTGGAATATTTTACTCCCCGCTACCTCACAGCTCCTTATTGTAGTTTGGGTAACTCTAGGCCTTGAACATCCCAAGCTGTTCCCGACTTTCAAATTAATTTGAAATAAAACGGCTGAATTTTAACTGAACACACACTTGACTCTGGATTCACCTCCACCTTTCACTCTCTGGTATAGTCAGAAAATCTTCAAATAGACCCCAGTTCCCCTTCACTAGCATACTTAACTGCGGATCCATCTCCTCAGATGTTAAAATTACCCCCATAACTATTGTTATCCTATCATTTTGTCCTCTCTGTGGCATTAAAAGCTTTTAAAAACACATGCACACATTCTACTGAGAGGGATTTTTTGTCCAGAAAACGTTGCCCTCAACTTGTGATTAGAAAATGGTTTGCCCTTTCCCACACAATGCCAGAGCCCCACCATATTGTTCATTATTCCTGAGGAAGCGAGGTAACAGGCTTTTAATGCTGAAGGGTAATTCCCCAGTGTCAGAAATAGATATAGTTTTTTACTTTGTCCCCTCCCTACTGGACAATTTACCTTTCTTTGTGCTTTTGGCCCTCCACGGTTAGCCCTGTACTGGGGTAATATGAGCATTAATCCTCTGTTCCCCACACGAGTGGATTTTCCTGGGTTGGAACAGTATTATACTGAAACAGCAGTATTCTTTATACCCATGGGCTGCTGGGTTGTAGCCTGCACAGTGAAAATTATTGTACTGAAGACTCCCTCTGTTTTCTGGAGCTGAAATGTACCAGCTGCCCTTGGAAGTTCGATCATCTTCAGCTTCTTCACTTCTGCCTCCTTATTGGCAAAGCAGTCCTTAAACAATGTGTGCCTTGGGAGCAATGTTAACATTAATGCCTGTCATTACTGCTAAGATTTCACTCTCTGGGGGGGAAGTTTATTGTGTTTGTTAAAACCAAAGTAAACCCAGGCCCTACTGCCGGGAAGTAATTCTGAAGCTGTCTTCAATAAATTATTTTTCTCCCTTTCCTCCTCACAAAGGGAGGGCCAATTTATTCAGATCTCGAAGCTCTGCTTTAGATAAATATATTTACTGCCTATATTCTGCTATTAACCATCTTCTCTTAATACAAGCAAAACTATATAAGTTCTTAGTAACATTTTGACATGGTGGAACCAGTCAATCACACTGAAATGGCCAAGCAACTCAAGGTCTTTTTCTTGATCGAATCATATTGCAAGGTCTCACAAAAAAAGACTATCGTAACAGCATTTTCTTACCAAAGTCCACCATGCCGGAAGTTCTTAGTAGTGGTCTGAACATGGTGGAACATTTTGATCCTAAATTCAAGCAGCCCGCATCACCTAACCACATTCCCAAAGTTGCCCAGCGTCTATCTTAAGTTCCACAGGGGGACCAGCCCCCGGGTCTCTTTCTCATAGATATCTGGGACCAAGCCAATGGGTGACGGTACCATCTTGACGGTGTTCTTGCCAAACAGCTTGCGTTCGTACTCAATGAGTTGTCTCCAGAAGCCGACATTGGGCCTTACGACGGGTCGCCTGCTCTTCACCCACTCGTGGGCATCCAAGAGACTCAACCGGTGGTATTTCATCAAGTAGGCGATGCAGAGGGAGGCGGATCTACTGACCCCTGCCACACAATGGACAAGGGTTCTTCCATTCTTCTTCCCCGTCTGGTGTATCCTGTCGGCCACAGAGTCAAAGTACAAGGACAGCGGAGCGTGAGGGAGGTCGGGGACAGGCACCTTGACGTAGTCAATATCTGGCCAGTTGGCATTGGGGATTTCCATGGTGGCGTTCACGACACAAGTCACTGCCCTGGAGTAGACCATGTGCCTGTTGGACGCAGCATTGCCGGAGGAGAGGTAGAGGCAAGGGGAGATCTGAGCGATGCCTCCTAAGACGGACAGAGTGTTCCCAGCAGCAGGGGCAGGCTTGGCCACGGAAGGAGGCGGAGAACGGCGGAAGAAGCCGTGGTTCCGGAAATTCATGGCGGATGGTTCAGCGTACATAACAGCTAAGGGAGAAGAAAGAGGTGATAAAGTTCAAAAAACTGGTGCACTTAAACAAACAAACAAGTTAAAAGATGCATGATTCCATTAGAGCAGCTGCTACTGAGAGTTTGGCACGCTCCCAGAGAGCAAAAGTCCTCATGCCCTGATTCTGCCTCCTCCTTTTCTGCTATCCCCCCTATTCTAACAAATACAGGAACAAGCATGGGATTTGGGGAGGCGTGGGGTGAGACAGAGGTGGGAAATGAACTTGCATTTTTTTTAAGCAGGTGGAAGAGATGGATAGGTTATTTGTGGCGCTGTGAAACAGGAGAGAAAGGTGGGTGGATGAGCAGACAGAGCAAAGTGAGGTGATAAGGGGAGCAAAGGGAGTGAACGGGATGCAAAGATGGGGATGTGGAGGGAGAGAGATCAAAGAGTTCTGCTTCCGTGCAAAGCCAAATGTCTCCCAATAGCCTACCTACCTCGGTCATTCCGTAGTAGTTGCTGTTCTCATCTCAGGGTTAGGTTGTGGGGAGGGAGAAAGGGAAGGAGCTAAATACTGTGATGCTGCAGGAATGATGCGACGATGGTGGGAAAATGGAGGAATAGGGAGTAGGAGTGGACAGCTTCTTAAAGGGCCAGCGGACTCTTTACCAGCCCCTCCCCATTCGACCCACCCTGCCTAACCCATGCCCATTCCTAATTGGCTATCTGCGCCCCACCCTCTTTGCCATCACAGCCATGGGCTCAAAGCGTGACTCATACTCAATGATTATTGGTGCAAAGGGAGGGTGACAGTTTTGCATCAGAGGTTCCCTCCTCCTGTATAGGAGGTGGGGCATGTTTGTAATAATCCCCCATAGTTTTTGCTTCTCCCCCCAATGTTCATCCTCTCATTCAACAATCTGGCCCCATCTCACCTCCACAGTAACTACTGCTAAGATCCAACTAAAAGACCACTCCCTCAGTAAATAAAAATTAAAAAAAATAGCAGGGCAGTGTGGTCCTAACTAGATATTTCTGGTTTGTCCTGAAATTTGAGATGTCTGGGCAACATATATTTGACATCACAAGGTCTACTAGGCTGTGAGTATACAAAATGCTTCATTGATGCATTCTGCAAGGATTGTAGTGGGTCCATTTGGAATGCTACATCCTGGAGAATAATGCTGGGTCTTGCTGGGGAATTCAAACATATACTCATTTTCCTATTAATCAGGCTCAACACATAGTCAGTTCAGATATGCCACCAAGCACAATTATAACTTGTCACTCGAATTTACTTTAACTCACACAGAGAGGTTCTCGTTCTATTTCACTTCCTAACTTAAGCAGAGTTCATTCAACCGTTCTTGTGGGGTGCTTTCAGATGCCACTACCCCTGAAAACTAGATGAGGATATGGGTCCAGGGAGGGCATATACTCAAGATCTTTTAACACAGATCAGTTGGAACTCGTGCTTTAAACTGATCTTCAATGATCAAAATCAAGAGAAATCCTGGATTTTGAAAGGCTACCCCCCTCCCCCTCATGCTTCCATCTTCTTAGGTAGCAGGTCGTGTGTTTGTGTGTTAATGCTGAGGGAAAATGGTAAGAAGGTCTTTTGAATTAACAAGCAGAATGTGTTCTATGCCTGCTTCCTCTTCACTGAACTTGTGAGTTCCCCCCTACAACCAGCTTTGCTCCCTGTTTAGATGTAACACGAGTCCAGTCTGAATAGCTCTTGAGGGATCCTCACTTTGGATGACAGTCTCCATCTATTTTATCTCTTCATCCTATGAGGTCCACTCACCTAAAAATCTCTCATTCTCAACCTCCTTTGTTTTTAGACATGACTGTGATACTGAATCACATTCCTTTCAAACCTCAAAATGCATAAACCTCTAGCCCCCTCTCCCTATTGCCTGCCACCAATAAACCCACATCCCTGGGCCCTTAACCTCTGGCTCTGCACCCCATAAAATGCACAATTTCCATGTGTGTATCTAATCCCTTAGCCCAGTGTTTTAACTCTTTTAGCTAACACAGGCAGACATGGGTGGCTTTACCACTAGCAAACCTCCACCCCTCCACTGTTTAATACCTAAACTGTTTAAGAGTTCTGGAAAATTTGAATGCTAGCACCCTATTTTGTGATCATTGTCTTTTGCTGGCCCAATAAAGGTACCTAATATTGATTTTGCAATTAAGCATTGCAGCATCTAACACTGATTATGTCAATACCATTCCCTGCAAATGTTAGTCCTCAGTCCAGCCCATCCTTCAGAATCATATTGGAGAGCATAGCACAGCCACCCTGTGCTTGTGTGTGTGGAGTCATGCCTCTCGATAAGGGTGTGGTAGTTATTGTGGCTCGACTCACTTTAAATCTTACATTTATCTTGCTCCTATGTCATCACCAAAGCTGATCCCATGTGCTCCTCCTCTCAGTACCCCAAATTATTTGCCTCAAAGTCCCCAACCGCTCCTGCTATTCAAATAAACACATCTAAGAACATCCCCAGCTGCCATTCGACCTTCCCTCCGCACCCACTCAACTTCAGAAATCATGACCCTTCTGCACAAATAGCAACACCAAAATCAGTTGTCCCCTCTACTCCAAACAACCCCAAACTTTGAAAAAGGAAATGTATGTTTTTTTTAATTACCAGGCAGTGCTGTCTTTCAATGGAAGCTCTGAGAACAGCTCTCAAAAACTCTCCCCACGAAAGAAACCCTCTGGCCCACCTAAATGGTTTTGAGGAAGGAGGCTAACAGGCGAGAAGACGTCTGAATGTCTCTGTTTCCGATCGATCTCGTAATCCCCTTCTTCTCTGCTTCCAAACAGATCTCTCTTTACAGGTGTATCTATAATCTATTTTAATAAATACTATATATCTCTATATAGATTTTTCTCCCTCCTCGGCCTTGCTTCTTCTCTCCCAGCGCCTCTTTCCTTCTGGGTGGGGATCAGGAGTTTCCTTCCCTGGCTCCCCCCCAGCATTGCCTATATACCACCCTTGCCAGCCCCCTCCCCTCCTGGACCACTCAAGCGTTGGAGGTAACAAAAGGCTGCCATGGCGACGGGATGCGGGGGAGGATGCTGTCGTCAGAGCCAGTGACACAAGCCGGGGCTCGCGAAGGGGGAGGAGAGGAGGAGGAGGAGGGACTGAAAACCCACGGATTTTCCCTTCCCGCCTCCGCTTCCGGGGTAGATTCTCCTCCCTCCGCTGCAAACTGTGGAGGTTAAACCACCTCCTCCAGCTGCCTTGGAAACTTCAGTCTTACAAAATTAACCTCAAGATTAGGCAAGCTTACTGATAAGGGGGACTTATCAGTAAGTCCGAAAAGGCTCCATTCCAGGAAATAAGAGGAGGGCAACATTATCTCCCCCACTATTTTCTGTGCGTGGAGAAATATTCAAGCAGCAGGATGGGACACTGTCCTCTCTCTAATCACGGGCTGCGGCATTCACACGTACACAGAGAAGTACCAACTGCGAACTCGTCTTCGGGTCACCGTTTTTGGGGAAGCTCACGCCACTGCGGAGAGCCTCCCTCCACCCATCCCCCAGCTCTGTGCGTCACAATCAGCCCATCATCCTCGCCCCACTCTCACGCTTCCACGTTCCTGTGAGCGAGGAAGGTGCGGGAAACACGCGTGAGTCACAGCGAAGGTGCCAACCGAGGTTCCCGTCCCTGGAGGAGAAGCGATTGCAAAGCTGTTGGGAGAGAGGGAGGGCGCGGGCTCCAGAGGTGGGATAAGAAAGCCCGCGGTGGGGGGGGGAGGTGTTGTTGGGAAGGCTACAAGTTAGGATCGAGCGGCATCCTGTGCTAGGGCACGGAAATAAATTAACTCAGTGGATGTGGGACACTGAGGATCGGTATGGAAAGGCAGATATGGCAGAGCTGCCGCCCTAAAATTAATATCCTCCCAACCCCAGGGATTTATTTTCCTTGAAGGAAAAAGGAGGCCTTTTAAAGCTCCGTGTTCAGGGGCAGTGTATCTGCAAATTGCAGCCCTTGGAAGCGTGCAACAGCAATCGAGGGCGTTTGCCTTCGTACCTTGGTCGTGGGCTTCCGGGAGACATCTGGCCCGTCGCTGTAGGAGACGGGACGCAAAACCAGGAGGACTTTGCTCTGACCCAGCAGGGCTGTTTTTCATGTTCAGCTGCGTTTCTCTTTTTAAGCCACGCCTCCTCCAGGCACACTTTGTCACGGGAAGAAGCCAATCTGTCCCTGCTTAACAATGGTGCAAGAGGCTTGGCTCCATTGCCCCAGAAGCTGGTGCGTTGCAGGCAAGTTCGCGTTCGATGCTGAGTAAGGATTTCTTGCCTTTATTTAATACATTTATAAACCGCCTTTCCAGGGGAAACGCTTCAGGAAACAATGTGCAAATACAAAATTGCCCCATCGTCAAGCAGTGCAAAACATATTTAAAACTTTTAAAACATCTGAGAGCCACAGTGATCTTAAAAGATCAATAGGGATCCGCCTGCAGTTCTGTTACGTGCTCAAAAGTCACGGATAGTAATCCTAAAGTTTGCATCGCCCGCTTTAGTGTACACAAGGGAATACAGTACAGTACTGTATACCCAAACGGAGGGAAAAATCATGTCCTTGTATCTAGCTTATTACGGTAAGCGTGACTCAGCGTATCGCTTTCTTCGTCTCACCTCCTATGCGGAAAGCGTCAAAGCGTTACCGTATTTAGCGGGTTAAAGCTCGCCTCGCCTCAAAATAATAGTGCGCATTACCGTAACTACTGAGTTGTGTGCCACTTTGTAAATAACGCATAAGATGCTGCCATAGTAAAGGATTCGAAACATTGCAGGATGCAATGGAGTAAGCAGATTCCCTGGAGATATGAAAACCGTAACACAATTGCAGGCATATATAGCTCCATGTGAAAAAGGATATACAGTAAGTGTTTAAGAGAGGAATAAAATATGTATCTAGGACATTGACATTCTAAGTGCATTAGTTAAAGTAACTGCCTGATAGTAATTGGTTGTGGATTTTATACGGACATATATACATCGTGGACTTTATTAGCTGTTCTGTGGTGCTTCCTCAGTGTTACTGCATCGTTGCACTTGTTTTGCTCTGTAGCACAACAAAAGTAAGATTTTTTTTTAAAGTGGAAGATTTGCGTTCTAAAAAGCTGCAGGATTTCAGGAGGAAATCACAGCCCACACACTGATTGGGAAGGGAGCAGTATATCCGCGCAAAAACTTTTGCAGGCACAAACAATATTGGAAGCAGGATTGGGAATAGTCACCCCTCTCGAGAGCAGAAATAATCAGGGATGCACAATAAAAGACTCCGGAAGGACCCTTAGTGAGGCAAACACGAGAGTAAAAAGGTGAAAGGGGGAACAACTATGAGCCAACAGCTTTGGGGGCACTGTGCAGGCAGGCTGCCTGTCACACACAACTCTGTTCTCCAGCCAAGGACCATGGAGGAGGAAAGGAAGACCAGAAACACCATCATCTGCCCATCTCTCACTGCCTAATGACAGGGCTGCTCCCATGTGTAGATGGGGACATTGCAGCAAGAGTGGCTTTTCTCATCCCTGCATGACCAGTTGCACGTGCCGGCTAAAATTCCCTCTTTTACGCAGCTGCATGTGCTCTACAAACATGAGTTTATAGATATATAAGCCAGTGTGGTGTAGTGTAGTGGTTAGACTCAAGGTTGGGCCAGGGTTCAAATCTCCACTTAGCCATGAAGCTCGCTAGGTGGCCTTGGGCCAGTCACTGCCTCTCAGCCTAGCCTCCCACACAGGGTTGGTGTGGGGATTAAATGAGGAGCGCAGAAGGACAATGTTCAGCTCCATGGATAAAAAGGTGGGTTGGAAAGGCATTCAATAAGAAAAATACATGCCCTGTCCCCTCTTCCCCACATTTCATCGCCCAATAATCCCAGGGAATGTCGTTTGATTAAGGGTCTGCCGGTGATACCTAAATTACCTCAGAGGACTGCAGTTCTCAGGTCTCCTGTGGAGAAGAAATGCCTGTTCAACTAATTAATGCATGAAATGCATAGGGAAATGTTTATTCTGCAATTGGTCACCCTGCACCAGAGCAAAACCACAGAAAACTGTTAATTCGGTGTTTTTCAGTGCTTCATTGTTTTTCGGTGCTTCAGACTAGAAAATGCCAGTAAATAATAGGAAAATGGACTTGACCACGTACAGAAAGCAGGTTCCTTCAACACTAAATTACCACAGCCCAATCTCATATGTCTGGGATTATGAGCACAGTTGGAAGCCAAGCACTTGTTTGTTTAGAAATCCAGCGCTATCGTAACTGCCAGGTGTCCTGGAGTGAAAAGGCTTAGTTGTCATAGCAGCAAAAGCTGGCCTCCCGGTCTTGTTAACCTGCTTGCTATTTGCCCATAGCGAAGGACTGTGGTCGTGTTTTGTCCAGCAGTACATCCATGTTTTTTAACGGCCCCCGCACACCAAGTAACACTTTTCCTGGCATGTAAGGAAGGGGTGGGAGAGCCTGTCAGCAGTCCAATACCCAAGAAGATAAAGGGCAAAACACTGGCATACATTCACCCCTCCTCAAAGCCATTGTTGACGTAGCTCTCATATTTCAAATTCTTCCACTTGCATTGTACAGCATGTACCTTGGAAATGATGGGATCTACTTTGCTGAGTTAAATGTGCCAGGAATCAACAGGCTTGTATTTGTATAAGTCTGGATAAAGACCTCTGGATGTAAAATGTGACCACATTTACTAAATAAATTAAAGCAATACAGCTTTAAAAAAAAGAGATATACTCCACAAAATATTAATCAGTGCACTAGACACAACCCTCCCCCTAAGGTTGTATTTCTTCTGTGAGGGGTTGGTGGCCTGCCTAAGAAGTTAAGGGATACCAGGCTGAGTGCCAGTGTATATATAAGCACCCTTAACAAGTAGCTGACAAACCAATAATTTGCAGGAGCTTTCCTTGACATGGGAGACAAACCAGATTGAAAAGCCTCCCTTGCTAAAGGTCTGCTATTCAGATCTTGGTTGAAAGTGCATGAGTGCCCTTCCTAGGAGGGTTGCAACCACAGACACCAGTGTTATATGTGAGTGAAGTGTCTGGTCACGGGCTTCTTAATACACTGTCAAGGCTTTCCAAAGTGTAGGCAACGAATCGTGTATGATCTGTTAATGAGAGAAAGGAGGCTGCAAGACCATGAAGATGTGTGGTAGGCGTCAGAGAAGGAAAAGTAGGGCAGCAGCTCACAGGAACTGGGCAGGTTGCCATCCCCCAACAGCATTTTTATTTACACGTGACCAGGTTTACCTCCATGTTTTGAAAAGGCTGGCCTCTGATAAAGGATCAGGAAGATGGCTCATATTCTGGCTCATATTCCGACGGCTCATATTCTGCACAGCTGGCAGTGGCAGCGCTGTACGCAGTGCAATATGGGGTTTGGCAACCCTACACCCACCTCCCCCTTTCCCCAACACAAGAGAAATACTGAACCAATCCAGAGAACTACTAATGTCTTCATACCTTTGCTCACTAAATTCCTCCATCTCCTCTTCAGTCCTTTCAGATGGTCCAGAACAATCATAGGCCTCGAAAGTATTTTTCAGACAATCAGTAGATCAGCATCTATTTCAGTAGATCTATTGAGATTTTACTAAACCTAGCCATGGGTGTACCCAAGCTTTTTGTTGGGGGGAGCAGGACTTTTGTTGGGGAGGCAGAACTGATGTGATTGGTCAGTTAGTTACCGTATTTTTCGCTCTATAACACGCACCCGACCATAACACGCATATAGTTTTTAGAGGAGGAAAATCTGTAGGTATGCCACCCGTAGGCATTTCCTCCATAACACGCACAGACATTTCCCCTTACTTTCTAGGAGGAAAAAAGTGAGTGTTATGGTGCAAAAAATACGGTAAGTATTTCTATTGTTTTACTTGATATGGGGGGAGCTGCCTACACCCATGGACCTAGCAGTGTTGAAATAGGTCCCCACACAGATGGACTGCCATATGTCCAGAGTTCAAAGGCAGAATTGACATCCGGGGGCGCAGGATTTCTGAAACGTGTCACGCTCTCTTGGCATCTCTTGGGGGTTTCCTTAAAAAACAGCTCAACAGTTTTCAGGGTGTTCTGGTTTTTACTTGGAAATATGGGAACCCTACGGGACGCGGGTGGCGCTGTGGGTTAAACCACAGAGCCTAGGACCTGCCAATCGAAAGGTCGGCGGTTCAAATCTCCGCGGCGGGGTGAGCTCCCGTTGTTTGGTCCCAGCTCCTGCCTACCTAGCTGTTCGAAAGCACCCCTAAGTGCAAGTAGATAAATAGGGACCGCTTTCTAGCGGGAAGGTAAACAGCGTTTCCGTGTGCTGCGCTGGTGCTGGCTCGCCAGATGCAGCTTAGTCACGCTGGCCATGTGACCCGGAAGTGTCTTCGGACAGCGCCGGCTCCTGGCCTCTTGAGTGAGATGAGCGCGCAACCCTAGAGTCGGTCACGACTGGCCCTGATGGGCAGGGGTACCTTTACCTTTATGGGAACCCTAGGCAGACTCACATCTTGCTGTCATGGGCATAGCCAGTGGGGGCAGCTGCCCCCCAAATCCATACAAATCTTAGGTTATGCCCCCCTAACAAAAACCTGCCCCCCCAAAGCCTGGCTATGCCCATGCTTGCTGTCCTTCAGCTTGTTTGGAGGAGCTTACCCCGTGAGCCTAGTAGCCGTTTGTCTGGGAGTCTCTCTGAGCTTATGCTCCAGCTACTATAAATTGAGAGAAGGCTTGGCAAAGGAAGAGGAGCTGGGGCCTGCCCTGTGGTGTCTTTCTAAACTGAGAGAGAATGTACAGTGAATCACCGCTGCACGAACATAGCAGAACCAGGGCTAGCTTTCGCTGAAGGGATGAGCAAGAAGATACTCAAAGGCAGAGAACAAGTGCAGCAGCTGGATAGTTGGTGGAGGTCCTCGCTGCCAAGGACAAGCACAAGCCAGACTGCCACAAGGACTTTTGGTTGGGAATGGGAGGGGAGCTGTTATCCTGCTTTGTTTTACCCAAATGTATGCCCCTCTCCTGTGAGCCAACAATAACGCCATATGGGGTCAGTACTGGACATCTGCACAGCAGGCCCTGTGGACTGCTCATTCTAAATGGATCACTTTAAGCCACCCGCTGACTTGTGCTTATCAGGAAATCTTGGTGAAAACTGATTAAGTCCATGCTAGTCCTACTCAGAGTAGGCCTGCTGAAGTTAATGGACACAAGCAACTTCGGTTCATTAACTTCAATTGTCCTCTTACTGTATAAAAGCTACCGAGTCCTATGGAGAAATGACTGGGTTTAAGCAAAGAGCAAAGCATGTTTTTTTGCTTTTCTTTAGTGTGGGGTGCCCGACAGGAAATGTGTGGAGCTGGAAAATCTGCTTTAAAACCCACCTGCACTGCACAGTGTACCTCTGTGTACTTGTTGTTGTTGGGTTGGATGGCAAAGCTTTTATCTTATTCCCAACTATTCCCCCTCTTGCACACAAACACTCATCTCCACCTTTTTGCAGCATAGAGGTACAGACACCGCGGCTTTTACAAATGGTGCGTTTTATTTATTGCTCCAAAATAAAAGCAAATGAGGGCGGGAAGGGGAATACCTAAGGGCTGAAAAATAGGGGTGTAAGGGGTTATGGATGCAAAAGGAAGCATTCCCCAGAAATCCCATCTCCCTTGCGGACAGGGGTGGGTGGGTTACATCCCACTGTCCCTTTCCCCAACATGAATGGAACTATGAGGGGAACCATGATGCCCACAGAGGGTAGGGAGAACCTGGAAAAACTTGATCCCTTTTGCCCTTTTTCAAAATGCAAGAGATCGGTCACGGGGGCGGGGGGAGAAGAGTCGATCCAACAAGTTTGATAATACGGGAGATGAGAAATGGACAGATGGGGAAGTGATATACCTATATCCAGCCCCATATTGGAGGTAGGTGGACGGATGTAGTTCTTAAAGGGGGTAAACGCCTCCCCTGCCCCATATACACCCTTGGGGGACTTGAGATTTCGTTCCCTCTAGGGTGTGTGATTTGGCACTCCCCATCGGGATTCTCCCATAAGCTCGCAGAGAATGTCCTAAGGGGATGAGGTCTCTTCCTAGCACTTGATTTCTTAAAACATTATTTTCATACATTTTGGCACTGTGGATCTTGCCTTTTTTCTTTTCTTTTTTGCAAACACCTAAGCTGGGAGAGCCACACAAAATGCTTTCTCAGCATCCTTAAAGTGGGTGTCAAGTGACAGTTAATGACTTTCTATTCTGATGATTAAAGGGGAAAACCTCTCCCTTGCTTGCGGTATGTATTCTGAAAGAGTAAATGCCCTTCTGCCCAGAAAGCAGACACTAACACCTAGTGCACATGTAATTTTCCTGGCAAATGGGTATGGCACCTTTTAATAAGAAAACCAGCCTTTAAAAGGATTAAAACAATTTTTCAAATGTAAATATCCATCTGTGTTCTATCATTCAAGGGATACTATGGAGAACTAGAGGCTAGAAAGCCTCGTTATTTTTATTCTTTTTATAAGCAAGCTAGAGAAATATACAGTGGTTTGTTTGTTTTTCATTTTAAAAGGCAGCAAACTAAAATAAAAAATAAATATTGGCACAATTGTTCTTAAAAGCAGGTGTAAGATTAATGGCTTTCAATGGTGTGTTTTTTAAATTGAGTCATAAAAAATACCTGCCTATGCTATAGCCTTAGAAATTCCTTTGCCCCCAAATCACTACAGCCCAACGTTTTGTTTCTAAGGGAACTTGCTCACTAGGGAAATAACCACTTCGCTTCATTCCTTAAAAGACAAATCTGAGATTCATTTTCCGCCTGCGTGTTAATCTGAAAAGGCAGAAACTGAAGGAAATTATGGGAAACTTATCTGAGGTTACAACGCAGTGGGAAGTGCTCCTTTGGGAGCTCCATTAAAACAAAGAACGTAATCACATAAGTCAATCAATGAGGCTTGTTCATGAGAACTTCCCAGAGGCTCATGCCCTAAAAGTCTATGGACCACCAGATTTAAAGTTTTAAGAGTCTCAACAATGAATGAAGACTCAGGGATTGTTTTTCCCAGTGGAATATTTATTCAAAGATGAGAGCATATAAATCTTATTTTTATTTGGGGGGCAGACATCCCAAAACGTTTTCTTGCCTCAGACAGAAAATCAAAAACGATTCCCTCTCCAATGTGATAACAAACGAAATGATTGAGAAGTTGCTGCCTGAGGCCGGGCCACCTCACCATGCCAAAAATTCCTAAGCAAGCATCTTATACTGTAGTGGGATCTGAATTTTGCAGGACCTTTTCGACAGGGGGCAGGGGTGGTTTTTCTTGCTTTTAGGGGGGTTGGTGGGAGGATTAGAGGAAGAATGGCAAGGTGTAATCAGAAAGCCCTTAGTAGGAAGCCCCACTGAACGCAGCAGGATTTCATGCCAAGTAAACATACGCAGGAGTTGCATTATAAAGCTGCTATTAACCGTGCCTTCTTTTTGCGGGATCTACCAAGAGCCCCATCAATATACCGCTTAATTACAAAGGTGCCATCTAAGCAGAGTGTGTCACCTTAATATTTCTACGAACCTGTTGCTGGTTTCTTTCTTGTAGGGCCACCTCGGTTCACCATGTGGGGCCTTTGCAAAACCCATCTATGCTATGGTATGGTCAGGTGGAAGTACAATGTTCTGTGACCCCGCTCTTCCCCCTCTCAAATGACAGGAGGTGTTGGTTTTATTTCAGGGGATGTAAATGGTTTTTCTCAGTTGCACAAGAACATAGCAGAAGTACGTTCTGCTGAACTCAACAGGACTCACTCCCATGTAAAGTATTTAGAATTAGGGTTTCTTCATTTAGCAGGGGTGGCTAACTGCCGGGCCCAGGAGCCTAATCTAGCTCCTACATTTTTTCTTGCCCTCCAAGACCCCACTGATTTTTGGCAGCTGTGGGATTAAGTAGATACGGTGCCGGGCTGGGCAGAGAGCTTTCCGTCTCTCTGCCCAGCCCAGCCCCCAATGGGGATGCCAATTGCCCCCCTCCCAGGTCACCAGATTGATCATTTGATGAGTAGGGAGGGAGCAATAGCCTCCCCCATCCCTCCATCCTCAGATAATCTGCATGGATCAGCAGAGGAGCAGCCCAAAAAAAAAAAAAAGGTTAGCCACCACCCCAGATTTACAGCATCTATCAGTTTTCTGTTGTGTTTATTCTACTGTTTTATGCCATTCCCTTTGGCACCAAGTACAGCTTGCTTACGGCAAGGTCATCTACAAGCGCCACAAAATGCTGGTTTCGAGTGATGTTACTGTACAATCTACTTTCCAAAGTGTGTGTTGTTGTTGTTGTTTTAATGGCAGCACCTAAAACTGATATCCACCTCCTTAGAAAAGACGTGGGGGACAAGACAAGGGAAGAAAGGGATGAGGCGCAACCCCTCCTTTCTCAACCACTAAGGAAATAATAAACAACAGGCGGGGAGGAGGGAAGTGAGTTAGTAAACAAACAAACAAACAAACAAACAAAGAAGTAAAGAAACAGGTAAAGCAGGAAAAAAAACCTGTGTGCGTGTGTGTGTTGTCTGTGTGTGAAACGCGTTTGGCACATTGAAGAGGGTATTTACAAGGAGTGGGGGGGGGGGAGTGGACGGCGTCCAAAGCTGTGAGAGTGGACAGTGAGGCAGCAACATGGGGAGGAGGGGAGGAAGGTGAATCTGTGGGGCAGAGAGGAGAAGCTCCCCTTCTTCCCGGCCGTTTCCCCTAAACTCCCCCGAAACCACCTTCCACTATTCCCTCCTTAAATAGGAATCGTTCTCAGTCGCTGCTCCTCAAACCCGCTCAGGTTGGTGGGGAAGAACGCGAATCCTCTGACATCTTCTAGATGGAAACTTCGTATTCTCTGGTGTCCTGCCAGCGGAGAGGTTGAGAGGAGGGAAAGGGCGTGTTAGCATCCGGGTGGAGTTTTGCCAATGCTCTCCCCATCCCAAACCACCCCAAACATCAGAGGAATTGGGCAGCTAGGAAGTTAATGCCGGTTGATTTACAAAACGCTTCTGGGAAGCCACTTTTAGTCCAAGACATCGCTCAGAAGTGGACCACGCGTGATGTTAAATGTGTCAACTAGCATCAGTTTGTGGGATTGATCATTATTGGGGCCGCAGCAGGCGTGACCGGGGCTTTTCTTCCTCTGCTTTGATCCTGAGGAAAATTCCTCCTCTGTAAACTGAATGTGCATTGGGAGCACCCCCAGCCCCAACCAGAACTACTGTGTTTGGAAAAGCATCAGAATATAAGCAGAGTGCTGCTGGATCATCTTAGCCCAGCATCCTGTTCACCCAATGGCCATCCAGATACCCATGGAAGCAGGACCAGAATGCAACAGCACTCTCCTCCCTTGATACAGCCTCCAAAGGGGGAACATTGCCACGCTGGCTAATAGCCACAGGCAACCTCGTCCTCCCTGAATTAGTTTAATATTCTTTTAAAGTCATCCAAGTTGGTGGCTGCTGCTACATCTTGCGCTGGAATGTGCCCTGCCCTTGAACTCTGATAAGGCTTTCTTGCTTGCCTTGAGAACAGAGAAGGCTGTGCGGATGGGAAGAGGCTAGTCTACTGCAGAAAGGTAAAACTCCCATTTCTTGCTCTGCCAATTTTGCCCCTGGCCCTCCCACTCCTGGCATGCGGCCCCTAGAAGACTGGCTTCCCCAGAAGGGAAGAAAAATATTTCCCATCCCTGTTACAGAACATTAGCTTTCCAAAGCTACAGAGTGATTTTTCTGGCATCCCAGTTTGTTGCTCAGCATGCTCATATCCTGGTTTATAGTCCCTGAAGACAAAAGAGAGTCGTGGATAGTCTCTCTCTGGGGATTGGATGTGGGGTAGCAGATCAGCCTCCACTTACACATGCAGAGCATAACAGAAATTTTACAAAATTACAAAAACAGGGTGATTTTTCAGAGTTGTTTTTTTTAAAAATTACCCCTAAGGAAACAAAACAACAATGCAGTCCCTGGAGCTTCTCATGCCCCAGAAACTGCTATAAGATGTATTGGATTCCAATCTCCCTGATATTTATTTTAAAACACACACTGTGTGGAGCAGAAATAGAGAACCAAGGTCCAAATGTGGCCCTCCAAGTCTCTCCAACTGGCCCTCGATTGCTCTGGCCACTTCTGTCTCTGGCCACATCCACTATTAGCCTGTGGTCCCTGGAAGAGAATGTGGTCCTTGGGCTGAAAAACATTCCTCACCCTTCCAATAAAGCGTGACGGGCCTTTTCTGCAGTGGCTCCCTATTTGTGGAATGCTCTCTCCAGGGAGGTTCATCTGGCACCTTCATTACACATCTTTGTTGTTGTTGTTTAGTCGTGTCCGACTCTTCATGACCCCATGGACCAGAGGACGCCAGGCAGGCACCAGGCAAAAACATTCCTATCCAACCAGGCCTTTGCCTGATTAATGCCCTTTTAAATGTGTTTGTGGGAAGGGGTGGTGGTTATGGTTTTGTTCTGCTCTATTTATTTTGTGTTTTTATCCTGTATTTTTATCTTGTGGACCACCCTGAGATCTTCAGATGAAGGGCAGTATATAATTTTAAGAAATACTACTATACTACTTCTACCACCTATTATTATTTTCAAAAATGTTTTTTTTTTAAAAAAAGTGGTGTTTTCACAGACATTCACATCCCATTTAGCACCCTTCTTCCCCATTCCCCCACCCGCCACAGGACAAAGAGCATCTCACCCCAGCCTCGTAGAGAGGGTTGTTGAAGTCAGACTCCACAGTGATGGGGCTGTAGCTGTGGGAGCTGGAGAAGGAGAAGCCAAAAAGGGTCTTTCCTTGGAACCTGGGGGTGGGGGAAAGGAGGAGGAGAAGGAGAAGATAGAACAAAGCAAGCCAGTTGGGCTGCCGGGGCCCCGGGACTCCCCCCCCCACCAGTTTTTAAGAAGGGGGCTCAGCACCCTCAATATCCAGCAGTGACGTCACACAATACCTCTCCATTCCAACTTAAGATTCTCACAGCACCAAAGAACCACAGCCTTCTGCCTTCGTCGGGCAGGTGCAAGTTGCTCCATCGCAACCTATTACATCCAACGCCACTTGGCCCTTGCCCACCCATTGGCCAAGGCCCAACTCCACCCTCCGCCCCCCCAAGATCTGTGGAGGCTCAGCTCACTTGGTGTAGTAGACATAGATGCCACCAATCAGTAGGATAACGAGGAGGATGGGCAAGAAGATGGCCAGGGCGATGTTGCCACCTTCCATCTGGTGGGAAGGATCTGTCGTTTGGGTGACTGCAAAACAAAAGGCGCAAATGGAGCATGCGAGTGACCTCAGCAGCAGACCCAGTGGCAAATTCACCCACCTCCTGCCCCTCTTCCCCTCCCAAGCTCCCCATCACAATCCCATCCTCACCTTCTAGCTTCCGGCCATCCAGTAACTCCTCATAGGCCACTGGGGGAGGGAAAGAGACCAAGGGGGGCATTTAGAGAGCAGCAAGAGGCAATCACGACAGAGGGGGTAGGGTGGGATGGGGAGTGGGCAGGCCACGTGTGGCGGCGACTGGAGCAGGGAGAACGCCATACCTTTGCACAAAGGAGGCTGGCTGGTCCACTGGGACGGGTGGCCAGGTATGCAGGTGATCGTCACTTCGCCGATGAGCTCAAAGCCTTCGTAGCAGAAAAAGCGCAGGGATTCTCCCGCCTGGTAGTGGTGCTTGTAAAGCGTTTGGTACCCGTTCTCTGGGACGCCAGGGTTCAGGCAGGGCTCGTATTTCACTGCAAGAGAGACCGAGGGGCCTTCAGTTCCAAACTGGAAGGCCAACTTGGCCACTCTGCACATGTTCCCTTAAAAATCCCGACGCAGCAGCTATGGTTCTCTTCCCCTGCTCATCGTCCCGCGGTCCTGTAATCTTCCCTTCTGGGCTCCAGGTGCTGCCCAGAGTTACCCTCTTGCCCAGAACGGGTTTCCCCCTGCCAGCTCTGCCAACACAGCTTCTTCCCTTCTTAGTAGGACCCCCAGTTCTTTACTTACAGACGCATTTGGGCACCCGGTCGCTCCACTTGGGGGTGCCTGTGTCCCGGTTGTAGCAGGTCAGTGTGCTGCTCCCTTCCACCACGTAACCCTCATGGCAGAAATATTGGACGTGGGAGCCAATGGAGAAACGTTGGTCTGAGACACTGCGCTTGCCGTTGCTGATCTCACCAGGGTCAGCGCAGTTCACAACTTTGGGAAGAAGCAGAGGGAGAGGAAGGAAAAAGGGTTTGAGAAGTGGTCCCTGTGGATCTCCCCTTCCTTCCCTGTTGAGGATGCTATGCCTCACAATGTGGGAACTAATATTCTTCCTGATACGGTGCAGACATGGGACATGGGGTCTGGGGCTGCCCAACAGCTTCTTATCTTCCATTATTAAGTGAAACAAGTTTCTAGTTCTTTGCGTTGCAGTCAAAATCCTGCATGGTAGCGATGGAGAACCTTTCGGGCTCCACAGGCCAGATGTTTATCAGGAACTCTACAAATATGATAGGTGAGTGGAGCTGCCCAAACGCCAATCACCTGACGTCACATATGACATCATTTGGTGGAAGCATGGCATGGTTCAAACGAAGGGGAATAGCGGATGTTTCGGTGCAAACACTTTCAGAGGCAAAGCTGCCTGCAAGGTGATCTGAAGTCCCAAACAGGCAAGATTCAGCACAAACCCCTTCCTGGTTCAGAAAGGAAGATGCACCGAAACTGCAGCTAAAACAAAGCAGAGGGCAGACCCTTCATGGACGCAGGGGTTTCCATTCTGCTGAGTGCTCAGTTGGGGAGCGCGAGTGAGTTCCCTGCAGGGAGCTCTTGAGCGTCTGAATCCAGCAGGCTTGGCCTCTCCTTGCATCAGCCAATGCGTTGGGAGATCAATCCTGCTTAGCATGGCAGCGAACTTCCTTGCGCACCCAAAGTGAGCAGGGCTGCCTTATCAGCTGATGGCTAGGAATCCAATCCTACTTTACACAATGCTTGAGAGGCTCCCAGCGACCAGAGTGGTGGCAGATTTAGCATAGCTTGCCCAAAACAGCCTTGCGGGTCAAATGAGGAAGCTTGTTGGGCCTTGGAGGTTTCCCACCTTTGCTGTATAGGCTCTGTCTGTTTGAAAGCTCAGAAACTAAACATGGATCTTGAGCAAGGCTTTCAGTAGTCCATGGCTACTTCATGACTCCTGGTAGGGACCCAATTTCCATCCCTCAGGACCCAATGTTTTTTGCACCACAACGGCTCTCCCTCCAGCAGGTTTTGCTTACCCTCTTTCTTCACCCTCCTGCTACCCAGGTCCCTGCTGGTATATTCTGAGTCCGGGGGGTAAAAGAAAAAAGGATGCCTTTCCTGGGGTGAAAACCACCCCACCGCTGGCCCTAGGAAGACTTACTCTTCTGGCAAGTGGGAGGGCTGTTGCTCCACGACAGGTCCCACTGGCAGGTGAGGATGTCGGATCCCACTATGTCATAGCCTGGCTCGCATTGGTACGTCACCACTGTGCCGCGGATGACGGCAGCGTGAGAAGCTGTGCGCCAGCCAAACTCCACCTCGGGCAGCTCGGGGCAAGTGTCGTTTCGTGGAACCTCTGCCAGAGCAGGGAGGAGAGGAAGGAGTTAGGGACTACCTTCCCTCAGGCCATGTTCCCCACCACCGCCACCTATGCTTCTCCTTCTCCCAATTTCCCGTGGTACGCAGGGAGTCCTACAGGCCCGTCCTCCCAAACAACTCCCCTAGGATAACAGTGAGATGGCAACAAGCTGAAGGGAAATCCCAGCTCAGGGATTCTGCACACAACACTATGGGGCTTTCTGTTTGGTGAGTGAAGTCCATTGTTCCATGGACAAATAGAATGACTTGATAGGGACAGCAAGGGGTGTGTGTGTGTGTGTGTGTGTGTGTGAGAGAGAGAGAGAGAGAGAGAAGTAAACATTATAGAATATCTTGTTCTTCTGGTTAATTACTGTCTCACAGGAAAAGACCCCTGCAATAACACTGTCAAGATAACAAAAACTGAACCTACATTGGGTATTTAAAATCAGGCTGAAATGGAAGCAGGATTGGTGTCAGAAGTGGGATAACCATGTTTTCCCAATCTATCTCTCCCCAAAACTAAAAATGGGCAAGAATGGTCCCTTCTTCTTCCCCCCTGTGCTTTTCTTTTCCCTCCTCCCAGCCTGCTCTTCCGGCCTTCCTTTCTTTTCCAGTGGGGAATCTCAGACAAGCAGAGCATATGAGAACATCCTCCCCACACCACCCTGCCCTGATCCCCTATGAAATTTCCAAACGACTTTGGGGTCTGGCATGATAGACTATATTTGCAGGATGTGTCAGAAATACGTTTGTTTTCTATGGCGTTTCCATCATTTCCCACCCATCGCTCAGGACTTCTTTCTCATACCCTTGTACCGCACCAGGAATCCCTGGCTGAGGCCAAAAAGGGGGTCCCCAGGATCTGACTGAAACTGGAGGGTGACAGCTGGGCCCGAAGAGTAAAGGCTGAAGCGGGGGTGGGGACCCAAGTACTGGCCAAGGATCCGGGCTGTCAGGTCCCCCCCGTCAAAGATGGTCAGCACATCGGATTTGCGGATGTTGAGGCTGGAAAGAGAATTGGGGTGGAGGGGAAGAGAGACACACAAACAGGAAGCATTGTTAAAAAGGAAAGAGGAAGAGCCACGTGGCAGGATTAGGTCGCTCAACCTGCTCCAACATTTCTCTCTTCCAGACTAATGGAAGGATGCATAGACAGGTGAATAAATGGATGAATGGATGGTTAGAGAACCACAGGCTTTCTAGGACCATTAAGGAAAATGAGGTTCTTTAAAGGAAGTTTGTTTTTAGCATGCAGAAACAGGGACATGTTTTACAATGCGGAGATGCTCAATCAGGTAACCTCAAAGTGAGTACTTGAGAGTGCATTTGCAAAAGCAGTGTAGCAGCCATCAGGCTAATGGAAAGCAGAATCCAGCCATGCAGACAGCTATTCTTTTTTAAATATAAATAATTACTTCACTGTGGTTTCTTCCTGTTCAGAGACAGTGTTCAAACGATTGAGGTTGTTGGGGTTTTTTTTTTTTAAAAAAAGAATGGGTGTACACAGTTATTTCATCGCTATGTGACTTGTAACTGCATACATAGGGGTTGCTGTTGTTTTCTGCTTGGTGTGAGGTTTGATCCATTTTCTCAGTCCTCCAGATTTTTAGAAGAAAGATAGGATTAAAAATGGAATTATAAATAAATAACCTTCCTTTTTTGCAACATTTAAACCAAGCGATTATTTTCTCTCATCACTTTACTCCTTATATCTTAATCATGATAGCAAACTTCATGGGGAAAAGACCTTGTCAATGTCATTTCCCGTTAAGTCCTAGTACAGTGCCAGTGGCAAAAAAAAATCACCAGGAGCAGCAGCATAATTATTGTTTAAATAAATTTCCTGCTTGTGTTGATGATTAAGAACACTACTTCCCTTCAACATCCTCCTCCTAAAATGTAGAAATTTGCTCCTAAAAATACAAAGAACTTGCCACAGAGTCTGGTTTGATCAGGCACTGCCTATGTCACAAAAGGCATCCTATTTTGTCAGATGAGACATCTCCAAATCTTATGCAAGGACCTTACCATATTAAATGGGTGAGATGAATGACTTGAACAATCAATCTAATGATGGATGGTGGTTTCGGAAGACCATGTGAGGACAATGTGGGATGTCGATGCCTGAATCATGAGGATCCGCCCCCCAAAAGGGGTGGTGGTGCTGATGGTGATGGCGGAAGGTGGAACCTACATCTCGATGTCCAGCAGCACTCGCTTCTCCTCTTGCACCCGGATGCCCCAGACGCAGTCCTGGCCCTTCCCATAGGACTGGGGCCAATCAGGGGAAAGGACGACGCCTGTTGACTCAGAGAGCTCCCCCCCACATAAGGCTGGAGGGGGAAATAACACAATAGTCAGGAAGAGGCCACATGTTGAAGTAGAAGGTGCATCGGCACTGCCAACCTAAGCCAGTTTTAAACTAGATCCTTCTGTGGAATTGTGGGAAGATAAACCCAGGCCCTCATTGCCCTGAAGATTGTGACTCTACACTACTTCTGGCGTACTTGGAAGCAAGACCCATTCATTCCAATGGCGCTTGCGGACAGATAAGTGCCTGTGGGATTAGCACTAAATACACTCGTTAACTTGAAAATGTATTACATTTTCCTGGGCCAACCTGTAGAATAGGAGGCTTCAGTCTGAGGAGAAATTTTCTCTGTCTAAATCCTTCTTCAACAGTGGGGTTCCAAATTACCTGGCCTTGCTTGTGGAGTGGCATCAAAGCCTTAGGAGACTGCCATTTTCCCATTTGGTTTTCAGACTTCATAAAGACAAGAGCTGCACCAAGGGCAAGCAGGCCTCCCATCCCAACAAGGAGCACCCCCTCCTGATTTATGGACCCATTATTAACAAATACTGTTATTTTTTATTTCAGAGATCTTAACAGGTTGGACCCAACTCACTCACCTATAAACAGACTTCGGTCCTCCCAGAATTGCTTTTTTCTTTTCCTGGTGCCACCAGCACAATCTCTCGTGACTTGAATCTCCTTCCAATCATTATCAACCTGCCCCCCTTTGTCTTGCCCATCTCCTTAAGCAGTTTTGTGAACTGATAAGCACTACAGAAAAATGAATCTTGATGCACTACATCGCTGATCACTTGTACACATTCATAAGGCAGAGTTATAAAGAAATTCAAGAACAAAATGGAAAGAGTTGGCGTCAAAGAGAGATTACCTTTGCAGGTGGGCTCGCTCTCATTCCAGCGGGGGTCTCTTGAATCAATGCACTCGATGGCAGAAGGCCCCTGTTCGAGCATGTATCCGGCACTGCAGGCAAATTCAACCACAGTCCCCATGCGATACAGTGGGTCTGATGTGCTGAAATTTCCATGTGCCAGGAATGGTTCATAACAACGGTCTTCATCAAAAGCTGCCAGGAGGAGGAGCAAGAGAGTCAGGAAAGCTTCCCAGGTGCGTAAGGAATTTCTGGCCCCTCCCTTTGCTGTATCAGTACTAGCCAGTAGATGGCAGTAGTCCATTGCTGACTAGGAATCTGCAGGCAAAGGCCTTGGTGGTGGTTAGTTCAAATCAGTATGTGACATTCAGCCGTACCAGCATCGACTGATTCTGGTTGCCAGAAAATGAAAGGAAAAACAACAACCCCAAACAAAATAGCCTAATGAGGACTGAGCACGTTCAGTGAGAATGAAATGCTGACTCACAGTTGAGGGAAAAAAGGCAAAACAGGTGGGAAAGAATGGAGTTTTTGCAACCCTGAGCGGAGTACTTCAGTCTGCAATACTTTGCTGCAGTGCCACACTTGTACCCAAAAAGTTAAATTGTAATTGGACTTACTAAGACAACCTTCAAATGTTAGGAACCTGTTGCTATTTGCAGATTAAGCCATTTTCCAAAATTCTAATATAATGTGTGTTTATAGGATTATATGAGGGACACGGGTGGCGCTGTGGTCTAAACCACTGAGCCTAGGGCTTGCTGATCAAAAGGTCGGTGGTTCGAATCCCCGCGACTGGGTGAGCTCCCGTTGCTCAGTCCCAGCTCCTTCCAATCTAGCAGTTCAAAAGCACATCAAAGTGCAAGTAGATAAATAGGTACCGCTCCAGCGGGAAGGTAAATGGCGTTTCCGTGCACTGCTCTAGTTTCGCCAGAAGCAGATTAGTCATGCTGACCACATGACCCGGAAAAACTGTCTGCGGACAAACGTCGGCTCCCTCGGCCAGTAAAGCAAGGTGAGCACCGCAATCCCAGAGTCATTCGCGACTGGACTTGACTGTCAGGGGTCCTTTACCTTTACCTTATGAGTCCACTAAATGTAATATTCTGGATTTGCTCCAAGACAATGGTTTCTACGGTGATGAATACGTACACTTGATTATACTTACTGTGATTTAATCGGTCACCCAGAACTACAAATCAGAAGCAACCAATACCAGATGCCGGTTTCCACACTGGCCTGCTTCTGCCATTTCTGAGGGCACCTAAGTGGGGAGGTCTCTGTTCTCACCTTCATAGCGCAGGCTAAGGATGAGAGGTGTGGCCGGGCCCTCACTGGTGAGCTCCACAATGAGAGACTGGGCATCGCTCAGCAACCCCCGTTCTGGGACATCATCCATATCCGAGTCGTAGATGATCGGGGAAAAGGCACTGCTCCCACTGCGGATCATCAGTCTGGGGAACAGGGGAAAAAACCCTCTGTGACTGGGCCTGCTCCTCCTCAAGGCACCGTATTCTTTCATCTCAAACCTCCTGAGAGCTTCAATCTAACTTAAGAGGACTGCTCCAAACCTCTGTCTCCCACTGCTTCCCCCCCCCCCAAGCCCAAGAGATCTTGACTGCTTCCATCCAGCTCCCCTTAATTAACTGAACCAACATCTTCTCCGATGTGCTTACCTTCTCCTGCTCTCCCTGTTCCCACATTTCCTTCCTTTGATGTTTCCTTTCCTCACCATCATCTTCTCATGCCTCCCCTCAACCACTTCTTGTCCTTTCTCTGCTCTGCCCCGTTCTCCCCTCCAGCTGCAAATACTTCCTCTCTGCTCTCTGTCAGCTTTTCTACCTCTCCACCACCCTCATCTCCTCTTGCAGCGCCCGTGCGTCGATATTTCCTCACTTGTCGTTGTCTTCGTCCAGGGCCACTCTCTCAAAGTGCAGGTGAAGCCTCTGGCCTTCGGGCGCCTCCACCAACCAGCGGCAGGTGAGGTTCCGGCCGTGAGGCCCTCCTGGAGCCTCAGGAGCCACGATGCGCCCACGAGTGGCATTGCGGACTGTCCCTCCACAGGAAGCTAGAGGGGGACAAAGGCCAGATATTGCTATATTAGTAATAGCAGTGTTATATATCCCAAAACCTAATGATCAACTCACTGAACAACCTTGACTTCCACCGTTTTGAGAAAGAGAGAATCTTTTCTATTTATTTCCTCTCTGCACCACTTATGCTTTTATTACCCCCTATTAAACAGTCACAAGGTCCTTCTCTGTGTTATGAATTACGAAACACAAGGAGTGTATAATAATAATAATAATAATAATAATTTTTTTATTTATACCTCACCCATCTGGCTGGGTTTCCCCAGCCACTCTGGGCGGCTCCCAGAATTATTATTATTATTATTATTATTATTATTATTATTATTATTATTATGATAAAAGATCAAACGTTAAAAACTTCCCTAAAGAGGGCTGCCTTCAGATGTCTTCTAAAAGTCAGATAGTTGTTTATTTCCTTGACATCTGATGGGAAGGTGTTCCACAAGGTGGGCAACACTGCCGAGAAGGCCCTCTGCCTGGTTCCCTGTAACTTCGTTTCTCACAGTGAGGGAACCAGCAGAAGACCCTCAGAGGACCTGAGTGTCCGGGCTGAACGATGGACCAAAAGACCTTTCTTTGGTTAGCAGTCTACCCCTCTTCTGCCTTTCCCCAAGGCTACCCTGTTCCATTCTAGAATCATAGAGTTATGGAGTTGTAAGGGCCCCAGAGGATCATCTCATCCAACCCCATGCAATGAAGGAATATGCAGCTGGCCCATACTGGTATCAAACCCTCAACCCTTGGCAATTTCAGCACCATGCTCTAGCCAAATGAGCCACAACCCCACTTTGATTTGGCCACTCACCCACACACGCAGGGCTCGTGCCACTCCAGCGAGGGCGGCTGACGTTGAGGCAGATGAGCGTTTCTTCCCCTCGCAGGTGGAAGCCTGACTCGCACTTAAAAGTGGCAGAACCACCTGGGTGGAGGTCAGTCACCATGACATCGCCATTCTCAGGTCGGCTGGGGAAGCCGCAGCTCAGGAGGAAAGCTAGAATTGGGGGACAGGGTGGGGGCAGAGAAGGAATGTGGTGTCAAAAAGAAGCACATGGCCCAAGGCCAAGAGAATGAGAACTGGGAAGGATCGAGGAGGAGGAAATTTGAAGCATTCAGCAACTGATTTAATGACTTCCATCAAAATCAAGGCTGAATTTGCATATATTTTTTTCTAAAGGGGGAAGATGCTGGATGACAGCTGATCGGCACATTTCACTTTTTGCTATAATGTTTTTATTGTGAAATTGTATGCCGCTTGGCAGTCAGTTGAAAAAAATTTAATATAAGCATTAGAAAATAGTTAAAAACAGCAACACACATTTGGCTATACTCTGGACTCCTTGCCTTTAACCCTTTCTGCCAACACATTTTCAGGTTTATTTCCATAAACACAGGGCTGGAAACTTGGCTTTACAAAACAAAAGCTGAAATTTGCATGTTTCTCACAAGCTCCCAAACCTCTACTTCCATAAGTGAGTGTGTGGTGGGAGGGCACTGATTCTTAGTTACGGAAACAAGAAACACCAGTCCTTCAGCCCAAAACATGGCTGAAACTTTGTCAAAAGAACAACAATATGGTAACATCAAGGACAGCAGCTGAAGTAGGATAAAAGTCTGCAGCCCCATCTGTTGGTGGAGAAGCTAAATAACGAAATCAAAGATTTGTAACTGGCAGGCATAATAAGAATGCAAGAGGAGCCATGCAGGATCCGGCCAGTCACCTATTCCAGCATCCTAGTCTCATAGTGATCAACCAGATGCCTATGGGAAGCGGGCAAGGAGGACCTGATCACAACAGCACTCCTGCCTCCCGTGCTTTCCAGCAACTGGTAAACCTTAGGCTCCAACCCAAATCACTGATCCAGGTTTCTTGGATTGTCAGGCCACATTGCAACGTAAAGGAAAGAGATGATGTTGATCACATGGTGAACCACAACATTTCTGCCAGGGGGGAAATGTGCCACTTTAAGCATGAGGGCCTTTGTTTCAGGCATCTACAGAGGCAGCCCAAATAAAACAGTTTAGGTCCTCTCCAAGTTGTTGCCCAAGTCCCAGAGATCCTCCTTCTGTTCTTGGCTCCTCAATCTCTAACTCTCAAGCTAGGACCGTGTACCATCTCTGGGATTTCTCTCAGGTCTTGCAGAGCACCCTGACCCTGCTTCTGTGACTCTTAGATCGGATAATAACGTGGTTCAAACTAGACCCAAATGGCAGCAGACCCATTTGTTTAAACCTGAGTCTGCCCCATCACTTCTTGTTGTTGTTAACATTTCACTGTACACAGACATTAAAAATACTATACTGATGACAAAAACAAATCATGTAACAAATGGATTACTTTTAAACATGCTCTTGCACCATACTAATAAACGAGATATCTCTGTAGAGAGGTGTGCTTCACTCTGCCAGTATTCAAGTCATAGTTTCCCAACCCAACAAAAGTCTACTAATTTTTTTGTCATCATTCTTAGTCACTCTTAGTCAATTTAGGCTGAACAGCATAGTTAAATACCACATTTTCACATTCTTCTTCATTGTCATGGACTAATGATATTCTACATTTTGCCTCGATTATATTGTGTCCACCGGTTACTGTCTGCAGTAGCTTCACTCCCCAAGAATCTTTCTATCAATTCTACCACCAGAACTTTCACTATCAGAAGCAAATGGCTAGGACCCCTCACCCACATGTACCTTTTGATCTAAAAATGAGACCTGCATCTCACCTTATATGTGACTTTAAGCAAACAGGATTTACATGCGATTTGGAGAACCCTGCATTTAGACAAACAGATCTACTGCAATCACAGTTGTTGTCGTCCTGCATATAAATAATCATCACATTGTAAGATCCAGTTTGGTCCCGAGTTACTCCAACTAAGGATTGGTTCCCAACAGGTCTGATTTTATTATTTATTTGATTTATATCCTGCTCTTCCTCCTAAAAAAGGTCAGGGTGGCACGTCTTATAGCCTATAGCCTGGTCCAAACAAGTCACTTCAAAACTTCACAAAACCACTGGCCTGTTTTTAAAGTGTTAAAAACCACTTACTTTAAACATGGTTGGTAAATTGCTCCTTCACATATTTCAAGGGGTGACTGAAATGTCCATTTCTTACCTTGGTAGTGAAATTTGAAGATTCCAGGGGTGGTGGTGTGGTAGCTCTGAAAGTGGATCAACACCTGATTGGTTGGGCTGCGGATCACCTGCCCCTCAACCATCAGGGACTCATTGGCCAAGACAACAGGCTTCTCCCCTCCCAGGCCCTCTACGGTCAGCGAATCTTCCTTGGATAGGTTCAGACTCTGCACCTGGGAGTGGAAGGTGGACAAAGTCAGGACAAAGAATGGGAGAAAAAAGAGCTCTCCCTCTCTTGGACCGAAACCCAGAACAAATGATTTACAAGGTCACATCTAAGCTTACCCGCCCTCCAAATGCAACCACAACTTTTTGGCTGAGAATTAAAAATTAAGAACACCACTATTTTCCTCTAGTCTGAGAATTTTGACTGGGGACACAAAATGTAAACCTATTTGCGAGAAAGGCTGTAACACAAGATGTTGTTATTTCTCTGAAGGGAGCAAATAAATATCAGTCACTGTCAGCATCCCTATGTTGAGAGAAGGTGTTTTCAAGTCTCCAACACCTAGAAGCAGTTGGCAGCAAACAGGCAGACTTTTCTTTCTGTCTTGCAGACAGAAAAATGATACAAATCTGAAGGACAAGAACCAAAGGTAACCAGAAAAGGCCAAGTTTTATGCTACCTGCTCATCCTCTTTTTAAAAAACACTTAGAACAACAAACAGCGAACATCTTTCAGCTTCAGACTAGCACTTTTTCTTGTAGCTTACCTGCACTTCTATCCCGTAGCCCATATAAACAGAGATTGTGTAGGTGCAGTCCAGGCCCCCATAGAAAGTAGCGCCCGCGTAGTCCGGAGATTCCACGTAGCCTTCCACGTCAGTGATGTTGTTGTTGCACAGTACTTGGGAAGGAAGACACAAACAATGAAAATCAAAATGGCTTCGCGCTGCCTTAAGAAAGCACACTTTAAAGCAAGTCCACCAACTCTGGAATCTGTCCACACTCCACATCCTCATCCCTCACCTGGCGTGTGCACCGTCGTGATGGTTGTCGTCGTGATAAGTGTGGTGGTGGTCTCCTCGTCGCCTTCGGGGATGAAGGCCGTGGTCGTGGCCGAGATGTGTTGGCCGGCAGACCCGGTCTCATCAGGTGGAGGTGGAAGGCGGGGGGGCGCAGCGGCTGTGGAAGCCGGAGGGGTCGTAAGGAGGAAGCCAGTGGGCGGTGCAGCAGTGGTCAAAGGGGAAGGACCCGTGGCTGCAGCTTCAGAGGCTTCGGGGACCATCCCACCATCCAAGTGCTGGACAGGTGGGTGGAATGGAGGCAGCGTGGAAGGGCTACCTCCTAGGACAGCACGATGGCGATGGTGGGAGAGAAGGAAAGAACAGGGCAGGGAAATCAGAACGGATGACAGGGAAACATGTACATTTGTAGCCCCCCACCACACCCTTCCAATAGCCACTCTGTAAAACGCATACCGCTTTTCTGGCAGTAAACCAATGACTATCTATTAGAAATAGTGGCTGGTGCTCAATGGAACTGGTAGGGCAGAAGGCTGGGAGGCCAGCAGTAGGTGGCGCTAGAGCAAATGACAGGCACAGCCACACACACCCTTGACTGGTTGTTAAGTAAGAAGGCTGAGGTTTGTGGGTCTGTGCCCCAACGGACCAGCTGCCACTGTATTTATTACCAATATTTACCAAACTGGAATGTTTATTCCAGTTAATAATCAAACCTACTTTATACATAGTCCTCCAGCCACACTTTCCCACACAAGCAACCCCATTTTACTCCAGCCATGCCCAAAGAGGGCGCCACGACCTCCCCCTTCCTCTCCCACCCTCCTCCAGTTTATTTATTTATTTTTCTCACCAGGGATGGGCTCCTCCATCAGCTCGCCCCCCAGAAACTCCTTCCTCAGCAGTGCCCCCTGCAGCAACTCAGAGAGGCCTTCAGGGCTGGGGGGTGAGGACCCCCTGACCTCAGCTGAGACCCCCAGTTCCTCCTCCTTGGGTCCACCCATGGACTCCGATGACAGGGCCTCCAGCTGTGGGGAGGGGGTAGCCGGGACCACATCATCATTTTCCCAGAGGGGCAGGCCTGCAGCGAAGGAAGGGTGAATGGAAACCTATCAGCTTTTGTGCTTCCCCAGAAGAAAACTGGGGAGGACATGCAATAAATGAAGAAGTCGACAAACAATACAGGCCTCCACATCCCCGTCCACCACAATCCAGATCTTGCATTGTCCTCCTTACGTCCCTCAGCACAGAACAAAACTAACCCTACCAGGTCCATGTGCCCTGCATAGTGGGTTGCAGCCAATGCCAGTCCTGCTCAGAGTAGACCCATTGACGTTAGTAGACATGACCAACTTAGGTTCCTTCATTTCATTGGGTCTACCCTGAGTAGGAGAGAGGAAGCAGTGTCACCTGGCCACATAATGGACTTGGCAATACTTGACTGAAACGAGGCTTCATAATTTCAGCAAGGCCCACCTGGCGGGATATGGAAATGGCTGCAGGCCTTGTGGCAGCACGGACTTAGGCCTGACAATCCGCCTCTGTCCAAAGTCATGCCCCTTGTCCTTGTCTAGGAAGGAAGAAGAGGTGGGTCTGAGTGGGCATAAGGTCGGCTGAGGAGGAATGTCACTTGGCCACTGAGCGGTGGTGATGGAAGCCCAGCCACTCCCACCCATAGGTCAACTGTCCATCCCTGAAATATGGCCTTGGCTTGGCGGTGGGGGGAAAGGCATGCACAACATTGGCCACCACTTCCATTGCTCCACCACTTCTGTTATAACATTTGGCCACCTCTGTGCTTTAACTTGAGGGAGAAGATGTACGCCTAGTCCTCTTAGCATTCGTCTAGACTCCTTTCGGGGTTTTTAGAAAGCTACAGGAGGGTAATGCTTTGGCTAAAACAGAGGTGGTTCTTATAGACTGCAAGGGTCCCTCCACACAAACTTCCCTTCTCTAACTGGAGCACTGGGCCACATGCCTGCTTATTGCCCCAAACGGAAATAAATTCCAGTTCTCAGACTTCCCATGCATCTGTGTTTGATACAGGCAGCTAGAGGTCTTCACACTGCCCCCCTTATCCTGGAAAGACTTCTGAAGCCTCTGTTCTGTATGAGAGAACACTAAGAATTTGATGCTGGCCCATTAAAAAAAAGTGGAAACATTTCTTAGTCCTGCCTCCCCACCCACCCTGGTTATCTTTTTCAGTTAATTAATCTAGACAAAAGTAATTGTTTTGTGCGGTCATTAACATACAGTTCAATGGCGCTTATTCACTAAACTAGAAAAGTGTTCTAGGATTGCAGCCCAAACTACACTTCTCTTTAAGTGTGGTAGAAATGAGATATTTCCCCCTCACTGATTCAGTCTGTTTCTATAATCCTATGTGTTCTGTTCCAGATGCAAGCAGGGGTGTTCTCATTACAGGGTCTAAATCTACTGAACAAACTCTTATTGGAAGAACTCTTATTGTTTTTATCAATGCTGGTTGGATGAACATACTGGTTAAAAAAGGACGAAGAGGCCGTTCATTTAGAAGTTAGGCCTTGTGAACAAAATGGGTGATTAGTGTGTGTTTAAGGTGGAGTAATTTATCTGTGATAAAGTGGCACTGTCGGCAAACTGCGCAGCTGAAGTGTGATAAGAAGGCAAGTGAATTGGAGAGACACGATCTTGTGACAGTGAAGCGGTAGCTAAAATGCAAACTGGGAGGTAACTAATGTGTGTTAAGTGCTCTTGTGAATGCTTGCCTGTCTGCCTCCCTCCTCCCATTTTACTGCAGAAGGCTGCGTCATTTAGCTCCATATTTTACACATTAAGTTTGGCCTTGGTGCTAGGAAAATAGAAGGGGAAAGAGCCTGTAGGCTAGGACGCAGGGTGCTGATTGAAAGGTGGTTGGCAGGCTCTAAGAGGCAGCTCAGGGATGGGATAGCAGGGGGGTTTGCGGATCACGGGCTGAAGGGCCTTGAATGATGAGCCCCGCACATCACTCTTGCTGCCTTGATGTGACAAGTTCGGCAGTGACAGCCGCCGCCGCCGTAGGCGTCTGACAGCATGTGAGATCCTGGCAGCTGCTGGCGAGCCATTAATTGCTCTGAACTCGCTCCATTAAGAAGGCCAGCCGCCTGGCAGGCCTTGTGGGCCCAGTCATTCGCCACCCCACAGTAAAGTGGCAGAGAGACCCCCACGGAGTGGGAAGGCTTGCCTCGCCCATCCCATTTAGGGATCCGTCAGCCACTCCTAGCCAGCCAGCCACCCCCTCAACGAGACAGATGTCAAAAATCAAAAGGCAGCTGCCTCTGGGGTGGGAAAGAGAACGGTTGTTAGGCAGGAAAAGATAACCTTCTGTGAAAGGCCACATTAACTTGGTGGCACATCCCACACTCAGCATCTCCTAAGTGAGTGATTGCTCACATATAACCTCCCCCTGCCATTAAAAAAAACCCAAATCAACGAAGGTGGGTGACGCCTGTGATTTCAAGAAAGTATAGGAAGGAACAGTTAGCTGGAATCCAGATAAACATCTAGTCTCCACACCCAAATGGAAAAATCTATGCTTCCCAAATCCTTAGTGCCTGCAGTGCATCAGTAATAACCCCAACCTTCATGGAGTCCTGGGCCTAGCCTCATCTTTCACCATTCTACCTCACAACCCTTCTGCCCTCCCACATCTAGTTTTCTTGCTACCGTGGTACTTTAAGGCCTTGAAAATGCAGCAGCCTGCTGCCCCAGCTGAGCACCCCACATACGTCCAGCAGCACTGAGATTCTTCCCCACCTTAACTGCATTGCAAAGCTGCACAATCGCTGATTCTGCTTGGAAATGCATTGCCCAAGCCAGCCGGCCCCCGCTTTCCATTATGCCAGTTCCCCAAATCTCTTCAGCTCTTTACAACCCTGTCTGCTGTACACCCCAGAACTGAATAACAATGAAGAAGAAACACAATCCTTATGTTTGGGCACCCCTTTTCTGATTTTGCAAAGAGATCCATTTTTATTAAGAGGGACCTTATAAACCTGTTTTGTTTCTACGTTGCATGAAAAATCCTGTCTCCTTTTAGCAATGCAGGAATCCTGAATCTGTTTTTCTTTGCAGTGTTGTATGTAACACTCCACTTTCTTTTTCTTACACACATCAGTATCTATTTGTACCCCAATTCTTTGACCTCCACGTTTCAAAATTCAACTCAACTCCCAACCCCAAATGTCCTGTCTGCACTGGTATCAATCAAGGGTCAGCCCCAAATTTCTGCTTCACTTGCAATGTTCTGCGACAACCTGACACCCCTCCCCCGTTATTAATAATTGGTTCCCTTGAAGCCTGTGCTCCCATTTACAATGTTGCGGGGGGGGGGGCATACTAATAATCAAAAGCAAAGACAGTTTATGGACCCATTTGTGCTATATTTTGTAATCTTTATAAACAGAATATTTCCCTGTCCATTTCCCCTAGAACACCCTTGATTATCATTCGTTTGCTACTGATGCATGCTACTCCTCAGATCTCTGTATTCCACCTCTACAAACCCCAAAGAGGATCACCCCCTTTTTCTTTTCTTTTTTTGCAAGGAGGCACAGAACCTCCCAGCTCTGTGCAACAATTTCCCCATCCCTCGTTTCGTTTTGCAAGCGCTTGTAATAACCCTGGCAGCCTACGTGTACCCTCCCATCACAATCTCATACCCAAAGCTGTTTTAATATCCATGTGTTTCCATGCAAGGCAGGAAAATATTTCAGGTTGTGTTTTTTTTAAGGTACGTTTGGAAATATTGCACCTATGCCTGCAACACCGCGTTCACAACATATCCACCTGCCATTTGCACCCTGGGGGGGTGGGGAAGATGAGGATGCATTTTCAATCCCCTTTCCTTTGGTACAAAACACTGTCAAAATGCAACAAGCCCATTCCGTTTTGGTACACACACCCCCAAACCCCTCTCCCGACAAAGCCGGCCCCCTTACCTTGTAGAAGAGGCGCAGAGCTAAGCAGCAGAAGGAACAGCATTTTGGACGCTGCTTTTTCCGAACAGCCCATTTTGGATTTCTTCAGACCTGCAGAATACCTAGTCTAGCTATTTCCTTCTCCTACCAGGCAAGGGAGCCGTGGAGCCAGGAGCCTGCTTAGCAAATGAAAATGCAGTAGATTCCCTTGCAATGGCTATTCCTGTGTTATTTTCTTCCTTCCTCTTTTCTCTCTCCCTTTCAAAAGCAATCTAGGATTTGTGTTTCAGAAATAGTTGACTATTTCTGAAATATTTTTGCTGCTCATTAGTTGTTCTTTTGAAAACGTACAGCACTTATTTTTTTAAAAAAACAGATAAATCATATAGATACCTTCCTTTAGATAAATATACATGCATACTTTAAAGGTGAAGCAGTGTAACACCTTTTCATTTTCAGTTCCAGGCCTCTTTGACAAATAATGCCTCCCTCTGTCTCTCTTATGGTTTTTGCCCACAGAATATAGCAGTTACCTAAGCTCACTTTTAACAGAGAAAATGCAGGATGCAGAGATGGATTTCTTTGCATATGAAAAGGCACTGGCTCCCTGGTTTCTCAGCAGGATGAGTGAAGTGGATCGTCCTGTCTTTCCACAAACCCATATGACACCTTATAAACCCTTCAGCAAAACCTGTGAACAAGCCCACCTACACATCTATCTGAAAAGTCACATATAGATTCCTGTTATTTCAGAGACTTTACATTTATTCCCCTTGGCACATTGTTCCCCCCTCCCCTCCCAATCTTGCCAAGGCAATTCAGATTCAGTTGCCAAAAAAGAGAGATCAGATGGATGCAGTAATCTGCCCTTTAAAAAAAAGCAAAACCTTGGGTGCCTATCAATTCGTTTGGCAAATCAAGTAGCGCTCTCTCTCTCTAGCTGTCTCTGTCCTTGACAATGAAACGCAATGGATGGCAGCCTGTGCATTTGCAACAGAAATGCAGCCGGTAGCTACAGATTATTCTGGGTCCTAGGGTAGCCTTTTGCAGAATGTGGAATCTAGATCCTCCACTCCCACCCCAGAGGGTGCCGATCGTATAGGTAAATGACTTACAAATGCAATGAAGGAAAAATAACTACCTGACCTTTTAAAAAAATAATAATATGAAGATAATGCAATGCTTGTTCGCAAGCAGCACAGAGGCCTTAACTAAAATGCAGCCTTTGGATCTGCAAAATAATACCTACAGATAAGCAGATCTCTTTTTCTTTGAGACTGAAAATAAATAAATGGGAGGGGGGAAATGCAAAGGCAAACCTATGCTTCTTTAATAGGCAGTGGGCTGGAATTTTAGAAGAAAAAAACAACAACCCATGTTGACTATTATATGGCTGTCCACTAAACATGGGTCACATTTAGATACTGTACTTCCTTTTGAGAGATGCAGGTGATAGCACTTTAAAACATACCACAAGGTGCCTAAGTAGCTTAGTCCATTTTGCAAAAGAAGAGCAGCTTTTATGCAGTTCTTGCAAATTCAACTCAGGTATCCAGGCAGAGACATTGGATTTGCATCTACAGTATTTAGTACATCAGTTTCTCTGTATTTTATGCCACCTTCAGCATCCTAGCTCTCTATGGGTTTTTGCAAACTACAGGCCTCAGTTTTCTCACAAATGTCGTTAATTGTCCTCAAATTCTTATATACCTCATCATTCTGTATTCAGCAATGTTGCCTTTATTTCCTTTCCTTTTTTTGCAATGTTCCATAATTATTGGGGGCAGGGGGTTACAGTTAATCCCTGTCCTTTAGTAAGTTGCTCATTTTACCTCCCTTTCTCCCAAAATTAGATGTTGCTTAATTTGCAAGCTCCTGTTCCCATATCTGGGTACCCCTCCCAACAACCTCTGCCATCAAATATATCACTCCCATAAACCTCTTCAGCAAGGCAAAAGCAGCAGCAGCAGCAACAACAACCCTGCCCCCTTTCATCACAGACTGTGGGTGAGAGAGAGAGAAAGAGAGAATCAAGGTGGGTGTGTGGAAGTTCCTGAAATGAATGAATGTGGGGGCCAAGAGGAGTTATGTGGGATGGAGAGACATTCGCATAGGGTGGGGTGGCTGTTGGGGGGAACAGCAAAAAGGAGGGGAATCTCCCTTCCTTGGCTGCTTCAACTTAATCTTCCCTCACAATGGTTGCTATGGGAGTTGCAGTGGGAGAGCGGTTGCTAAGGGAGGCACTGTGGTTGCCAGGCAGTTGCTAAGATAGGTACCAGAGACTGGTAGGGAAGTTGCTAAGGGCAATACCAAGGATGACGGATGTTCAGTTTCAGCGCTTGGTTGCAATATGAGAGGGGGCTGGACAGCAGGAAATAAGCCAAGGGTCTTACTCTGCTAGTTTTCAAGCTGTCTTCTGGATCACCCTTGGATTTCTCAATGAGAAAATCAGCCATGACACACAAGCTAATTTGAAAAACATGTTGTCCGTCACAACCACCCTTGCACCTGCCCAATGCAACCCAAAGGGAGTGATGAGTGAGTCCCAGGCTTTTGAAACGAACCCGAACTTGCGTAACCAAACTGAACACATATTCTTTGTCTTTATCGCCATCTTTCTTGTCTTGCCCCTGCCCTGGTTGTCAAATTTTAGACCGTAAGCTTTGCAGGGCAGGGACCAGCATTCCTGTAGTTTGTAAGAGTGCCATGCATATTTCTAGTGCAAATAGAGCATATATATTAATATTATAGGGCAGGTTCTCTATTCATCATGTGGGGCAGTTCTGAGGACCAAGAAGTGGGTGTGCATCCTAAACACATACCCCCACACACTCACCCCAATCCTTTGCAATCTACAAGAGTTCTTTTGCAAACAAATGTTGAGCATAGAAAAATGCTTTATATCAAAACAATTTGTCCATCTAGTACAATACTGCTTACTCCAACTGGCAACAGTTTTCCAGAGTCTCATGCAGAGGGCCTCCTCATCACCTCCTACTGAATATATTGCTACCCTGAGACCCCTTAGGAGGAAAGATGGGGTATAAATAAAATAAAAGGTAAAATGATAAATTTCCCCTGGATGGTTAAGTCCAGTCAAATGCAACTATGGGATGTGGCACTCATCTCGCTTCAGGTCAAGGGAGCCGGCGTTTGTCCACAGACAGCTTTCCGGGTCATGTGGCCAGCATGACTAAACCGCTTCTGGCGCAACGGGACACTGTGACAGAAACCAGAGCGCACGGAAACACCTTTTACCTTCCTGCTGCAGTGGTACCTATTTATCTACTTGCTTTCGAACTGCTAGGTGGGCAGGAGCTGGGACAGAGCAACGGGAGCTCACTCCGTCATGGGGATTCAAACCGCCGACCTTCCGATCAGCAAGTCCAAGAGGCTCAGTGGTTTAGACCACAGCACCACCCACATCCCGGTTTTTCCTTTACCTTAAATAAAATAATGAAATAAATAAATTAATATTTAAAATGATTTCTAGAGGGGTGGTGATTATGAACTGGAACAAGACTGAGAAACCTCAGGCCTGGGAGCTGAATACAGCCTTCTAGGGCTCTCTGTTTGACTCTCAGGATTCTCCATGGGGAACACACCTTCCCCAGGCATGCGCCCTCTCTGCAGGCTACATTCCTAACTGCCTTTGCTTTGCACCCTCACAGAGTGGCTTTGCCTAGCTGGAATGTGTCCTTGAATTGTGATAATGCCTCTTACTTTGCCGGATTGAGGATAGAAAGGGGTGGACTTGTGTAGAAACTAGGCTACTGTACGGAGATGAATTTCACATATATTGGTCTTCCACGTTTGCCTCTGGCCCCACCCACCACTGCCATGTGGCCCCCAGAAGGGAATGTGGCCCTTGAGCTGAAAATGGATTCCCATCACTGAACAAGAAGTTAAGGTGGTTTTATTGTTTTGTTTTTTGCTAAAGTTTTGTGTGTGTGTTGGCTGTGTGTGTGTTGCTGAATGTAGCCGGTAAAAAGATGCTTCCTGGCAGATACCATTGGGCACTCCAAGAGAGGCAAAACATATTTGTGGGGTTTCTCACAGGACTGTGTTGCCCTACCACTAGGCAGAATGAGGTCTCCACACCAGGCAGCTGATTTTGGGTGCTTTGAGAAGACACAAATTGTTATTTGCTAATTATTACTGCATTTTTTTATTCCCAGGGAGAGGGTGTTTGTGGGATCTTCTTGGGTTACAAAATATCCTCGTCAGCCTTGGGCGTTATGCACACTGGCATGTGTGTGTATGTGTTTCCACTTGTTGTTTCACCTCAAGGAGCTGAACAACCCCAGAAGCAATAATGAACCGCCAACTCTGAACTGCTCACCACTCTAAAAATCTCCAGTAGCAGGCGACATAAGAAGTTCTGTCTCAGGCCCTGGAGAGCTGTTGCCCACCAGAGGAGACAGTACTTGAGCAGTTGTTTTGGCAGGCTCTTCTTTCTAGAGTTGGGTGGTCCATGAAGTTTCCTTGGGGGTCGGTTGCCATGGGAACGGCTGAGGAAGTAGCTGCCAGCAAGGGGCTAAATATGGCAGTTGCTGGTGGAGCAGTTTATCCCTGGAGAGCATAGAAACGCAGAGAGGGTCATCTAGCCCAACCCCCTGCAATGCAGGAATCTTTTGCCCAATGTGGGGCTCGAACCCATGACCCTGGAATTAAGAGTCTCATGCTCTACTGGACCGATGGAGCAGGGAAAGGGAACAACTCTCTGACCCTCCAGATGGGGTTGGACTCCCAACTCCCATCCAGCGGATGGCGAGCGGTCAGGGGTGATGGGTGTAGGAGCCAACTCCTGGGGCCAAGGTCCCAAGTTCGGCCCCCTCAGTAAAATATTTGAGGGGGTCAGCCCCCACCCCCCAAGTGGATGGGCATTGTCATTAAATTGGTCTGTGTGTGTGTGCTGTGTCTTATGATCTATAATGCCTCCCCCCCCCCCAGTATCTTATTCAAGTTGGCAGTACAGTGGTACCTCGGGTTAAGTACTTAATTCGTTCCGAGGTCCGTACTTAACCTGAAACTGTTCTTAACCTAAAGCACCACTTTAGCTAATGGGGCCTCCCGCTGCCGCCATGCCGCCAAAGCCCAATTTCTGTTCTCATCCTGAAGCAAAGTTCTTAACCTGAAGCACTATTTCTAGGTTAGCGGAGTGTGTAACCTGAAGCGTATGTAACCTGAAGCGTATGTAACCCGAGGTACCACTGTATTTATTCAATATTTTATTCAAGCTGGCGCCCCTAATGATGGGTGTTGGGACCCCCAACCACACCACAGGCCCTCCACCTCTGCTGCAGAGGAGTCTTAGCATGGTTCATGGATGGGGTGAGGAAGGAAATGCTGGCGTAACCAATGGAGACGCCGGGAAGGTCAAGGTGAATGCTAGGGAGGAGCAGTTGCTAGGCGCGGGGTTGATAGGCCCGTTGCTACGGAAGGAGGTTGCTACGGGCACCGGGGCAGGGGTGATCTCGTAGGGGTGGTCCCGATGGGCCAGCACATGCTGCAGCGAGGTTGGGGGGGGGAGAGGTGTTGATGAGCTCGGCCCCAGTGACGCTGCCCCCTCCTTTTACTGCAAACCTGCGCCTGGCTGGGCGCATTCTGCAGTGCACGTGTGGCCCCCGTGGGACTCAGCGAGGGACCCTGGCTCCCTTCCCCTTGTGCTGTAATGCACTCGCTCCCGGGAGTGGGGCGGGCGGTGGGGGGCGGCCCCGTTGCCCATTGCCGAGATAGATGCATCAGCCCGGGGGGGGGAGTGGGGGGGGGGCGCGTCTCTTTACGCAGCGATGCCTGGCCTGGTGCTGATACGAGGAAGGAGACAGACGTCAAAGGGAGGGAGGCATCCCGGGCCGGGTGGAAGGGTGTGCTCGGCGGGTGCGCGGGGAAAGGGAAGGGGGGGCACCCTAATATTTTCCCGGATGTCTCCGGCAGCCTACGTGCACGGGGAGGAATTAGGAAAACAGCAATAGAGGAGGCTGCACAGGGAACCGGGCTGAGGCAGAGGAGGGATCACAAGTGACTGGGGAAGCTGGAAGAGCAGGCAGCAATCTCAGAGGATTGGAGGGACTGCAAGCCGTCAGGTAGAGATGAGGAGGGGGTGAGAGAGGGATGGAGGGGATGAAAGGCGGGGAGGGAGGGAGAAGAATATTGGGGGAATAGGCTCAAGTAGGGAGGAGCGGTTAAGGGGGGCGTTGAGGATGAGGAGGGGGTAAATACATGGGTGGAGATAGATGCCCAGAAATATTGTGGGTGGGCTGCGAATGTAGAGAGATTTACTGGCCCAGAATACAGCAAAACAGAGCTAAGACCTTAATTTCTGGGGTGGCGGGAGGAGGAAATGAGAAATGTAGCAGTGGAAATGACTGAGTCAATGGGGCTTGAAGCCAGCCGCCCTCAGAAAACAAAGCGAAACGGCAGAGGAATGGCTAGGTCTGTGTAGCGGCGGCTGAGCCAAATACTGAATGAGGTGCACCTGGTTAAGAGCAAGGGGTTAAAAGGGCACCCGACCAATAGGGCAGGGGTCAGACGTTGAAGAATGGGAAGGCTGCAAGGAGCTGCCTGTGCTGATAGGGTGCTCTAAGCCCACCTGAAGATGCCCTCTATCATGGCCGACTGGGGTCTGCACGGCCTTCTCTCGCCACTCCTCCCTGACACTTCGTCTTGGCGCCCTCGGCCAGAGCCCACCATAGCCGTGCTGGGCTCGCTGGCCTTGCTGTTTGTTTGGTACTGCTACCGCGTGGGGAGCGGGCAAGCAGCCCCCGCCTCTCACCAGCAAGGCATGCCCACGGAGGAGCGATGCCCTCGCCGTGCCCTCGGGAGCGATGCTGCCAACCAGCGCCTGTATCGCAGCCTGCGAGACTACGCCAAGCGCTACTCATGGTCGGGCATGAACCGGCTGCACAAAGGCATCCGAGACCAGGCCCATTACCAGCTGGGTGAGCGCCTGGCGATCCAGAAGCCCAGCGCCTTCTACCTCCCGGACTTGCCTTCTGCCCCCTACTTCCCCCGCGAGTCCCAGCGCCACGACGTGGAGATCCTCGAACTCAGCTTCCCGGCCATCTTGCGAGAGTTTGAGGGCATCGCGTGGGACTTTGCGCCTGGAGCGCCAACCCCGCGGGGGTGGACGGCCAATGCCAACCCTGGCTGCCATAGCTATTACCTCTACCGGCAAGGGGAGTGCGTGGCGCAGAACTGTCGCAGCTGCCCGTGGACGTACCGGGCACTCAGTGCGCTCCGCACCTTCGTCAATGCCAACCGCTTTGGAAACGCTTGCTTCAGCGTCTTGCAGCCTGGAACTGTGCTGCCCGGGACCTACGGGCCAACCAACACCCGGGTGCGGTGCCATTTAGGTGAGCAAATGCTGGAAGAACAGCAAGGCGGGCAAGATATGGGGGCTTCAGTGTGTGGGGAAGCTTGCAAGGCCAGAGTCTTCCACCATGCATGTGTTGTCCACTAGCTGGAAATTCTTGAGTCCCTAAACAGGAGGCAGAGGACTTCTGTTGTTTATAAGTATCAGAAATAAGTACCCCTTAGGGGTCATTTTTAGGGCTGCAATATATAGTTGAGTAATCTGTGCCCTAGATCAATCAGCCAACTAGAAAATCTGTTAAATTGTTTGGAATAATGCAAGTACTTTCCAAAAAACACGCAGGTGGAAAGTGGCATCATAGAAGAGGCATTTCTTTCTGTGCGTGGGAATGCTTCTTCCAGTAAGATTTTTGCTCTGCCGTGAAATACCTCTAGAAATCAAAAGAATGCTTTCTTTCTCTTTAGAGCTATTGTTTTTATTTGCTGAAAGTATGATGATTTACGCATCAATTAATCAGCTAAAGCTCATTCAGTTAATTAACAATATTTCTTTAAACAGAGCAACAGCCCTAATCATTTTATGGTAAAGTAATCTCATAAGACCTTTTTAGAGGCCAGCAGTTAAGAGTTGGCCTTCAAGTCTGGGAAACTCTGGTGGCTTTGGACAAGTCACTGGCTGCTTCCTCACTTTAATTTCCTCATATGAAAACAGAAATAATCATCTATCTTGCAGTGTAGTTGTTAGGTTCAGACATTAACCATTGTAAAGCATGTAGTAGTAGTAGATTAGTTGGATATGTAGAAGTGGAATAACAGTAGACTTGAAGTTGCCTTCAACAAGAAAATGTAATGATATCACACAGCTGTTCAGACCTTGAGTGTCATTCATTCATTCATTTATTTTTTAAAAGCAAGTTTCTAGCTCTCAAGTACGGTATATTTGAAAATATGCAATATTCTCGAAGAGCTCTTGTATGCATAAGGCAAATTTGTATGCCCTGCATTGCCCCTGGTTCCTTCCTTCCTTCCATCCATAACCTTTTATTGGGTTTTACAAGCAAGGCTCATAGGAATAATAAATGAGACAAATAAATAGACCAAGTCCTGTTACACCCATTCTGATCTCCGGCAATGGCCTGGTTTGCCTGTCATAGTAAGCCTGAGTGTGGCACAAACATACTGGCTTCCGAACACGTCACAGAAGGAACAGGAACTTGCACCTGCTGTGCTTTTCCCTGAACTTTTTTGGGTAAAACTAGACAAGAGCTCAGCCAAGGTTTGTGTTGTTCAAACCCGGGGTCATACTTCAGGTCTCTGCTCTTTAGACACTACCTCTAACCGTAGGGCCTACCTTGGCTACAAATTGTGGTTAAAGGTGAGACACCCTGGCCATGGATTTGGACGGCACGCTAAGCTTACTTGCCATGCTACGATACCTGAAAAAGCCAGTGGGGGACAGGGAGCAAAATGGCTGCCATTTCCTCCTCCTCCTCTGTTTGCCCTAAGCTATGGTTTGGCCTTCTGTGACGTGTGAATGCAGCCTATGCGTCCCTCCTCCCCAGAAACCTTCTGTTACGCCTCACCCACATATTTCCGTCTTGCTCTGTCATTTGCAAGTAAAATCAGGCAGACAACGCCCCCAATTCCCCGCGAAGACTCAGATCAAGACTGTCAAAAAAATTATGTAAGTGCTTTGCTTTTTGTGCCCATCCTCTCTCTCTCTCTTTCTTTCTCTCTCACCCACCCACCATGAAGTCTTTTCTAGAAGGAGCTCTGCATATGAGCATTTTATCCACACCTTTCAGGATTGGGATGGGGCGAGAGAGAAGCAGCATTTCCTCGTGGGAAGGAAGAAAGCAGCGAGGTGGGCCTGCAAAGGCAACAGCAGGGCCTTCTTCGGATAAGAGTGTCGTCCCCTTCCCAACCCAGAGACAGCCAGTAACCAGCAACTGCCCTGTTGGAAGGAACATCTGATGCCATCTCCTGCTCCAGTAGAGCTGGTTGCTTTTGGTCTTTTTAAACATATCTTTAATTTTATTCAGTGCTAGTCGAAAAGTGAGCTCTAAATCTGCTGAATAAATACACAAACTTAGGAAGCTTCCTTGTTACAGCCACCTTTTTCTTCCATTTCTAGGGCTGAAGGTTCCTCCTGGTTGTGAGCTGGTCGTGGGGGGTGAGCCTCAGTGCTGGTCCGAAGGATACTGTCTCCTAGTAGACGACTCCTTCCTGCATACCACGGCTCACAATGGTAAGAGAATGGATTTACAGGCTAAGGCTATACATCTGATGCCCTCTAGATGTTTTGAACTACAACTCCTACCAGCTCCAGCCAGCATGGGCAATAATCAGGGATGGTGGGAGTTGTCATCCAAAGTATATGGAGGAACGCTGGCCTAGGGCATTAAACTGAGTTTGCTCCCCTCCCCTTTTTTTTATAAATCATAGCAGGGGTTGGGCCTGGGGAAATTATACACTCAACCTCAGTTTCCCAGTCTGTGAAATGGGAGGGGAAAAATTCATGTCACTGCAGATTTGGCACTCCGTTTGTCAGGGGGTGGCCTGCCTTACTGCCTGCTCCGCTCACCCATATGACTTTTCTTAAAGAGATAAAGGTAAAGGGACCCCTGACTATTAGGTCCAGTCGTGACCGACTCTGGGGTTGCGGCGCTCATCTCGCTTTACAGGCTGATGGAGCCAGCGTTTGTCCACAGACAGTTTTTTCCGGGTCATGTGGCCAGCATGACTAAGCCGCTTCTGGTGAAACCAGAGCAGCGCACAGAAACACCGTTTACCTTCCCACCGAAGCGGTACCCATTTATCTACTTGCACTTTGACGTGCTTTTGAACTGCTAGGTTGGCAGGAGCAGGGACCGAGCAACGGGTGCTCACCCCGTCGTGGGGATTCGAACCTCCGACCTTCTGATCGGCAAGTCCTAGGCTCTGTGGTTTAACCCACAGCGCCACCTGCGTCCCTTAAAGAGATATAACTTCTTTAATAATAGTAGGGAGCTGACATAATGCCATCCTGCTTGACACATTGCTGGCTGATCACCTATGGTTGATCTTTACTCACCATGGGCAAACAACGGTGTGTGAATTTATGCAGCTGAGCTGCTTTGTCAGGATTTTGTGATGCCCTCACAAGATTAAGGATATTTCACAATTTGAGGGTTACATTAAAAGATAACTCTAACCATATTTGTTGCAGGTTCTCCCACTGATGGCCCACGGGTGATATTTATTGTTGACCTCTGGCATCCCAATGTGGCAGGACCTGAGCGGCAGGCGCTAGACTATATCTTTGCCCCTGGTCGGTAGGTGCCTGCTCAGGATCAGGTATTGTAGCCAAGGGGGGGGGGGACCCCCATAATGCCACCAATAGTGTTTGCTGCTCTTCACAATCATCAAAGCCTCCCACAATATTGCCTTGGAATGGAAACTCTTATTTTACCATTGTGCAGACTGAACTGGAGGGGGGGGGAGGAATGGCCCCCCCACTTCCAACTTTGGAGTTCTGCATCTGAACTAAAATCTACGCGGGGATGTATCACAGATGGGGCGGCGGGGCTCCTTTTCTCTCTCTCAGTGTGATGCTGTGACCTAAAATACTTGTTCTATAGACCTTTGTGACATGGTATACATTGGTTCCTCTTCTTGCCATTCTGTTGGTGGTAGACGCTGATCTGGACGGGTCCTTGTGGCCTGTTCTCATCTCCTGTGAGTCTGGGGTTATTCAAGTGCAAGTGCAAGTGCTGCTGTCTACAGTCCAGGACCAGAAGGCCGCTGAGTTCTACTGAAGTTCAACAATCCTGATTTTAGTAGCATGGCCTTTCCAGGTTTTTGGAAATGGGTGGGTTGGGGAAGAGAAGCAAGCTAAGGTGAGCACTGTTTCCACCTGTCTGTGATCATTTGTTAATTCCCACCCCGCATCTGTTACCGCGACGTTTGTGTGGCAGGATTTAATCCAGAAAAGCCTTGCTAATTAACCTGCACCCCAATAAAATAATTAGAAGCCTCTGCCTCGTGTCTCAATTTTTCTCTACTCTGAGGGGGAAAAAATCAGAATCCTCTTTACTATTGGCTCAATGTGAGTTGTGAGGCGTGGCAGAGCCACAGGCCATGAAGGAAGCAAACCGTGGCCTGAAGTATTGCTGTCACCCCAACATTTAATAAATGCTTCAGACTGGGACGTCACTGCTCAGAAACTTTGACAAAATCCAGTCTGGGAAAAGTCTACTAATTGGATCAAGGACGTCAATAGCCTGAGGGAGCAATATGTCACTGCAGATCTGCATGTGAGTTATTAAAATAATGGGTATGACTGTATGCATGGGAGGGGCGGGGAGAGAACTATTGGCGCAGGCCTCCACCATGACCAGAATACTGACACACAGAAGAAGACAAGTCCTTCTGCCTGCTTTTTACATCCATATGTTTTGCCTGCATCCCTATCTTGCCGGCTGCCACGGAATCAGTCTTGACAGCTTAAAACCCATCCACCCGGTTTCTGTGGCTGTAACCCAAAACACACTTGAGGGCTGCAATCCTAACCATATCTACTCAAAAGTAAGTCCCTTTGAACTCCATGGGGCTTGCTCCCACGTAAGTGGGGTTAGGAATGCAGCCTTTACCCCACTGAGGGTAGGATTCGAACCAATGGCTTCAAGTGACAAGAAAGGAGATTCCGACTAAACATCAAGAACTTTCTGACAGTAAGAGCTGTTCAGCAGTGGAACAGACTCCCTCGGGAGGTTCACTGCGGTTTTTAAAGCAGAGGTTGGATGGCCATCTGTCATGGATGCTTTAGTTGATTCCTGCATTGCCGGGGTTAGACTAGATGACCCTCGGGATCCCTTCCAACTCCACAATTCTATGATTCTATGGACACGGATAGACTTCCAAGTAAACATGCATTGTAAGTGACTTGGGGCATGCTTATTAGATTTCAATACCAGCTTCTAAAACGGTTTTTTAATACTAAGTGGCAGAAATCTGCTACAGGATTAGAAAGAAAAATCGCATCACATTCCCATTTTTTTAAAAAAATAAAGAGACTTTGACTTGATCTGTTGAAGTCTGACATACCCAGTTTTCTTCCCTGTTCCTCCTGAACAAGCTTTTTCTGCACCTGCCAGAAAACATCTAACAAAGACATTTGCTTCCCAGTACATACAGTTCCAGGAGCAAGAGTTTCATTGCGTCCTCACCTGCCGCAGGAGGTGGGAAGAGAGAACAGCTTGCCACACACACACCTGCTCATGCTGCTTTCCTGGGTAGCAGTCTGCAAATTTTGGCTGGCTTTGATAGTCACAATGTGTATGTACCAGGAGCTCCTCCAACCAGTACTATCTGGTGTTGCTGTCCCTGACCTCGCATCCCTAAAGGCAGCATGAGTTCAGGAACAATCCCCTGCTCTCCCTCTCCAGGTCCAAGCGTGGGGCAGAGAGGTGAGGGGGTGGAGGTTTATTGCTGCAGGCGCCCTGTGCTTCGAAGGCCCTCCAAGGCCTTTGAAAGCAAAGCACCACTGTGGGGAAGACACTCTGTACTCTCACCAAACTCTTAAGGTCCTAAGAACAAAAACAAGAGAATTTAAGAAGTAAAAACAAACTCACTAGCTTTTATTTACACTCAAATAACCCAAAGCAAGTGCTTCCTGCCAGTCAGTGCAAGATGCAAACCAAAGTCCATTGTCTGACCCAATGGGTCCGTCCAGCAATTTCCTTCCCCTCGCAATGAACCCACGAGTCCACAGTTCCACTTGGCCTGAAAGGATTTAAAAAGGTCCCGTCGCCTCCACTGCACTCAGTATTTGCGCTGGCGCAGGAAGAGACCTGGTGGCCGTTTTGGAGTGGGTACGTCATCTGAGTCAAGGTCAAAGAGGTCTCGGCCCGTCTTCATTATCTGTTCCTCTAAGACTTTGTGGCGCTTCATATCTGACAGCACCTTGTCCATGCGAGCCTCCCTCTTCTGGCTCTTAGCTGAGGACCCTGAAAATAAAATAAACACCAGTTAGGATCTGTGGATTCAGTGGGAAGTATAAGTTGGGTCCAGGTTTTTTAAAAAGGAGAGGTAGGCTTCAAATGCAAGGTGCCAGGAAACCATTATTCTTCCGTAAAGGTAAAGGGACCCGACAGTTAAGTCCAGCCGCGAACGACTCTGGGGTTGTGGCGCTCATCTCGCTTTACAGGCTGATGGAGCCAGCGTTTGTCCACAGACAGTTTTTTCCGGGTCATGTGGCCAGCATGACTAAGCCGCTTCTGGTGAAACCAGAGCAGCGCACAGAAACACCGTTTACCTTCCCACCGAAGCGGTACCCATTTATCTACTTGCACTTTGATGTGCTTTCGAACTGCTAGGTGGGCAGGAGCAGGGACCGAGCAACGGGAGCTCACCCCATCATTGGGCCTCGAACCACCAACCTTCCGATCGGCAAGCCCTAGGCTCAGTGGTTTAGACCACAGCGCCACCCGCATCCCTTGTTCTTCCCTAACTAGATCCAAATCTACACTGTTTTCACAGCAGTAAGAGGGTCTACATGTCCCTACATTTTGCATAGGTTTAAAGTTTCCCTATCTCTTCTTTGAGGAACTTTAAAGTATTTTGTAAACAGTTTTAAGGTTTTTTCTCTCTAATTAAGTGGTGTATAAATTTTATCCAATAAATATGTAAGCATGCTATGTAGGTCTTCCTGTCCATGCCCTTCTCCCTTTCTTAGGTTCCTGTCTAGACCAGGTGTGGAGAACCTTTGGCCCTCCAGATGCTGCTGAACTACAGCTCCCATCATCCCTGGCCACTGGCCATGCTTGATGGGGCTGATGGGAGTTGTACTCCAGCAAAATCTGGAGGGTCACTGGTTCTCCCTACACCAGGTCTGGACAACAGAAAACTGTCAGCCAATTTGCCTTAACTTTTGTAGGGGAGTCTCACATGTTAAACCTCTTGGGCAGACGTAAGGGACTTCAGGCAGGATTCTCAGAGCAATATCCTGGAGTCCTGGTATTTAAATAGGGATGGAGAATCTGTAGCCTGTGAGCTGGATCCAGAGCATTGTGGCATTTCTTCCAGCATGCCTGAAGAGAGCTTTATATTTGTGGATCAGATTGCCTGACAGCTGGGCCTTGTGAGCACCTTCAAAGCTTTCCCCAAGTGAGAGGCTGACTTCCTTTTCAGAGAGGGACCCTTTTGAAAGCGCATTCAGGCCAGCTGACAGACAACCTTCGAAGGTCAGATGTCAGCAGGCCTGATCCAAACTTTCAAAGCACTACAAGAAGGAGAGGCGACCCTAACTTTTTTGAGGTGGGGGTGGATTGGTGGGTGGGCCAATGGTCCCCAGTTGAAGTGGGAGGAAGATTCCCTACCTCTTGGTTTGATAGAGGGGTATCAGAATTGTGACAGAAGTAAGTCAGAACAGGGTGCATGAGAGCATGATCTAAATCTTGAGGTTGCAAATGAGGCTCTTCAAAAGAGAACAAGGACAATCAAGCATGACTCCAGGATTCTCTGAAAAGTGTGTGTGTTTAGGGAGAAATCCAGTCATCACAATACAGCCAGGGTGGGCGGGTGGCTTTCGTTTTCAACATACCAGGAGTTCTTCGACGATTGATCAAGGAGCTCTTGGGGGAGGCAGGCTCATCATCAAAGTCAAACTCCGTTGGCACGTGGGGCCTGCAGCAAAGAGAGAAAAATGGGAATCTGCCCAGCACCAGAGCCTGTAGCCCCTCCCTCCTTTCCTGTCACCAGCACCATCTCAGATTTTGGATCCTTCCCCAAACTCCCTTTTCAAGTCAAATATTACCCTTCTCCCCGCAAAAAGAAACACATGCGCTCTCACTTCTCTTCCTCCTCTTCTTCCTGGTTCTCCAGCTGCCCATCAGATTTATCCTCATCTTCGCTGTCAGGCTCTGGGGTAGGGTTGCGCCGGGGTAGGATCTCTGCCTGGATCTCTAGGGTCCCCTGGGCAGCAATGAGCTCATAGAGGCGCCGGATCTCCTCAGGGGGAGGCATCCAGCTGTCTGGGGACTCCAGTTCCTCATCGCTGCAGGGGACGCACCAATCCTCCTCGGCCGATTCGTCTCCCTTCGCCGACTGCTCCCCATCTCTCTCCCCGGCTGCGTCATCTTGTTCCTCGGTGGTCGGAGGTAGCTCTGAGGCAGGCTCATCTTCCACTGCCAAGGACTGCATCCCCGAGGTGACTTCACCTTCCTCCACAGTGCTGGCCTCCTCCATGGCTGCTGGAGAGACAGAGGCCACAGAACTGAGAGAGGCAGGGCAAGCAGCGAGACTTCAGGACCCTAACATAACCAGGCAAGGACCTGCCTGGTACAAGACGGCGGCCATCTTGGAAAACCCCTACAGCAAAATGTGAGCTAGCGTGGTTCAAGCAGCAGGAGTGTGGGTGGCTGGTTGTCCCTCGCCTGCAAGATTATCTTTCTCTTTTGGCATCAGAGACTCCTCTCCAAACTTTCACGTCCTCCAATGAAAGTTTTCTTGGGAGCGCAGAGATGGGGCTCAAAAAGATGAATTGCCAGTGTTTCCAAACTAACACCTTAGATACACCTCTCATAGTTGCCTGTAGTTGAGGGAGTAGGGTTATCTGTCATGAAAAGTGTAGAGAAAAATTGTATGTCCTGGGAAGCCTTCTTAGGCCTCCTCTTTCTTGCTGCCTCTGCCAGCAAATTCAGAGACATCTTAGCTCTCTTAACACCTTTCAGATCAATAATCCCTTGATCTGCCCCAGCCTTCCCATAAATAATGAAGTGGAATTCGCCCCAGTTCAGAGGAAGCGCCCAGATAAAGATCTCTTTGAAGTTGCCAATTGTTATTCATTCTGCCATTCTGCTGCAAGTAAAACCAGGAAGCCTGTGGCTTATGCCAGGGTAAGAGCAAGGAGGGAGAAGCACAGAAGAGGAAGATGTCTCAGGATGCACCAACCAGACTTTATATCAAGGTTCTGCTGGCGCATTCTTGCAACCTCCATATCGGAGAAGACCCTCCCACAGCTCCCAGTGTATTCCTGGTCAGGGGGGAGACATGATGCCATGAGGAACAACCCCCTTCCCTCCAAGATCGTAATTCAGAGATGCTCCATCCAGAGAACCTGTAGAATCAGGGGACCCCAAGAGCCCCACAGGATCCACCCTACACCCCAGATCTGGACGCAGACACCCTGACTTTGTGGTCTTATAACTTCATTAAGTGCAGCATAAGCCAGTCCTGAGCTTTACTCAGTCCTGAAGATCCAAAAATTTAACTCCTCCTGAGGGAGCTATGTTGCAGTAATGGTAATGGGAGAATTGATTACAAAAAGTGCCAGGGGTGGGGTTTTGAAGTCCTGAAGTCCTGCTTTAGTCTCCAGAGACAAGCTCTTTACAATCAACTCTGAATGCTATGAAACTGCAAATACATACATATACTAGACAGAACGACACTAGCAAGATGAGTCAGATAGCGTCACGCCATACTCAGTGTTCTCAATAGGTAAATCCATTCAGGAAGGCCATTCCCCCAGGTTTACTTCCAGATGAGACATCCTTGATTTGACTACCTGCCCAATCCCTAGAAGCTCTCTCATTTTACCCAATCGCCTTTCTGACCCTCATGCTGGTTCCTTCTCACTGGTCACATTTTCAGTTCCACTTGACTCACTTTAGATCAGGGGTAGGCAACCTAAGGCCCATGGGCCATAAACGGCCCACGGGGGTTGTTTAACCGGCCCACGAGCCACCCCCGAACCAAGCCGCCTGCTCGGCAAGTCCCTGCGCACTGCACTAAAGAGGTAGTGTGACCCTATTTTGGGGATCAGCTGGGTGGCAGTTTTATAAAACTGCCCCCAAATATACATGTCTATTGTCCCCAGATTTAACATATCCTTTTCTCCCAGCAACCTGGTAAGCAGCTCACTTGCTCTTCAGCGTCAGTCTTCAGGCTTTTGATAACCCTGACTGGCATCATTAGACAGCTTCCTTGCTGTTCAGTACATTGGCTGTCAAGCCACAGACCTCGCTAGACAGCTCCACTGCCAAGCCCAGAAGACTGAGAATAGGCCAGCAGCCAAAGAACAGTTCTCCTGCCAGGAAACTCAAGTTTTCCCTCTTCCTCGCTCTCACTGCACTTAGGCAATCAATATGATCCAGGAAGTTCTACCACTGCAGTAAAGCTATATTCCGCAAACATTTAGACCTTGGGCTCGTTCCTCACAGCTGCTCATAAGGACCTCCATTGTGGGTTTTTGTTTTAGATGGCCCCGCAGACCCAAACATCACACTGGCCACAACAACAAAAAAATACCTTTTATTAGGAGCCCAAGCAGGGGCAAAGACCAGCAGGAAGACCCTGCTGAAAGTCCCTTCCACTGGAGATCAAAATCGATATGCAGAGAAGCAATGTCTTCACAACTGCGGCTTCCTGGAGAGGATGCTCTCAGCCCAACCCTGCGGTGATTTAGAAGGCAAAATATTACTTTTCACAAAAGCCCCTTAAGAAACTCAGACATATAAGCTCAGCGCCAAATGGCGCCTTAAACATGGGTTACGGTTGCCACAGCGGAATGTCTAGGCACCATCCCCCCAATGAAATTTGTTATTATTATTCTTCATTTCATATCAATTTATATTTTAAAGAAAAAAATCTCAAAGCTGTTTACAACACACCGAAATATCAAATCAAGCAATACAGAATAAAACAAATTCAAGCTTCAAGGAAAATATTTCAGATCCTCCTCTAAGTGACATCTAAGTCGGAATAGGAGCTGGGAGACCAGGGTTCAAATCCCAGCTTAGTCATAAAGGTCACCGGGTGACCTAGGGTCAGTCACAGCCTCTTAACCTACCTCACAGGGTTGTTGTAGGGATTGACTGAGGAGGTGGGTGAACCACGTACTCCTTGGAGAAAAAGGCAAGCTATAAATGCAATAAAGAAGCTGTTCTGCTTACCTGCTCAAGAAAGGTGGAGGGGCCAGCCAGATGGAGATGTCAGTCGCCAACCTGGCATCCAGAGATCTCCATGTGGTCGCAATTGGACCTGCACCAGTTGCAAGACACGCCTGGCTAATTTCTAATACTGACCTTAAGGTCTATAGATGATGACAACTGCATACATCAGCTAAGCTTGTCTGCATTCTTCTTCTTTTTTAACCAGGTATGGCTGGGTTTTAAATGTACCGTATTTTTCGCTCTATAAGACGTGCCAGACCACAAGACGCACCTAGTTTTTGGAGGAGGAAAACAAGAAAAAAAATATTCTGAATCTCAGAAGCCAGAACAGCAAGAGGAATCGCTGCGCAATGAAAGCAGCAATCCGTCTTGCTGTTCTGGCTTCTGGGATAGCTGCGCAGCCTGCATTTGCTCCATAAGATGCACACACATTTCCCTTTACTTTTTAAGAGGGAAAAAGTGAGTCTTATAGAGCAAAAAATACGGTAATATTTTAAGTCCTAATGTAGTAGCTGAGAGACAGACATAATCTGATATAGGATCAGATTTTTTACCCACTGTTGTCTTTTTAATTGTATATATTGCTTGTTTTATGTTGCTATTGCCGTTGGCTAATGCAAATAAAGTTTATCTATTATTATTATTATTATTATTATTATTATTATTGGATCAGCTAGCCTATCCTATGCAGAAGTTCAGTGAGACTTACCTCTAGGTATGTGTGTACAGAACTACAGCCTAAGCTACAAATCAGGCAACCCCCAGGTTGAATCTTGCCTCTGCCATGAAATCATTAGGTGGCTGCCTACTCTCACAGCAACATAAGAAGCTGCCTTATACTGAATCAGACCATTGGTGCATCTAGTTCAGTAATGTCTACACTGACGGGCAGTGGCTTTCAAGGGTTTCAGACTGGGGAGATGCTGAGGATTGAACCCAGGAGCATATGCATGTAAAGCAGCGGCTCTGCCCCTGAGCCACAGGCTCTTCCTCTCTTTCTCAGCTCAGTCCTTCCCTCCTGCAAAGTGGGTGAAGATGATACTGAGTTACCTTACTGGGCTACCTAAGGATTGTTACTAGAATAGCTAGATGACTGTATGTGAAGTACTGTACAGTGGTACCTCGGGTTACAGACGCTTCAGGTTACAGACTCCGCTAACCCTGAAATAGTGCTTCAGGTTAAGAACTTTGCTTCAGGATGAGAACAGAAATCGTGCTCCGGTGGCACAGCAGCAACAGGAGGCCCCATTAGCTAAAGTGGTGCTTCAGGTTAAGAACGGACCTCCGGAACGAATTAAGTACTTAACCCGAGGTACCACTGTACTTGAAAGCATAATGCAGGTATTTAAAGCAATATCCTTTAATGCAGGGATGGGGAAATTGTGACCTTCCAGATGTTGCTGGATTATGGCTCCCATCATCCCTCACTAATGGCTCGGCTGGCTGAGGCTGATGGGAAGCCAACATCATCTACTCTACAGGGCAACAGGTTTCCCATCTCTGATTTAATGTAAGTAAAGCACTCTCAGCTACTACACCAAAGCATAAACCGAATACAAGGACAATATTGTTGAAAATGCAGCAAGCAAATAAAGTTACACACACATCAGCTGGACATTCCAAGGAAAGCAGATAGAAGTTTCATGGGCAATGATCCCTGCTTTAGCTTTCTTTTGGAGAAGAGATTGCTGGAGACCAGTGCCGTTTTTTAAATATTTGGTTTGTTCCCAAATATTCAGGTAGAGGATAGAAGATGGAGGCAAACAATATAACCACTGCTGCCAGGCAAGGACCTTAAATCAGTTGTCCAATGAGCGGAAGCTTCTACACCATTCTCCCACCGTTTTCAGAAAGCTGTCATTTCATCACAGTTTCAAGCAGGAACCCCACCCCAACCCAGAACTAGAGTTTGGATTTGATATCCCACCTTTCACTCCCTTTAAGGAGTCTCAAAGCGGCTAACATTCTCCTTTCCCTTCCTCCCCCACAACAAACACTCTGTGAGGTGAGTGGGGCTGAGAGACTTCAAAGAAGTGTGACTGGCCCAAGGTCACCCAGCAACTGCAGGTGGAAGAGCGGAGACGGGAACCCGGTTCCCCAGATTACGAGTCCACCGCTCTTAACCACTCCACCACACTGGCTCTCTAGAAGCTGCCAAGCATGCCACTTTCCACAGCCTCTTAAATTTTCTTACAGAAAGTTAATGGTTGGGAGAAAAGCACTCCTAAGAGCTTCTACTGGTCATTCTGGACCCTCAACATACCTGATAGCAGCTAGAATATTAAACTAACATTCCTTTCTTCCGTTGCTTTTATTTTTTTACTCCAGTCAAGAGTAATCAGGGCTTGGCATCCGGCCTATGCTAAAAATTTAATTTTTTTATTGACCATCCACTCTGGAGAAGAGCTGTGCAGCTAACTCCAAAGCTATATCCTTCTCTTAGTTAAGTATGACCATGATCCAAAGTTATGCATTCCTCACGGCCCATTGAGTTCAATGGCGGAGTTAAGTCCGAACAGCTACCCGTAAGTAAGTCACCCCACTGAGCACGGCATCTTGCTCCCTTGTAAAAGAGGACATTGCACGAGGATCTATACTTTTGCTACTGAAATCAGTCAATCCACGGCACTCCTAAAATGCTTAACTTCGGATGGATCATGCTCAAAGTCAACTAAAAGAAGATCTATTGTCTTAGGATCCTGCCCCCCTCCCCTTTTAATTTTTTCAAAAAGTCACTCTGCACATGCTCAAAGACACTTCATCGGATCATTTCTTCCACGGCTCGGCAACTAAACACGAACCACGATCGGGGATTAAGTCTTGCGGGGGCTTCGTCACGGCGGGTGGCCTGCGAGAGAAGGGAGGGAGGAGACTCGTTCACCCACCCGCCGCGGGTCTCATCCGGACCTCGAAGCTCGCGCGCTTCCCTGCCATGTCCTTTTCCTTCGCCCCGGACCAACCAAGGATCAAAAGCTGAGCGGCGCACAACCGATCACCCAAAACCAGCCCGCAAAAGCCGAGTGTAAGAACAATCGATCGCTGCTGCTGCTGCTGCTGCTGCTGCTGCTTCCTGGAGAGGGGGGGGTACTCAAAAGTACCGGTCACTTTCTCAACTGCGCACGCGCCGCTTAAAAGGGAAGGGGGAGGGAAGCGGCCGCTTTTTCTCCGGCGGAACTTGTTCTACGCGCAGGCGCAGTGACCAACGGCTGGGTCCTTTCCTCTCTCCGATTGGCCGCTTTCTCCTTCCTGGGGCGGGCTTAGCGCCAAATACAAACGAAGTCCGGGAGCTGCTCTGAGGCGCTTCTGGGAGCGAGTGAAGGACCCGCCTGGGAAGGCGGGAGAGGGGTAAGTGGCCCCCCGGCTGCGCCTCAGTTGCCGGTTGTGGCGAGCGGGGTCGCCGCTGTGTCCGCGGCCTGCTTTGGGGCTTCCCGTTGTGGTCACGCGGCTGGTCACCGCGAGAGCCTTTGTGCATAGAATCTGAAGGGTTGGAAGGGACCCCGGCGGTCATCTAGTCCATCCCCCTGCAATGCAGGGATCTCAGCTAAAGCATGCATGGCAGATGGCTTAAAAATCTCCACGGGAAGGAGAATCCACCAGCTCCCGAGGGAGACCTTTCCACTGTCGAAGAGCTCTTACTGTCGGAAAGTTCTTCCTGGGGTTTAGTCGGAACCTCCTTTCTTGTAACTTGAAGCCACTGGTTCGAGTCCTGCCCTCCAAAGCAGGAGAGAACGAGCTTGTTCCCTCTTCCATGGGACAGCCCTTGAGATATTTGAAGATGGCTATCCTATCTCCTCTCAGTCTCCTCTTTTCCAGCCTAAACATACTCAGCATACTTCTACCACAGAAATTTGACAGAGTGGCCAGGATCCCTGATAATGTTTTACTGATTGCATTACAGTGGGTACCTCGGGTTACATACACTTTAGGTTACAGACTCCGCTAACCCAGAAATAGTGCTTCAGGTTAAGAACTTTGCTTCAGGATGAGAACAGAAATCGTGCGGCAGCAGCGGGAGGCCCCATTAGCTAAAGTGGTGCTTCAGGTTAAGAACAGCGTCAGGTTAAGTACGGACCTCCGGAACGAATTAAGTACTTAACCTGAGGTACCACTGTACCTGGGCAGTCTGTCCATTCTTTTGAGATGGTAAATGCTTTAGTTCTAGACTCCAGGTCACAGGCCACCCTTTCCTGCACAAATATGCCCTTAAGACAGGATTTGTAGGATTTGTAAGTGAAAGGATTTACAAGGAAATAGAGGAAATATTTAGAGACATTAGGGGAGCCAAGATGGTTTTTTGGGATTGTTTTGTGTGCTAAAATAATGTGTGATTTTCTCGGGAATAGTTCTTAAAATCTGAAGGACAAAGGATTGGTTTACTGTGGAGTGTGTGTGCATCCTAAAATTTTATAACTAGAACCACCCCAAAGGGGACCTTCAATAATTATCTCAGTTCACAGATGAGCTGGTGCGGAGTTTGGTGCTTCTTCTGGTACTTGTATCTCACCCTGCACTTTTTCTCTTCATAGATATCAATGAAATCTTGTCAGCGATTAAGCCGTTATGAAGCCCAGCGAACCCCCAGCAATGCACCGGCTCGAGTTCGGGTTTGTGTGCGATTGCGGCCAAGTGTGGGAACAGGAGAGGGAAAGGAAGCCCCTTGTGTACGTGGCGTGGACTCCTGCTCCCTGGAGATCCTGAATGTGAGAAATAATATGGAGACAATGAAATACAAGTGAGTTGGGAAGAACCAGGCTTCGTGTAGGTTGTGGCCCTATGGTACCCCTGTATATGGTTTTTAACAGGGGCATTAGTTGGAACTGAGCCGAGTCTGGAGGAATAGCAGCCCTTCTCTTCCAGTATGAGAAGCAACAGAGGCCTTCTTCTAGGCCCCTCGCTGTCATTTGTCTGTCTCCTTGCAACTGACGGGATAGGTAAGGGAAACCACTGGCTTAAAGTGACTGCTTCTGCCTGTTTTGCCACTGCTGTTCTTTGATTGTGTAGGCATGACGGGTTGCTACTGGACTGTTAGCAGTCTCTGCATATGAACAAAGGAGGGAGAGATGGTGCCTGTCTTCCTGCTGGGGAAAGTATTGGTTCAGTTGAATCCCCCATCCCATCCTGATGCTATAAGAATTTTTAGGTCTTAGATATATAATAAATGTTCATAAATGTACCAAGCAAACACGTAATAATAATAATAATAGTAATAAATTTTATTTATATCCCGCCCTCCCTCAGGGCGGCTAACAACCAATAATAAAAACAACTTGATTGGAATACAACTTAAAAAACTAGGTTAAATACAACATTAAAACATTAAAATGCAGTCTCATCACAGGAGGAGAAAGGAAAAAAGAAAGAGGGGGAGGGATGTACATAAATATATAAACCACATGTCTGAAGCAGCACAGGAAGACAGTCCTGAAACCATTTTAACTCCCAAACTGACCAAATGTTTCTCTGCAAGGAGGGAGGAAATGAAAAAAACCTTCCCATTGTCTCAGGAATTAAGTAATTTCCATCATCTCAAAGGAATGGCCAGACTACCAGAAAAGGCAATCAGATAAAACATTATCAGATAACCTGGCAGACAGGAAAAACAACATTGAAATTTCTGTTGTAGATCGCCTTTTCTGTGATGTAGGTATGATGTATCTGGGGGGTGGTATTGGGCTACACCCCTTCTGTGATGTATGTAGGATGTATGGTGGGGTGGTCTGGAGCTCCAGGGCAGGGAATTTCAAAATGGATATATAAGGCCTTGCGCTCCTCCTCTCTCCTGCATGTGGGGGAGCAGCCTGTTGCAGCAGTTAATAAAGATCAGGCTTACTAGTTGCTTTGCTTCTCAATATTCTCTGGTTGGTCTCTGTTATTTTCTCCTACTGATAGAAAACTTACAAAAGGACTCTATATGGGCTCTTGGGTACCCCATAGGGGAAAAGGAGCGGTTTTTTTTTACTTATTTCATTGAGAAGCTGTCAGTCCCTACCTTTCGTTCACATTTCCCTCGCGGTATATTGCTTGGTTGAAACAACTGATGTCATTTCAAAACTGGCTTTGGACAGTGTAGCAATTTATTGCACAGCCCTAAATAGCACTCTGGTTTCCAACAGGTATCTGGTTGGCCACTGTGAGAACAGGATGCTGTGTCATTGTCCTGATCCAGCAGGGCCATTCTTAGGTTGATAATAGTCTGTACAACATGAATGGGGGTATGCTAGGGAAAAAAGCTCCTAAGGGACATCTGCCACTCCTTCTGCAAAGCCTCCTGTTACTTATCCCTGCTGTAGAAATTGCTGAACTTTTGGAGAAGCCAGCAGGCCTCAATCCCACTTCTCTATTCCCACCAGATTTGACGCTTATTACAGTGCAACGGCCACGCAGTATGATGTCTACATGGGGTCAGTTCAGCCTATCTTGCACCATCTGCTGGAAGGGCAGAATGCCAGCATCTTGGCATATGGGCCTACCGGAGCAGGTAACTCTAAAACAGTGCACAAAGGGATGAACCCAACCTAGAGTTGCTGGGGGTCGGCAGGTGGGCTAGGGCTTGGAATTGGGTTGAGGGAGGACGCGTGGTTTTTCCTCTCTCCATATCTCTTTTGTTTCCCCTCCATAAAATGGCAGGGAAGACGTACACCATGTTGGGGAGTCCGGAGCAGCCGGGGGTGATTCCAAGAGCAGTTCAGAATCTCTTGCAGATGACAAGGGATGCTTCGGGGGATCAGCGGAAGTACTCGGTCTCTATGTCATACCTGGAAATCTACCAAGAGAAGGTAACGGGTGCTGGACAAAATGCGTAAGGGGGAAAACAGCCTAGTATATAAGAATGGTGGGATCTTTGGGGAAGAAAGCAGCTTAGAACAAGATGGGGCTGAGGAGCCAGATGTATTGGGGAGAGCATGACCTAATTAGACTACAGCAAGTGATACTGGCAACAGATTTGCACACACTCTGGCCTCCTTTTTTGTTGTATTGAAGACTGGCAGTGTTTTGAGCCCTGGGAAGTTCGTTAATGTGACCAGAACTCCATCGTGTTCCCAGCTGGTATTTAGGTGATCAGTGTGTCATCTGCTGCTAGTCTGATCTGGAGAGGGTCCCGTCTCAGTGCCTGCTGATGCTGTCACATGGGTACTCTGGCCCTGCTTGAAGATTGGTGAAGAACTGAGGCATTGCTGATGGGAATGGGGAAAGAGACTGGGCAGCTGCTTCAAAAGCAAGCCGAAATGGCTGCAAAGGGGGAGAGGAAAAAGGAAAGAGCAGTAGAAGGGCAGGGAAGACAGATGGAGTAAGGCAGGGGTGGGGAACCTTTGGCCCTCCAAATATTGCCGGACTGTAGCTTCCATCTTCCCTGACCACTGGGCATGCTGAGGGGAGTTGGAGTCCTACAAGCTCTGGAGGGCCTTAGGTTCTTTATCCTTGGGGGAAGCAGACAGACTGGAGCCTGGGAAGGAGGAGAATTTGAATGCAAGTGGAGAAAGGACAGGGAGGAGGAGGGGGAAATTTGGAGGAGTGAACAGAGCATGGCATGGAAGTTAAATGGAGACTAAAGGTGATGAGCCAGAAGTGCCCAGGAGAAAGGAGGTCTCTTACAGAGGAGGGCAAGAGGTGAACTAGAGAACTTATTCAGTGTTTGCAGAAGGTTGGATTTGCATTCTACTTGATCAAACCACATAATCTGTCCAAGTAAACTTACGTTGTTCTCCATGTGCTTCTGAGAAGCCAGGGGATTTAAGTGAGGTGGGGTTTGAGGTGCCACCTGGACCAACACTAGTCTGCTTGTTCCCCAGGTCTTGGACCTTCTAGAGCCCTCCCTCCGTGACTTGCCAATCCGGGAGGATCAAAACCACCACATTCTAGTGCCTGGTCTGACAGAGAGAGAGATAACCAGCTTCTCAGACTTTGAGAAACATTTCTTGCCTGCCAGCAGCAACCGTACAGTGGCATCCACACAGCTGAATAATCGCTCGAGCCGCAGTCACGCTGTCCTGCTGGTGTACGTGAGCCAGACCCGGGGCTGGCCGCCATATGCCCAGCGGGCTGCCAAGCTTTGCCTTATCGACTTAGCCGGCTCGGAGGACAACCGGCGGACAGGCAACAGAGGGGTGCGCCTGAAGGAGAGTGGGGCCATCAACACGTCACTCTTTGTGCTTAGCAAGGTGGTGGATGCCCTCAACAAGGGGCTGCCTCGCGTACCCTACAGAGACAGCAAACTCACTCGCCTGCTGCAGGTAGTTGGAGTGCCTGGGTTCATTGGTGGGGCTGTGGATTTGGGAAGAGCTGTGTTTTATTTTACTGAGCATATTTCTCTTTCCTTAAAGGATTCTTTGGGTGGTAGTGCTCACAGCCTGATCATTGCAAATATCGCCCCTGAGAGGAAGTACTACTTTGAAACGCTCACAAGCCTCAACTTTGCTGCCAAATCCAAGCAAGTGGTGAACAAACCCTTCACGCAAGAAACTCTGCTGGATGTTGGTGAGGAAGGGAGCTGGCCTGAAAACAACAGTATTTAGCAGAAGTGGGGCAAAACAAGTTTTTTGGAGGAGAAAGGAAGGGCAGGATTCTTGGGCTGCCCAGGAGCAGAGTGGGGTGTAGTATACAGATTCACTGCCCCAGATTTCTTTATCATGGTTCAGATACATATACACTAGAACCATTCATGGTCTGTCCTTTTCATCAATGACCAGCTGACTCCTGTCAGAACCAGTCTCTGCCTTGCAGTCGTCTGGGGAGGAGGGTCTGCTTTGGATTCCTGTGCCTACTGAGATTATGTGAGTGGTGTCAATGGTTTGGGCCTCTTCAGTGGTGGCACCCAGATTTTGGAACACCTTCCCTAGGTCCATGTTTTAGGTATCAAGTAAAAACATTTTTGCCCTTGCTGTCTTTTATCTTAAGCTGCTTTTATAGGGTGGATACGTTTACACTTACGTTGTGTTTTTAGTTCTGTTTTGTGATTGTGGCTCTCCCCCCCCCCAGGATATTTTTTGAAAAACATTTTAATATCAATTAAGTTATTCTGATATGTAGCTTGTAAGCTGATGGTTTGTAAGGAGACTTGAAATGCTTTTGATAAGGCCGGGATATTTGTCACAATTTGTTCTTTGTTGATATCCCACCACTAAGGATACAAATCATTCCAAGGCACTTTACCAGTAACTTTGTAATAAAATTACAACGAAGACTATCCAAACAAAACAGGATCCTTTCTGCAGTTGGTGGTAGGTGGCCCAGTGGTAGTGAAGGAGGACAGTCCAGGTGGAGCAGGCTCCAAGGTTCAATAAACACATCAAATAAATTTTAAAAAATCCTCCCCACACAGAAGCATCGAAAAGACCATGCCCATCTTCCAGTGATGCAGGCCCTGAAGCCAAGAGACCTTGTCCAGAGGAGGAACAGCCCAGCTTGGTTGAAGAGAAGCCATTCAGGTGAGACACCAAACATTTTATAGGCTTTGGTGAAGGGGCAAGCAGTGCTTCTGTGGTGCAGTCAAATTCTCTCCTGCCACTTCATGAGGATGGTCACTCCACCCTTAAAGCGTTGAGCAGCTCTCTCTGGCTTGTTAGAAAAGGTAGGCCCTACTTTCTAGTCTCTTTCCCCACCAGTTCCTTGCTGCCGATGGAGAATCTTGAGCCGGCCTTGGCTGAAAAGCTGCTGCACTTGGAGGCCTTGGAAACACAGCAGGCTGGGGCAGAGAGTTGTGCGTTGCCCCTCCTCAACACCCCACGCAGCGAGCGGCTGGAATTCCGGAGGCTGCTGGAGGAGACTCGGCGTGAGCTGCAGGTGAATAATAATAATAATAATAATAATAATAATAATTTATTTATACCCCACCCATCTGGCTGAGTTTCCCCAACCACTCTGGGCGGCTCCCAATCAAGTCTTAAAAACAGTACAGCATTAAATATTAAAAACTTCCCTGAACAGGGCTGCCTTCAGATGTCTTTTAAAGATAGGATAGCTGCTTATTTCCTTCACATCTGAAGGGAGGGTGTTCCACAGGGCGCCACTACCGAGAAGGCCCTCTGTCTGGTTCCCTGTAACCTCACTTCTCGCAATGAGGGAACTGCCAGAAGGCCCTCGGCGCTGGATCTCAGTGTCTGGGCTGAACGATGAAGGGTTTGCTCTTCCTCTATGTCCCATCATGATCCCTCAAAGACTGCAATGGGCTACCTCCCATAAACAAACACAATGCCTTGTTTATTGTGAGGTCTACAGTGTTTCATTTGTTGATCAAGTTTTTAAATTTCTATGTGTGGTTACTATGTTTCTTCCCTTACAGCAACACACTTTTTTTTTAAAAAAAAGGCTTCTGAAGTGAGTGGCAGGCAGTAAATAAAGCTGTTAATGGGTGGATCCAAGGACTGAAAAATATGAAAGGGGCAGGAAAAGTGCACTAAAAGGAAAGTGAGAGAACAGCAGCTCTTTTTTTTAGGACTCCAGGGATTCCTTTTGCCTGGTGTCTAAACATCTCGCTTATCAATCACAGCTCCAACTTCATTCATTGGCTACAAACAATGACGGACAGGAGCAGCCAAGCTGGTTCAAGTCACAGTTACCTGCACATTTTGCTTCTTGGGTTTTTTTTCTAGGAGGGCTATTGTTGTTGCTGTTGTTGTTTTAAACTCAGGAGGCCCTGCCTGGGGTGCCAGTGAAGCCTTTGCCTGGGCAACTCTGGTTAAGCCAGTGGCTCCAATGTAAAGGCCAGTTTTGAAGGAAGAAAGAGATGTAGCACTAAGTAAGTCCTGTAGGAGGGGATTCTTATGTAAATTGAGCTGTGTCCATCTTGCACTGGAACTGCTTCATTATGGCCCTGGCAGTTTATACAGTTGGCAATACGATCCTTGTTGGGCTGGGAACCTGATGGCAGCCCCACGCATTCCTGGAGGCCACCGAACGCACACCCTGTTCCCTCCATCTGAATCTGCTTATTATGTTCTTCCTCTTCCTACAGAGGCTTAAGAAGAAGCAGCTGGAAATGGAAACCAAGGTTCTGCAGGACAAAGAGCATGGACGTGGTTCATGGGTGCCTGCCAAACGCCAAGGAACAGCAGTGGTATTGCCCTTCCAGCAAGGTAAAATGGCGCTGGGTCTGGAAAGCAGGACTCCCTTCTCATGCTCCTCCCTCCTATGACATCACAGCTCTCCTTCCTTACCTCTCCAGTGCAGCACCTGGAGAACTCTGAGAACGAAGATAGCATCATCATTGTAAAGCAAAAGAAGGGAGGTCGAAAGAAGAAGGTGCGTAAGGGGGTTTGTTGAACTTGGGGCTGGTGATGGTTAACAGGTGTATATACCACTTAGGTTTTTGAGGCAGTTTACAAACATGGTTTAATAAAGTTATATATGGATTCTGCCTGGGCAGGCTTCCCCTGTAGATCTTCTGCCCTAGAACAAAGAACAGATTCCCTTAACTATTGCCTGTTGTTGGTTCATGTTCAGACTGCCTCAGTCTTAGCAGTGCGGCAAAGATCAAGCCTTACCCAGAAGGATACACATCTGCCCTCACCCACACACCATGTTTCTGGATCAAATCTGGAAGTGGAACAGGTAGCAGTAGCCAGATCAGAAAAATCAGGGCTGTTCCTGCTGACCACATGCTTTTCCTCCCCTTCCCTGTTTTAAGCAATTTAAATTCTTACGGGTAAGGTTGGTGGGAAGCAGCCTGAAATGGTTTATTCCGAGAGCAGAAAGAAAGTAGCTTTGCAAGTGTCTTGAGGGAGCCAGAGCAAAGTTCTGGACTCACTGCCTCAGATCAGCAGTCTCTCTCTCAGCTGTTAGGCCCAGAGCTCACCCTGTCCAGCTGCCTCACTGGAGACTGAACTTGGGGCATGGACTGAGTTGGTGCTTTTCAAACTTTCCATGTTGCCAAGCATGCAGCAGAACACATGTTACAGAGGATCCTGGAGGATGGTCTAGACCAGGGGTGGGCAAGATTTTTGGAGGGTGGGCCGGTTCACCGTACCACAAACCTGGTAGGCCAGAGTGCATGTGTTCGCGCACTCATGCACACACGGCAGAGGGGGCTTCCCTCTCCCCCCAGCCCCTCCTGTCCCCCTACCTACCTAGGGTGCTGCCGAGATGCAGCGGCTGGCGGCAGCAGCGGAGGAGGAGGAACGAGCAGCCCAGAAGGGCTACTTTCGAGCTGCTCGTTCCTCCTCCACCACTGCCGACAGCCCCTGCCGCTCGCAAGGGCAGGCACAGGAGCCGCGCTTGACAGAGCGGCGGCACAGGCAGAGGCGGCAGCACGAGTGGCAGCAGTAAACAGCTTGCTCCGATGAGGGGCTGCTGGAAATGCGCTTGGCCAGCTCAGCCCAGCCCCCTTCCTCCTCTTGGCCGCGTGCAGCCGCTGCTTGCCCATTGGCCAGGGCCTCAAACCTTAGCAGGCGATTGGCCGGCAATTTGCTGCACCAGGAGGGAGGAGGTTCCGCCACGGTGAGGGAAGAGGGGGGAAATGGTGCCTGCATCGCGAAAGAAACCAAAAACCACGGAATCCCAAGGCTGATCCACGGAAAGCCAATGGGCTGGTTCCAGGAGGCCCATGGGCCTTAGGTTGCCAACCTCTTGTCTAGACCACAGGTCGGCAAGGCTTACTGGGCATGGGCCAGATCCCTCCCGCGGAGATTCTCCAAGGGTCGGACCGGCGCAGCGTGATGCCGGAAATCACGTCTGCGTATGTCTGCGGCGCCAGAAATTGCTTCTGCGCATGCCCAGACGCCAAAAATCGCACCTGTGCAGAAGTGATTTCCAGTGTCTGGGCATGCGCAGAAGCGTTTTCCAGAGCCACGGAAGAGAGTTGCCGCGCTGCGCTGGTTCACGAGCAGGCTCGTGGGCTGCTTCCGGCCCATGGGCCTTAAGTTGCCTACCCCTGGTGTAGATCATCAGCCTGAGAGTAGTGATTTTTGTAAGCCTCTCTGAGTGTGCGTTCAGCTAAAGGCAGGGTTATAAATACTATAAATAAGGTGGCTCCGGCAGTTTCCAGTGGGCCTGCTTCAAGGACATGGCTCTCAGCAGATTCCAAAAACCCTGACACAGGCCTGTGAAACAAGAGAAGGTAAACTCAGCAGTGGTAGTTGTCTGTCTTATCTTCTGGAGAACTTTATTCTGCACACCTGATATCTCATTGAAGAACCCCTGAGAAGTAAAAGGCGAAAGATTTATACGATCTGAGGAGAAGCCAGGGTATGCTTGTGATTGGTGGATTCAGTGAAAGAATGAGATGAGAGTGAGATGAAGGCCAGTTAGGAAACAGACGGGTGTGACACCACACCACTTCTTATGTTGCATGCTATATCCAGGATTCGGCCCCTGGCTCTGAAAACAAGGTTCCCTCTGAGTGGGAGATGGTGCTTCAACCTGAACTGATGGCCCGCACCAAGGAGAACATCCTGGCCATCCTGAACACAGGTTCTGTGAAGGATCTCATGGCCCTGCACCAGATTGGCAAGAAGAAGGCTAATCGCATTGTGGCCTGGAGAGGAGAGCATGGGTCCTTTGAAAAAGTAAGTGGGCTCTGAGGGCAGAGCTGCTCTTCCATCGTTTGAGGCATGTGCAGGTGAAGCTACTGTGCAGAGGACATTAATCCTCAGGTAGGAGGGAGGCCATGCAAGGCTTTAACACGTTTAGACCTGGCTCAAGTTCAGAGCGTTGAAGTCTAGTGGGCAGAGCATTAAGTCTTGGAGGACTCCTGCTTCAGCCTTTAGCTTAGCAGGGAGCCTTGGAGTTTGGAATACTGGCTCATTCTCAAATCTGGGAGGGGAAGGAAGCAGCACCCTATTCTTGTAAGAAATGGGTTGAAATAAAGGTCCATCTAGTCTTAACGTTTTTGTAGCAAGCCAGAAGCTTCTGGGAAGCCCACCAGCATGGCACGAAAGCAATATTCCCCCCCCAGCAGTTAGAATTGGAATAATAATAATAATAATAATAATAATAATAATAATTTGTACCCACCCATCTGGCTGGGTTTCCCCAACCACTCTGGGAGGTTCACAATAGTATATTAAAAACATGGTAAGACACCAAACATTAAAAACTTCCCTAAACAGGGCTGCCTTCATATGTTCTCTAAAAGTCAGGTAGTTGTTTATTTCCTTGGCATCTGATGGGAGGGCGTTCCACAAGGCGGACACCACTACCGAGAAGGCCCTCTGCAGAATGCTGCAGTGTGATTGCTGACAGGAGTGAGGCCTTGTCAGTGGGTAAAACCTGTGCTTGGAGATTTGCACTCTTTGCCGATTTCCTACCGGGCCAAGTTCAAGGTGCTACTATTAGTATATAAAGGCCCTTAACAACTTGGGACCAGTTTACCTACAAGATCGTCTTGCCCCACATATTTCTACTCAACCGGTTCAATTGGCAGAACTAAACTGCCACATAATACCCGTTCTGCATTTGTAAGAACCCGATTGTTTAATGTGGCAGCACCTGCACTTTGGAACTCCCTGCCTTCTGAGATCAAGAAGTGCCTTCACTGTATTCTTTGGCGCTTGCTAAAAACATTCTTGTTTAGGCAAGCTTACCCAGATGCTTGGGAAGTTGAGGTAATGTTAATCTGTTTTAGTATTTTAACTTTTGTATGCTTTACAGTAGGGTTCTGAATATTTCTCCATTTTCTTGTTTTATCTTTTTGTAAACCACTTTGAGGTTGCAATTTTTAAAAATCAAGTGGTGTATAAATTTTATGAAATATATAATAAATATTACCTTTGAATGTGGAGGTTTCATTTGGATACTGTGGCCAATTGTTGACAGAGACTGGAAATGCCAGATGCTGAGTAAAGCAAAATGCTCTACTACTGTGGTATTGCTATTCCCTCAGAATATATTTTTTTTGCTGTGGACCTGAGATCTATGGATGAGGGGAGGTATACAAATTTAATAATTATCTCCATGACTTTGCAACTTTGTGTAACCTACACATTTCTCCTTCCTCCTTTTCTCAGGTAGAGGACCTTGGGAAAGTCGAAGGAATCTCTGCCAAACAAGTAGCTTCTTTTCTGAAGGTGTGTATTTAATTCAGTTCCGTCACTGTGGCTATAAGCTTATCTGGAGTAGAGTCCATCACATTAGATGAATGGAGTGTTATCCTTGGATGGCAGATGAATAGGTAGAGAGGGGAAAGTGTAAAGAGAAGTGTAAGTTTGTCATGAAATGCAAGGGGCACAGCAGCCTACTAGCTTAATGTACAGCGACAGAAGTTGCTATCCATAACTTTTTCTACCTGTCCCTTGGGAAACAAGTAAAAAAACATCCTGCCTCTTTTGAGCTTGGTAGACTGGCAGGTGTGGGATCAGTCTTTCTGTCTTCCTGCTTCATTTCCCTCCTTCTCTCAAGAGCCAACATAGAAATCATGTAGGCTGGTGGGGGATGATTTGCTTCACCCCATTCATATCATTCCATCCCTCATATCAGCCTACCTACATTATTATACTGGCCACAAAAGAAAGAAAGCTCATTCGTCTGCAGCCAACATAGAATGCAGATTAGTGGGTCCCTACCTTCTCCACCAGCCAGCTTACTAGCCTGAATGGAATTTCTTATTGCCTGTGGCAGCTTTTTGCCTACCTCACGCCCTCCAGCTGTCCAAAATAGGCACCAGGCAGGTGAAAGCTGGCCTGTGGTGTCCAAGTGTGAGTATTTAAAACACAAGGCCGAGATACAGGTTGTGATAATTCTTTGTAAAGCTTAAATGTATGCATTGTAATCTAGTATGCACTGGATTTAAAAGGTGCTAATGTTACAAATAACAGAGGAATTAAAATTCTTGCTCTTCTCTCTCCCCTACCCCCTTTCCTAGGTAAATATCCTGACCAACATTGGAAATCTTCAGTAACTGGATTGGTTCTGGAAAGCATCTTCTCCCTACATTGATTTTTATTAAAAATGACTTGGGTTTTTATTCTATTTTAGCTTTGGTGCATTTAAATATATTAAGCATATAAAAGTAGTACAGAAAACTTGTACATCTCAAATGGTTATTTTATATTGCCACCACCAACTTCCTACTTTTGGTTACAAAAAGAAAGAAGAGCGCTGCTGGATTGTAACAAAAGCCCATCAAGTGTAGTATCCTCTTCTTGCAGTGGGCATTCAGGGGCCGTGAGATACCTGCAACAGCAACTGTCTGCACCTTGATTCCCAGCAAATAATAGTCAGAGGCATGCTTCCTTTTGACACTGGAAGTAGTAGATAGCCCTTGTGGCTAGTAGTCATTGGTAGCCTTATCATCCATGAATTTGTCAATTTAAAACCATTCCATGTCCATTTAAAACTATTCCCTTAATTCCATTTAAAACCATCCATGTTGACTGCTTTCACTATCCTCTGGGAACAAATTCCCAGGGAAACTCCTTATATGAAGAAGTACCTTCTTTTGTATGAAATCAGTGCATAAAAGATGCCAAAATCAAAGTGAGGAGGAAACCTCACGTGCGGGGAAATATATTAGGATGGATAAAAAGGAAATAGTGTTGGAGATACTTAGGATTGCTATTTAAATGTATTACCCACTCTTCGCTATCAGGCTCCCAACAATTAAATGTCTGTATTAAAAGCAGTTTATTTTATTTTTAAATAATTTCCAAACATTAAAATGCAGAGTTCTTTCCTTTAAGATTAAATTTACTACATCTTTTACCCTTATCTATCTATTATATAACTATAATTACCATTAAAACAATTCCACATTACAAATGTCTTCACATCCCTGCCAAAGATTTTAACTGTTTACAAACTTACTCCAGTCTTTAGAAAATACTTGATCTTCCTGGTTTCAGATCTTCCCAGTCAATTTCGCCATTTCTTCATACTGCATCAATTTCATGTCCCATTCTTCTTTTGTTGGTACTTCTTCCTTCCATCTCTGGGCTAGTAGCATTCTTGTTGCAAACATAAAAATCTTTTATCTTATCTTGGAAACTCTTCACCTACAATGCCTAATAAGAAGGCTTCTGGTTTTTTAACAAATGTATTCGTAAACATTTTCTTTAACTCATTATACTGTATATCATTTCCCAGAAAGCCTTTACCAATGTTCATGTCCACCACAAAAAGTGCCCTCTTTTTCTTTACATTTCCAACACAGTTTAGAACTTGTTTTGTACATTTTAGCAATTTTACTCGGTGTTAGATACCAATGATACATCATTCTCATATAATTTTCTTTCAATGAACAGCATGCAGTAAATTTTATTTCCTCTTTCCATAACTTTTACCAGGATGAAAGTTGGATATTATATCCAAAGTCTCTAGCCCAATGTAGCACCACTGCCTTAACTTCTTTGTCTTTTGTATGCCATTCTAAAAGTAATTTGTACATTTTTGATAGCACTTTCACATTATTTTCGAACAGATGTTTCAAACCTCGATCTCATTGTATCAAAACCTTTCTTTTTGTCACCTTTAAAAACATTTAATTGGTGATACTGTAACCAATCCATTAACCGTTCTCTAATATTCTCAATTTTTTCCAATTTTAATTGGTCTCACGTCTCTTTTAACAAATCTTAATAGGTGACCCACTTGCCTCTCATATTTACTTTTTTAACTGAAATTGCTTCTAATGGAGAGAGCCACCATGGTGTTCTTCGTTCTAATACAGTCATACCTCGGGTTGCGAACGTGATCCATGCGGGAGGCATGTTCGCAACCCACAGCGCCGCGTCTGTGCACACACGTGACGTGATTCAGTGCTTCTGTGCATGCGCTGAAACCCAGAAGTAACCCGTTCTGGTACTTCCAGGTTTGGCGCAGTCCATTACCCAATAATAATAATAATAATAATAATTTTTATTTATACCCCGCCCTCCCCAGCCAAGGCCGGGCTCAGAGCTCAAAATGTGCAACCCACAGCATTCGCAACCCAAGGTATGACTGTAGATTCTTGTACCTATCCCTCATAGATTGATTTTCTTATCAAATGGTTCAGGAATCCTTTATGTACTTTTGTTTTATCATACCACAAATACGCGTGCCACCCAAATCTATTATCATGACCCTCCAGATCTAATAAATCTGTGTTTTTTAACAAGATCCATTCCCACAACCAGCAGAGGCAGGATGCTTCATAATATAACTTCAAATCTGGCAGGGGTGGGGTCCTAAAAACACATATCTAAGGTGCCAAGGGCCAGGGGAGAGGTTTGTCTTTAGCATCTGTTGAAAGCTGTATAGTAAAGGTGCTAGACACACCTGTCAGGTGGGAATTCCACAGCATAGTGGTTGACACAGATTAAGATTCTTGTTCCACTGTAAGTGGTTAGAAGTTCTGGTCTTAAAACTTGTGTGATGACTTTAAGCTTTTTTTTTTTAAGCCAGTGATTCTCAAACATCTGTTGGATGAGGGTTTATCTTCCCAGAGCTGAATTAAGGGGACAGACCCAGCCCTAACCGTTTACTTCTAGGGTGGTGGAATGCTCAGCCCAGCCCATCGTGTTTTTGCATGAGGTACTGTTTGCAACATCCTAGCTCACTGGGAGGCAAATGCAGAGCACTGACAGAGGCAGAGATGCAATAAGCAACTGTGACTATGCATTTCTGCTTTGTCTTTGCCAGGAGTGCCTTAATTGATCCTCACGCCAACTGAAAGAAGAAAGCCTTCCTCCTGCAGAGGCTCACTGCAGGATTTGCTTCCCTGGCACTCTCCCCTGTGGGCATCTGGGTTTACAAGAGCCTTGAGCAATTTCCTTAGTTTCTCAATAAATCTATTTGGCCACTTAGTTGCATGCAGAATGCTCTCAACACAATTATGGCTTTGACCCCAAAGGTGCTTACTCTTGAATTCGTTTCAGAGCAAATACATGTGACCCAAAGTTGATGAGAACAAAAGTGTTAAATGATGAGTGACAAAAGATATCATGTTAAAATATCATGTTAATGACCAAAATCAAGATCTCCTTACACCAACTGCTCAGTTGTCTCAGTGGAGAAGTTACATTAATATGTTTGAATATTGAATGTGTAAGTGTATGTCTAGAGACAATGGCTAGAACAAACACCATTAGCTGTACTGCGGGATAAGCTGTACTGCTGGGTAATTGTATTTGTTTAAAAACAATGAAAAATGTTTTTTTTTAAATCAGAAAAGATCAACAGCAGCAATAGGGAGAGGCACAAAAATATTACTTGGCTTTGAAAATTGAAGCCTTAAGAGAGAAAGATTCAAAGCACAAAGCATTTATAAAACCTTACCTGACTGCTGAAGCCTAGAAAAGCCCCAAATGCCCAAGGGCAGGGGCGAAACTAGGCTTTATTTCACAGGAGTCAAAAGACCCTTTCTGGAACCCCCTCCACACATAAACACACACTGGGAGTCTCAATGGCACCCCTGCCAAGGGGGAAGTCTGATCAATCTGGGGTGTTTATATTTACCATATGAATACTTCTTGCTTTGTCTTGAACAGGGCAACAACTGCAAACAAAATAGGCCAGAGCCTCATTAAGAGTTGTGGGGCAGGATGCTGTTTATTGTCCTGCATATGGCAGCATGTTTGGCAAACCCTCACTGTGATCAACTCCCACCTGGAAACGTCCCCACTGTGGAAGGATGGGTGGATCTAGAATCGGCCTCCATGGTCACTTACGGCCTCACTGTCAAGACTGTGTTCATGGAAGTCAATCTTACCTGGCTACAAGTGATTGCCACAGATGGCAGCATACCATGTGGCAGTTGCCCATGCCCCTGGGGTTGGCCTTCACCAGGGTACTGAGCCTTTAGTGTGAGCCAACGCTGCCCTGTGGAACTCCCTGCCAACAGAAGACTGGTGGGAGGTGTTTGGAAGGGCCTTAGGAACTTCCATTTTGTTTTACCAGTCAAGTTTATGGATATGCTATTGAAGCTTTTCTATTTGCATTGCTGAAGCCTCTGTCTTCACTTACACACACTCACGTTCCGAAAGTGCAGTTTATGAATATTTTAAGGAACATTTTAAGGGACGCGGGTGGCGCTATGGGTTAAACCACAGAGCCTAGGACTTGCCAATCAGAAGGTCGGTGGTTCGAATCCCTGTGACGGGGGTGAGCTCCCATTGCTCGGTCCCTGCTCCTGCCAACCTAGCAGTTCAAAAGCACGTCAAAGTGCAAGTAGATAAATAGGTACCGCTCCGGTTGGAAGGTAAACAGCATTTCCGTGCGCTGCTCTGGTTCGGCAGAAGCGGCTTAGTCATGCTGGCCACATGACCCGGAAGCTGTACGCCGGCTCCCTCGGCCAATAAAGCAAGATGAGCGCCGCAACCCCAGAGTCGGCCACGACTGGACCTAATGGTCAGGGGTCCCTTTACCTTTACCTAAGGAACATACCCCTTCAAGAGGGAAAGATGTGAAGCTGGACAAAGCCATGGGAACTGCTGGAGGGGCGTGTAGAATCATGGAGCTGGAAGGGAACTAAGGGTCATCTAGTCCAACCCCTGCAATGCAGGAATCTCAGCTAAAGAGTGCCTGCCTTCAGCCCCTGCGACGCTACCGGCACAAACAAGCCGATATAAGGCGCTTTAGCTGCCCCGGCTGGAAGAACGGCGCATGCTCCAGCTGCTGCGCGCGCTAGTTAACGGATTTTTTTTCCCCCAGTAGTGCGCCTGCGCAAAAGACAGCACGGTGCGTCTACCGAGTCGCGCGGGCCCCCTTTCTGCGTAAACCAAACGCTCAGTGCGGCTCACGGTTGCTTGTAATGCGCACGCGCACGCTCAGCGCCGTCCCTCCTTGCTTCCTCGAGCATTCAGCATCAACGGCTCGCCTTCTGGCGCAGGCGCACTTCTGCTCCTCCGCCCCTGGGAGGGAGCACAGTCCCGGCCTCTGTTGTCTTGCTCAATGCGAGCGGGTACCCGGATGTAGAGGCTAACTGCCAGGCGAAGCGACCAGAGAGCGAGCGAGGGCTCCGAAGTGCATGCGCAGTCGCTGTCCCTGCGCCCCCTTGCTCCCGGGCTTAGGCGTCTTGGCCGGCCGTTGGGCCCTGAGTCCGGGCGGGGCTGAAGGGGAGGCGCCTGGGCTGAGCCCACCCCGCTCTCCCTTGGGAGGTGAGTGGCTGGGGGCGGCGGAAGGGCCGGGGGTTGCAGGCCTCCCGGGACTGAGGGGAAAAGGCCCAAACGGAGACGAGCCAGGGTTGGGAAGAGGCCCGTCCAGCACCTCTTCATTGGCTTCGTCTGCTCAGGCCCTGAAGGCCCCGCAGAACAGCAAAATGGAAGCAGCCCAGGCAGCAATAAATGGGAAGACAGGTTGCGGGTGGGCTGGCAGGAAGATCGCCGGCAAATCAGTGCCGAGGGGCTGAGGGAGGGGGGCTGGGGTGGGGCGGGCAGCAGGAGGAAATAAGAGCCCGAGGGGCAAAAAGAGGAGTGCAAAACACGGGACACTCTCCTGTTGTTTCCTGCTGACGTGACTCACAGGACACGGAGCTGGTTTGGTTTATATATTCATTTACAAACCAGCACCCTCCCCTTCTAATGCCCATGCACCGTTTAGGGTGGCTAACAACTAGAACTACCACTAAATAAAATAAATCTCCCCAACCCCCCAAAAAATAACAAAACAAGCATTAAATACTTATTCATCTGATAAAGTAAGTGCCTGCCTAAACAGGAAGGTTTTTGCTCTATGGTGAAATGCTGTAAGAGAGGGGTACGGACAAAGAAGCGTCATCCCTTAATTTCCACCAACTGAGCCTCAACTGTAATGAAGCCACAAATGATCTAGTTTCTTACCAGAGAGTTGACAAGGAACTGGTAAGAGTGGGATGGGAAGATAGTGTGTGGTGGTGGTGTGGGGAGAGGTATGTCTCAAACAGCAGTGAGACAGGTGGGTCTGAAACTGTCGTAAACATTTTACAATATTGTGCAGAGAGCACCCTTCGCCAACCTGGCACCCTCCATATGTTCTGGGCTACCACTCCCATTAGCCTCAGCTAATGGGGCTATTGATGTGGGTCAGTGGCCTGCAGTGACATTTTTCATAGGGAACAGTTAGATTCCTGTGTTGCAGGGGGTTGGACTAGATGACCCTCATGGCCCTTTCAGACTCTATGATTCTAAGTTCTATGAGTCCCTGCATATACCTTGCAACCAGTAGTGTGGGGATAACAATACTGGTCAGCCTTACAGGGTTGTTGCACTAATAATAATAATAATAATTTTATTGTTTAAACTTTGCTCATCTGGCTGAGTTTCCCCAGCCGCTCTGGGTAGCTTGCAGCATATATAAAAACACAGTAAACATAAACTAGGCTAGTCCCACTAGTCCAAGGAGCGGATGCCCCATATATAAGTTGTAGTCCAAAACATCTGCTGAGTATCTGATCGATGGAGGCTGCACTCTGCTATGAAAGTTAGAAGTGTGTGCAAGGGGTGGGGGGTTGAGACGAGTCTCCATAGGCCCTACTCCAGAGCTTTCCAAACTTTTCAAGTTGGTGACACATTTTTTGGACATGCATCATTTCATGACACAGTAATTCAGTTTTACTAGCAAATTGGAGGTTAAATCAACCCATTCCAGCCCCAAGAGGAGTGCAGGGGAGCATTTGTGCGACATTCCTACACACTGCAGGTGACACACGAACGTGTTGCGACACACAGTTTGGAAAACTCTGCCCTACTCCATCTAATCCAAGCTCCTTTGCAGGTAATGTGGTTTGGGAAGGCCTCCCAGCTCACTTTCTGTTTCTGCAGGTGGTTATGTCAGCTGAGGCCACGGCAGACCAGGTCCCACCCCTGGAGAATTGTGCCCCGCTAGTCCCAATCCAGCAGCGACGGGATGGCGGCGGAGGGGTAGCCGGTGTAACCTTTGATCTCAAACCCCTTAACCCCAGCAGCAAGTATGTCAAGCTGAACGTGGGAGGGTCACTGCATTACACCACAGTGCAAACCCTCACCAAGCAAGACACCATGCTGAAGGCTATGTTCAGTGGCAGGATGGAGGTGCTCACAGATAGTGAAGGTAAGTGTCCTGGCATCACACAGTCTGTTTCCCCACTCAACCCTTCTCCCAATCCAGGTTTCCTGCTCAGCTGAGATTATATGATATAGTAAAATAAATAAATTTTAATACTTTTTGGACCAAAAGCCCCCAAAGCCATGAACAGCACTACTGCATATTACAAAAGAAATCTATAGGAAAAGTGCAAAGCATTAGATCAATCAAAGTGATTTTTTAAAATAGCATGAAAATTCAATCAAGAATATAAATTATGTAATAGGAACTAGTTACGAATAAGTGTGGCACTTTGGAGGTGACAGAAATCTGTCATTCTGTATGGCTTCTTTGCAGACACAAAGAAATTGTCAGAACTACCTTACACCTGCTTCTGATAGGATGAACAGTGAACCCCGGGGGGGAATTCAGGTTAATATTTTTAAAAGATATGAGCAGCTTTCTAATCAAAGACAATTTTTTGATAACTTGGTATCAAGGATGTGTTACATTTTGTTTGTGAGATAAAATATCCTAAATTTCCTCAAGGACCTATCCTAAATACCTTGAGGACCACCTCCTTCCATATGAACCTACCCAGACCCGGAGAGCATCCTTTGAGGCCCTTCTTTGTGTGCCTCCTCCATGAGAGGTCTGCAGGGTGGCAACACGAGAGCAGGCCTTTTCTGCAGTGGCTCCCCATTTGTGAAATCCTGTCCCCAGGGAGGTTCGCCTGTTGCCTTCATTATATACCTTTAGGTGCCAGGCAGAAACGTTGCTTTTTAACCAGGCCTTTGGTTGACTGACATTCAGTGTCCCTTTAAAATATGTAGGTGGGGTTATTGGGTTGCTACTGCTTTTATTTTGATTATGTATTTTGTGTTTCCATATCATGATTTTATCCTGTGAACTGCCCTGAAACCAGCGGGTATAGGGCGGTATACAAATTAAATAGAAAATAACATAAAATATTGTAGCTTCATTAGCAAAATTATATACAAAGACAGCAATGTTTGGATTTCCCTCTAAATGTTTTAAAGTGTTCTCCAGAACAGAGCTACTTTTAATTTTATGTGCAAGAGATCCTTCTCTCCTGGTCTCTGCTTCTGCCCCCCAAAGACCTTTTGTTCAGAGACTAAAATTCTGTTCTTCCTTTCCAGGCTGGATCTTGATTGACCGAAGTGGGCGCCATTTTGGAACCATCCTGAACTACTTGCGCGATGGCTCTGTCTCTCTCCCTGAATCCCAGCGGGAGCTGGAGGAAGTGCTATCTGAGGCCCGGTACTACTTGATCCAAGGCTTGGTTGAGGACTGTCAGCTTGCCCTGCAGGTGAGCTGGTCACCTGCTGAGCAGTTAGGAGGCAGGCAGACTCCTCTGAGCCTCAAGCAGTTTGAAGGAACTGGGGAGACGAAGAGGTGAGTTAGCAAGGCCCACTTGCCTTAGCCTGATTTGGACGACCTGCTACTTGGCCTCTCCCTCTCAGAACTGTCTCCCGCAGTGATTGTTCCATCTGGTGGTTGTAACCATCATGCAACATTATCTAAAAACTGATTCCCCAATCTGCATATTTTTCTTCTTCCTCCCCATCCTTCCACCCTTATTTTGTTACATGTGTTAAATAAACTGTATGTCATTTGTTTTAATTTATAAACTTCCATGAGTGCACTGGTAAAAAGGCAGTACATAAGTGTGGTATGTTCGTAATATGTGGCATCTTCTAGGGCTTCTAATAAGGTTGTAATATATGTGTATGTATCTTTTTCTGCCTAGCAAAAGAGTGAGGCCTATGACCCCCTCTGCCATATCCCCATGGTGACCTCTCCCAAGGAGGAGCAGCAGATCATCTCAAGCTGTTCCAAGGTAAAGAGGCTGTGAAGTCACATAAGGCTCAAGTCCAAGAAGATCATGTAGATTTGCGCCATTTTAGACTGCTTGACTCAGATGTCTTCTTGCTTGTTTAGGGCCATGAGGTGATACTCATGAGTGCAGATGGCATCTGCCCCCATTAGTGAAGTCCTAAGTTGCAAAGCTTCTTAGCCTTCTAGCTAAAATCAAGCACTGCCTACTATAAGATGTACGTTGGAACTCCAGTCTCATGACCCATTCAAGTCATGAAGACTTGCCATGTGACACAGTTTAACACGTGGAAATATTTTAGCACCTTCCACATTGTTGACACAGCATAAAATGGGTCTGATGTGAACACACACATACCAGAAGTTAGAACATATATGAACATTTCATGAAATCACTGTAGCTCGGCCAATGGCAAAGGTGACAGTTTCTCTTATGCAGGTTAAAAAGATAGTTTCCACCATATTTATCCTTCTTTTCCTCCTTTCTTAGCCTGTGGTAAAATTGCTGCATAACCGAAGTAATAACAAGTATTCATATACAAGGTAAGATGCAACACACCCACCCAACTGCTGGAATTGGGCGTAACTTGGTATTGTTTCTTGACTCCCATGTCGCCCATTCTTGACTCCCACCTCCTGGCTAATAGAGGTGTCTTAAGAGAGATCACACCACCATTTCTTCCTTTCCCTCCCCTCCAGTAACTCCGATGACAACTTGCTGAAGAATATCGAACTGTTTGACAAGCTGGCTCTGCGGTTCAATGGCCGAGTACTCTTCATCAAAGATGTTCTTGGGGATGAAATCTGCTGCTGGTCGTTTTATGGGCAGGGCCGCAAGATTGCCGAAGTCTGCTGCACCTCCATTGTATATGCCACCGAGAAGAAGCAGACCAAGGTAATGTGCAGACCCCTGAGCTTCAGATAGGAGCTTTCCCCTTCAGGATAAATTGTACTTGCTCTCCAATATGTCTGATCTTGCTCCTTCCCTCCCTCCCTCCATGGTGTCTGCCCGAAAATGGCTACTGCCAACCAGCAAAGCAGAAACAAACAAGGAAGTAAGGAAGTTGGCTGTTTGGATAAGTGAATGTCCTTTATGTGCTGATAAGTGAATTTTGGGATAGCAAGCATGTGGATCGCAGAACCTGTGTGTACTGCTTTTCAGGCAAACATCACATATTTTCTTTGAAAAAACAATATAAATTAAAACTATATCATAAAGCAATAAAGAGAGAGCCACAGGGAAGAAAACTTTTCGAAAGCAAGGCGTCTCCTTCCTTCAGGGCATGGTGGTCCTTAGGTAGCCCTCTGGTGGCATTTGGGGGAGGGAGTGGAGGGAGTGGTCCCATACATGGGAGAACAGAACCTGAGGGGAGGAAGAGGTTTTCCCCTAGGCCACTCAAATGACTCTTTAGATAAACTGCTACTTCAGGTCAACTCTCCCAGTTCCATTTCTTCCCACCTAGCAAAACTGCAGCCCTGCTTACGTTTTTATGCATCAAGGAGTTCAGAGCAGCTGTTGAGTTTTAGCCTTGCACTATGTGAGTTAAGTTAAACTGGAAAAAACTGTAAAGCTCAAGTTCACCAAGCAAGGATTTGAACCCAGGATTCCATATTGAAACCAAACACTTGCACCACACTGTGGACAGAACTGGTGTTGCTCAGTATGCTCTTGCTTTGCTGCCCCCATGTGCACAGGTGGAGTTCCCAGAGGCACGGATCTTTGAGGAAACCCTGAACATCCTGATCTACGAGACGCCGCGAGTGCCAGACAAGGCCCTCCTGGAGGCAACAGGTGGGGTGGCAGGTGGGGGTGGAGGCCCCCTCCGTGCAGGTGACGACGAAGATGGGCGGGAGCACCGTGTCCGGCGCATACATGTCCGTAGGCACATCATGCATGATGAACGTCCTCACGGCCACCAAGCTGTTTTCAAAGACTGATCCCGCCTCGCTCGCAATGTCCTCATTACTCCATCCATTTAGTGCCAAAGGAGGACCTGTTTTCTCCTTTTGATCTTTCACCTCAAGGTCTTCTCATTGATGTTTGCATCCTTTTCTAACCTCTCTCTCCCTCTGGGCTGCTTTTCTGCCCTCTTGCTATCCCTTGACTTTATTAAGCCCTCCTTTTTATTGTGACAATTGACCTCTTGGTCTGCCCCTTCATTTTACTGGCATGCTCTTTCCAGCTGTTAATTTCCCCTAATGCTTCAGTCTTAAACACCCAACTTCCCACTTCCCCTCACCACCTCACCTGTCTCATAATCTGCAAGACACCACTGAAACCTGGTTTGTGGTCCTTTATTCAAAACCTCTTGACCCTGAACCTTTCCAACCTGAGACCGACTGACTCTTAACTGTCCTCTAAATTAGGCTCCATGGAACAACAACATTATAACAGAGAGAGCTATATGTGAGCAAAGCATATGAATCAGGGGAGCCTACATTCCATCTCAGCTTAATACTGGGCCTCTGGTGACTTCCATTTTGTAACACTGTTATTGGCCTCTTTCAAAGTTCACAGACGAGGTGCTACCTAGACAGGGGTGTGTCAGTTCTTACATAATTACCAATTTTGATCTCTCCATTCTGGGGTCTTCTGCCCTTTGCTTTATGGTACATAGTTGTTTTTTTATTGGGTCAACCCCCAACCCACCCTTGGTTTCTCTTCACCTACTTTTAACTTCTCTGTTGAAGAAACTGCCTGAATTTAAGAGAAGGCATAAATTGTTCAGACAAAAACGGGCTACACTCAGTTTATAATTTTTGATAATGGCATTGACATAACCGGGATTATACAACATATTTATTAGTGTCTTTTTTCTGGAATAATTTCGACTACATTTAGCCTCCTGTGAGCAAAGGAGATTAAATCCAGTGTCAATCAGCCACTTAAAAAATTCATGCATCCAAACTTGGCACCTTTAACCTTTGCATTAGAGCAGGAGGTAACAGTCGTGAAATTGGTTCGTATTACTTATTGTCCTTCTGGGAAAGATGTCAGATAACAGCTGCTATTTTAAATTTTTTTGTCTGGGTCAAAAACACAGTTTGACTGTCTCCTTAAGTGTTGTGTGTCCTGGACCCTGATTCCATCCAAACTATTCTGTCCCACTTACCGGTACGACTTATATCAAAATATGTTAGATGCTTCAATCCCACACTTCATAGGCATCTACACACCATTACAAAACAGCGGAACATGGTCAAGTGACTCTCTTCAGACATAGATCTGTGTAGGTACAGAAGTCTTACTTCTTCCTGCAGAGTTTGAGCACTTGCACTCTGCCCCTGGAATGCCTTCACCCCCTTGTTTTCCATAAGGTTGGGCGGAGGGGGAATCAGGGGTCCTCCAGAATACATTGGCTTGCCAACTCCCATCAGCCCCAGCCAGCATAGCCAGTGATCAGGTTTGATGGAAGTTTTAGTCCATCCATAACTGGAGGGCCACCATTTCCCCATCCTGCCACAGGGATGTCGCTTCATACAAACTTCAGCAAAGTGTAATATGGGACATTTCAACAGCCCTTTCAGTCAACTGTCTCATGGAACAGGGTTTGGATATTAATGGTGGTGGATGGAGAGGGAGGGTGAAATTGCATTCTGTAAATGCAATCTGGTGCAGGTAACTTTACTGGAGAGAAGGTATTATTTTCCTCCATTCTTCTTTTCCCATCTCTATATCCTCCCCTCCCTGGAGGAGGTAACTTTCTTGAATTAATTATTGTAATTTTTTGTATTTGCATAATTTATTTTAAAATTTTTTTTTTCTATTAAATTATTGTAATAAAGGTACCTGCTTAAAAATGGGGAAGTTTCCTGGTGTGTGTGTTTTAACTGGATAAGGATCTGTATCTCCAGGGCTTTTCCATGCCTAGACAGGCACATTTCCCAAAGAATATTAGTGACTTTAGTGAGCTGGATCATCCTTTTTTCTAACCCAGGGGGTTGTGTTTATTGGACAATTACAATTGTTAAAGAGGAAGGAGTTTTTGGCATAGTTGGCAGCACATGTGTGAAATCTTACCTTGTTCATCTGCTGCCTGTGGCTTGCTCCAGTAGTGGAAGAAAATAAGGTGAGCTTCCATCTGGATTTTTAGGAACCTAAAATTTAAGGTGGGTGCAAGTTTTCTCAAATTCTCCCCTTCTGGATTGTAGCAATGGAGAGCATTTCAGCAGTCTGGTGGATGCCTTGGATTTTGTGAAGAGAGATGCTTATGGGGAAGGGGATCTGTATGTTGAGTGCCTCAGGCCAGAGGAAATGGAAGATCTACTGACATTATCCAGACTGCTGGTATTTAATTGGAGAACATTATAGTATGCCTGTCTTTCTATAATAGTATGCCTTGATTCATACTAGTTGATGGCAGCTGCTGCTGTAACTGGGGCCTTGGAGAAGAAGCAGAAGGGCTGGGCAGGCTTGAGGGGCTACAATGCAGTGGCTGGATGAGTGTTTTAATTTTAAGAAACCATATTTTGGGAACTTGGTATTCCTGCTTCCATATCTTGGTAGTTTCCTATCTCGTCTCGTACCCAGGGAAGAAGAGTCAGGCAGAGGTGATTCCCATACTAGGATTAAACAAAGGCTTCGGCCCATTCAGAGCAGAACCCATTGTTTACAATGTATCTCAATCTAATAGGCAGCTGAGCCTTACACTAGTTTCTGCATTTTAACTCTGCATCCTCCTGTGCAAGAACATCTTATGTAGCTTCCTTCCCTGTGCGGTTGATTCTTCCAAATATAAGCAGCTATGATACAAAAACTTAATCCTCAACAATGATCTACACCTTTCAAGTTGTCAAGGGTTAAAGTAGCAAAACCATATTGGCCTTGAGGGAATGAAGTTAACAAACCTTAGATTACTATGCTGGAAATTAGTCTTCTCTCAGCTGCAATTAGGCTGTACTTAGGTTTGTTAATAGCAATTGCCCAACAGTATAAAAAACTGAAACAAAGTTTACAAAATTACCCGATGCCTACCCTAGTAGTGCTGCACAGTATCTCTGCAGGGTTTTTTTTTGGTATTACTGTATTATTATTTTAACATGAAATACCTAGTGTTGCAGTTAAGTGATGATAAACTTTTAACCCTTATAGGTACACTGTAGTTTGCAATCAATCTGCAAACAATCTCTACATATTTTTTATATATAAAAGCAAGCCCCACTGAGCTCTATGTGAGTCACCACCAAGTATATTATTTATGATGGTATTTAAAGTATTTTTACCCTACCCTTCAGCCGACCAAGGCACCCAAAGCAGTTTACAGTAATGAGTAATATGGTCCCCTCCTTTACAATCTAAAACACCTGACAAAAAGAAACGAGATTGGAAGGTGGGGAGCATTAGGGCTGCGATCCTGACCTGGAGTAAGCCCCACTGAATTTAATGGCGCTTACTTCTGAGCAGACATGGCAGGGTTTGCAGCTTTAGTTGCGAAATCCTTACAGCTGCGAAATCCTAGGACTGAGCGGGGCCGAAGCAAGAGTCCTGTGGCTGCTACTCACTTTGGTTTATGGATGGGGCCAGGTAGGTCTCACCCTTTCCAAAATGTTCTTCGAGGGCAGCACAGGGAGCAGCCTATATGTGAGAAAACATATACAATTATATGACAGGGGGGTGGGAAAGCGCACTGCTTTTAAGCTCCACAAGAAAAACGCAACCAACACAGTTGTACGAAAGAAAGTGGGTGGGTCAAATGAGTGGAGAAGCAAAGCAAAGAAGAGGGAGGAGGGGATAAAGCAACTCCCTCTGGTCACGTGATAGACGAAGCGGTCACATGACAGAGGGCGGGTCACGCGGCACGGTTACCTCCCCGGAAGCTACGGCGCTTTGAGGATCAGGTGACCAGAGGAGGCCAAAGGGGGGAACCGGTCACGTGGCGGGGGCTGGCTGGGTGAATGTGCCGGGCGGGCTTGGCTGTATCGCCTGGGCCTGAGGAAGGTGAAGGGAGGAGAGCGAGGCTGGAGCGCAAGGGGGCCGCCTTGTAGTTGGGGGGCAGCCGGCCAGAGGCAAAGCGGGCAGCTGGGGCTCGGGGCGGAAGCGACGGGGCTCCTTGAGTCAGGGCCTTCCTGGGGAGGTTCTCTTTTTTTTAATTTTGAAAAAGGAAAAAGGATCCCCCTTCAGGCGGAGGGTTCCTGGCTGTGATTTTGAGAGCGTCAGGCTGGGCCTAGAGTTATCTGAGCTCTGACGAAACAAGGGCCCCAATTGACGGAACCGGGGAAGGGAGGCCGAAAAGGTTGGAAAAGGCTGCGGAGGAAGTTTGCGACCCCCAAAAGCGGGGGCGGTAGATCTGGGCTGGTGGGCTTTTGTTTTTTTAAAAAAGCAAAGACTACCGGGAAGCAAAGCTGTTAGCAAAGGTTGCGGGGTGGGTGGGAGTCGCCTCGAGTGTGGGGGTGTAAGCAAGGGAAAAAGCTTTTTTTGCTGCTCGTAAGGAAGAAAGCTTCTGTTACGGTTGTAGGGAGGTGCCGCGTTTGGGGCTGGATCCTTGGGTTGGTTGGTTTTTCAGCCGAGAAGCGCTAACTGGGGTGGGTGGGGTACCGTAGGGCAGACAGACAGCTAAAACGGAAAACGAGGGGGCAACTTCCTCCCGAAGTTTTATACAGGTGTTTGTATACAGCGTAGGGTGTTGAAGCCTAAGTTGCAGAGGTGGGAAAGAGTGTAGGTACAAATAGAAGTAGTTTCCTTTGGTCCTTTAAGCTGCTGTAGCATTTCAGAAGTTGGGGAGCTCTGCGGCGTACCTGGCAACTTTCTCTGCCACCGAGGTGACTTTTGCCGCTACAAGAGAGCTTTCGGGCACAGGCTACTAATTTGCAGTGCAGGGAAACAGAGGAAGAGTAGAGTCACTGGGCACGCTGTGGTGTTTTGCTTGAAAAGGAGGCTGAGAGCAAGACTGTAGTCGGGACTCTGGGGTTTAAAAAAAAGGACCTTCCACATCCTCGAAGCTCTATTGCTGTTGAGATCTGCATCACACACAGTCAGAGGCCATGCAGAAGGAGGAGCTGGGAATGGATGAAAATCGCAATCCAGAGGAGGAGCTGCGTCTCCTCGGTGGAAAGAAGGAAAAATGCCACAACCTCAGCAACCGCATCCGGACAGGTAACTTAAACTGCATCCAGTATTCTATCTTCGAAGTCACTTTTACGAAGTCACCTCTGGTCCTCCAGAAGATGTTGGACTCCAACTCCCATGAACACTAAGCCAGCATGACCATTGGTCAGGGATGATGAAAGTTGTAGCCTAGCAACATCTGGAGAGCCACAAGTTCCCCAGCCCTTCACCATCGCCAACTCAAGACTGGCTACTAAAAACCCAGCTTCTTGAGCACCCAGAGCTTTGGTGTTGGTGCTTAGCATTTTGAAATATTTCCTTTAGTTCCCAAAGACCTCAGCTGATCCTTTCCCTTATCAATCCATTCACACACACCCCAAACTCCTTCATGCATCTGTTATCCATTTAGTCCAAAACTAAACTGAACTCCTGGGACAAGCATGCTTTTTTCACCACTAGAACGCATCCTTATTTCAATCTCCTTTACCTCAGCCCTATAGTGTCTACCTGATTTGTGGAGCTGTGAACCCCCATCCCCCAAGCTAAGTTTCCTGCTCCCCCCACCCCCAAAAAAAATATTCGGACAGCCCATGTTGGGAATCCTACCCTAAACCATCAGCTGCTGCATCTCCACAGAATCATGCAGACCTGCCCCTTACCTGGTAAATCTCAACTTACTGGATCACACTCCCTTCCCAGAGTTTCAGTTTCCTTTTCCTTACTGGGGTGGGTCCTATTTGGTTATTAATTCAGTGGCTCTGGTTTGATTAACTGCCTTTTGTAACATGCATCTAAGTTCTAGCTATCCTTAATGCATCTAAATGTTGAAAATAAAACCTTCTTTCTGTCACGCAGGGGGTGGAGCAGAGCTGGGCTACAGGCCAAGCCAGGTCTCCAGAGAAGGTGTGTTGTACTGAACTGGGATTGGGCTTTCCCCTTTTCCTTTCTGTCATGCTTTTTCTGCATGTTTTTCTGTTCCAGAGGTGGCTGCACCTCAGTGCTGGGTGAGATACATTCATCCTGAGAACCTAGAGCCCTGAATGCCCACCCTCTATGCTCCCCATCTTCTCTTCCCTGTTGAAAAGATGTGGAGAAGAAGTGATTACAGTATCTGCCACCGTGCTTCTTTACTAGATACCCATTTGGAAAAAGTAGCATGTTCTTCATATCCTTTTCCTCCTCCTGTTACACTCCTGGGGTATACTTAGGAGAGGAATGAAGGCCTACAGATGGGGAAACAATGACTCTTTAATTCTCTGGGCAGCAAAGCCAGAGCTCAGTGGCTTACAGGATGGGATCCTAGAATTATTGGGAAAGGCTTTGAGGAAACTGAAATTGGTTAGGGCTTGAGAGAAGGGATCTCATAGGTTTGAGTTCTTCAGCATAAACACCTCTGGTTACGTCCCATCCCCCTTTTGCTCATCACAATGTAGAGAAGCTTGGAAACCTGAAGACAGAATGTTTTGAATGCTAAATAACCAGAAAAGCGGGGAGTGGGCTAAACCAACCTCAGAAGTGGTATTTTCATATGATCTTCTGATGTTGCTGAACTACAACTTCCATCAGCCCCTGTCAGTATGGCCATAAAGATGCAAAATGTGGTTCAGCAGTTTCTGGAGGGCAAAAGGTTCCTTGTACTTGTCTTAGAGTTTATAATTCATTAATAAATATCAGAAGACAGAAGAGGAACCCCCCCCCCCCCAATTTTATTGACTAAAGATCACAGTTTTGGAATTGACTGAGTTAGCAGCATGGACAGGGGTTTTGAAATTACTTAATTGATGTGAAGATTTTAGCCACCTGCACACCCCAGATAAACGACCTCAAAGGTATTTTAACCCCATGGGCATCTTCTGCCTTATCTATGACCTGTTGACCCCAAATTGAGAGAGGTGAATGTGTCTGCATTCCAGAGAAATGAAAGCCAGAAATATGTTCAAATATTTGGGTGTCATATTTAAGCACCTTTTAATCCCCCAACTTTCTTACCAAATCCCCAAACACTAACTGAGCAGTCTTTGGTATTTTGGGAGGGTCGGAATGAACTGCGCTGAGGCACCATTTTTGTTGATAGTGCACTTGACAAGAGTTAACATAAGCTCCCCACCTGCCAAAATAAAAAATGGGGTTGCTGCTCTGAGGTGCTTACATTCTAGGTGTGTGAGGTGACAAAGGGACGTGAGACAGGCATGGTCTTCACCCTTTCTCTTCTTCCTCTTCAGGTGCCTGGGAGTCCAACGGGTATACTGCTCCCTCTGAGATAGCTGACGAACCCAGTGTTCCCCTGAGCCCTTCCAACAGCCTCAACATCCGCAATCTCCAGTTGTCTGAGCGGGACCCTCCTGTTGTCCACCATCCCCACCGCTACCCTCATCGCTTTTACCATGCCCGCCCCTTCCATGCTACAGCATACCGCAAGACCTACCGAGGCAGCCCCTCAGACCGCAAGGAATGGGGACCTAGCACAAACGGCCATCACTGTGCTCCTGAGAGCATCTCCAACGGGCGGTGGCAGCACCGGCGCCGCGGCTATTCCGACCCACCCTCCCCGTCGTCGTCTCCCGAATCCGAACGAGGCAGCACCGTCAAAGCCAGTGAGAAGCCTGCCGCCACATCTAATGCCGCCAACACAGCCAACGAGGATTCCGGGAAGGAAACATGGTCGCTCTTCCGGCCACTTCCCGCTTTCCCTGTCGATAGCAGCAGTGCCCGGATCATCCCCAAGATCTCTTATGCCAGCAAGCTGAAAGAGAACCTGGATCAACCGGGGAAAGCCTGCCATGTTCCTGCCTCAGCCGTCCGCACCACCAATAGCCTCCCCAACTGTGTCTTGGCGCCACCCCCAAGTAGCCCCCCGCCGTCTGACAGCAGTCGGCGACAGCACCTGGGAGCCATCTTTCAGAATGAGTGGGGCCTCTCCTTTATCAACGAGCCGGGGGCTGGGCATGGAGGGGGTGGCGGGACGGCACCAGACGTGGATGAACGAGATGCAGATGCTGGAGCATCCTGGGAGAAAATGGAAGTTAGCGACTGGCAGGCTGCAAAAAATTACCATCTGGATGGTAAGGTGCTGGAAGGAGCCCAGTCATTGGGCATGAGGGAAAGGGAGGAGAACCAAAGCATGTGTGTTGAGGCTTGGGAGCTGTCCCATAGGTAGCTGAACATAGTCAGGAGAGAAGGGATGGAGGACACAAGGAAATGCTTCATTTGGAAAGCTAGGGATCTTTGTGAAGATGGTGAGTGAAGGGGCAGTCACACAGCACAAAGACGTTTGCAGTTCATGAAAGTGGAGAGGTGTTGGGTAGTATTGGCCCTCAGAAGAAATAAAGGACAATCTTTTCACTGCTCTGAGGTTGAATTCTATTATAGTTTACATTTGCTCCACAAACTAGGGCATGAATTATTTGGGTAGAAGATGATCAAACAGCCTGTCCCTACCTTTTCTGATTACTTTATCCGCTATTGTTTTTAGAAGGCTAAAGAGAGGCCCTGGTTGGGCTAAAGAGGTAGTTATAGATAGATATCATTTAGCTTCCTCATAATTTTAAGCATTGCTCCAGATAGCACAGATTCTCACATCCAGTTTTATGCAGCTTGGGGAAAGGTTTGGATGGGCATATGACCTTCAGTGCACTGAGACCCCAACTTTTCTCAGTGTGGCTGAACTTTCGGGGCATCGTCTTGAGAAGTCAGCAGCTTCAGCCGTGCTGGAGGGTCTTAGGGCACTGGGGCTTATTTACAAACAGTGCTTGGCTTCTTCTAATTTCCCTTTTCCCCCTTCTAATACAGAGTGGAGACATATATGGGAGCTACACAGTCAAGGTAAGCAAATGGGCCTAAATCAGTGGCTTCATAAATATGACCTTTGGGGCTCAACAGTGGGCTGGATAGCTTCATGTTAAAGGGGGTATGAAGATTTGCAGTAATGTACAACAATGTGAAGTGGAGGGGAGCAGATGTTGGACAGGGATGTGACTCTAAGAACCGTGGGTGTGTAATTCATACTTTCCAATCTTTGCCATATATTCAGTTGCGTCTCCCTCTCTACTGTACCACACATGCAAAAAACAAACAAAAACCCACAAATTTAATCTGACCACTCATATTTTGAAAAAATCCAGCCTTTTGTGAGGATTGCTTTCAGAAGCTGAGGGGCACTGATTCTACATTTTAATACTGTGTCTTTTCGTGGTTTGCTTTTTAATGTTGTGCCCTAGGTGTGTTTGAGTGCATGTGCTCCATAGCTTTGAAGCCCTAACTGGTAGGAGGTGCTGGCTGTTGATCATCTAACACAAGCTTAAAATTACACTTTGAAAATGCTTCTGACCCCACATCATTGCCTGGAGAACTCGAGACAGTGACACTGAAGACAAGTGCCACTGCCAACCTAGGCCCATGAGCCAGGCAGCCAGGCAAGTTTTCTATTCATGTAGTAGCAGGCAGGAGCAGGTAGATGCTAGCTGAAAAACTGGGGTAATTGGTTCTGTGCAGTACGGGGAAGTGAATAAACTGGGCCTTATGAAGTCGTGTGATGGGAGATAGGAAAGAGAAGTAGAGCTGCTGAAATCCACAACTATCTGATGTTGGATGTGGAGCTGCCTTAAACAATTCAACCAAATCACAAAAGAGCTGCATATGTGGGAGCAGATTAATGAAGGGTCTGTTCTGTGGCCTACCACTGAGAATAGTAGGGGGGAGAGTGGGGTTTCGGGCAGGTGTGTGTGTGTGTATACACATTATCTATGGCACATCTCCCTTCAAGACATTGTTCCTGTTGCCATCACTTTTTCTTTTTCCATCTAGATCCTAGCAGAGTGACGGTCTACACAGACACCTTCGATGGGAAGGGTTAACTTCAATAATTCCCAGGGGAAGCACCGCTAAGACATGAGGGGGGGCACATGGGGAGAGGCAAGATGCCCACCCCCACCCCCCTTGAAGACTGGAGAAGCCCAAGCGTCTTGAAAGGGGAAGCTCTGCCACCTGCCTACCTCCCTCCCTTTGCTGTTATAGCTCAAATTGTCTCAGTGGGGCTAACGCCTCACCTCTCTTTTTCTCTCTTGCTCTCTCTTTCTCTCTGATTTAATGCTCTGGTTTTTAATTTCTTCACATGGTTTTTAATTTCTCTGGATTCCCCTGAAAATAAAGGCAAAAAAAGAATTTATTTAAATTCACTTCTCTTGCCTTGTCAGTGTCTCATTATTCATCGCTACACAAGTGTGTTACCAGCATGGGGTAGGTAATGATGTGGCTCAAGGCACTGAAAATGGTTTGGGTGGGAAATTATTTTAAGGGGTAGAGATGGAAAAACGTGAATGAATTTTTGAAAGCACAAAGGAGAAGCTTTGGGAGGTTTACCACAAGGAACTATTAATATATGGCTAAGAAATAGTTTTCTTTGTTTATCCACTGAAGAATTTATAAGCTGCATTCTCATAAGTACTGACAAGGTGGTAGACAACATACAAGATAAAACTGCCAAAGGCATCATGAAAAACATCAGTAAATACTGGTTGGTCATAAAGGGAAAAAAATGTGAAGGCCTGTCTATAAAGAGTTTTCAGAAGATGTCTTAAAGAAGGCAGGGGTGATTTCTACTGAAATTATGTGACTTGATTTAATAGAAATAAAATATTTGCTCAGTGCGTCTTCTGCCAGCATAGTGACGAGATTATGCTAAGCATAACTTTACTTCTAGGCATCTTTTAGAGGTACAGTGCTGGTATACCTAAATGCTAATTAATGGTTCGATACTCTTTATTTCTATTCTCATTTGCTGAGCTTCTAAGCTGGTTGCCACTGTAAAAAAGCTCACTTTTAAAAACAAGATTGCCATCTTAAAAGCCAGTGAACTGATGCGGCCAATTTACTGAAGAGGAAAGCCTACAGAGCACAATGGGGCTTCTCAGTAAAGATGCTTAGTTGCAGTGGTAATGAGGAAGTGTGTGAAATAAATCCCCACCACAATTTATCATGAAAGCCAAAGGAAGGAGCCATCTGTGTCCTGTTGGGTAAGAGTGCAATGTTGATAGCCTTCACGGGGCAAAACATTTTCTTAGCCCAGCTGCTTTGTAGAAAAATACAGAAAGCTATGAGCCCAATCTCCCCCCGAAATGGTATTAAAATCAATGGGATAGGTCCAAGTAAACATCGCACGGTCTGAATTGCTTGCTTATTTGAACCTGAGCCTCCTTTTATACAAACCTGAGCCTGGGGCGCTTTGCAGTTACTCTTTTCTGGGCTTAAAAACACAAGTAGACAAGTAACAAAAAACGAGCCATATAACTTACTGTTCCTGACCTGCACTGGGGAGTGGGAGGAGAAAATGCGCTCTTTGTTGGTTTGCCTCTTTTAAAAGGCGAATATTTCATAAAGAGTTGACCTAAATGTAGCTAAAACCGTTTTTGACGATACAATATATTAATGATCTATAAATAAGTACTCTTTGCCCTCGACCAAAATGGCTCTCAAAGCTTCCAGTAGTTGTGGTAGCTCTATGCTCTTCGGAAGACTCTCCTCTATGGTTCCAAGCAGCCGTTATACGGGAAGCCGCGCGGCCTCCTCCCTTCCGAGGCCTAAGTCGATGACGTGATTTACAGTGTAGGGAGCGGCACTGTTTCTATGGCGGGAGGGCAGCGCGGGGCGCGTGCGCGCCTGCGCGTCACTCCAAAGCGCCCATTCGCCCGCGGATTGAGAGTGGCGCGCAGGAGTCTCGCCTGCGCCTGCGCCTGCGCGCGAGAGTAATACCGATAGGATTCCTTTGCAGGAGTTAGGAAATGGGTGTGCGCAGCTGCCTCTTAAAGGGACAGAATCCTCGAGTAAAAGGGGAAGTCGCCTGAGCGCCAGCCTGGAGGGCAGTAGAGAACAGGACGGAGGTAAGATAAGGTTGCACCTTTCTTAACTGTGTGCCATTCTTGCATTTCTTCCCCCTGGGTCTGTTCTCCATCTGGTTATTCTCATCTAAATCCTTTTGTTCAGCTATCAGGTTGGCTTTTGGAAGAAAATACGCAAGGATTTAGGTTTCGAAGAATGTAGCCCCTTGCGGGATAAAATAGGGGTTTTTTTGCCCTCGTTTGCTGCCTCACACCAAGTCAGCCCATTGGTCCATCTTGTATTGTTTACTCTGTCTGGCAGCTGCTCTCCAGGGTCTTTCTCAAGCTGAACGCTTCTCGCTGCATGGCCAGAGGTTGAACTTGCATTTTCTGAATGCAAAGTATTGACTTTGCCTCTGAACGATGGCACCTCTCAGTCAGGGAAAGTCACAATTGGTATCCTCTGCACGCTGCAATCCTTTGCATATATATGTCCAGAAGTGAGTCCCACAGTGGATCTTATTTCTTAGTAAGTATGCATGGAATTGCAACCTTGTGTGCATACATTGAGAAAGATTAATACACTCCCATATTTCTGGAGCTTAGACTATTTACAAGTGAATGCATTTTTTTTCTCAGTGCAGAGCTGAAAAAGAAGTTCTATGTCTACCTTCCATGTGAAATACTGCATTTCTCCATTATCATTAATTATTCCTAAAGCACTTCATAGCAAGCAATCCTGGTTTTCAGTGCTCTTCTTGTCACTTTGGAAGTCAGTCAGCCACATCATTGTTTCTCACCATGCTTGACTTTTGCAATTAAGAAAGTTTCTACCTGGATCTCCTAACCCAAATCCTGTGGTGCTGTGGGTGATGTGCCAGACTAGGACCGGGGAGACCAAGATCCAAATCCCCATTCAACTATGAAGTTCACAGGGTGGTCAGTCACTGTCTTTCAGCCTAACCTCACCCACAGGGTTGTTGTGAAGATAAAATGCAGGGACAGCTACGTATGCCTCTTTGAGCTCCTTGGAAGAAAGGTGGGATATTGTGTATTAAACAAGTAACACACTGCTGTACCACACTAACCATCTTCACATGTGCTTACTCATATTTCTCTCTAACCCAAAAGCTTATTTTGAGCTGGGAGCTTAACCTGCCAGGAACCTGTTTTGAATGCTACCACTGAACCATGAAATAACAGTAAGCCGTGCTGACTAGTTCTCATCTGGCAAGGGGGCTCCAGTTTGCACATGGCATGCTGCCTTTTGGCCTTCCCTCCCCAGACTCAATAGCTGAGTAGGCAGTTTTCGTAAAGATAGGGCAGGATTCAGTTATCCTATTTCATTAGCAGACGCCAGCACAAAGACTCCTACTAGCCTAATGGGGCTTCACCCACCTTACACCTCTCCCAAATCTGCTCTGAAGGGTCATGAGAACCCCCAGAACAGTTCACAGGGAGAAGAGGGGAAATTGTTCTGTCTGCTTCTTGCTTGATGGAACAATCTCCTTAGCACTAGCCAGAATTCCACCCATAGTTGTTTTTTAAATCACAATTGTCCCCTCAGTAATTTATTAAGAGAAAGCTGGTGTAGCGTAGTGCCTGAGAGACTGAGCTATGAGTCAGAAGTCAGGACTGGTTTGGATCTTACCTCTGCCCTGAGCTCACAAGGTGCCTTGGGGAAGCAATTCTCCCTCAACCTCACCCCTGTTGCCTTATTGGGGGATAATACCGACTTACAGGCTTGCAGCTGGATGATGCATGTGAACTACTGTGAGCACTTGAAAGCAGTCTAGGAATATGAGGTACAAAGGACGCCTATACAGTTGTAATGTGAGCAGGCTGTGTGTACCCATTGCACATTAGTGTCCGTGCATTCACATGTGCAGGCACCCCCAAACTCGGCCCACCAGCTGTTTTGGGACTACAACTCCCATCATCCCTAAGCTAACAGGAGCAGTGGTCAGGGATGGTAGGGATTGTAGTCCCAAAACATCTGGAGGGCCAAGTTTGGGGATGCCTGCACACGTAGGTGCACTTGAGATGAAACACACCTATAGATTCAACTGTGTGTGTTTGTGTGTGAGAGATGAATGCTGGAGAATGAGAGCTCTAGTATGTGATTGCTAACGTGATTTTGGTAACAAATTCCCAAAGGCAGGGCCACACCTAGAAAATAGGGACGGATGGGATGGATAAGGAGTTTCCCAGTGGATCCTTTGTTAGAGTTTAAACCAAACCACTTTCTGTCTCCAGACTATCTGTCTTTCCATGCCACTATCTTGGCCACCCTTCCCCTCTTCCCTATGCCCAGTCACTGTTCTTTCTTCTCTTCATTGTCTTTGGCAACTGAGTATGGGATGATGATCAGATTAAATGAAGGGCTCTTCTGCCTCTCAAATAAGTATTTAGAAGATACAGTGGCTTGTACATAGGAACCCAGGTTGCCATTGAAGCGGGTACCTCCATCAGTAATGGGGTCCCAAAGTGCTCTCTATCTATCTATGTGGTTTGCATCCAGCCCTAACCATGTCATTATTTAAAAGTAAGTTCGCTGAGTTCAGTGCGATTTGCTTCCAAGCAAGGATGTGCAGGGTTGCAGCCCTAATGTACTGGGAACACACGGAAAACTGTGTTGCATGAGAAAAATCAATATTCCCTGTGGAAGGGGGAGTTATTGTAGCAGAGAACATGTAGATCAGTTCCCGATGTTCTTCATTGTTTTTGTAGTAAGTCAAAGCTGGGCATTAAATGACTTCTGGGCGTTTTGCTAAGGATGGTGGAAGAGCAACTGAACTGAATTATTTGGGTCAGTAGGCCAACAGAACTGCTCTGATTCTGTGAGCTTTAACCACTGAGAACACATTAGCATTCTGCTCATTTCACATAAAAGAGGATTTAAAACTGTTCATTTCGCTGTAGTCATGGTTCAAATGGAATATTTGGGGGGAAATAAAATACAGCTGTCTCACAAACTTGAGCAGAGGTGGAGTTCTGGAAAAGTGGTAAGATTTTAAATCTCACAGGATTTACCTGAGAACCTGATTTTCAAGACTCAGCCTAATTGCCTCTGAGCATGTATAGAGTGCTTTCCCATCACTGCTGAGTAACTCCTGTTGGGCTGAGCACATCTGAAACAAGCAGGGATGCTGAACCTCTGAAGCCAATTAAGTTACAAATCAGATATCAGGTGGTTGACCAGTTTTGAGATAAAGTCCTAGCTTCAGAGAGTAGGCAGTTACTAGAGGTGGGTGTGGGTTGATGTAAGACGAACACTATGGGAGTAATATAGCAATGTGATTGAGGGGTGGTCAGCTGGAAGACTATTTATGGGCACTGGAGGGAAGCTGGGATGGGGAAGACATAGGCAACTCTAAAACCTTTATGAATTTTGGAATGTAGAATGGGCAGAGATTGGACCTTTCCCAAGTGTGGTGGAATAATTTTCTTATGCTCCATCTATTTTGCTGTTTAGAAAAGGCCTTCACGGTTGAAATACAAATATGATTCTGTTACAATATATTGCCCTTCAGCTCAACAGCACCTTTCCGGCTGAAGCACAAGGACTGGTGATGTCTCGTCCCTGCCCAGCGACATCATCCCTGCCTTGGCTAAGGGTGTAGCAAGGGGAAGGTTTTTCTCGTAGCGCCTTCGCGCCACTTCCTCCCGAGCCTTCTGCAAGCTTCTTCAAGAGCGGCCAGATAAATGGAGCAGGAGTGCCTGGCTCTGGTTGCTGCCTGCGTCCAAACCTCCCAGTTGCTAGTGCAGCAATGGATGCTCAACAGGCGCACGGTGATTTTCGCCATAGCGAGGATTCTGCAGAGGAGGCGCTTCCGCAGGTCGGCCGCGGTGCTGAGGCGCATCCTCTCGGCCAGCGTCCGCCGCAAGAGAGCCCTGCTGCGGCTTCACCGGAACGCCATCGTCTCCGTGGTCACCATGGTGTACTCGTCTTCCCCCGCGCTGCACTACGAGCACGAGCTGATGGCCTTGTCTGAGCGCTCTCACTGGATGCTTCCGAGGTGCAGCGAATGGTGGGAGCGGATGATCAACTCCGAGCAGGACGACAAGTGCTGGATTTCCTTGTTCAGGATGTCGCGGTCCACGCTGATGTACATCGCTGAGGAGTTGCGCCCTGCCCTGCAGCGCCGGGACACGGGAATGCGGTCTCACATCCCTGTGGAGAAAAGAGTCGCCATGACTATCTGGAAGCTGGCGCACCACGACAGCTACAAGACCGTCTCGGAGCTCTTCGGGGTGGGGATTTCGTCAGCCTGCTCAATATTTGAAGAGGTGTGCGAGGAAATAAACAGCAGGCTGCTGGCCCAAATCATTAAGCTGGGAGACCCGCAGGAGATCATTGAGGGCTTCAAGGAGATGGGTTTCCCCAATTGCCTTGGCGCAATCGATGCAATCCACATCTCCATCCTCTGTCCCCCGTTCTCTGCCGACTCCTACATTAATTGCAAGGGTTTCTATTCTATGGTGCTGCAGGCCCTGGTGGACAGCAAATCCCGGTTCACCGATATCTACGTCGGCTTTCCGGAGAGGTCCCACGACTCCCGCATCTTGCACAACTCTCCGTTCTTCAACAGCATGGACGAAGGCACTTTTGGGCCACAGGCGCCAACGGTGCTGGAAGGCGTTTCGATGACCCCTATCATAATTGGGGATCCTGCCTATCCGCTTCGCCCCTGGCTCATGAAGCCGTACCCAGCGCCAAAAACCGGGGCCCAGGAAAAATTCAACGAGAGGCTCGCCAAGTGCCGCGTGTGTGTGGAGAGAGCTTTTGGGGTCCTGAGAGCTCGCTGGAGGTGCCTGCAGATGAGGCTGGATGTGAGGGAGAAGCTCATTCCTGTGGTCATAGCAACCTGCTGTATCCTGCACAATATCTGCGAGATCAAAGGGGATGAGTTGCTGGAGCCATTGGAAAGCCCTGCAGTGGCTGACAGCCAGAATGCTTCAGCCAGGCCAAGGGTGCCCTTGTCAGAGGCTGGACTGACCAAGAGAGCTTGCCAGATCAGGGCTGCTTATTGCTCCTATTTTGAAAAGAACCCTGTGTAAAGTGGGGTGGGGGTGGGGGGAAACAAAGCAGGCGCATTTGTCCATGTAATTTCATGGGTGTGTATGACCTGGTTGTAGTATGCAGACCCTGTATTGCTGACGCCTAGTATGTGGTAGTTTTCTACATGTCAAATAAAAAGGCTATGATTTTGAGTGGCCTGCTGCTATATTTTCTAAGAGATGGGATTTTTTTAAAGGTAATTGCTATGCTAAAAGCATAGAGTGGGACTTGAACCAATGATGGTGTAAAATAGAAGAGTGAACAGTTTTTCTTAAAAGGGATTTATATAACTACCACTCTATCTCTAAAACATTAACAAAAAGACATGGTATACCTGCCTAATGAAAATGGAAGTTCATGGACAAATTTTCTAGCCTTTTAGAAAGTACACTGGTTGCAGTCCTATGCACACTTACGTGGGACTACGTCTTACTGAACTCTCTGGGACTTTCTGTGTAATCCTATCAGGTTCACCCAGAAACATAGCTGTCAACTTTCAGATTTGAAAATAAGGGATCAGCAGCCTCACCTGTCCCGGGGACAGTCTACAGGATATCTAACAATCCGGAATAGCAGCGGGAAACAGCGCTGGAATAAGGGAATTTCCCGCAAAAAAAGGGAAGGTTGACAGCTATGCCCAGAAATATTTCAAGATGTTTCAGTTGGCTAGTCCAGTATCCAGATGCTAGTGGGGGGAAATCAACAAAGATCATGAAGATGCATGCTACTCCAGCCTCTCCAATACTAAATGCAGGTTTTATTCTACTTTGCTACATGAAGGTATCGTCTTCTGGGTGTCATCCAAAAGCTGTTTCAGTGTTGCAGGTTCATCTGGACACCCAGGGATTTTTAAGATGAAACACATGGATTTCAAGCGGAATGGCTGACATGAGATTTATATGAACCAGTAACCATGGATCCACATAATGAAAAAGTTTAGACAGTCTGATTAAGCTAAGATACTAACAATACTTTTCTTCGCACTAAAACCAGGAATCTTCTAATCATAATTTCCTGGTTTGGTAGGGTTGCCATATTTCAAAAAGTGAAAACACTAAGTTGTGGGGGGTTTTTTGCTGTTTTTTGCAAAATTGCAAAAATGGATATTTTTTAAGGGAAATCTACACTGCTGGCTTAACTGGTTTAATTGCAGCTTTCAGGGGGAAGTGAAGAGGCTGTGTTCAGGGGCAAAAAGCTTATGCATTTTTCTAATAAGTCTAATAAGATATTACTAATAAGATATGATTGTCTGAATGCATCTGATAACTCCCACTTTCCATGTCTGGGCAGACATGGTTTTATCCTGGCTTGCAAACCAGAAATGTCAGTAACATTGAAACCACTGCTTCTCAGTTCAGATGTCAAGTGGAGCTGATTTAACAAACTGGGAATCTTCCCCTCCTATGGGGCACGTGAGAAGAGAGAGGAAGCTCCCATACTCATGGTTCACTCCTGCTCTTAAAAATAAATAAATCACTGAGCTGTTTTACGAAAGGAAACAGCAGAAACACTTGTCCTTCCATATTTAAGATTTTTCTAGGAAAGTATATTTTTTTCAATTGACAGGGAAGCCAAACAAAGAATAAACGCATTCATGATGATGGTCATTGTGCTTAATGCCCTGTTTGCTAATTGCTAGGGATGGTCTTCAAGGGGAGACTTCTGAAGCGATAGTGCAAAGCAGTAACCAGTGTACTTTGGTTGCAAACATGTTCTGCTGATCCTTTCTTTCACAATGCAATATTGTGCAGACACACAGAATGTGTAGAAAGTAGCTTTTGACAATTACGTGCCATTTGCCACAACTACAACGTTGAACAGTTAGTAGGATCATTTTAACAAAATGGCTTTAAGCAAAAACTGTAGCATGTTCCTCCACTTCAAAGTAAAAAGAGGATTTGTTGCATTTCCTTTGCTTCCATAGGCAGCAGTCTTTCTTAGTGTCGCCAGGATTGAATTTGTAGCAGAACTCACCTAAGCTTAACACTAGAGCACAAAGGTTGCTCAAGAGAGTCTTTGGGTTGCATCCTGCTAAGTTCTACTCTAAAGGAGTATTGAACCTTAGATACAGTAGTCTTGTCCATTCAGTTCTTTGGGTCTGTTCTGAGTACAGCTACCACTGGAAACAATCCTCTCCCTCACCACTGAAGGCCACTTCCCCTGTTACAAGTGCTGGAAATGTACAAACCGCATTAGAAAATGGTGGGCAACAATCACATATGTAGAATTGTTGCTGCATAAACAGGCTTTGAAGAGTGTACTTGCCACATGTGATAATCTTTATGTGCTTACCGTGTTGTTTCTTACAGAGGACTTGCCTCCTGTGTGTTGTGTAATGTAAGAAGCAATCCAGAAAAACCACAACTATTGCTCCCCAGCAGCACCACAATCTCAATCAAGCAATAAATATCTAAGATCAGGGCTTCTAGGCGGCCTTAAACTCTCCTCCAGCCAATGCCTTTTCATTTAATCTGCGATTTAGAAGAAAGATGCTAGGAGGTGGATATGAAACAGTGGGGTGGGGGGAAGGAGGCAACATACAGATTGTCTTAGCCTTTTGAGGACATGGTGGCTGCTATGTGGATCATAGTGGGATGTGAGAAATAAAAAAGGACTAAGTGTCCCTCAGTTGTCCAGCACTCCATTTTTGAAAGTGTATAAGTGGATTGTTCTGTATTTAGCAGTTACCTTGGGACACTTAGGAGGGTGTTGGAGAAGTTGGTTGTGAGGATCACCAGACAAAATGGCATTAGCAGAACTTTCAGTGTTGGAGAACATCAACCGCTTTGCTGAATCAGGCGAAAGGTCCATCTAGTCTGGTATCCCCTTTCCTACAGTGGTAAAGTATACACTTCTGGGAAGCTCATAAACAGGCATAGAAGCAATAGCTGTCACGTGTTATTACTCCCTAGTGACAGTATTATCAGGCATGCTGTGTCTTAAATTTGGAGTTTGTATGTAGACTTCCCTTACACTAATAGCAAATTCATTCTCCCAAGTGTGGATCCTTGTGCAGCTAAAAGTGCATGATGAGTGCACATGGAAGAGTTATTCAGGAAGAACTGAACATGCTCAGTGGCTTTAGAAAATTGACTCTCAGTTGAATGGAGGGAGGAATGGACAAGCAGGAGGAGGGAAAATGGAATATCCAGGAAAAGGGCATGGCTGGCTGGCAGGAATTCCAAATAGGAGCCTCCATACTACAACTTTTTGTTGCAGGTTCCACTTGTCATGATTAACAGCTAATGGTAAAACACATTCATTCTCCATGAAAGTGTGTTTAATCCATATATGCTAGTGCCCATCACCACATCTTGCAGTGTGGCAGGGAACCATTTGTGGACTTAAAAGGTGCTCATGATGATCGTGTGGGCATAGGCAAGGGCTAATCTGTATGTTAAGAATGTATGAAGGGTCTGCTGGATCAGGCCAATGGCCCATCCAGTTGTCATAGTAGCCAGCCAAATGCCTAGCCTATCGGAAGTCTGCAAGCAGGATCTGAGCACAACAGCCCTGTCCTCACATACAGTTCCCTGCAGCTGACATTCCCAGCAGCAAAGGTACAGGAGATCACATGCTGCACAATGATCTTGCTAGCAGTTCACTGCAGTAACTGCTAGCAAGTTGTTTGTGTGATGTAAACACACCAACATTTGTGGGATATACAGCACAAAACAAGTCTACCATGAAACTACGCATTCACATGCAGTTCTTGAGAAATATGGGGAGAAACTGTCTCACAAGACCTGAAGACTCAAAGGAGGGAAGCCTTATGTAACAAAACTTAAGAAATCAAACAAATGTGGTGTTCAGTTTTCCACAGTTTATGCTGCTTATTCATTTTGTGGGGGGTTCTCTCTTTTGTTGAATTTTGAGGACACACACAAAGATCAGCATCCCCATATTCTTTTTTTAAAAAAAACTTTATTTAAACAAAGGGGTTCTCTTTTGTTGACTTTTGAGGACACACACAAAGATCAGCATCCCCATTTTTTTAAAAAAAAACTTTATTTAAACAAAGGAAAAACAATGTGATCAACGACAGTACATCATGTGGCACATTATATTTTAAGATTTGACAGAGATTGTTAAAAATAACCTCCTTATAAAGTTTTTTCCCTTCCTCATCCCCAACAAATAACACCACACTGCGAGAAGACTTGGCAATGATGAGATTGCCATGTTGGGTGGAGCAGATGAAGCAACTCTGGGTTGCAAATATCCAACTTTCACCTATAATTCCAGCTCTTTCTTTCCAACTTACCGTAACTGTTGAAATTTGCCACCTTCATCAGAAATATAGAGAAGTAGGAAAACCTGTCAAGTAGGAAAACCTTGCCTGTATATCCTTGAGTACGACGTTCTTTCATACAAGCAGTCATCCAGCCAGTTGCGATGATCAAGAATCTAGTGGTTGCTAACTTCAGCAGTTGGCACTTCTAAGTCCCCCCCCCCCCAAATGCATAGATTTAGAGCTAATTTAAACAATGAGGTGTAGGTAGTGCAGTCTTCCCTGAGAGCCTTACTGTGTCAAGATACACATGGGCAGTGGTTACTTGTCTAAAAACACCCCACAGTCAAAATATATTCATTTTATTAATTTTTGAATTGCCTTTCACATGTCTCAATCTGAATCACAATATAAGCAACTAACATACTTTTAAAAGCAATACAAGATGGAGACCTTTTCATCCAGATGGAAATGTTTGTTGAAACAAAATGTCTTCAGGTATTTTTGGAAAGCACATAAAAAATGAATACAAAGTTGCAGTATATCACCTTTCCATTTACGTGGCGATCTTGAGGCAGGGGCAATCTCAAGGAAACCAATTCCCACTTTATTTTCAGCAAGTTTAGACAACCAGACCGCATGCACACTAAATATTTAAGTAATCTCTGAGCAATTTATGAGATTGAATGAATATCTTTTGGTGTTATTTCCATTCACATTTCTAGGACACGATTTGACTTTTTAAAATTTATTTATTTAATAAAGCAAAGCTTATGACTGTACCACACAAAATGCAAAGGGGAATAGGTAGCAGACTGCCAGCCTTTTCGTTTCCCTTGATTCTGGCTGTTCCAGCAGACGTTTCAGCTTCTTCTAGTGCTGGGATGACACTGCAACCTTCTTACCCTCATTCCTAGGGCTGACCATGGTCACCTGCTCCCTGCTGGGCTCCCTGCGTGTCTGCCTGGAGCGACACCCACCTCTGGTCACCTTCTTCTTTTGCCTCCTTTCGTTGGCTGTTGCCTTTGTTGGTTTTGCTGCCTACATCCAGTCACATGATGTTCAGAATCCCGATGTCAAAGAGGTGAGCTAGAGATGATCACCTTAAGTAGAAAATCAGACCAAAATGCTGGGGATGGAATTGGGTTGTGGCTGTAAAGCACGCATGAGAGACTTTAGGAGGCAGTGGTGGGTGCTCTGCCTTCTTGGTCTCTTACTAACTGTTTAGGCTCAGCAACTGAATGGTTCTCTGACTGAAACTTTCAGAATGGTTGGGTATCTTCTTGGATGGAATGCACAGAATGTCCCTAACAATTATGGGCTGTGACGGGTATGTTGGGAGTTCATTGTAGAGGCAGACTTGTGTGATTTATCTTTTGGCAATTGTTTTTATTTATTTCCATTTTCTAACAGACTTGAGAGATTTACCCGAATTTGAACAGCTGCATTGATTTGCTCTCAAAAATAGTGTTGCCTGTGTTGGCTGCTGTTATCATACCATAAGGACCCAAGCTAAACATTCATGAATTACAGAGGGTTGGGTGTTGTTGGTTTTTACAAATACGCTATAAGAAGCTGTCATTGAAAAGATAGTCCTGAATGGTTACTATCAGAAGAAGTGGCGAGCAAAAGAATAGGATATTCTACAGTACAAAATTTTAAATTAGTAGGTGCAGCTATATCTGAAATATTCAACGATCCGGGTGTTCTGAGATGTTTTATGGTACTTTTAAAATACAGTTCCCATCTTTCAATTTTCTAGCTGTTAAAAGCAAAAGGGAATTTTTAGAGGCACGATTGGGTGAAATTGGAAAGGTACTTTAAAAGGCAGAAGCAAATGAAAAAATTGCAATCAAGAGAATAGAATCAACTAAGAGTCAATTCTCATTCCTTTTCCCTCCCTCATCTCTAAGGACTGGAATTCTCTGCTAAAGTCTCTGGCACACTTAATGTTCTGTATCCCAAATAAGACGCAGGAAAGTGCCTTGACACCAGCTCCCTCCACAACCACTGCTGAGACCCCTACAACAGTCTCTGTCATGGTTGCCTTGACCTTTGACCTCCACAATGGCACAGATCCTCCCAATGGTACACGCCTAGGTCTGACAGTCACTGGGGAAAAACTGGGTCTCAAGGGTGAGTGATCTCCTGACCAATTGCAACATCCTCCCAAAGATTTCAGGAACTCTGGTTCCGTGTCCGTCTCCCCTTGACCTTTCCTTCCATCAACTCCAACCACAGGTCCAGATGCCCAGGAATCAATCCACTTCCTGACTATCATCACGAACTCAGTCTCCCATGAGAACTGCCTTAGCATCACTGCACCTTCATCCCTTCTCCCCAAGACCAGGTGAGCCAAGAGATTTAGTTTCAAGGAGTTCTTAACCCATTAATGCAATACTCCCATCTTGTCCCCAGACAACCACCTAAATGTGTGATAGAGGAATGGGACATGCATCAAGAAGAGAAAGGAATTTGTTACCAGCCACATTACCAGGCTAATCCTGCCCTGTCCAGCATGCTGGATCAGGTAAGATGAATGTGGGCAGTGACATTATCTGGACCTGGGGATTCTGGGTTTCTTCAGGATGCAAGCTGGATTATAAGGGGAGGAGCATTCACTGTTGCACTCCTTTCACTCCCAGGCGGATCGTGCCCTCTGCAGCCAGCGGCTCCTGATGACCAGTGCTTTCCTTCTCTGCCTCTGTGCCATGCTATGTTGTGCAGCTGGCCTGTGCTATCCTAACCCCAGAGACAAGTGGGGGCAAATCTAAGCAGGTCTAGCAAATGCCGGACCTGTACTGCAGCAAAGCCAGGTAGCCTGCCCATTTGCCCTGCTTTTTCCAAGCACCTGGATCATGCAACGATACCATATTTCAGATCTGAAATTAGCCCATGTACTGTTGTGACAGCTGAGCTGTGAATAAGAGTTTAACTGCTATCTTGGTTCACTGTGGGGTGACTATATGAACCCCTATGAGAGCGGATGGTGCAATAAATAACATACAAATGATAGGAGTATTTGTTTTTTGTATTGTAAGTGGCTGTACCAGTGACACAAATTGAATTGTGTAGTATTTCTCAGGTAGTTACTGAAGGAGCTTCACGTGTGGTTGAGTAGGTTAATGACTACCGTAGCATTATCCTAAATGGGATTACCATGCCTTTGCCAGTAAATATTCTGTTAGAATTAGGAGCTTTGGCTACAGGTTAACATAATTTCATTTTTAAAAAATAATTTAAATTAAAAACCAGTATATAACATGGTATCATTGATCAATGGGGTCAGGGAATGTGATCATAAGAAACCCAATGTTATTTCTTGCTGGTGTGAGTTGTGTCATGGTTTGCTTGTTTATTGTTTGTGTTTTATGTATTTATTTCCCACTTTTTAATCAAAAGATGCACAAAACACCTTACAACATTCAGATTAAGAGCAGAGAAGAGTAATTAAAATAGAAATATTAAAAACTCACTGGAGTCTTCTATGACTGCTTAAAGGTGAAATGAAAGCAGCCCAGCAGATCTCAACAGGAAGGGCATTCCACCATTACGGGATAACCACTGAGGTTTTATCTCAAATACCCACCCAAGGTTCAAGAGCAGAGCATCTGAAGCTGACATATAGCCTACCCCATCCCAAAGACTTTACCTTATCTCTGTCTCATCAAGACAGTTTTAATGTTTAACATCTTACATCAAAAGTTCAGAAGATTCACAGGCAAGGACTTTGGTGAGTCAGGGTTAGGGGGAGAAGATCCTTTTTCATAACCACCTCCCTAATGTAAGGTGGAGGAGGGTCTGAAATGTGTGCAATTCTGGATCCTACTTCCTAACTGGAGCTGGCTTACAGGCCTCATTCCTTTGAGCCTGAAGCATTCAACCTGGACTCCCTGCCTTTGGCAGAGAAGTGATCATGGCACAGCGATGCTAGCGGAATGCTGGGTACGCCTTAACTCTTTACATGAGTCACCCATTGGAAAGGAAGGGATCTTCCAGGGCATTCCTTTCTACCATGACAGTAATCTCTCATTAATGTTAAAGGGATCACGAGATGCCATCCTTTTGTACATAAAATCACAATTTTCATTGTGATTTCATTTCATGTCATTGATTCCAACTTACGGGTTACTGATAGGCAATTCAACCCAGGTTTCAGCAAACTGCACTACCAAATAGGAGAATCAGTTAGAGGTGCCTGAACCAAAATTTGGCCAGCCATTTAAAATTAATGTGTGAAATTCAGTCACACCACCTCTGCTGCTTCTGAGTCTTTGTGTCCCTATCCCCCTACTTGCCAGGCTCACAGTGCTGCAGTGACAGCAGAAGCCATAACTGGTAGAATGTCTCTGGCTACACATAGCAACCCAGTTCCCCCTTGGCTGCTCCCTTCCTTCCTGTGTAAAGTACCAGACCCTCCTGTCTCTAGCCCTCCTTTTCCAACTCCATGACCCTACCACCCATTGCTTCCTCAGGCCACGGCTTGTCAGGCCACTGCCTACTTTGTTCCCCTTCCTTTCTCTACCATGTTTCTAGATCAGGGGTTCCCAAACTGCACTTCACGGGACACACACACACACACTTCATTCAGGTGATCCATGGCATGATCTGTGGCTACTAAAAACAAGAGATGGCATATCCACTGCATTAAATACTCATATTGATTTTAATTGTCTTTCTTCTGTGTTGTATTGTATTATATTGTATTACAGTTTGAATTCTATAAAATTGTAATGCACAGTGTATTACAGTTGCTAAACAAGCAGAAAAACCATTAAGTGATCCACCAAGATGCTAAGCAGTTTTCAAGTAGACCACGGATGTGAAGTTTGGAAACCACTGTTCTAGATCACTCTATTTCTCCTTCCATCTGCCACATAAAAATCTACTCATCTTATCCTTGTTGCCCTTTCATGTCTCAATTCCCTCTTTCTTCCCCTACCTCCAGGCTCCTCCTCCTCCTTTTTCTTATTTATTCAATCAACTAGTTACTTTTTTGCCATGGGAACGCAAAGTGACTTACAATATTTTAATAAAAAAACAAATACATGGTGTTATAGAACTTTGGGGGGGGTCCCCCGGGGGTAGGAGGAGGAAGTAAGGCTGAGATCCATCTTGGAGAAGGAGATGAAAGAGTCTCCTGCACTGCTGTGGACCATGCTGTAAAATCTGGACTCCCTTCAGGCAGACTGAAGGTGTAAATAGGCGAATAAACCCTCTTTCTTAAAGCACAACAGTCTCCACCTTGTCTTCTGTTCTCCAAAGGGACACAGACCCTGTGTGTGTGCCTTTGGCCGCAAGTGCTCTGGCCACTGCTGGGTGGAGGGAGGGCAGGCACCGGCCTATTGTAACAATACATTAACATCTTAATTTTTTAAAAAAATCTGCGTTGAAAAAAGAAGCCACTTTCTCCACTCTGCCCCTTCATTCAGCTTCCTTGCCTTGGGGCTCCCTGTCCATTAGCTTCTCTACCTCCTCTCAGGGCCATCACAATCTTCAACCATTCCCCTGCGATGTTTTAATGAATCCCTCCCAACCAACCAACCCCCTTTTCCTCACAGAAGGTGGACCACGATCTGCTCTGAACTGTCCCAGCCAATGCACCAGCCCAGCCAATCAGTGTCCGAGACGTCACCGGGCTTAACAATGTACAGGCTGTGCTGCATTAGCATCCGCGGAGTCAACAAGCGAGGCCAAATCACGTGACACTGTGGGGAGGGGGTTGTTCCAGAGCAGGTAGAGCCTTTCGGTTTTGTGAAGATTTTTTGGAGTGTTTCTATTTTGCCGCCTTTTCATTTTTGCTTGTTTGGGGGGGTTTTAAATTTACGGCCAAAAGGGCGTACGATTTATTCCGCCGCCGCCCCCTTGAGAAAGGGCGGTTATAGCTCGCCTTGGTCCCAATTGCGCAGGTGCCAAGGTGCTGCTGTTCCCATATAAGGCGAGGGAAACCGCGCGGCACCTGAACATTCCGTCGAGTGAGGGGAGCCTGACCCCGCCCTCCTCCAGAGGGGTTCGGGCGAGGGCCCGCGCGCTCGTTCAGTGACGCTTTAACGGTCGCCCACAGCGTCCTTTATTCCTCCCCCTCCCCTTCGACAGCTGTCGTCCCTTCGCCTGTTTCCTATGCGCGCGCGCCTGTTTTTTCGGAATCCTGCCCCAGTAACAGCTGAGCGCCAGAAGCTCCGCCCCCAACAACGCCAAGCTACCAATCACATCCCGCCTCCACCGTATGTCCCAATCAACACTGGTTGGAGGGCATGTGCCGTCCCAATCGGACTCCTTTCATTGAACAGCTCTTTCCCCTCTCAGCCAACCAGAACGCCGACCTCCTTGTTTGCCCTCGCCCTTCCCGAAGCCCCGCCTCCTCCAAGCCCGGCGCGGCTTGCTCGCCCCTAGGCCCGGTTCCAGACATCCGCCCGCACTCTCTTCGTGTTGTCAAGGAAAGCCACAGTTCCGCCCATCAACGCCGCAGCAACCCAATGAACGCTGGGCCCTCGCGAACGACTCGGCTCGCTCGCTCGCTCCCTTTTATTAGTGCACATGCGCTGTGTCTCATTCAGCAACACCTTGTTTCCTCACAGCTCATGCTCGGTTAACTCTCTCTCTCTCTCCAGAACGCCCTTACCAAGGCGCAAGTCGTACGCTACGTCTCCGCTCCGCTCTACGCATGCGGCCGTTCCTTGGCTTCGGAAAGGCGTTCGGCGCGTGTCCAGTCCGCGGCGCATGCGGCTTTCTCCCGGCTCCCTCCCACGGCTCACTGCGCGTGCGCCCTCTCCTCCGCCGCGCGCCGCCGCCTCTGCGCATGCGCCCAGGCTTCTCTCTGCCTTGGTTCCGGTCTGGCTCCTGCCTTGGGCGCCATCTTGGATTTGGGGACAACTGGAGTGAGTGAGTGAGTGAGAAGGCAGAGGAGCCCGAGGAGGCGAGAGAGGGGAGGGGGGGCCGGATAGCGCCAGGCCCCCCATCCCCACAGTACTCCACATCACCGACCCCACCCTCTGCCGTAGAGAGGTAGCCCCTCCCTTCCCCCAGCCCCCCGCCCCGCAGGGCTCCCTGGACGTTGGAGGATTTCTGGGGCTCCTGGAGGACCAGCCCGCCCCCGTCCGCCCGCCCCGCCCCGGCCCCTCCTGACCCCCCGCCCCAGTTTCCCCGTGAGGGCGGTGGCGCGTTCCGCTTCGGAGGTGCAAGCCTGAGTCCCCTCCGCATCCATTACCTGTGGGTCCTTTATAGCTCACCCCACCTGAAATATATGACAGGGGCTGCGACGTCCCACTTAGCCCGCGTCTTCCTTCCCTTAATAGGCTTCCCAAAGAGTCGTCTGTCGGTAGGGCCTCTTGTCTGAGAGAGATTTCCCCTCCTCTAAATTGGGATATTCTCTCTTCTCCTCCCTTCCCCCCCCCACTGCCCTGAAGAGTCTCCGTAGAATTGGGTCTGCTGGGAGACTCCTCATTCACCTTTTCAAAGGGATGCCCCCATCCTTCCCCTTTAAGTAGAGCCCCCTGCACGTCTTCGCTTCTGCGGATCCTTTCTTCCCTAGCCAAGCCAGAGAGAGGGAGATACTCTAGGTGCCCTATGTCTCCTACGCAGAGGCCTCCCTCGTCCAGGGGAGCCAGTGACAGTTCCCTCTAAACCCTCTTCCTTGATTGGAGGAGTTGGGGAAGAGGAGGAGGAGGTCGGGGGTGTACTCCCCACCCCCAATATCCTGGAGCTGGAGCCGCAAGGGGAACAGTATCAAGGCAGCTGCCGAGGCTTACAGGTGAGACCTGAACGTACTGATACAGGGGAGAGGTGAAGGGATGTGTGTTTTGGTGGTGGTGTGGGGAGGCTGGGAAGATAACAGAAGGTGAACGCTTGCAGAACAAAGAGGTTGTATGCACCAATTTTGTGGAAATCCGATTTTCTTTCTGTCTGCTTCCCCCGCCTTCCCCCAACAATCATGCCTCCTATGTTGAGAAGCACACGCCCTCCCACCCCACCCCGAACTCATTTTCTTCTTCTAAAGGCTTAATGAAGGAGTAGCAACTTGCAGCTTTCCCCTGCCACATCTGGGCCCCACTTCTCTCTTCTGGAGAAGCCAGGAGTTCTGTTCACCAGAACATGGATCCTGGGTTTCCATTCTGCCACCTCAAATCCTTGTCTTCTTTTTATTGAGAATAAAAGCTGACACCACCACCCCCATCCCTCCCAAAAACCTCCTTTGCAACCTAGCAATTGCATCTCACTATGACTGCTAGACTCATTTCTTGACTATGCAACTAAGAGCCCCTGGCTCCTAGTCCTGTTCCTCTCCATTAGGTCTTGTTCAGCTTTTAAGGAAACCTAGAGGCCTGTTTTTATGCCCTTAAATATTTGATGACAAGATTGGGGATGTAGGTGTTATCAAGGTAGGTTAACATGATGGACTACTGTTGGCTTCCCTAGGAATCATCATTCAGGCTGAAACTTTGTTGTAAATATTGAGCATGCAACCAGGAGTGAATTTTGGGGAAATGGGATGATTGCCCTTGGCTTGTGGTCTGGGGTTGGATTTTAATGTAGCACGCTACCAAAAGTTTTGTATGTGTGTTTTTAATGGGTTAGGAGGAAGACATGGTGGAACTGTATTTGGTTGCAGGGGTGCTTCACACAGATACTGCAGAGTAATGAGGTTTAACATGACCACTTGGAAGGAAGGAGGATGAATGGCTTGTCCTAAATGCTGGATGGTGTTCAATTTGACATCCTTTTAAGCTACAGGGACCACTTCCCACTGGGCCTGCTCTTTTTGTATTCTGAGGGGAAACCAGAAAAGGATTTAATGTCAAAGAAACCCATTTTCCACAGAGAGGAAAATAAAATTCAGCATTCAATATAACACTGTACAAAAAATTCAATTCTGTTAATATGCAGGAGTTTCACATTTAATTCAGAGTTTTAGGTAAATTGAGCATTATTTAGTACTTGGTGGTGTGAAGGTGCTGTTAGGAGGCAGTATCTATAAGCAGTGGGGTATGAGAAAACCAGTACTGTATTCCTTGAGCAATGGCAGTTGTCTGTTTCTCTCCCCCTGCCCACCCTGTGGACCAGGATTGTTTTCAGATATCTCTCTAGAAAAATGCGGGCTAGTACCTTTAAAGAAGAGGTCTTCAGCAGTCTAGATTTCTGTACATGTCACATCTCAGAAGATCAATTAATGAATGATGGCATGTTTATCAAGCCCATTAACACAAAGCACACAAGTTTCAAGACCTCCACTTTCATGGATTGTATTGCTGCTTGACCTGGGTCAAAAAATGGGAGTTGGGAATATTACCACCTCAAGGGATTGCACATTTCTCTGGGACATACCAATTTAAGGTAGGAATTTAAAATGAGTCTGAGAATAAGGGGTGTTTTTTGTGGTGTGCATCCAACAATTTTCATCGTAGCTTGAACATCATTCCAGAAGGTTTCAGGAAAGGTTTTGTGTGGCATGCTTCTATCAAGGATGAGTAAGAGTCCTTGAGAGCTATGTTGCTTTTGGGGCTCCTCCATCCACTGTCCTAATAGGCAGTAGTTTTATCATGCAAGATGGGGCCCAGTATCTACTTGGTTGCTTTTTGACAAAGCTTTTCCTGTGATATTTTTTTGAAGGCTCTTTCTGAAGTGCTTGGCCACCAAGATAATGGGATAAATTGCTTTTCTTTTGTTGACAGGAGCTCCTCAGACTTTTAACCCAGCTGATTCTCTCTTGTGGCCAGTAACACTCTTATTTTAGTCTGTTTAGTTGGGGACAGCCTTGCAAATGAATGCCCCAAAGTTACTAATCTGTCCACATATGTTTATTCGGTCATTTCAATTATATCAAGAGCTCAAAAGAAAGGAAAAGAACCAACACTTTTTCCAGTTTCTCTGACTTACAGCACACTTCTGTGACAAGTTGGAAACATGTCCTGTTGAGTTCAGTGGGGCTTATTCCCATGTAAGTGAGGTTAGAATTGCAGCCCCATTCCTCTAATACACATGTCCATTTAAAACCCTGGTTCTGCCCCTGTTGCTACAAAGAGCATGACTTCTCAATGAGCATTTAGGATTTTTCCTTTGCTGGATTCCCCCCACCTATGTTCTTGATTATAATACACTTACTTCCAGTAATCTAAAACAGAATCATGAGCCTCCTTTCAGCTGGACATGTCATCATGAGAGAAGTTTTATCCTGGAATATTCAGATGTTTTTTTTTAAAAGATGATTATGATGGTGTAACAAAAGTGTTGCTTTGAGCCAAAGGACTGCAAACAAGCCAACCCAGACTAAGAATAAAAGCATCCTACCCCTCTTGCCCAGGCACTACTTAGGGGAGGTGGAATTGTTTCTATATTTGTGGCTGCTGATTCTGCCTCTTTTTGCACATCTCACCACGATGTGACATAAAATAATAATTGGTAACACTCTTTGGTCAGATAAATTTAACAGCCCAAAGTTTCTAACTTTGATCTTGTCCTTTGTCAGAGAATACGTTGTTAAGAAGAGCTGGCAAGCAGAGGAATGTCTGAAAGGACACATGTAGAAGCTTGAGATACGATTAGAACTTCTCTCTTTCACACACGCACACCCCACCCCCTCGACACATACAAAAGTTCCCCTTTAGACACTATGGAGGACTTGCGAAAAGTGGAAGTGCTTTCTATAACATCCAACACCAGTCTTGTTTTCTGCCTTTAGTTTTCAGTTGAATCTGGTTTGGTGAGAGTCTGTCTTATGTACGTCTCATGACTACAGGCCTTTCCATGGGCTTAACATATGTGACAGGGTATGCAAAACTAAATCACCTCAGTAGTCTGGACAAATGCAATATTTTCTTCCGGCCGGCGAAGGGCATTTGTTAAGGTAACTGAACTCCTTCCAATTCTTTCTTAAAATAGTTTTCTAATGGTTGCAGCAAAATCTCTGGAAATTACTGCATTGTGTTCTCAAAGCATTATTTTCTGTCATGCTGTTGTGGTAGAATACAACCCCTAGGGCTTGCTTCTGAGTTACCCACAGGTTACTCAGTAAGCCCTGTATTCTTCCAGCACAGAAGGAATTGGTAGTGCGGGGGAGAAGACCCCCTGGAATGAAAGCATCCTAGAACCTCTGAAAGGAAAGAGGCCAGGACAGGGTATTTCATAATATTTAGGAAAGAGACTTTAAGGCTGGAGTCCATTTACCTGGAGTAAGCCCCATTGAATTCAGAAGGGCTTAGGTCTAAGTAGGCGTGTAGGATGGCACTGTATGATTTGTAACCCTGTATACTTAATTGAGATGAACCCCACTGAGCACTGTAGGAGTTGCTTCTGAGTAAACATTCAAAGGATTGTGCTGCCTGGGAAGCAAGGACTAGGAAGCAGTAACAGAACAGAGATGTGCTTCTGTGGACCCAGGATGCTGTAGCTTTGCTGAAGCTAAGCAGGTCTGGGCCTGGTTAGTTCCTGGATGGCAAGAGTGCCTGGGGACTTGAGTTCCATGCTGGAAAAAAGACAGGATATACATCTATTAAATATAGAAATTGCTGCCATAATTTTTAATAAGCAATTTATAATCCTTGTAGTTGCAGTGCAAAGCCAGCAAATATGAAGAGGGCAGCAACAGGTGAAGGGCAGCTCTTCTGCTGTTTTGTGGCTGGAGCTTTAATGCGTTTCCTAGGTTTCTATCAAGAGGTTATCCAAATGGGCTACGTGTGAATATTTTGGAGGCTTAAGTAAGGAGAAGGGATCAGAAGCCCTTTGTGGAGGTGCAGCGGCTTCCCCTGAGTAAGTTCAACAAACTGGACCAGAGTTTGTCCTTTCTTTCATTCTGTGATAGTATTTCATTGCCCATTGGTGGTATTTGGCACAATGGGCAATGTCTAAAAGCATTTACTGGGCCAGTGAAGAAAGAAAGAAAACCCACAACTTGCTTCTCTGCCACTACCACAAAGGACAGTGGCTAACATTTGGAGATTGGGAGCAGTCCAGACGTTGTGGCTTCCAGTGTTGCAGGCAGGTGATCTTTAGGCCTCTTGATTTTGGGTGTGTGGAAAGATCCACATGTGCCACAACTGTGGCACTATCCCGCTTTCAAATACTTAAAGCCCACCTGTGGGTATTGGATAATTCTGCCCCCTTCCTCTCTAGGTTCAGATGGCTCTTCCTTGCTCCATATCCCCACCGCTGATGATGTTTTGCAATAGGGAGAACCTGATGGAGTTTATATGTTCTTCACTTTTTAATGGGACTCCAGCAGCCTAATGCTACCGTCTCCTAGTGTATCTGTTTTCACCTGCAATTTAATGACTTTATGTTTGTGGAAAGTCTGCCTTAGGATTTTACATTTCACTGTTGCCAAGTGTCTGCTGTCATAAGTTACTTAGCTTTAATTGCCAAGTTAGGCCTGAGGCCTCCTGACCACTTCTCTTAAGACTTTCCCCTAACCAGCTTTCACTGTATATTGTTTCACTGATTAAACCCAGAATAATCAGGCTGTTCTTTTAGTTCTTCTGTTTACTTTAATCTCTGTATCTTAAAGAATGCAGTGTAAACAGCTCAATGCTTGATATATTTCAGGTGGTAAAATAGAGTAGAAGCAACCTCACCAATTTTGGCTTTCCAAGCACACATAACAATCCCAGCAGCTTTTGAGGAAAAACCCTTATTAGTAGATGGGGTACAGTGGCAATCACTTGGGGTGGACATTGGTATACTAGGTAATGCATTTTTGTTCCTTTTTCCTGCACGGTTGAGCCCATCATTGTCAACCTACTTAGCATGTTGGCATCCCCAGCTAAATAAATAAGCTTGTTGCTACTCCCTGTCAGAAATCTGGTACCGCTCTTTGCCATCCAGGCATATGAGGTGCATTTTCTTCAGGAGATCCTCAAGTTACATCCTCAGTTTGTGAAAATGAACAGAAGAATTCAGGATCACTATCTGCAGTTCTCTAAATTGTAGTAGCTGGAAAGCCATTAAGGTCAAGGGTCCATCTCCCAGCCTTTGAATAGACACTTAATTTTTTACAACATGTCCGTCCACCCACCCTTGGCAAATGTCATTCTGGGTAGCGTGTTCTGCAAGCAGATTGTTGAAACTGGCAGCAGGTCCTGTGTCAGAGCTTCCTGACTAATTTTCATAACTCACTGTAGCTGGATTGAGCAAGTGAGCCAAAGCACATGCTATAGAAAAAGCAAGGTGTATTGTTTGTCCTGGGTGGTTAACTCCTTTCCAAATGTGCTTATCCGGTACAGCAGGGATGAGGAACCTTTTTTAGCCCAATGGCTGCTTTCCCTTCTAGGCAGCCTTCTGAGGGTCACATGCTGGTGGTGCACAGGGACGGAGGCAAAAGCGGGCAGAACAACCTTTGAACAGTAGGTTAGTTTCTACGAAAAACTCACACTCCCCTTTCTCTTTCTGCCATCCAGGCAAGCAAGAGGCATTATCAGAGTTCAAAGACACCTTCCAGCCGGGCAGAAACACACAGGCAGTCAAGCAGGGCCAGTGAGAGCTGTTGCCTGGGGAGAGGGGAATGCCTGGGAAAAGTTCTGAGGGCCAGATAGAGAGGCCTGAGGGGCCTGAGGTTCCCCACCCCTGTGTTACACTCTGCAGTTGAGAAGAAATCCTTAAGCCTGCCTTCAGGAGTGCTCTTAACCCTCTAGCACAGGTCCTTTTTAATAGTTATATTACAGTTATTAAAGATTATATATTCTTTTTGTGTTTATTGGAAGTGTCTTGTGCATTCATGTAAGTGCCATGAGAACTACTGGAAAAGTGGCATAGAAGTATGCTGGCAAATGGTAACTGCTGCTTTCTGTGTCTAATTGCAGCCTCCCAAAGCTTCAGCAGAAGCACAAAATATTGCACGACTCTTTAAGAGTCACAGGCCTATAAACTGGTTCCACTTTTAGTCTGCACATCTTGGGTCAAATGTGACATCCAGACCTGCTGATGATGACCTGAAAGCAGGTCTACTGTTCCATGTTGGGTGAGAGCCTGATCTACTTTTGCAGATCCTTTTTGCAGACGATACAGCTTATGCTGCAGGGGGCATTTCTTTCTGTGTAAGGAGTAGCCCTAGATGACTTCTCTGAATTCATTGTATAACCCTGTTCCGTTGACGTTAGCCTGGAACCTCAAAACCAAACTTGAGAGGTTAAATTCTGTGCACTGCTTAGTGAAGTGAGGTACAGCAGAAGGATGCCTTCCCACCCGCATTACTGCTGCCAGGCTGGCCTTGTGATTTGCCTTTTTGCTTTGGATTGTTCCCTGGGAAGCAACTGAACAATGCAAGGATTTCCTCTCGCTGACATGGCCTGCCTGCAGGCTCTTGATTTCCTTGTTTTTCTGTTCATTGGGTGGAGGAGGGGAATTAGTTCAATGAGCTCTGCCCATCCCAGAAGGTGAAGAGGTACCCCAAGAAACTTGTTTTGGCAAACGGGGTTTAGATGCAGGTTGGTGCTCCTCAAAAGGCAAAGGCCACGGGCCTTGTTTTTCTAATGTTCATCTAGCCAGCCTGGCCTGACCCATTCCCATAGGCAAAGACTCCAGGGGGTTACATCCAGCTGACTAATGTCAAGGGCAAGGAATGGATCCGCAGTCTAGACATACAAGATGTTTTAGCCTATATGAATACCCTGCTGGTTCATTCAGCTGATGGAGTCCTGCAAAGGATCACTGTGGAGTTTTGCAGCCTGCAGAGGTGGTATTGGGGGGGGGGAGTAGCTGGTGCCAACTTTTACAGACCTCTTTCTTGCCTTTTGTGTTGAGCAAAGATGAAGAGTGCCCAGCCTGCCAGGGTGTGATTAGCAATAAGGTCAGAATAGTGGCTTATACCTGCATTAAGCATAGACTCCAAAATAGTGAGGTTCCCCCTCTGGGAAGCAGGGTACCCATGTTGGGAGTGTCTCCCTTGGGCCAGGGTGGGAGGCAGCATGGCTGTCCACCTGTCTTCCCATTTAGTGTAGGGTCATAGGTTGCAGCTACTGCAAGCGGCAAACACATTCTCCTGCTGAAGGATCTCTCCCAGGGAATTTAGGTTGGTATGTCTGGAAATTTGAGTTGTTTGATGTAGGGTTCAGAGCTAGAGTCTAGGCTGCCTGGATTTGTCTCTGTTCTCTTATAGAAGCTTCAGCCTCTTGTACGCTATAATGCCACATCAAGAAGTATGGGTCATCTTGCCATAGAATTTATTGATTGATTTAGAGCACTTGTACCCCGCTCTTCAACCTAAAAGTCTCCTGGAGTGGCTTGCATACAATAGCTTGCAAGACAGCCCCTGCCTGCAGGCTTACAATCTGAAATGTATTTCTGCTCCCCCCCCCTTTTTTTTTTTACTTCTGTGCCACCTGCATCTTTTAATCTTAAAGACCTTGATTAAAATAAACTCCATAGATGTACCAATTGGGGCAGTGTGTTGCAGGTAAAACATTTCAATGTAGTGACATGCAACTGTTTCATATGTGGATAGTTAGCTTTTAACATAAAATTGTATGATGGAGGTGATATTTTCCAGGTGGTGAACAGCTCTGAGCACCTCTTTGAGGACTAATAAGGATTAAGCAACTTCTGTACTGGCCATGCTTCCTGTGTACAGGGTTATTGGTCTCTGGGCCCAGTTCAGGGTGATCACATTAGCGAGCCCTAAAAGGCTTAGGCCCCAAATATCTGAAGGACTGCCTCCACCGCTTCCAAAGTTGTTGGGTGTTACGATCGACTGAGGGGGCTCCCTTGGTATCCTCATCCTCAGAAGTGTGGGCAAGAGTGGCCCAGGAGAGGCCTTTCTTTGTGGCGGCCTCTAAATTGTGGGACTCCCTCCCCACAGAGTTGTGTGCAACATCTTCATTGGACAGCTTTCGCTGTATGTAAAAGACACACCTCTTTGCCCTGGCCTTTGTTTTTTGGGACTGAACTTTTGTTGGATTTATACTGTTCTGTTCCGTTCAGAGAGGATTTACTACGTTATTATCATTGCAATGGTCTTAACTGTTTTTATAACAGTATGTTGTAATACTGTAACCCACCCTGGAACCTATTGGAGAAGGGCAGGTATAAAAGCTTAGAAAGAAAGAAATTACCTAGTCCACTTCTCCTGTACCAAGCCCAGTAAAATCTCAGGCAAGCCTCTCAAAAGTCTCATTTGCTACATGTCCCCATAATTCCCTTCAGCCCCTCACAACTGACTGACCTCAGTTTACCCAAGAAAAGGAATGGGGAACCTGTGGCCTTCAAGATGGTGGTGGACTATTTAACTTTCATTATTTCTAACCATTGGCTTATTCTGATAGGGGTTTGAGTGCCAGCAACCTCTGGAGGTCCATGTGTCCCCATCCATCCCTGCTCTAGAAAGAATTGTTAAGGAAAGCAGCACAAGATAGCCAAATCACAAAAGCAACCTTGGAAGGGTTGGGCTTGATTATTTCTTTTTTGTTTTGTATATACATCCTTGGGAATAATTGCCATCAAAGAAGTAGTCTTTAAAGAAGATCTTGTTAATTTCTTCCTCCTCCCTAACTTGACTTTCAGCAAGAGCAGAAGGGAAACTAAAGCAAGAAAGAAGTTTATTAAGCTGAGGCAATTCTTTGTGAGAATGTGGCTGCTGTACATGCAGGTCTTTGCCCACTGCAAGGGGAAGGTGGCACTGCGCATGCAAGTCTGTGGAGCTGAAACATGTTCAGTCCTTCCACACTGAAGAGGGAAAACCCAGCAAGAACCTTCATCCTGTCATAGAAGGAGCAAGTCATGGAGGTTATTTTAGTTGGGAAAGCAGCAGGGACAAGTGTGCTCTGAGTCAGAGTGTATTGTATCTCAGGGAGATACTCCTGAGTTTTCTTAGGAACAATTGGAGCCTGTAATTCATTTTCTAAAAGAAATTTGCTTGCCAGGGTATATTGTTGTGGTTAGAGCAGAAAAGTTGGAAAACTTAGCGATAAGCAAAGTTTCGGGTGCATTCAGTTCCCCAATTCAGTACATTTTCAGTTCCCAATTGTATGCTGCTGCTAGTGTAGCAGGAGCACAACATGAAGAAGAGAAACAGCTATATCTTCTCTGATCTCTATGAAGTCTTACCCCATTTGCTGGCATTGGTGCCCCCCCTTCCAAATTCTTCTCCTTGATTACCATTCTATACCACTTCTCTTATTTTTGTGGGTGGGAACTTGCGACTCCTGGATTCTCTTGTGAAGGATGTCCTGTATGAGCAGTGACTGGATTGGATGCAGCTGTGGAAGATTTCCCATCCTGGCTGATTTGGCAAAAGAATGGGCCTTTTGTAGGGAGTCTGATATATTTTTATAACCTGCCTTTCTTCCACTAAGGAACTCAAGGCAACCTACATGAGGTTCTTAGATGCCCCTCCCTGGGTCCAGTCCCCTCACTGATCAGGCCTAGATATGTTTAGCTTCAGGAAGGTAGCCTCATTGTGTGTCCTATCAGACCATGTCTTACCCTCGGTGAGCTTGCTAACCTCTGTTTCCCCACCTTAGGAGAAGGGCAAAGGTGAAGCCCAGCCTCCTCCACGGCCGCCATGCCGTCTAATGCCCGGGCTGGCAGCTTGAAGGACCCTGAGGTGGCTGAACTGTTCTTCAAGGATGACCCTGAAAAGCTCTTTGTTGACCTGCGGGAGATTGGTCATGGCAGCTTCGGAGCAGTCTACTTTGTGAGTGTTGAAGGAGTGGGGTGGGGCGATATTGCTGGAATTGAACACGCCCCTCTAGGCTCACTTAAAACATGCCCTCCAGCTCCTTCTTACTCATTAGCATCACACCTCTTTGCCCTCCCTGTGGAGAAGATTACTAGTTATAACCTCTGTGTGTATGCCCCAGGTTCGGAAACAGTATGCTCCTGAATTTCAGATGCTGGGGAACAACAACTGGAGAGGGCCGTTGCCTCTCCCCCCACCCCTTATGGGCTAGTTGACCACTGTGGGAAACAGGATCTGGAGTGAACTGACTCTTGGTCAGATTCATCCAGGCTTCCTTTCTCGTTCTTAGGAAATGGGTTACCAATATGCCTCTGACCTGTGGACATCTCTGGGTGTGAGAATGCCCTCTTGATCTGCATTACTTTTTCCAGGCAGAGAAGCCAGCTTCTGCTCAGCCCTCTGAATCGACTGCCTCTGAATCTGGCCATTGCTCCCCGCCCCCAAACAGCTTCCTGACACTCTGTTCCTTCCACAGGCCCGAGACATACGTAACAATGAAGTGGTGGCCATCAAGAAAATGTCCTACAGTGGGAAGCAGTCTAATGAGGTTTGTGCTTCACCCCTCTTCTGACAACACTAGTCCCAGCTGGCCTGCCAGCAGACCTTGGTGATTAAGTTCCCTTGGTCTCTAGATCGACTGAGAGTGCCCTGGATCCATTGGGCTCCGTCCCATTCTCTCCTTCATCTGGAATTCAGGCTTCTCCATGCTCAGGCCCCCTTTGTGTATCTTCCAGAAATGGCAGGATATTATCAAAGAGGTGAAGTTTCTGCAAAAGCTGCGGCACCCGAACACCATTGAATACAAGGGCTGCTATCTACGGGAACATACAGCATGGGTAAGATGAGAGGGGAAGCGGCTCACATTAACCTTTTGGGCTCCAGGAAGATTTTCTGATCTTTGAATGATGGAGGTTTTGGATGGGTGCAGGAGGGGTCTGAGTAGTGGTTGGGTTTCTTGCTTAGGTTAAAGAGCAAGTATGGATCTTATAAAACAGAGAGAGAGATTTTCACAGACAAAGCAAAATTCATTCATGAAAGTGACGGCCGCATGATGTGGTTGTGGCTGCTGCTTTAAGATGGCTTTAGAGGGGGGGCAGGGCTAGGCAAATGCATGGAGGATAAGACTATCTGTGGTTGTTAACCATGATAGCTAAATGGAGCCTCCATGTGTAGGAGCAGTATACCTCTGAATACCAGTTGACAGGAGGGCAACAGGATGGGAGGGCAGTTGCCTTCTGACCTGCTTATGGGTTTCCTGAAGGCATCTTGTTGGCTGCTGTGGGGAACAGGATGCTGGACTAAATGGACCTTTGGTCTGATTTAGCAGGGGCTCTTCCTATGTTCTTAAGTGAATCGGAAGTCCCAGGTATGTAACGGTTTGGGGGACTGGTTGGCAGGTGGGGTTCAGAGGAATGCTCTGCCCTGTGCTAACTTCCTTCCCTGCCTTCTCACCTCATCAGCTGGTGATGGAGTACTGCCTGGGCTCTGCCTCGGACTTGCTGGAAGGTGAGTACCCAAGACCATGTGAGATGGGTAGATATTCTGTATCCCTTTTTCCTACACTTATATGTGATGCTCTCTCCTCCCTCCCATGTTTCCTAGTGCACAAGAAACCGCTGCAGGAAGTAGAGATTGCAGCCATAACACACGGTGCCCTGCAGGGGCTTGCATACCTGCATTCGCACAACATGATCCACAGGTGAGATGGGCAGTCCTGCCCTGTGTGCCCACATCTTCCCATGCTGTTTTTAGGCATAGTCCACAGGAGCCTGGGTGGCAGAATTCCCATGTCCCTATCTTACCATGAGGGTGCAGTCCTTATGGACCCTTCTGATTTTAAATTGAATTATTTGCTACTTTTAACTGCCACATCAAGGCATATTTGCATTTGATTCATGCAAGCGATTCCTGTGGGGTTTTCAGCACAGAGACAGAAAATAAACTTTATGTATGAGCTGAATGCAAACTTCAGAGAAAGCTGCTTGAAACGTCCTGCATTGTAAGGGCACAATATGGCCTTGAAGCTGCTGCACCATAAAATCTGTATACTTCCTCCCTTCCTCCTCCCACTTTACATCTAGAGAAATCGTGGCAAATGGCAGCTTTTGGTTTAAAACTGCAAGGCCAGACAGTCTGGCTGTGTTCATATATAATGGTAAGCCATGCTTTGTTTTAGCTAAGATTTATTCAACAAACCATGGGTTATCTTTCAGGCAGGCAAATAAGCCAAGAGTTTCTTTCTCTGAAACTTGCTTTGTTTTCCAGCTGTGCTTACCTCTTGCCTCCATAGTTTGACCACTCAACCCTCAATGCTCACTAGACAACCCATGGTTGAGCAAGGAGATAACACCAAGCCATAATTAGCCATGGTTTCACATCATGGTTTGTTGCCAGAAAACAAGCCATCGTTAGTTCTGCTGCTGTGGGTTTGGGCACCACACTTCGGCTAAACAATCAAAGGCTTAGTGTTGTTTGCAAGCCAAGTCTCTGTGGCTCAAGTTTCTCTATCTCTATCCTAACTTGTATATTTAGTTGCTCATGCCCTTTGCGTGATCCACAGACAGGATGACAAAGCCCCCACAGTATAATTTGCAAGCCATTGTTTATTGGGTTCTAGCACATGTCAGGGTCCACATGAATACATTGACATGTGTTGGGAGAGTGGGACCATGCATGCCATCAGGCCCTTTTCCACATCTCCAATGCCTCATCCTTGCACGCATTTATTTATTGCATTTACATCCCACTTTTCCTCCAAGGCACTCAAGGTGGCGTAGATGGTTCTCCCTCTCCCCATGTTATCCTCATAAGAACCCTCTGAAGGTAGGTTAGGCTGAGAGACAGTGACTGGTCCAAAATCAACTAGCGAGTGGTATGCCTGAATGAGGATTTTACACCTGTTCTCCCTGGTCCTGGTCCAATACTCTAACCACAAAACCCCTCTGGCTCTGCTTTAGGACTGAAGCAGAAAGCCTTCTGTTTACACGTAGGCCCCCCTCTGTGACTTAGAACTATGTGTGATCTGGTTATACTTGTGTAAGAGGTGGGCCACTTGAATAAGGCTAAACAGTTCAGCCTAACCATCTCCATCTAGCCCTGCCCCCCGGCATGCAGTTTTCAGTGCACACATCTCCTGCCACGATTCCATCCTCCTGCTCCCCCCCCCCCCCCCGCGCTTCTCACACTTGTTTTCCCTCTCTGCCCACCTTCCAGTCCATGGTTATCTCTGCTCCCACGTGCAGTTCTTAATCACTAAGCTTTGCCTTTTCCAGAGATGTGAAAGCTGGGAATATCCTGCTGACTGAGCCAGGACAAGTGAAACTGGGGGACTTTGGCTCGGCCTCCATCATTGCTCCCGCTAACTCCTTTGTTGGCACCCCATACTGGTAAGAGAGCAAGAAGTGGATGTTTGTGTGACCTGGGAGACAAGCGGGAAGATCTGTGGCAAGAAGCAATTGTAGGCCTCGCCCTTCATTAGGAGAATAGTGTTTGCGTGAAAATATGGCAGGGCAAATTGGGAGTGAGGTTCGATGTGCGCGAACTTGGTTCCTTGAAAAGCAAAGAGAATTTATTGGATTTGATAGGGCCTGCATTTTCTGGAGGGAAGAGTTGGAGATGTTGAGAAGTAGAAAAGCAAAGTCGTACTGCGTGGAAGCAGAGGGTTACCCTTTTTTGCAGATAAAATGCCGTATATCGAGGTGGCTCTGTAGATGTTGTTGCTCTCCAGCTCCCATCATACCTGACCATTGACCTGGCTGGCTGGTGCCAATGGGAGTTGTAGCCCCATGACATTTGGGGACACTACATTCACTACCACCCTAGCTATAGAGTCTTAACAAGCTGTGAATCATGATCTCAGGCCACTGTGCACTCTGCTCTTTCCAGGATGGCTCCCGAGGTGATCCTAGCCATGGACGAGGGGCAGTACGACGGCAAGGTGGATGTCTGGTCACTTGGCATCACATGCATCGAACTTGGTATGGGATACGCTCTTAGGAATAGAGAAGGTGGTGTGTTCCAAGGACCTCCTTGCCCTGGCAAGCTTGGAGCTGCCAGAGTTCTTAAGGTGGGGGAGGCAGGAGGGGAAATGTCTTGGGGGAAAGTGAAATGTCGCTGTTAACATCAGTGTCCCTGTATCCCCAGCGGAGCGCAAACCACCCCTCTTTAACATGAATGCTATGAGTGCCTTATACCACATCGCCCAGAATGATTCTCCGCTGCTCCAGTCCAGTCACTGGTAAGAAAGGCCCCCAATTCATGTGTTTATGAAAATGAAGGGCGTTCTAGGATCTTGGAAATAGTGATTGATGGGTTTAGAGCTGGGACCGGTGACAGAAGCTGAGGTTGGAGTTGGAAAGAAGGCAGGCCTCCTGGATTGCTCTTTCTTTACTTCTTTCAGGTCTGAATATTTCCGGAACTTTGTGGATTCGTGCCTGCAGAAGATCCCCCAGGACCGCCCAACCTCTGATGTGCTGCTCAAGGTACTGCTCAGCTCAGCTGCACCCCTCAATAGGGGCCTTCTGCCTCCACTTATGTCTCTGAAACTTTGGTCACAACACAGTCCTGTCTGTGGGACAGTGAAAGTGAGGCTGAGGGCAGAAGAAGAAAGCTGTTTTTCTATTAGAAATTTCATTGAGAGGAAAACACATGCCGAGGACTGCCAAGACGTGAAATTAGCTAGGTAACATAGGGTGGGGAGTGTAGGTGGAGAGTTATCACGTGGGATCAACCTTCATAAGTAACTCCCTTCAACGTTGTTCCCCAGGAAACAACTATACAAATCTTCCCCTTTGTTTTTCATTGTTAAAAAGATGCTCCACCTGTGAAAAATAATGTTTAAATGTTTTGGTCAATGTATTTGCGGTTCCTCATCACTTTGATTCACCTCCCAGACAAGCTGAGAGTGCACTGTGTAGATTAGTTTGAGTCGTTAGTGGAACAGAATTGATCCAGTTAAAGTGGATTTGTGAAAAACCTGCTCTGGAGAACCATTTTCAACCAACCTCGTGCTCATTCTTCCCCAGCATCGCTTTCTCTTGAGGGAACGTCCCCAGACAGTTATCATGGACCTGATCCAGCGAACCAAGGATGCTGTGCGGGAGCTGGACAACCTGCAGTACCGCAAGATGAAGAAAATCCTTTTCCAGGAGGCACAGAATGGCCCAAATGCAGAGGCACCAGAAGAGGAGGAGGTTAGTGGTTCTACCTGGTTACCCAAGGCAACTTCTTCCCCGCTCCAGCTTCCTCCCCAACCTCTTACCCTCTCTACGTTGTTCTAGGAGGTGGAGCAGTTTCTCCACCGTACAGGCACCATCAACAGCATGGAGAGTAGCCATTCGGTGCCCAGCATGTCCATCAGCGCTAGCAGCCAGAGCAGCAGCGTCAACAGCCTGGCGGATGCCTCTGATGACGACGATGGGGCTGAGATTGCCATGATGCAGGAAGGCGAGCACACAGTCACCTCCAACAGCTCCGTCATCCATCGCCTTCCGGTACAGGATACATGTGCTTTGGTAGTGGGAGGGTCTGAATGATAACAGGAGGGAGCAGGTTTGAGTGGGCTTGGGAAACAAAGTCACTTGTGCCTTTCCATGATTGGAGCCCAAAGAAGCACGGAAGCAGACACACTGACTTGATGCCGTAGTGAAGGGCAAAATTTAGGGAGCAACTCCGGTTGGGTAGGAAGCGTCAGTTGCCCTGGCCTTCCTCAAGCTCTCCCATGCTGGTGGGTGGTGGTAGGAGGTGGTAAAGATGCAGGAATCACAGGTTGGTCCTGCCCAGGTGGGTGAATTGTGGGACTGAACCTCTGAACGTGGTTTGGATTCACACAATATGATAGGAATGGTGGTGGGGAGCAAGGCAATAGAGACCAAAGAGTTTGGGTCTGCAGCTAAAGCATCCTTAGCTCTGAAAGCCTATTAGCCCCATTGCTTCACAGCTAAGCTCATCTTAAGCATAGATTTATCCCACCTTCCCCACTCTGCCCAGAAACCAATGGTTGTAAAGGACATACCTGACAACCTGGGATTTTGGGGAAATTTTCCTGTACGAATTAGGCTAATTTGCATAGGCTCATATTCCATTGGACAGTGTTCAGTTTGCATCATCAGAAAATGTTCTGATGCCCTCCACATGTCATTGGACCAGCTCCCATCATCCCTGACCATTAGACATGCTGGCTGAGGCTGATGGGAGTTGTAGTCCAAGAACATCTGGAGGGCACCTTGTTGTCTACCCCTGCCCTAGAGAGTGATCTATTTCCACATGCTTATTGTATTTGTGTTTAATGTGCACAATGCTTTGAAATTGCCAAGCTTGCTTGCCTAATAGTTGTATTTGCAATTGGCATCCATTCATTGTTAGTAGTAAACCTGTAGAACAGAAAAATTTCCATGGAAGAATAAAACATTAATTTCTGCTTCACCAAGACAAATTTAAGCCCAATGGAGCCACTTCCCTCCTCACTGGATGGGGTAATTAAATTGTGTCCCACCCATCCTCACCCAGCTGTGGCGCTTTCTGTTGACCCAGGTCATCCAGCATAAAGAGAAGGTGATAGAACCGTGTAGGTTTTGCATTTCTCACAGGCCTGTTTTGGTGCTTCTCAGGGCCACGACAACCTGTACGATGACCCGTACCAGCCTGAGATGGAGCCCCAGAGCTCATCATCAGCTGCCCGGCGCCGTGCCTACTGCCGCAACCGAGACCACTTTGCGACCATCCGTACAGCTTCTCTGGTGAGTGGAAGGTGAAGTCGTGTTTGGACAAAGCATGATTTCCCCCCCTCCAAACCAAGTTCAGTCTCTTCATTGTAGATGGCCCAGCACCTTGTTTTTATACGGAGGCTGCAGAAACTGCAGGGTTTATACAACTTCTTCCCAAGTAGTAGGTTCTGCTTCCTCCTGAATCCTCATTTCTTAAGATGAGATTCTTGCTAGCTGTATAAAAAATGAGAATTCATGTCCTTCAGAAGTATTAAGGGCTCAGGATGCAGCCCCCACAACCTGGCACCTTTCACATGTTTCATGCTACAACTCCCAGCAGCCCCAGAGGGTGCCAGGATGGAGGGAAACTGGCCCCAAAGTGACCCATTTAGAAAAGGAATGGACAGATTCCGGGGGGAAAGATTTGTCATGGACTATTAACATCTATTGTTGTTCTTAGGTAACGCTTCCTATTGAAGGAGCAGAGGGAGAATCATGGAGACCTAGAAGTCCCATGTTCAATACTCTTACCTTTGGGGCATTTCCCCAACACACTTTGTAACCAAGGGAGGCTAGGAATGTTCTGTGGGAGAGAGAAAAAGGAAGCTCTGTTTCTGTGTTGGGCTGCTGAAACTTAAGCAATGGATTGATTCCTTAATTGATTAATAAATCTAATATATGAATAAAAAAAGTAGCTCCAGAGAGCCACACCATTTTTGATGATGCATGCACACGGTGCAACAGGCACCGTGTTAGAAGGGGGAAGTCTCAGAGAGGAAGTGGGGCGCAGCTGTGTGCCAAACCTTGGAGTCTCATGGAAGAAAGAGGGGTGTCAATGTAATAAAGTAAAAATAGGGTGGTGCCTGCTACCTGCAACTTTTATCAGTACCTATAATAATTTAAAAGTTCCAGATTTAATGGTTGGTGCTTGATAAAAATGGATTAATTGACAAGATGTGGCAGGTCTAGTTCTCAGATTACAGGCTCTTGTAGGCAGGGTGTTGAGGATGGCCCAGGAAAGGGTGGTGCTGAGCTTCCCCCTTAACAGGATGCAACTCTAATTCAGGAGTAAGCACACAAGCAGTGGGGCCTGCGAGAGTCAGGGTTGCCTAACTTTTACCTCCTGCTGCCCTTCCCCAGGTGACTCGCCAGATCCAGGAGCATGAGCAAGACTCGGCGCTGCGGGACCAGATGAGCGGCTACAAGCGGATGCGGCGCCAGCACCAGAAGCAGCTGCTGGCTCTGGAGAACAAGCTCCGGGCAGAGCTGGACGAGCACCAGCTGCGGCTCGACAAGGAGCTGGAGGCCCATCGCAGCAACTTCTCTGCTGAGGCTGAGAAACTGGCCAAGAAGCACCAAGCTATATTTGAGAAGGAGGTGAGCGCAGTGGGGGGTTGCCTTGCCAGAGCTGGGGAGATTCTGTTGGAGACAGTTACGATGGCTCCAAGCGGCAGGAGGAAGGCAGAGAGCTTGTAGCCTCCCTAGTGGAGGAGCTCCCGTAGGAAAGTGGAGTTCCTCGGGCTGTTGAATAACCACATGCTCAGCGCTGGCTCTGGGTTTTGGGGAGCCATTACCCAGGACAGGTGGGGTGTTCTTGCAGCAGCGAGCCTTGCTCCTTGCTGCCATCATCGCCAGCTGCTGCTATTGGTCCTCCTCTTCATCTTTGCTGCCACTCACTTGACTGCCAGGCAGTGGGCCAGGGAGAGCAAGTAGGCAGTGTCATTTGTGGATCCTCCTTTGCCTACTGCTGCCCCGTTGCCTGGGCCAAGCTGAGAGGCAGTAGGGAAGAGCAGGCGCAGGGGGTTCTTGTCAGCGGACCCCCTGGAACGGTGCCTAGACCCTCCGCAAATGCCTGGCCTCTTCACACTGGCCCTACGTGTGCTGGAGGGGTGCTTCAAAAACCAGCCACAATAAAAAGAGTGAAGCTCTTCCTTTTTGGTTTCCCTTCCATTCTGACCAGATTACTTGGGGTGGTCCAGGCTTGTTGCTGAGAGGGTCTCTTCTTTGGCTCCTGTTGTAGCTGTGGCTCTTCCCTTCCCTTCTGGCCGCATTAGCTGTGACCTGGTAGCTCAGTGCTTTGGGATCATTTCAGTGAGCTGCTGCTGCTGCAGGGATCATTTTTCCTTTTAAATGCAGATACTTTTGCTTATGGGGAAGGGCCATAGCTCAGTGGTGGAGCTTGCCTTGCATGCAGAAGGTCCCAGGTTCAATCCTTGGTCGAGACCCCTGCCTGAAACCCTAGAGAGCCACTGCTGGCCAGTGTAGACAGTACTGAGCTAGATGGACCAATGGTCTGATTCAGTACAAGGCAGCTTCTTATGCTCCTGTGTTGGTATTAGAGGACATCCAGCTTCGACAATAGCCAGGCCTGAATGCCCTGCTCCCCTCCCTCCACCCAAACACATTAAAAATGGTGAGTTGAAAACCATGCTAATGGTGCAAATTTGCCTATTTCTGCTAGACATAGGCAGGCTCTTTGAGACTCCAACTCAGTTTCCCACTCTGGTTTTGGACGTTCTGCCACTTTGCCCACACCCCCGTAATGGCAATTCCCTTTTCTTTCTCCCACACTTAAAATACTTCCCTGTGCTTGCATGGAGTTACGCTACTACACATGCAGCCATGAGCGTGGCCAAACTGTCTTCATCCTTCCTTTGTGGGTGAATTTCCTTTCTTTCTCTCTCACCCATCCCCTGTACAGGCAAAGGCAGCCCTGGCTGAGGAGAAGAAGTTTCAGCAACATATCTTGGGCCAGCAGAAAAAGGAGTTGGGCAACTTGCTGGAGTCGCAGAAGCGGCAGTATAAGCTACGCAAGGAGCAACTTAAAGAGGTACCTGCTTTTAAGAGGAGCAAAGCAGGCAGGAGGGGAGGGGGAGGGGTCACACCAGCTTGGCAGCCTCCTGTTGGAAAGTTCCTGGTCTCTCATCCCAGCCTCCGTGTTTTCCCCCCTTGTGCTGTCTTCCGATTCCATCTGTAACTGGGAATGCTGTCATGGATGGGTGAGGGATGTGCGGCCTCTGAATCTGGCACTGCTAATTTCTGGTTCAGTCTGTGGTACTACCTCTTGATAATTCAGTGACCTGAAATTAGAGTCCTTGAAGGAGCTTATTCAGGAGTCAATCGTACAGTCTTTAGGGGGGATGCATATAAAATATAAATTTTAAAATGTCAGGGGCTACTCAAGAGTTGCCTCAGTGCTGAAAATTCTCATAGTTCCCTGCAAGCCATGGCTGACTTCCTGCTTATGAAGAGTGAGCTAGTGGCCTAGAGCTGTTTCCTTGAGACTGAATGAGTGGCTCTTCTCTCTCTTTGGTGGGCAGAAGCCCACCATGGGAAATGTTTAGCAAAGACTGGACCTCCGGCAGTGCCTGCACTCCTCATTCAGTGAGAACAAGAGGAATGAATGATCCGCTCAAATGAAGGAGCAGTTAGAGAAAGTTTAGCAACGAGTGTATTCTGTGGCAGTTCCTTTGGGACTTTGCAGCTGGTCTTCACCCTCACTCTCCATATATTTGCCAGCTGCATCCAGATGTTCTTTACCCAGTTTTATGCCCGGGTGTAGGGCAGTGGTGGGGAACCTCTGGCTTGTGGGCTACATCAAGCCTGGCTGGAGGCTTAGCTGGCCCATAATGCCGTTCTTCCTAAACCACAGCCACCTGGCCCACATTGGATGTCAGGTATTGGGCAGGTAAAGATGTGGCTGCAAAGGTACAACCAAGAGCCCTAAAATGCTCTTCTGGTTTTTCCTTGGTTCACATCCAGTAATTCCAAATTTGGCCCATCCTTGCCAAAAGTGAGCATTGCAGTTGGCACCAACCAACACTGATTTGAACATCCATCAATTGTGCTCTGGAGTTCGCAGTCAGGAGCCACCAAGCACAGCTGATCCTTGCCCAAACAGAGGGTTGCAACCAGGACCAATCCGTTGACCAGCACTGACTGAAACCCCTGCTGGGATTGGCTGCAGGGATCTTCCTTCGCAGCCCAGCTTGAGGAACATAGATCTTCTGCACTGATGGCTTGAATCCCAGGCTGGACTGCCAAAGAGTTCAGGAAAGAAACAGGAGCACGCTTAGAATGCACCCCACTTTCTTTGCAGCTAGGTCACCATGGTGACATCAGATGATTGACAGGTGGGTGGACCCGTCAAGGTGGCCCGCGGTGGGAGAGCCCAAGCTCCTTTCCGCCAGCCAGATCCTCTTCTCCGCCCATGCTGTGTAGGAGGAGATACTATCATACTTCATTGTGTCCCGTTTCTCATGACTTTTTGTTTTCCTCTCTCAGGAGCTGCAGGAGAATCAGAGCACACCCAAGCGGGAGAAGCAAGAGTGGCTGCTGAGGCAGAAGGAGAACATGCAGCACTACCAAGCAGAGGAAGAGGCCAACCTTCTGCGCCGCCAGCGGCAGTACTTTGAGCTGCAGTGCCGCCAGTACAAGCGCAAGATGCTGCTGGCCCGCCACAACCTGGACCAGGACCTGTTGCGAGAGGTGAGAGTCTGGCGTTGGCTGTGGGGAAGGGATGGTTTCACGGGAGGGCCAGGGCTTCATGAGGGGTTGTTTTGGTGAGGAGGTGTCACCACTACTGTCCCAGAAGGACAGACATTGCCAGGGGATGTCTGGGTATCTGCCCCAGGGAGCCAGCAAGTACGATGCAGCAGGATGTGGAGCAGCACAAGAACAGGAGCTAATAATATTTGTACCTCGCCCATCTGACTGGGTTGCCCAGCCACTCTGGGCAGCTGCCAACACAATAAAACAGGGCTGCCTTCAGGTGTCTTCTAAAAGTTGTGTAGTTCTTTATCTTCTTGACATCTGATGGTAGGGTGTTTCATAGGCAGGGTGCCACTGCCGAGAAGGCTTTCTGTCTGTTTCCTGCTAACATCTCCTCTTGCAACAAGGGAATTGCCAGAAGGCCCTCGGAACTAGATCTCAGCGTCTGGGCTGAACAATGGGGGCAGAGACACTCCTTCCGGTATACAGGGCCAAGCCCGTTTAGCGCTAATGCATTTGTGGCCGCTGGCCACCTCTGCTAAAATATGGTGTCAGCAAGTTGATCTCTTCTTTGAAACAATGAATTCTGCACTGAAGCAATACAAATTCTATGTGTGCACATGCATACATGCAAAATTCTGCAAAACCTTCACAAACCTCATTATATAAACTGTTATAAACTATTTCCTCGATTTGCTGAACATCTCCTTTTTATACTAATCATAGAGCCTAACCACCAACACCTGCATTCCAGCATCATCTGGAAGCTTTGCTAGAAAATAGTGTTCTTTAAGATAGAAGAGAGCTGGGTGTTGCTCAAGATGCTGGCTTTTGCCTCCAGACCCAAATTCTATATTTTCATAGGCTTGGAGGGAGAGTGCTTGCAGCCCTTGACATTAGAGCAAGGGGGAATGAGACAATTGTTATTCTTGGGCCCTTGGGAGAAGAATGCGGCCATCGGAAACCTGGATGTAAGAAAGAAAGCTGACCCTTTTAAAAGCCTTGATGCCAGGAAGAAGCGAGTCTCCGTGGGAGGTGCAGTTCTAATGCCTTTCCCTTGCTTCCTCCCTCAGGAGCTGAACAAAAAGCAGACCCAGAAGGACCTGGAGTGCGCCATGCTTCTGCGCCAGCACGAATCCACGCAGGAACTGGAGTTCCGGCACCTGCACACCGTCCAGCGCACCCGCACGGAGCTCACCCGCCTACAGCACCAAACAGAGCTCTCCAACCAGCTGGAGTACAACAAGCGCCGGGAGCAGGAGCTGCGTCAGAAACACGCCATGGAGGTCCGGCAGCAGCCTAAGAGCCTCAAAGTAGGTGCTACCTACACCCCGCCTTGCTGCCAGTGGTGCCCTGACGGGCAGGATGCAAGGGGTCTGGAGCCAGGGCAGGGGCACCCCGGGGTTGTGGAAATGGACACAAATGAGGACGGAAGGCTAGAGCCCTTGCAGGACCACTTGTGTGGGCCTAGTCCCTGTGACTGTGCAGCCAGGGTTCAGAAATGCCCCGCAGATGCAGAATCTAAATGCACACACTTTGGGCCACTAGACTCAAGAGGATGTGAATCGGCTGTTTCGGAGTCTGGTAGCCCTTGTCATGATGATCTAGGCCGATGCAAACCTATTGGAGAGGTTCTGGAGCCAACTCAGGGTGTTGTTGTAGACACAGGAATAAAATGTCCCAACCTTTTAGGGAAGTGTAGCCATGAAATGGGGGTTCTGGAGCCAGAGCTAGACTGCCATGGGCATGTGGCTTTAGAGTATGGCCTGGAGGAGGAGGATCTAGAACTGGATGCAGTGCATATTGGGGGTCTTGTACAGGACTGGTCGCCAAAGGGGGTTGGAGAGCTGGATGAGCAGGGTTTGGAGGCCTTGGTGCCTGAATCAAAGCGTCCTGGGGATGTAAAGCCTGGTTGGCAATGCCTGGCAAGCGAAATTCCAGATGGGCAGGAAGCTGCTGCTTTAGAGCAGAGACAGGAGTGCCTTTGGCTCAGTGGGAAGGACGAGGGAGTCCTAGATCCAGACAGAAAAGAAGGTTGGATTCCAGATTTCGGTGAAACAAGCTTGAAACAGCAAGAACACTGTGCAGAGGGGGTTGCTGATCTAGAAGTAAGCCAGAGGTATTTTGGAGTGCGGGGTCACTTTGGAGAGGGCTCTGGGGTTCTGTTGTCCGTTCGGGGGCGGCCAGGCGTTCCAGAGCCTGATGGGCAAGAGGCTGATAAGCTGGATCCATTCACATGTGAAGGCAATTTATACTCCCATGCCTTACCCACTGTCCTCGAAGAGGGGGCCCTGCGAGGCCCGGGAGATGGCTGCCCAGCCCCTGAAGACCCCTACAGCCAGCAGGCCAGCAGCAAAGCCCGCCCTGTCCCACCTCCCGTGGCAGCCATGCTGCCCCACGCTCTCTGCGTGGTCTTGGCACTGTTAGTCTCTGCCTACCCATGTGCGCCAACTCTCTTGCTGCTCCTTGCTGCACTGTGGGCGCAGGGTGGCGGGTTTCAGGATATCCTCCTGGCCCTCGAAGGGGCTCTGGTGGGCCTGGGGGTTACGTATACCTTGTTGCACTCTGTCTTCCTCCTTTCCGGAGCGTCCTTTCTCCTCCTGGCCAAGATGGCGGGGGCAGTGGGTGTGGTGGGGCTGAGTGCCAGTAGGGAGCGCCTGTACGTTCCTGTCATCCTCCTGGCTTCCTACCTGTTAGCTTCTCCCTGGCTGTTCCTGCCCCTTTACCTCTTGGGGGCACTCGCACGGCATAGCCTGAGGGGATTCCCCCGCCGCGCCCGCCGCTTCTGGCTCCTGGCCCTGCTCCGTCTCCCACGCCCGGCTTTCCGCCTCCTCCAGCGCCTGGGGCTGGTCACCGAGCAGGGGCTGTTCCGCCTCTTCCCCAAAACCAACAAAGGCGGCTTCCGCAGCCGCATCCCGGTGCTGTCCCGCCAGCACCAGCCGTCCCTGCCCTGGCACCGCAAGGCCGCGGCCCTTCTTGCCAAGCCGATTTGCAGCATCAACAAGATCCTCACGGAGGTGATTTGTGCTCAGCTGCCTCCTTCGGCCCTGCATTGCCTCAAGGGGCTGCATGTCCTGCGAGAGGAAAGGCCTTCCCGCATCCCCCGCCTGACTTCCAGGCCCCGGGGGCATTCTGTAGGGTCAGTGAGGCGCATTAGTAGGAGGAGAAGTGTGCAAGGAAGCCAGCCTGCCAGGAGACCCTGGAGATAAGGAGCCCTTGGAGGGCTCCACATCCTGTTCTAAAACGGTGAAACAGTCCATTCCAGTGGGACTCTGGCATCCTGGTCCTCTGGTCTCGCACACAGAATTCTGGGAGGTTGGCCAGTCTCTGGACTTATGGGAGATCAGGCAGAGCAAGTGACAGTATTTACTCTGAAAACCTTTTACTACTTTCCATCCAGTGTTGTGGTATTGGTATATAGAACCCAACAGCAAGGGGGGAGAATTTAATGTCTTAAGGCCAGGGATCCCTCTGAGCCTTTGATAAAAGGAGTTTTGAAGTTGCGGGAGGACCAGACGTTTGTTCTAGCTCCTTATTGGTTTACACAATGGGGGTGGGGCGGAGCGTTGTTGAGTGTTCATTACCCTAACGAGGAAAGAATCACCTGATGACGCCCTTTTGAGCTGGCTGTGTTTGGGTGGGTTGGGTATTTTTTGGCGCCCGTTCCAGCCGGCTGGGAGAAGATGTGGGGATGTGGGTTAAGCTGAAGAGATTTCCAAGCCCCTTAGAACAGGTGTGAGGTGCATGTGTGCTAGTGTCTGAGGTCGAAAGGTCCTGTTCAATGTTCCCCAATGAAAAGAGGAGTTTGCTAAGGGGGCAGGGGCTGCAGTTTGCAGAATACTCCACTCTTGCAACCATTTTCCAGTAACCTCTTTTTTAAAAGTCCAGGCACTCTTGTTTCCATCTTTAACCTACTTTGAGCAATGAGGGGATAAGTACGGTCCTCCATTTCCTTCAAACATAGAACCCCCAAAGAAGGTAGCGGGTTCTGGGGCTGAATATACAGTCATCAAAATAAATAGGCTTCTGTTCCTTATCAGCTCCTTAAATGGTCAGGATCCATATCACCTTAAATTTTATCATTCTCCCTCCCTCTCCCCCACTGAACCTTGTTTCAATCGATCTGGAAACTTACAAACCTAAAGGGGTGTACATGTTTCAAGAAATCAGACTCCTACCAGCTCCTAAGGGCTTAACTAATTTTAGGTGATTCTTTCGCCGTTAATATATATATTTCCACCGTTCTACAAATATATATATATTTATCATTTTCCACCCTAATTGTAACAACCTCCCTTCACTTCATTTTTTTTTTACTTGAATGTACATATTTCAAGCTGACTTTTAATTTTATGTTTGTGTATGTTTGTGATTTTTTTTTTTTGCTAAGTTTTATATAAAACCAGTTTTTGTGGGGAGGGACAAAGAGCTAATGTGAGATTTTTTTTTATAAAAAAATGACTGAAAACGGGAGAATTTTTTTTTTTTAATCCAACTTATTGCTACAGGTTTTTCATTTGAAAGCACAATGGGCCAATCAAGCAGTTCTCACTCTCTCTTTCTCTCTCTCTTGCCCTTATAAAAGAAATCTTCAAATACCACAAGCCAGGACTTTGAAGTAATGGTTAGGGTTTTAACCAGTTTGCTTTAGTGGACCTATGTAAGAATGGAAAAGTTAAGTTTGCCATTGAGCACCTCCCCAAATGCTGGGATGGTTGGTAGTTTTTCAGGTGGTGAACCAACCTTTTTGTTGGCTCCTTGCAGCTTGTTGAAGCACAGGGACCATCCCAGGGATAGCAGTGCCTCAAGCTCTCCCCTGTCCCAGGGAGCCAACTATTCCACCTTTCCTACCCCAGGATCTGAATGCCCTCATTACTCTGGGATCTCTGTCCTCAGTCACCCACAGCTTGAGCTGTGGCAATGGCATCAGAGTGCCTGGCCCTTTTACACCTGGATGAGATGCTTGCCTTTTGTAACACAAGTAACAACCGTGTTGAAGAATTCCGGGTATTTGCAGAAGCTCCCATAGTCTTGCAGTGATTACTCGTGTCATTAAAAAAATGATTACCTTGCCTATTTTAACTCTCTATCCCAGCCCTTACCATGCCTTGTGCCCACCAGATGTTTTGGACTACAACTCCAGGCCATGCTGGCTAGGCTGATGGGCCCTAAACATCTGGAGAGCACAAAGTTGGGAAAGGATGCTCTAATCAGGTAATCACCCAGACGCTACAATATCTCAATCAAGTTCGTATATGAAGAGCGTTGCTGATAGGCGTGGTTTCTTTGTTTTTGGAAACAAAACCTGACTTATTTAAAAGTTGATCTTTGGCAGCCAAATAGGCACTAAATTAACAATTTTTTAAAAAGCCAAACTGGGGTGGTTGAGCTTGAATATCTTTAGAGAGTAATCCTGAACACACCAAATCTGAGAGTAAATCCCATTTTTGTCGTTTGTTTTTACAGCTAGTAAATTTAGATTCCCAGACAAAGCAAGGATTTTTCACATTCCCATGACACGCCAACCGTGTTTTATGCTGTTAAATCATTTTGTAACTAACAGCCTACAGTTCTGGTTTAATTGGTGCCTCATTTTTAAATTGTTTCCTTCGTGCATTTTTACATTTCCCCCCACTCCCCAGCTTGCGGTCTGATTCTGTTACTACAGCCTTTAAAAAAAACCAACCCCAAGTTGAGATTATCCCCAATTTTGTCTTAATTCTGCATTTATCGATCTAATTTTGGTCCCATTTTGTACATCAAGTGCTTATCCTGTGTTTCTCCCTTTTTTGGTTAATCTGTGGTCTTTTTTTATTTATTTCCTATTTTGTTCAAATCATGGATTTATTTTTTAGCATTCCTCCATTTTTTGGCCAAACTTATTTTCATTAATCCAGATTCTGTTTTGTCCATTTTAATAGTGTACTTGTATTTCTTCCTATTTTGTGTGTGTGCGTTTGTGCTGTGGTTTCCCCCTTATCCTCCTTGCATTTTTTTTCTCTGTTAAATTTTTTTTTATTTATTTCTCCCATTTTGTGCGGGGAAGGTATTCATCTGTGGTTTATTTATTTCTCCCTTCCCTGTTGTGGATGCATGTGAAACTTTGAAGGAAAAATAAAAAGAATTCTGCACCACACTTCACCACCTCTGTATTGTGAGTTTTGAGTTTGGTTTTATTTATTTCTCAATTTTTTAAAAAATAAAATGAGGCACTTTAAGCTTAGGAGCTGGGCTACGAGTCTGTTTTCACACCTCTGTTGCCCCCAAACACCTTGTTTTTAAGCTTTCCTCTCCCTGAAATTTTGCACTGTATGTTTGTAAAAGTTTGGAGTATTATTCAAAATCCGAATCAGAGAGGGATCTATGCATTTCCTCTCTGCACCCCACTATTACCTTTGTTTCTCATTAACTCTGAGAAGCTGTAACTGTCCATAACTTTCTACACTCAGGGGTGGTGGGAATGTTCCTGAAATTTAGAATACTCAAGGAGAAAGGAGGCGGGGGGATGAATCTGGGCAATTTTATTAGCCTGCCTGTTTTACATCATTTCCATTTGCTGCTATATGTTCAAAAGTGGAACTGCAACCTTTGAGGGCCGTGCCCCACGCTCCTGCAACCCCCACTGCCCGAAATGAACAACAGCCCAATCAGCTTGGTAGCTAATGCACTTGTTTCTAAGGGACATTGGGAAGCAATACATTTGAGTCATGAAAACGTGCATCTGGGTGAGGCAGCTGCCTCAGGCAGTCGGTTTTTGGGTGCCATTTGGGAGGTTGCTTTGGGAGGCTGCTTTTATGCATGTAGTACAACCCTCTGCGAACATCTCTGAGGATCACCCTAGAATTCTTCCTGGTGGTTTGTGCCCTGTGTGAATGCATGGGGGGCGGCTTGACTTGTGCCAGCCTTTATTCTCTGCAACCCAGAGTACCACAGAATAATTGCACACACAGCTTCCAAGCAAAAATAACACATGTGGGCTCCGAAATAAACACAGACCCACAGCTTTGAGGTGGGTTCCTGCTGCATCATATGACAAAGATCCCCTCTCCCAGAGGCTTCCCAGAGGTCAGCCACGGCAGTGACAAAAGTGTGTTCCACCTGCCTTACATTAGTCTCAGTTCAAAAAGTATCCTTCTGCTTAATCTTTAAGCATCTTCCTCCCTGACCTCCCAGCTGTGAGGCTCAGTTTTCCTTATGAGGCACAAGAGTTTCCTCCCCATGACGCCACTGCCTTCCCATTCCTGGCACCCATGTAAGGCGTCTGCCCTCATTCATCCCATTCATAACACAAGGGACTTTGGTATTCGCTCTGTGGGTTTGATGATAACATTTTTGTAGACCACCTCCTAATGAGGAGGTGGCACAGAAATAGAAACTAAACTTTGCCTTCTCCTAACCGCTGACTCCTAACTGGGAAGTTTTAAGTGTTTGTGGTGCACCCCATACACTCTCCCCAGCCCCAGTGCGTTCCTTAAAGAACCTGAACGCTACTTAGATAAGGAGAGGGCAGAGAAGAGGTATTTTTTTCAAAGGGGTGGCGGGGTTTGAGCCCTCCCCACGCACTAACCCAAATGGGATCAACTGGAAGGCGTCCCAATGAGAGTCTCAGATAAAGGACAGCTCTGAAAAGTGTTGCCTGGTGTACAGTGACCATTCAGTAAAGCAAATGCTGGAGACAAAAATGGGGGTGGGTTTTGAACAATTTAAAAAATAAATATACCCTGCCTTTCAGTTAAACACTAATTTGGTTGCTGGCCTTACCTTGTGTGGAGTTTGTGTCTTTTTAGCACAGGACTAGGCTACTTGGGGGCTCGGAAGGCTCAGCCTGTTCCCTAATGCAGCCACAGGGGAAAATACACACATGCACACTCTCTCTCTTAACTTTGTGTGAACAGCAGCAGAGGCTCAGCTTAAAAAGTTCTCCCCCTGAGCATCTCGGTTGTGGGTGTGAGCCCAAGACGCAAGCAGCTAGGACCTTGAAGAGCGGAAGGGGAGAATTCAAACTTAGTCAATATTTGATCCTATTTGGGGGTGGAGTGGGGGGTTGAAAAGTCCTTTTGCCACTGTTGGAGCCCATACTAGAACGGGAGAGCCAAGGTTGCTGGCCCTTCAGCCAACTCCCAGCATGGTCCTACTTGGACATTAGTTGCACCAGGACTGCTGCTTTGTCATAATCACTGATAATTCCCCTTATATCCTGCCTTTCTCCTATAATGAATATATGAAGCTACCTGATTCCAAGTCAGGCTGCCCGTCTGCCCAGCTGAGTGCTGCATATTCTTGGCTGGCATACTCTGGGCTCTGCAGGGTTGGGCCTAGTGCATCCTCACCATATAGATCCTTTAACTGGAGATGCCAGAGATTTTGAACCTGGGACATTCTGCACGGGAGCCTCTAGGAAACACGTCACATTTAAGTGGCTTTGCCTTCGGCGGGCATTGTCGCTTGGTTAAATGAAGGACAGGGTCTCCCCACCAAAACCCTACTGGTGGGAGTTGTTTGTCTAACACATGCTCCTGTCTCTCTCTCTCTCTCTCTCTCTCTCTCTCTCTCTCCCCGTCTCCGTTCTTCTTTTTCCCCACCCGTTTTTTCTTTCGCACTCTCATCCTTTGTTCACCATTCTTCCCCTCCCTCCTTTGGTTGCTTGGGCTTGCCTTTTCTTTTCGGTTCTTCTCCCCTTTTCTCCTCCTCTCTCTTCCTCCTACCCCAGTCCAAGGAGCTGCAAATTAAAAAGCAGTTCCAGGACACCTGCAAGATCCAGACCCGACAATACAAGGCCCTCCGCAACCACCTCTTGGAGACCACCCCGAAGAGCGAGCACAAAGGCATCCTCAAGCGCCTGAAGGACGAGCAGACCCGCAAGCTGGCCATCCTAGCTGAGCAGTACGACCACAGCATCAATGAAATGCTCTCCACCCAGGCCGTAGGTACCCCCACCATGACCCCCTGCCCCCGGGGAGAAGGAGGGAACTGACCCCTTTCTCCATCAGTGAGGGGAGAGTTGTGTTCTCATTATGCTCTTAAAAATCAAGCCCTTCCAGTGAGAGTATCCCCCATTCTTGTTCCCTTCATTCCAATCTGTGAGAGTATTTTGCAAATAGAGCCCTTCTGGGTGAATTAACTTGTTTCATCTACAGTGGTACCTTGGTTCTTGAACTTAATCCATTCCGGGAGTCCACTCGACTCCCAAAACCATTAGAAAACCAAGGCGCGGCTTCCAGTTGGCTGCAGGAACTTCCTGCACTCAAGCGGAAGCCACGGCGTATGTTCGGCTTCCGAAAAACGTTCACAAACCAGAACACTTGCTTCCGGATTTGCGGTGTTCAGGAGCCGATTTGTTCGGCGACTAAGCCGTTTGGGAACCAAGGTTTGACTGTACTTTTGCGGAGGGCACAGAATTTGGGCTTCCTTAGTGCAGTTTATGCAGCTCTAGCTAGTAGTGAGGGACCCCACCTAAAAGATGGTGTTGGTTTTAGGCCACTTAACTGTCATGCTTCCTTCAACGCCACCAAAAAAGAATCCTGAGAAGAAGAGTTTGGTGAGGGATGCCAGCAGTACTCTGAGAGCTCAAGCTCACCTTGCCAAACTACAATTCCCAGGGTTCCATGAGAAGGGGGATGGATCGCTAAAACACTGAGTTTGTAGTATGGATGTGTCCTAGGTCATACAATGCTCCTGGTGGTGCTTCACCATCTCATATTTCTTCCTCACTCAAAAGCATCCTTTTGAGGTTGGTCGGTCTTAGTTTTTTATTTACTGAGGCTGATGGAGACCCACTTAAGCAAAGCTACCTAGTGAGAGTGGTGACAGCCGAGGTAGAGCTTGACCTCTTGAGTACAAAGGGCCCAAGGATCAATATGCCACCTGTTATGCAACAATAAGGTGTGCCCCCTTTTCCCAGGTGTGTCTCATGTGACTCTCACACCTGCTAGGCAGAGGTTCCACAGGTGTTGCTTCTCTTTAGAAGTGAGAAGGCTCTTCTTCACCTACTGATTCTCCACCCCCACCCCCCGTCTTACCAACCTGCCACGCAGAAGCTCCATTTTGATCTATGAACTGCCCTGTGGTCCTTGGATGAAAAACAGTATATTGATTAACTTATTACTAAATAATAGCAACAATAACAGTAATCAACCTGGTGCCCATGGGTTCTCCCCCGTGACAGCATTACAAAGCAGGGTGGGGGACCGGTGTTTTATTTTTTACTGTTCGGGGACAAAGCCAAACGTGTCTGAGCCCTGCTTCAGAAGCTGCTGCTGCTGCAACTCTGGGAGAGGCCTTGTGGCCGTGTTGGGTGAAGAGCGTCAGTCTCTCTCTCCAGAAACAGCCACCCTCTCCCTCAGTCAGCCCTGAGCCTGCTGTGTGCCCCTTCTTTATCTCTTCCTTTTCTCCCCCCTCCCAGCTGCGGCTGGACGAGACGCAGGAGGCAGAATACCAGGTCCTGCGGATGCAGCTGCAGCAAGAACTGGAGCTGCTCAACGCCTATCAGAGCAAAATCAAGATCCACACCGAGGCGCAGCATGAACGGGAGATCAAGGAGCTTGAGCAGAGGGTATCCATCCGCCGGGCACTGCTGGAGCAAAGAGTACGTGCAAACAGCCTTCCTCCTCCTCCTCTTGGAAAACCCACGGTCCTGGTTCCTTAACCCACAGCACCAACCTCTCAGACCTACACGCCTCTCCCCTCTTGCCTGTCTCACCCAGATGGCTAGAAGTGTTAGTTTCCCCCTGGTTCCAAGCTCCCAAAATACTAACCCATGATCCCAAAAGGCATCCATCCTTCTGAGGCCGCCTTGCACCAGATCTTTTAATTGGGATTGAAAGCCTTCACGGCTGCCTTCTCTATTTCTCTCTCTCCCCACCCGCAAAAGAGAACCAGAGTTCTTGTGTGAACTGCGCTGGGCTTTGTTAATGGAATTCCCGGAGCTCCTCATGAAAGTGCACTCTGGGAAAGGGAGAGCCGGGATGGTTTAAACAGCTTTCGTATTGATTGCGATGCAAGTCAGCCCTCCTTAAAAGCTCGGGGAAGGGCGGACTTGATGGACTTGCTGTAAGGTGAATAATGGAGAGGGATCGAGAGCTACAGTCGAAAGCCCATTACACGTTCATTAGGAAGAGATGAGGTATTGGGGTCCTCCTGTGTAGGTTAGTCCGAAGGGTCTGGTGGTGGCTGGCGGTAGGGCTAGGCGATACCTGGTTTTCAACGCTGCAATATATCACTTTGCAATATACAGATATATCACAATGTCTGAAATAAGGGTGGAACTATGTAGATGATACATTGCCTGGCCTCACGGTTTTTCCCAGCATTGTGATTTTTGCATAGCATGCGCACACGCACATCATGATTTGCAAAACCTTGCCAAGTCAAAAATTATGAAACTGATTGCACGATACAGACTTCAAACCGGTTTTGGATGATATATCACCCAGCCCTAGCCAGCCATAAGGCTCCTCAGCGAGGATGAGGATTCTGCAACCCGACAGATGCTTTGGACTCCCAATAACTACAGCCAGCATGCACAGTGGCCAGGAAGGGTCAGAGTCCAGCAGTGTCTGATTTCCTCACCCCTGGTTTTGAGACCTGGTTTGTCCCATCCTGGGTTGACACTCTCTTCCTCCTTAACCAAACCCAGGAGTCCCTGCTGTTGCTTCTCTAAGCCTCAGTAGCCATTTTCTTTAGCTAACTGGGAAGTCCAACCCCACTGTCCCAATAGCAATATTTATACAAGACATTTTATAAAAAAGAAAGCTGTGTTCCCATTATTATACGACCTGCCTCCCAGGTACTCCTGACCACAGACGTTGCAGCCTTAGAGTACTGGCAAGGAAGTCGATCTTATGCGCGCTTACTGGAGAGCAAGCTCCATGGAGCTCACAGGGGTCTACTTCTGATGCAGCAGGCGTCGGGTCGCATTCTGAGCATTTGCTCAGAGAGCTCTTCTGGGCTCTCAGCATGGCAGAGTCTTACAAAAAGAACTTGCCAAAATGCTTGCTCTGTGCTAAGGGTTTTAAGCTGCTAGCATGGAAGACGTAGTCCAGCAACAACCTGCATGGCTGTCGGTTCCCCATTTCCCTTCTAAACTCTGTGTGTGTGTGCTTATTTAAATTTTTTGCCTTTGTCACCCTCTAGATCGAGGAGGAGATGTTGGCCTTGCAGAACGAGCGATCTGACCGCATCCGGAGCCTCTTGGAGCGCCAAGCCCGGGAGATTGAGGCCTTCGACTCGGAGAGCATGCGCCTGGGCTTCAGCAACATGGCGCTCACAGGCATTCCAGCTGAAGCCTTCAACCAAGGCTACACTGCCCCCCCTCAGCCCTGGCCCTCCCGCCCCGTCCCCCGCAGCGGCTCCCACTGGAGCCACGGCGTCCAGAACACAGCCGGGGCCCCCCACGCGTGGCGGCAGCCCCCCATGCTTGCCCCGCCCCCTTCGGCTTGGCTCCACCCTCCTTCCTCCTCCCCTTCCTCCTCCTCCTCCTCCACGTCATCCGCCCCTGGGGGCCGCTCCAATGTGGTCATGCTGAGGAACAGCCCCCAGCCGCTGCGGCGCACAGCTTCTGGAGGCCAGTCGGACCAGGGCATCAGCCGCTCGGCCAGCGTCACCTCCCACATCCTCAACGGGTCGCACTTCTCCTACTCGTGAGGCGATGGGGAGAGAACAGGGAAACTTTGCTGGAGGGAGACGGGGGAATTGGCTGGTGGAAAGGGGGAGGGGAGGAGGAGGCGGCGGCAGGGGGGCGGCGCGTTTGCCGGGGCTCAGCAAGCTAGAACTGGGAGAAACCGAACCGCAGTCTGAAGGCTCCTCAGTCGTCATCTGTGGCCTTTGACTTGCCACCCACCTTGCAAGCGCAGAGACACAGAAGATTGGACTGTGCGGCAGAAGGTTGCACTCATGCCCTCTGGAGCATGGCTGGGGCCTCCTCCTCAGATCATGGTTTCCTATCCCCCGCCAAATGGATGGAGACACCGAAGCTTGTGAACGTGACGTTGGCAATCGGTTTTTTGCGTCCCTGGTGGTTGTCAGCCGCTTCCCCCAGCGTTGCCACAATCTGTAGATGGAGAGAGGCAGAGAGCGGTGCCCCGGCAGCGGAGGCTAAATTGTGTCTTCAGGATGTGGCTGAATATTCCCAGGACGAGGGGCGGGTGGGGAGAAAGGCCCCCCACATCACAGCAAATCCAGAATTCTTGATTGTGCATCCATAGCTTCCCCACGCACTGCAATCGGAGCTGATGCGCTCGGGAGAGCCTGTTCTGTGTCTCCTGCATCATGGTTCCTTTCAATCAGTTCAGGCAGTGAGAGAGAGAGAAATTAAATTAACGGGCGTGGATTTTGGGAGAACCCTGGATTGCCATTGGTGGCGGCCGATCGGTGCATGCATAGAATTACCAGATTGACAGTGAAAGAACTTTGCCTCCTTCCTGAGGCGTGGACAGTGGCTTCTGATCCTGAGTTCACAGGCGACCATTACCGAAATCCATTGTTTCTGGACCGTTCTCAGCTCCCAGAACCTTCCTTACCTCACCACAGTCTGTGGCTGGAGAAGGAATTGTAAATTGCAAGCTGCTCTGGGCTCTTTATCTGCATCGCCCCATTTCTCACAGAGGCGGCCTCCTCCAGCTCCTCCTGTCACGGCGCCAGGCTGGTTCCACAGGATGGAGCGGGGATTGAGGTTCCGGAACCAGGCCTTGCGTTCCTGTCATGAACCAGAATGTAGATTTTAAACGGTGCCCTCTACATACCCGCCCCATATGTCTGTTTTGAGACGCGGATTTTAGCCCATGCCAGCCCCAGGGATGTGTTTTTGTGTTAATACTCACCACCTTACCCACACGGATTACGTCTCTTTCCCCCCTCTGAAGGAAAGACCGCTCCACCACTCTTGCCACCCAGAGGGACTTTGAATGGCAGGCCTCCCTCTGCCACCCAGTCCTGAGCATTAAATTTAGTTTCTTGGCCCAGCCAAAACCTCTGGAAGGTCAGGCTCCCTCCCTGGCCGAGGGCATCAGAGGGCCACTTGCTTCTGTTGCCCCCGGTTGCTCCCTTAAGCCACCTCCTCCTCCCAGAAACCACCGTGCCCCCCTACAAATTCGCCTCCTGTCATTCCCGTTGTCCTCCAGCCACTTTTCAGCATCGCTCCCATGCACCCCACCTGCCCAGTTTAGACTCGCCAGATCTGCAGCCCTGAGTTCGTATTTGCATGCAGGAGATCGGCTGCAGAATCTGAGCACCCAGCAGAATGAAGGACACCTGTCGGTTCAGAAGCCACCTTCAACCCATCTCCTTCCTATACATTCTCCCCACCCCCAGAACCGTTCCTGTCCCCTGGAAAAACTTATTTGGTTACATAATACCCAGTATGAACAAACCCCAAGGCTGGCTACCCAGGGTTTGGGATCAGGGTCAGCCTGTCAGAATCGGCAAACTATATATCTGTGGCCAGTTGTTGTCCTCCTCTCCTCCTCCTGTACTTAAGAACCAAACCTCTGGTGGAAAATGGGCCCCTAGTTCCTCTAGAGCTATAATTTATCTGAGTCAGACCCACATATCCCACCAGTCAATAAAGAACACTTCCTGAAGCCGCCGGGGTGGTTTGCCCAGCTAAGAGGGAGGGGAGTTTTGCAAGTGGGCTGTTTCAACTCTGGCCAGCTAAAGGAGAACCTTTGGAGGGACATGGGAGATTTTGCATGTTCAAAACTCCTCTGAGTTGGGAGCCCAATTGGGAGGGGCGGCATCATGTTGAAATCATGTATGATAACTCTTGTGCAAAGTCAGCTTTCAGAGGTTAGTCTTCCCCTTTTCATTTTGTTCTGAACCATCTCTCAAAGTTTTCACCATCTAGGGAGGAATACTAGATTCTTGGCCACAGCAAGTGAAGAGCTCTGATCAAACTGTACCATTTGAACCCATATTTTAAAAAATACCCCTGCTGCTTACGTGAAAATTGGAAGCTGGGAAGATGATCTCTAGGGTAGCCTTCTCCTGGCACACTGGCTTTGTTAAATGCGTAGCTGTTTCTTGTTTCCCTTTTGGAAGCATTTGGCCATGTTGGCTCTCTGAAGTGGGACAGTGTAAGAAGTTCTACCAGCTGTTTGTGTGAATTAAGCCCAAGGATCAGCCAGCAGTGTTGGCATTACATTGACTGTACAAAAGGAGCCACATAAACCCCTTTTTTCAGGAAGATTGGGGAAATCCAAGCTTTCTTCTTTTGAAACGTGAAACAAAATTTCCACATCTCACAAATCCCTCCTAGAGACCAGGGGAAACTTTTTTTTAATCTCATAGGTAAAGCATGCAGCTCTAGAAACCATTTCTCGCTAGTGATGGAAGGAAAGTCCGAAGGGTTGTGTGTGGAAGCGAAGGAGAGCCGCATGTTCCTGGAAAGCAGAAATGGGTTACGGAATTATCACAAGTAGTAAAACGAGCCAGGGAAGATCTTGAAGTAGAAATTTTCCATCTGTTGGCGGGAAATGTGGTGTAGTCCTTATCTGTGGAAGACATTGTAGTTTCTTAGATTCCCGCCTCCCGCCCTCGTATTTGGGCCAGGAACTGAATCATTTTTTTTTCCATTGTAAGCAGCTGAAGTAAGTCTTGTCCTTTACAACACACAACCCTATTAAAATCCCCCCTCCTTCCTTACCAACTCTGCTGCCCACACCTGTTTCCCCCCCCCCCAACCCCAAGGGCACTGGTTTGGCTACAACCATAAAATTATCCTTTCTAAACTTCTCAGACTTCTCCCAGAACCCTCTTCAAGTTCCTCAAGCTAATTTTGTGATTGAACAAGGCCACTGTTTTAAACCAGAGGGGATGGGGGTGGGTGGGAGGGGAGAACTGAATGGGATCTTTTGTTACTTCAAGGTGTTCAGTTAGTGATTTCTGCCTGCCTGGGATTGGGAAATGGGGTTTTGGGTGGGCTGGAGGGGCTTGATGTATTATAATAATTAATCCTTTTGCTTTAAAAAAAATATTTCTGTTTTTTGGTGCCATAACTTTCCCCATGTACAGTTTACCTCTTCCAGTCTTTTTTTCCCCTCTTTTTGCGCTTTCCTCCCCTCCCCCCTCCCCAGTTTTTTTCCTGTCTCCCTCTGTGTGGGTGATTAAAAACTAATGTGAGTGTGTGTATGTATGTGTGTATGTCTTTTTTTATATATGAAGAAAAAATGTTGGCGGGGGGGAACTTAGACATATGTGTCCTATGGAATGTATTAGAAAATAAAACACTTTTTAAAAACAAACAGGAACGGGGTGGGTGATCTTGAATCTTACTTGGGAGAGCAAAAACTGGAAAGAGAACACAAAGATGGAACTGGTTGCTCTCTAGAGGGCTACCAGTCGGAGAGATTTTGGGGTGGGGTGAGAAATCTTTTAATAAAAATGTTGACTATTAAAAAAAAAGTATTCTGTCTCTTTGGGGTTTTGAGAGGGAATGGGGTCAAGGCATCAATATCTTGTCCAACCCAGGTTCCCATGGGACAAGATCCTAAAGGGCTTTTTTTTTACGTCTGGATAACTGATTAACACGTCAGTTCCCCCCATTTTATACACATACAGGGAGGTTAAAGGATTCTGACTCCTTTCAAGTCATGTTTACATGTGGGATGGAGTTCCTGAAACATATTAACGTCATTATTGTATACACAACCATGAGTGTAGTGGTCACTCAGTTGAATTAATCTGGAATAACGGGTACTTTTGTCTATATGTCTCCTACCATGTGGAATTCATAAGGCTTGGTTTCCAGACCCTTTATCATCTTGGTCAACCTCCTCTGCACACGTTCCAATTTGTCAATATCCTTAAATTGTAGTGCCCAGAACTGGACACAGGTGTGGCCTGACCAAAGCAGAATAGAGTGGGGGGACGACTTCTTGATCAGAACAGTATCCTCCTGTTGATGCAGCCTAGAATAACGTTAGCTTTTATTCCTGCGGTATCAGGCTGTTGACACATGTTGAGCAGTCTACTAAGGCCCCTAGATACTTTTCACATGTACTATTGGCAAGCCAGGTGTCCTCCATTTTATATTTTTTGCGGCTGGTTGTTCTTGCCCAAGTGTAGAACCTGACATTTGTCCCTATTGAAATCAATTTTGTTAGTTTGTTACAGTCATCTGGAATCCTGATTCTGTCTTCAGCGGCATGGCTACCTGTCCCAGTTTGGCGTCATCGGCAGATTTGATTAGCATCCTCTCAATACCTTCATCCAAGTCATTTATAAAGATGTTGAACAACAATTACGGTGCTTGAGTTCCCTAAATCTATATTCCTTCTTTCTCAGACTTGGGAAAAAAAAATATTCTTGGGCTCAGAAGCAAGTTGAATTCAAGTGACCACTAGCCGTATCTAAATATATATGTGTGTGTATGTATTCACTTATCTGATAATAACAGAAGGATGCATTTCCTTCTGGAAGACCCTCTTTCCTCTACTCACAAACCTGCAGTTGTATATGTGCTCCATCTCAGCCTCTGCAGGTCTGCCCTGTTCTGCCTCTGAAACATTCAACCCTCTTACATTACAAGGAATTCCATCGCCTAGCAACTGGGCTCTGGAAGCATTCCCATGGCAACTGCATCCCTGGCAGTTGGCTACCAATTGAAGGAGCATCTTGGTTGCATCCTACCCCCACAGGACGGGGCTTGAAAGGGAAGGAAGGGGCTGATGGTTTGTATCTTAACAGACCTCAAGGGCCTTTTCTGCATAGAAAATGGGAGGTGTGAAGGTGAAGTCCCCTGAATAGGAAGGGCATTTGCCACTAAGCCACATTGTGTTTCCACTTGCTCAATTTCCAGGCCACCACCTTCATATTCAGTGAGAGAGTCCTATCCATTAAGTGTGGGCTTTAGAGGCATTGCTAGAGGGTGCCTCCAAAAAATTTTTCCCCTTTTCCTTTTTTATTAAACCCTTTGTTTACAGGGCAGCTGGGAATGCTGTAAAGTATAGAGTTGGTAAGACCCCAGGCACTTGCCCTCTTTTTAATTTGTTCAGAGGCAGTACTTTGTAGTAGCATATGCGAATTTGTGTCATTGGGCTGTAGCTACCTGGCTGAGCATACGAGGTTGTGGGTTCAATCCCTCGCAAATCCAGGTAGGACTCGCAGAAGTTACGCCCTGCCTGAAACCCTGCAAGCCATTCTGCCAGTCAGTGTAAACTACTGAACTAAATAGACCTGACTCACAAGAGCAGCTTCCTAAGCCACCTAGCAAACGCCCTTCTTCGTACATCAGACTCCCATTTAATGTTGGGCACAGTGGAATCAGCTGACAAAATCCAGCACGTTAGAATTACTTTATCTGTGTAGGTATGTGGAATGGAAGGGAGCGTTGTCTACCTTTCCCAGTTAAAGCAGTGCACTCACTGGTGCCCTGCCCTTTCTCCCGCTTACCATGCAGTCCTGGCTCAGGATTAGTTGCAGGCTACATGGTTTCCAGAAGTGCACCAGGGCCTACATCAAGTTTGCGATTTCCCCTGAGAGTGCCTCCTCCCATCAGTCAGTCCTTCTTACCCTGTTTCTGCATTTATAGTCGTGGACACATGCACACACAAAGCAAGCAGAAAATTGGCAGTACTCTGCTCATATCACATTTGCAAGCAAGGGGGGTGGGAGTAAAGAGGTATGTGGACTTACATCTTAATTCACAGCACTAGTCATAAAAAAGAGAGAAACTTGTGGGTACTGCCTGCTTTAAGAACAAAAATTGCCCTCAGGGAAGGCAGAAGTCTGTAACTTCTTTCTGTAACTGCTTTCTCCCAATACAATAGTCTGCACCTGCTGGTTAAAGGAAGGGCAAATCTTGTGTTTTCCCAAAGAGCTCTGCGTTGCCTGCAAAATTTCAGTGATGGGTATTTTTTGAGTCGTGAAGCTGAGAAGGTTTGGGCCTGGTCATAGGTGACCACCCTTATGCCACCTTGTGTTCCGTGATGGGATACAAATTAAGAAAATAATATTAAGGAACAAAAGCAACCACAAATTGCTTCAGAGACAGGTCCAGAAGCCGCACTTATTGCAAATATGAACCTATGCTAACTTACTTTTTTATGGGGACACCAGAAATGAAGACTTATGATCTTTCTCCCCAATATATTTAAAGTTTTTTTATCCCATCCTTTGATAATTAAAAAAGAATCTAAGACAGTGTATGTTCTAAAATGTCAATCTAAAATACATGATAGGTAAACGACAAATTGTGTCCTCAACCAGCCGTAGATGGGAACAGTTTAGAGTGGCTGGCTCTCTCACGGTTGTGGCTGGCATCCATCCATCTCAAAAGACAATGGAGTGCACTTGCAGGGGTGAATTTCTCAAAGCCATTTCAAAAGCCATGAAGTGCCTGAAGAAACAAGCTAATCTTTACCTGGTGTTTAAAAATTAAAATTTTCAGCAAGCAGAAAAGCGGGGATTTACATCATTGAAATGTCTCTAGTCAGAAAGCCCCCATTGCTGGTAAGATGAAAGTCCTCAGCCTTGGGCCTCCTTAAATGATCTCAGTCACTGGAGAGATTCATGTGAGAATAAATGGCAAACAATGGGCTCATCTGTTTTTTTATTTAGTTCATTACATTTATATCTTACTTTCTTCTCCAAGGAACTCAAGGTAGTGTACATGGTTTCCCCTGACCCCATTTAATCCCCACAACCACCTTGTAAGACAAGTTAGGCTGAGAGGCAGCGGTTGGCCCAAAGTTACCCAGTGACCTTCATGGCTGAGGGAAGATTTGAACCCAGGTCCTAATCCAACCCTCTAACCACTAACACTGTGCTGATCTTCCCCTAATATTAACAATGCATGTTGTGGATACATGTCTCAAGTTCAAAATCATGTGTTCCAGCAATTCAGTGAAGGATAAAAGATACTCTAGCTCAGAATCATCATCATCTTCAGGCCCGGTAGAGAGAAACTACAGTAGCTCCGGTTCGTGCTCTGGATAGAAAAGTCAAGCCTCATGGCCCAACAACTGCTTCTGAAATGGATTCTTTCAGCCGCTGTTTGCTCCTACTTCTTTTTATCGCCAATTACACATTCCTTTCTCTGCCCAGTGTCCATCTTTCTCTCTCTTTCTTAGATCCAAAATGGAAGAGAGCTGTCGCACCCCCAGGAACAGCCCTCCTCAGGACGATAAAGCTGCCCCAACTGGCTTTGCACCCAGAATATCGGAAGCCATGGCTGAGTACTTGGTGAACACTGTGGCCGGCACTGCCAAAATGGTCCAGGCTTCTGTGGAAGCGCAAAAGTCTGCTCAGGTACCTGAGCCCAGGCTCTAGGAATGACCAGTATTAGAGAGACTGAATGAGAGAAATAATTCTCTTGCTCAAAACTCCCAATATCATTTCTCAGCCTTTGCACACAGAGAGTACACTGGGAGTTAGGCTGAAGCAGGCTTCCTCAGACTTATCCCTCCAGATGTCTTGAGACTACAATTCCCATCATCCCTGACCACTGGTTCTGCTAGCTAGGGATCATGGGAGTTGTAGGCCAAAAACATCTGGAGGGCCACGTTTGAGGAAGCCTGGCTGAAGGATAGTTTCTAGCCCAGGACACCCAACCTTGGGCTGAGGGGTGATTTGAACCCTGATCCCCCCCCCCCACATATTCTAACACTGGCTCCATCCAATGCCCTGATCACTTAACAAACTTCAGGGTTCATTGGGGAAAGTAATGCGCTTTAAATGTAAGGTGTGTGTACACAGCCACTGTGACAGGTGTGTAACAACCAGCCTTTAGCACTTTTGCTGCCAGTGTCAAAGGAGGGGGGCTTTTACACTGTGTCACCCATTTTGTGGAAGGAGATCAGGCAAGCACCCAACAATAGGGTGCTTTCACAGACTGTTAAAGACGTTTCCTTTTTCTTTCTTTTTTTATAAAATTTTTATTCATTTTCAACAACAATTTTATACAATCCATTCACATTTTATCACACATTCATCTATTTTTTGACTTCCCTCAGTTTCTCTGCCAATCTTTCGTTTTAAATTTATATTATTTAACGCATTTCTAAGCTTAATATTGCCTTTAAAAATCACCTCTCCCTTCTTACTCTTTTTTACAATATTTCTTAATTTTTCACAGAGTCTCTTGAAAACCAACAAGCATTATCTGTTCATCACATATGCTTTTCAGATAGTCTTGAAATCTCCCCCAGTCCTCGATGAACTTTTGGTCTCGCTGGTATCAAATCTTCCCTGTTAGTTTATCCAATTCTGCATATTCAGTCAATTTCGTTCTCCATTCTTCCACCGTTGGAATTTCTTCCTGTTTCCATCTTTGGGCCAGAAGTATTCTCGCTGCTGTTACTGCATATTGGAAAAGTTTAGTCTTTCTTATTTATTTCATTACCTACCAATCCTAGTAGGAAGGCCTCCGGTTTCTTAACAAACATATATTTCAACATCTTTTTCAATTCATTATATATCATTTCCCAGAAGCCTTTCACCTTTTTACACTCCCACCACATATGATAGAATGTTCCTTCTTTTTCTTTACATTTCCAACACTTATTACATGTTTTATACATTTTAGCCAGTTTTACTGGCGTTATATACCATCTGTATACCATTTTCATTATATTTTCCTTTAATGTAGTACAGGCCGTAAATTTTAAGACGTTTCCTTTTTCTTGGGCATTTCCTGACTGTTTTTGTTGTTGTTCAGGCTGTTGGAGTTGCTGCACTTATATGAGTATATTGACGTTTCAGTGGTTATTTTAATGGTTTTTGCGTATTGTGGACTTCTTTGAGATTTGTAAGCTTATAAATGAAAAGATATTGAAGATTTGTAAATAAATCAGTATGTAAGATTTAAAAATAAATGAATAAAATTGTTGTCATTTATAAAAGACCCATGGCACGGTTAAGAGTGACAAAAATGAGCTCTTTTTATAGCAGTTTTATGTAGGAATCTCTTGTATCTGGGGCCTTGTGTGGGACTCAAAGCCTGCATAGCCGTGACTTGTCCCCTTCTGCCTTCTCTCCAGCTCGCTTGTTTCCATGCAGAGCAGTCCCTGGCCCAGGCCCGGCTGAGCTACATGGCAGCCCGGGGGTTGGCTGAGCGACTTTTGGGGTTCCTGAACCCCCCTGACTACCAAGGGCTCTTCCAGCTCCTGACAGAGCCCCCGCTACCCTATTCTGAATTCTGCACCATCATCCGACGTACAGAAAATGGTCAGTATCAATATCCCTGGTGCTGGGAATTTGTTTTCTGCCTGGACACCCGTCGTCTCTGTCGCTGTCCATCTGGATCCTGCCTACTCCCTCAGTAACCCCGCCCATTCTTATGGGGGTCACACCCACTGACCCCCATATCTTCACCTACTTCAGGTTCTGCGTGAAGCTAAGAATTCAGTGGGTGTGGCCTCCATAAGAATGGGTGGGGCTACTGAGAGAGAGTAGGCAGGGTTCAGATGACGTGTGGCACGGTGAATGGAGCAACAGAGCCTTTTTGTGGGTGGCCCCTCAACTGTGGCATATACAGTGGTACCTCGGTTTAAGAACAGTCCTGTTTTTGAACGATTCGGTTTACGAACTCTTGAAAACCGGAAGTAGTGTCCCGGTTTGAGAATTTTACCTCAGTCTGAGAATGGAATCCGAATGGTGGAAGGGCACTGGCGGCGGGAGGCCTCATTAGGGAAAGTGCACCTCAGTTTAAGAACGGATTTCCGGAACGGATTAAGTTCGTAAGCCAAGGTACCACTGTACTCCCCCGAGGAGGCCTGCCTGGAGCTCTTGCTGCTAGAATTATTATTGCTCACCGTATTTCTGCACTTCACCATGCTATTCCAAGGCAGGTTACAAGAGCTTTAGAAGTACAATATTAAAATGTTAAAATTAATTACGGTCAAGCGAATATGGTGGGCCCTACCATTTAGGGCCTAGCAGAAGTCTTATTTCTGTTTTCCCAGGTTTCTTTTTAAAGAGCTGCTAATGTTACCATTTTTAATGTAGTGCAGTTCAGTTTTTACTCTCTCCTTCAATGGACTGCTGCTGTTTTAGTTTGCTTTAATAACTTGTGGGCAATAATAATAATAATAAATTGCTATCTTTATTTATTTTCTTACTTTTGCTTCTTACTGCCTTGCCAGCAGCTCTGCACATGTAAATTTGTGTTGAAGGTGCAGGATATATAAATCATTAAAGAAAGCCACCCCACTGCTTCCTCCTGCCTTGCAGTACTCCTGCACCCTGTTCTGAAGTGCAAGCCAGGATTCCCAGCCAGACGAGAACCCAGCCCCGGCTCTGAATTCACCTGTCCGTGAGTGACCTTGTGGGAGGCCCTTGTGGGGCAAACCCATCATATTAACGTGGGGGAGAGCGTGGTGCTGATAACGCCAAGGTTGCAGGTTCATTCCCTGCATGGGATGGCTGAATATTCCCACATTGCAGCGGGTTGGACTAGATGATGATCCTCAGGGTCTTTTCCAACTCTACAATTCCACACTTTATATATATATATGCTTTTATTTCCATGCTCCTCTTTCCAGACCAGATCTTAGTGATGATGGGCTTCAAGGAGGGGGTCATGACTTCCGGTGCTTCATATCCTCTTGTGCCTGTGAAAGAGTGAGTGATATGCGTCCCCTGTGGTCTTCAACCTAAAAGTTTTGATGAGCAGGGGCTGGTTGTAATCTGCCCTCTGACGAGAGGAAGGCATTCGGCACATGCTGAGATGCATTACAGCTTTGAAGCCAAGGGTCTAGGCTTGCAGCCATGGGCATAGCCGAGGGGCGGCAGGGAGGGGCAGCTGCCCCCCCATAATCAATAAAAATCAATAAAAATACACAGCAAACTGAGGTTCTGCCCCCCACCTAACAGGAGGTCTGACCCTCCCTAACAAAAACCCTAGCTATGCCCATGCTTGCAGCCACGTCAGAATATTTTTTAAATGTAGTGCTCGGAGGTGGTTATATATTATGACCACAGCAGATGGGGAGGTGCAATTTAACCATTTGCTCCTCAACTGTGTTCTTGACAGAAATTAGCGATAAAAAAAGAGGATGGTTGATGTCTCTGTGAGGGGAGAGGGCAGTCCAGGTGCCACAGGAGCAAGCTCTGGGTTCTCTTTTTTCCCTGTCGGCCTTCCTAAAAACCCTCCCCACAGAGCAGTTGTTGGTACTCTCAAATTTAAACAGAGATTTCCAGATCCAGAGACCACCAGATCCAGAGACCAGAAAAGTGCCAGGGGCCAGGTGGCAGCAGAGCATATGCGTCTCTCACCTGTGTTAAGTAATAACTCTGTATAAACAGGCATTTGGCTGAGCAAACAATCTATGGCCTTTTTAATGCTTTTGCGGGATAGGGTGACTGGCTTTCCCCCCTTTTGTTGTGATATGTATTTTGTGCTGTAAACTGCCCTGTGATCTTTGGATGGAAGGTGGTATATAGATTTAATTATCACTGTTAATAATAAAGGGCAACGTCAGCTGTGGGCTCTGAGCCCGGCACAGCTGGCCTCAGGCCTGACAGCTGAGTGAGGTGGGTGGGGCTTAATCTGAAGTAGGAGGGGCTAAGGGGAATCAGGAAGTAACAGGAAGCAAAAAAATTAATATATTTAGGAGACCACTGTAAGCAGATGAAAACATTAGCAGGGTTTTAATAACACTTGTAATGTAACAAACACTATGGACAACATGAAGAGGTATAAAATATGGATTGTGAAATAATACAAAGTTGAAAATGTTGACAGTAGGACCCAGGGAGGGGATGGTGGGAAGTCTGGAGATTCCAAGAAATCTCTAAATATGAATACGTACTTGGTACTGTTGTATCTTTACACTTGTAAAACCAAATATTATTTTTTTAAATGGAAATAGCAGGAAGCACTATGGAGATCCTATGAAATAGTGAGGAGGGGCCCAATAAGAGGGGGGGAGAGGGGTTGCTTCTGGGTCCCCCCCTTCCATCCTTCCCTTTTCTCCCACAGCAGGATGTGGACTGCACAGAGGAAGAGGAGGGTCTGTCTCTGCAGATTCGAGGGCGAAACCCCTCACGCCATAAGCAAGTACGTGCCCTCAAACCGCTGTTTCGTATCATTATAGAAATCGGGGTTGGCTTTTGCAGCCCGGCTCCCCACCAAGCGACTTTGGATCCCTTGAGGTCCGCTATTGGTCAGAGAAATAAATGGAGACATTAATCACATACAAGAAAGCAAGGCTGGATGCTGAGCCTGATCTTTATGGATCAGTTGCAACAGGATCTCCCCCTCCCACAACAGAGAGAAGAAGAAGGGCCCCAAACAAAGTGGGAGCTACTTTTGAAACTTGTGTCCAGCCACCTTGGCAAGAAAGACACAAAACGTCGTAGAAGGAGGGGCTGCCCAGTGAAAGTGGGGCATGTGTAATTTGCATGGTTTCTAATTTATCAGTCATGACACTTTGTGAATTGCTTGTCTCCATTCTGTCATTCATATTCCTGACACATTTAACCATCCCTTTAGATTTGTAACTACGCTTTCTCCTTTCTCCTCTGGGACACATTATTCTTGCCCTTGCTCAAACCTCCCCACTTTGATACTCAAAAGACCTCCATTTGACAGGTCTCAGCTTCTATTGACAAGCCACCCAAACTGCAGATTTATGCCATGCTGCAGCCCATTGAGGAGTTTCCTGGCTACAGAGTTTCCTGGCAAGTTTCCTGGCTACAGAGGTGGCTGCCAGCAGGGGCCGATATGGACCAAGCATGGCTCGTCTGCCCCCCTTTCATTTCTAAACTAGAAGGTGCTGGAGTTCTGGCCTGGGAACCTATTTTTCCTAAGGAATATGGCATTTGGGAAGCTGCCTGTGGTCGCTGACTTGTGAGCGAAAGATTCTGCATGTGCTCAGTGACACTGCCCTTCTGTGGCTCCCACTAAAGAACCAGAGGGGTCTTGTGTGGTACTTTAAAGCCTGAATTTTGTGGCATAAGCTTTTGTGAACTAGCAGCCACTATACCAAATGCAGGAAATGTATCCTCAGTAGGCAGATAGAAATATACTGTGACAATGTGACAGGCCCTACCTCTTCCATTTACTAGCTTTTGGGTCCCACCCCTAAATACGGGGCGGGGGTTGTCTTCCCCTCTGTACTTGTGTGTGCCTAATCTGCCAGCTGAGGACAGCTCCTCTTGTGCTAGTCTGTGAAAACTGATGTGGTAATGAATCCGTCTGTCTTCAAAGTGCCACAAGGCCATCGGTTGTTTTTGCTGCAAACCCTAACACAGGTCATCTCTCGTATTTGTTAATGCTAGTAGTAGTGTGTGTGTTGGAAGTGTGGGCTTTGACTCCCAAGACTGAAAAATGGCTTTGAAGATGCTTTCTTCCCTTACCAGGTGGAGACTGTGCTTCTGGAAGATCAGATGGGGTATGTGACCCAGCGCCGGCCCCGACGGTCCCCCTCGGCTGGCGTGGAGGGGCTTTCTCCCCTAGTATCTGAGCAGGACCTCAACACCATTCAGGTATTGACTCTCTGGGCATAAGGCACCAGGGAAAATTGGAGAGGACAGGTGGTAGAGGCAAGAGGAGCAGGATTTGTTTGTTTGATGTATATTTATTACATTTATGTACAATCTTCCCCCCCCCCCCGCCCAAGCAGCTCAAGGTGGTGTACTTGGTTCTTCCCTCCCATTTCCTCCCCCTCACAGCAACCCTGTGAGGTAGGCTAGACTGAGAGGCAGTGACCGGCCCAAGATCACCCAGTGAGCTTCATTGGCTGAGTCGGGATTTGAACCTTGGTCTCCCAGGTCCTAGTCCAACAATTTAAATTCTGTTATACTACAAGGACTTACAAATCTACTGGTACTGCTTTTCCTGGCATAGGAATGCACTGATGGGAACATTATCATCAGCTGATCTCTGCTTTTCTAAGCAGACAAAGAGAGACTGGACAGGAGACCATGTGGAAGGGAGGGAGGGAGGACAGCCTGCCAGGCCCCATCCACAACTTGTGAGTCACAACTCCAGACAAGAAGTAGGGTGCCCCTAGGGTTACATTGATTATACCACAAAGCAAACAGACTTATAACTGGAGTCCTTAAAGCTGTGAATAATTGCTTGACAGTTTGCGAGGCAACACATAGTGACACCCGTGGATCTTTTCTGCAAGCTGCGGAATGTTGCATTTGTAGATGCAAATCTAGGGTTTTCCCATTTTATTCCCAGAACAACCCTGCAAAATAGGCTATGCCGACAGCAACTGTTACTGGCCTCCAGGTCATCCTGCAAGCATCATGCTTTGTTGTGGATGTGAATCCAGCTCTCCCTAGTCCAACACACTTGTTGCCATACTTCATAGTTATGCAAAAGCAAGAGTTTCAGCAGATGTGGGTCTTTGCATTCCAGCAAGCCACAATCTCTTCTTCTATGGAGCCTCCCTCTCTTTTTCCTGTCCTCAACCCAACCTGTGCAGAATGCACCCAGGTATCAGCTGTGACTCCTGCCCACATCCAGGCTGAGGTAGGAGGGAGAAAGAAGAGGATTTCCCTCATGCGTGGGACTATAAAACACTCCATTTTTCTTATTTTCAGAAATTCTGAAACGTTTAGCATCACCACACTCCAGTCACGGGTTTTATACTAGCATGGCTGGGGGTGGACTGCCAACTTTGGGGGAAATTGTGTTGCCAGGGATAACTTTAATTTTGGATGTGTTTCAGTGAATATATGAAACATGTAAAAGAGCAAGGTCTGTTTCCGTCTGGGAGGGTGGCAATCCTAACCCCACACTTCCAGCAGGACCAAGTCCAGAGCTGGGGAACTTTTGACCATAAATCATCACGTTCCTTGGTATAATCATAGCCACATTCTATGCCAAGTAGGAAACAGACTTTTTCAGTGTCAGGGTGGTGGAGGTGCTTGGAAACTGTGTTTTACTTCTCATTTTCTTCCTTCCCTGCACTACAGCCCCTGATCTGCTGCCCCTCCCGCCAGGGTGGGCCAGGCAAGTTCCTGAGCAAAGTGTCTCGGCGCAAGGATCCGCCTAAGCCAGAGAATTCAGACAGCGACACCGACCAGCCAGAGGCTTTGCCTGAGGACACCTGATCAACCTGGCTCCAGACCCACTGTATTCACAAGAGAGAATAATAAACACTCCGCTTGAACCCCTCTCCCATTTCCCTCCAGGATCTGGAGGGGAAAAGGACAGTGCATCTCTCGCCCATTCCATCGGAGAGAGCCAAAATGGCACCCTCCCGATGTTGGTCAGCTATGGTTCCCACCATCCCTGGCCATTGGCCATGCTGGCTGGGGCTGTTGGGAGTTATAATCTGAAGGGCACCAGGTTGGCTATCCTTGCAATAATCACAGCAAGCAGAATTGGGAAGGGGGGGAAAGCTGCAAAGCATGTTGGGTTAATTGCCATAAGATGCATTCTGGGTAAACATCAGGTTCTGTCCATGAAGGGATTGAAGAACCACTCAAAGCAGCTGGCACTGCCACCTCTTCCAAAATATATTTAAATAAAATGCAAATGAACAAACAAGAAAACCCTGACCAGTGCATATACATGAATGAATTCATATACTGTACAGCCTGCATATCTGTTCACAGATTAGCAAGCAAGAGGTGGTGTGGTGTAATGGACTGAGTGCTGGACTTGGTCAAGGAGTCTTGAGTTCAAATCCCAGCTGGACCCATGCTTGTGATTTTGATTTATACACACACACAGTGGTACCTGTTTTCGAACATCTCTGTTGACGAGCATTTCAGTTTTTGAACACCGTAAACCTGCAAATAAATGCTTCGGTTTTCGAATACGCCTCGGAAGTTGAACATGCCACACGGCAAGATCCTGAGGCCTAGCTGTCGACTACTGATTTTTTTGTTTTCGAACGTTTCAGAACTCGAATGGTCTTCCGGAACGGATTACGTTCGAAAACCGAGGTACCACTGTATACGTAGTGCCATCAACGGGCAATTTACTGTTAAATTTATACATAGCCCTGGTGAAAGGTCAGCACACTGATATAAATACTAGGTGCCTACCCATAATCTGTAACAATACCAAAGCGTGCCAGTAGCCACTATTAACTCCATTAAAGCAAAAACTATGGAATTTGAAAATCAGACATATTTTATCTGAAGATTCTTTATCCCTTCATGTGGCATCTTCAGTCGCCCAGCAGCTTGTAAATAAAACTTATCAACCAATGAAGAAATGATTAGAAAGACCACCGATTCAAGTCATGTTTTCGAAATTTATTTCATATTCCCGTTAAGAAATGCCACTCATTAAAAAACACGTTTGTTTGTTGTCAAAACAGGAAAAAATATGATCTCTCGAGGTAAAAGTTCTGCTTTCAATTGCAAAATATATTATTAAAGGCGGCCACTTTCTTGCTAAAGACTTTTGCACAGCAATTCTTACTATCAAGACTATACAAAAGCACTGGTTCTGGCGAGTCTTTTAGCGTGGGGAAATAACACTTCCCTTTCCTTACTTTCTGACTGGCCAATAAGAAAACAGGAGGGTGCGAAGGAGCCGCCCCAGGGGAAGCCGGAAGCGCTCCAAAGCCAAACTCCATGTCGGCGGCTGTTCGCCCGACTCTCTCTACTAAATGGAGCTTTTCTGAAGCCTCGGTCCTCCGAACGCTCTAGGAGCGGAGTAACCATAAATCACAGGAAGAAGACGAGGAGAAGTGGCCCTTCTAGCCCGGCTTCTTGTTGGTGGGGCTACACCAAAACGAAAGCCGGCAGGGGAGCGTACGGAGACGAAACCATTGGCGTTCCGAAATGTCCCTCTTCCCCGGGGAAGGGGCGGGAGCGCAGTTTTTAAAGAGACAGGCAGACATTTTCCTTTCCGAACCTGAACAGAGTAGCTGAAGGTTGCGGAAACCGGGGGAAGCTGCGTGCATTGGGCCAAAGCAGGAAGGCAGAAAGCGGGGAGCGGGAGTCTCCGAGTCCATCGTGAGGAAGAGAAAGAGCGGGTGGGCGCTGCGTGGTCCGAGCGTTGCATCGGGGCTGGAGCGGGGTTTGCAAGGAGGTTCCGCCGCCGGAGCAACAGCTGGCCGCGAGATGAAGCAAGAAAACATCTTCCTCTTCGTCCCCAACCTCATCGGTACGTTCCCCGGGGTCCCGGGCGGGGGAGAGGAGGAGGCTGCGATCCTGAAACACGTCGGGCTGCGCGCGCCCCATCCACTTAAAAGCGCTATGCTTCTCCTCCCCGAAATGCTGGGAAGTGTAGTTTACCCGGCACGGACTTTTTAGCCCTTGCAAACCACCGTTCCCAGGATTCATATGTGCTTTAAGGATGCTTTAAATGGATGGTGTGTGTGTGTTCGCATCCTGAATGAGTAGACCGGCTGGAATGAATGGGGGCCTCGTTAGTCACGCCCATTAATCTCGATGAGGCAGCCCTGCTGTGGCTAATGGTGTAATCCATGAGCCCCGGGAAGAGCCTCATCAACCCAGCTGAACTGCACAGGGGGAGTCGCTTCTGTGTAAACGTGCTTAGGGTGGGGTGCTGCGATGCTCTTCCAGGGAGGACAGGCCTGGCCCAGGAGACCTGACCTAGTTCTGGGCCTCTCGAGATGTTCAGAAGCAGTAAGAGCTCCAAATCCCGGTGCTGGGAGACAGACACAGGTGGGTGAAGGCTCCTTGCCTTCATGCTTCGTTTACAGACTTCCCGAATGCAGCCTGGAAAACCGGGTGCCGATGCCGGACTAGATCGACCTTTGGTCTGATCTCGCTTGGTAAAAGCTGAGAAGTGCCTCGTGCTCCGGCCCCTTCCCCGCCTCCTTTGCCTTGCCTCCGGGCCTTCTGCTTCAACACTCCCCTCTATTTCCTGCCCTGTTATTTTCACAAGTGTTAATCTGCAGCTGAAGGCAGCAGCAGCAGCATCTAGACTGTCTCCTCCAGATCAGATGTGACAGGCAGGCAGTGACTCACCTGACTCTTGTAGGCTCAGTCTGGACCCTTTCATTTCTTACAGTTGATTGTAGCTTTCATTGCCAAAAACAAAAGAGGAGAAGGGTGTTTCTAAAATAGGGAGTCTGTTTCTCCTTCTCTTCAACACTCCGGAAGCAAACATTACTGATCTTTGAGTGACTCTTGCCTAGATATCTGGGGATGTGGGGTTGTGGGTAGCAAAGGAGGGGAACCAACTAGAATTTGCATGACCCATTTCCCCAGTTTTCTGAGGGCTGCAGGGCTTGGGGGTTAAAAGATTCCAGGACAAAGTCTCATTTTGCTTCCTTGTCCTTTGCAGGTTACGCCCGCATAATCTTCGCTTTTATCGCGTTCTATTTTATGCCAACCTCCCACATAATAGCATCCTTCTTTTACCTCCTAAGTGGTTTCCTTGATGCCTTTGATGGCTATGCGGCTCGGGCCCTGGACCAAGGTAAGGCTTGTTTGCCTCAAGGCAGAGAGGGCTACAGGGTGGCTCATACAAGCCATACACTGAAAGCACATGGCTTCGTGAGCAGCAAACTATAGTTCCCAGGATTCTTTTGGGGTGCTTTTAAATGCATGGCATGTATGCATTCTGTGCGGTATGGAATAATTTGTTGTGGTGTAATGCAGTCAGTTTGAATATATATATACAGAGAGAGAGATAGAGAGAGAGTGGCTAACTGACCCTTTATTAGTTGAAGATGCTAGAGGATGCACCTGAGACCTCCTGTGTGGGCAGCATGTCTCCCACTGCTGAGCTGCATTCCGTCCTCAGAAGACGACTGAGGTTGCCGTGTTGCTTAAGAGTATGAGCTACAAGGTCCCTGGCTCAAAGCTTGGTTCAGGTTTGAGCTCACTGGGTGGCAGCCGGCAAGGAGCTATCCCTCAGTCTTGCCCATCCTCAGAACTGTACTTTGCTGCTGCTGCAACAAGGCGCTGCCTGCCTGAACCTCCCCTGCCAGCAGCAGCCACAAAGAAGGAGGGTCTGTGCCCCCCCCCACTTCCTCTTGCAACGCAGTGCTACTCTTTGCCTCACCCTCCCTCCCAGAAATCTACAGGAATAGTGCCTGGCTGTGGGGAAAACCCTCCAGATCCGCAGCTGTAGCCAAAAGGAAGCTTGAGCTTTTCTTGCTGAGATGGGAAGGTTTCACAAGGCTCTCGGTACTTTCCGTCTGTGTAAGCTGCACACCGAAACCTGTTGTTTTCAAGTGTGCCTGCCTGGACCACACAACTCATGGCCACACAGCAGAAGCACAGCCGCCTGTGCCTGTCACCTGCCTGGGGCAGCAGAAACTTGTCAAGCACATAGCAAGCCACAAAATAGTAATAATAATAATAATAATAATAATAATAATAATTTATTATTTATACCCCGCCCATCTGGCTGAGTTTCCCCAGCCACACTGGGCAGCTTCCAATCAAGTGTTAAAAACAATACAGCATTTAATATTAAAAACTTCCCTAAACAGGGAATATATGCATTAAAACTTTGATGGGTTGCGGGTGACGTGTGGCTGCAGTCTCTACTGTATGCATAGCTTCCTCCCCATTGGTTTACAGCACCCTTGCCTTTCTAATGTGCGCTGTTCTTCCCAGGCACCCGCTTTGGCGCCATGCTGGACATGCTGACGGACCGCTGCGCCACCATGTGCCTGCTGGTGAACCTCGCTATGCTCTACCCTGAATCTGCCCTTTGGTTCCAACTCAGCATGAGCCTTGACGTCGCCTCCCATTGGCTCCATCTCCACAGGTACCAGACTCTGCCCTCGATGGCGGCACCAGAAGTTGCCTTGTACAATATTGGACGATGATGTCCAGGTCTGGCTCAGCCTCACCTGCTCTGACTTGCGGCAGGGTCTCGGGCTGATAGGGAGCCTTTCGTATTGCCCGTCTGCCTATTCCTTTTAACTGGAGGTGCCGGAAACCAAACCTGGGGTCTTCTGCAAACAACCCAGATGCTCTGCCGCTCAGCTATGGTGCCTCCCCTGCTGGGATAGAGAGGCGTGGAAGGGAAGAGAGGCTGAGCACTCCTGGCTCCCATTTTAACTACCTTCTCTGCTCCCACCAGCACCGTGGTAAAAGGTGGGGAGAGCCACAAGACCATCGACTTGTCAGGGAATCCAATCCTGCGGGTGTATTACAGCTCCCGGGTGAGTGATAATTTCTTTAGAAAACTCTCTCTCTCTCTCTCTCTCTCTCTCTCTCTCTCTCCCTCTCTGAACTTTCTCTCCTTCTCTCTGAACTGTCTCTCTCTCTCCTTCTCTCTGAACTGTCTCTCTCTCCCCACCCCCCCGCTCCTGCTCCCTCTCTCTGAACTCTCTCTCTCTCTCCCTCTCTCTGAACTGTTCCTACTACATTTCTCCAGGCTCCCATCCCTTTTAAAAAAAAAGTATGTTCAAAAGCTTTATTGAACAAATGACAAAACAAATAAAGCAAGAAGATTGGGGGGACGGGGACGTAGTATGATAAGCTACAAAAAAAAGCCAGATCTTTCAGTAAAGGCAAAAGAAATCAGAATTGTTGGTGTAAGGCCGGTGTAATTGAGTAATTTTCTACTTCCGCTACGGGTTCTTTCCCCTTGGAATCAAAATAGAAATATCACTTGCTATCACATTTCCTCAAAGGCATAATACTGCCCCATTCATTCCCCTCCACCATCAGAGTGTCTCGCAATCTATATTGGGAGATCCCTCCCTCTCTCCTAGTTCTGCCCCACTCTCCACCCCAAATCTTGTATTTGGAAGCCTTCTTGAAAAGTATGAACAGAAAGGGAGGGTCCATTCAATGTCATTAAAAAATATACCGCAGTACACAATGAACTATGGGAGATTTAATTTCCACTCGGTCCCCTGCAGATTTAGCTGTCTGCTCAAAGAGGGTTTGTCGCCATTGTATCATATTTAAAAAGTTTGGAAAGTGTTTGGGAGAGTGTTTCATATTTCACTTCTGCAGCATCTCCATTGGCTTCCAGTCAGTTTCAAGGCCTGATTTTTTTAAAGGGCTCTTTTGGATCTTTTAAAGCCCTAAGTCATCTGGTTCCAGGATTGTTTGTAATGCACTTTATATCAAATGATCCCAGTTGCAAATCAAGAGTGGATAAAGACAGTAAATAAACTGTAAACACATAAACACAGGGGTCAGTTGCTACACTATTAAGTTGATAAGGGTAACAATTCCAGTATGCCTGAGCAAATTAACCAGGTCTTAAGCTAGTGCCAAAACAAAATCAAAGTTGTTTCTGAGTTGTCTTCAACAGCAGCCCCACATAGAGTGCATTACAGTAATCCAGTCAGAAGGTTATTCGTGTTGCTGTAGCCAGGCTATCTCTACCCAGAAATGGCTGTAGCTGGAAAAACAACAGAAGTTGACCAAACGCAGCTTCATTCCCCAAACCAGGCCTGAAACCAATCTGGAAGGTGTCTAGATAATCCATTTCCTCCTGAAACGTCTGGAGCTGCATGATCTCTCTCCTGAGCACCTTGAAATATGCCCAGAAAGGGGATATTTGCAGCTGGGCAGTAGTTGTCATGCACCTCCAAGTCCAGCTTCCCATATGAGGCTGTCTGTATCTTAAGATCCCCCTCGGGGTCCCTGCCCTGGGGGATCAGGGACTTCTCTATGACGGCATCAAAGCAATAGAGCTCTCTTCCTAGAGAACCCACCTGACTCCTTCATTGTTGGTCATCAGACAGCAGGCCAAGGCTGCCCTTTTCTGCAAAGTGTTGGGAGTATCCGACCACTGCCTGCTACTTATATTAATTTTGTTTCCCTCTTGGATTGTAGTATTAGTAGTACCAGTTGTACTTACGTACATGATGCTGTACTGCATGCTCGTAAGCTGATTTAGCGGCGATTTAGCACACGTTTTTGAATAAACTAGCAGCCAAACAGAGCTGACATTCTTATGTGTGCAGTGGACAACTCAGGTAGCTTCTCTTTGCTCTCTTTTCTCTGGCCTGGTTTGACATGCTTTCTCCTCTTCTTCCTCCTTCCAGACTGTCCTCTTCATCATGTGCGCTGGGAATGAACTCTTCTACTGCATGCTCTATTTGCTGTGTTTTGGGGAAGGACCAGAAAGTGAGTATATCCTAAGCCAGAGGGACGATGCCTAGGGGTCAAAGGGCATTTCAAAGGACTCCTTCCTTACCCCCACCCCTTTTTTTATTTTTCCAGTCCTGCCCGGACAGGCTGGTCTCTACCGCCTAGTCATGTGGGTTTCTGCCCCCATCGCCATCACCAAGAGCCTCATCAGCCTGGTCCACCTGATCTGCGCCTCGTGTAATATGGCTGCTCTGGACGTCGCGGAACGCGCAAAGAGGAAGTAGCATCAAACGACCCCAGCGGAGGGGCAGGAGCATCACTCCCTTTCACGCTTGCAGTGGGACCAGCTTACCATCCCTCGCCGTGACAGGGTTAGCCACTCCACTTGCACAGCTCTTGCTTGATGCGATGACCCCACCTTCCCACGAATGCATAGGATGATGGGAATACGTCCTGCTCCTCCCGGCTCCCTCCTGCATTCCCATGATGCTTTGCACTTAGGAGAAGATTGGCTGGTAGAGAGGAATATTGACTTTGCCTGTGGGCTGAAAAGGAGGGATTGGATCGACCATTTTGAGGGCAGCTAAATAGACCTTCGTTTCCAGCTTTTTGGTTCTGTGCTTCAAAACTTGCTGTATATTTGGTTCAAATTCAGCCACAAAAGAAGTACCTTTTCGTTTCCCAAAAGTGCAGGGGAGTATTGCTCTTGAGTTAGGAGGCCATATCATTCCCCAAATTCCCAAGTATATCTAGGCCTGGGCAGTGAATGAATTGGCCAGTTGGTGGCCATTTTATTTGGATTATACATTTGAAAATGACTATCCTAGGTTCTTGGGAAAGAAGCCCCATTGAGGCTTGAGGTCTGTGTGCAGTATTATCCATTTTAAGATTATATCTGGCTGTAAATTTCTGCATCTACTTTAGCCGATGGTCCATGTTGCTTAGACATGCTTGGCCGTAAACAGACATTTGGATCCTGCTCCCAGATTCTCTTCTCTTCTCACAATGCTTTGCTTGTGAGAGCATCTGCATTCCTTTTTCTGCTGTTGTTGGCTGTTTTTGCTACATGGAGCTGTAGGCTTCTAAATACCCTGGAGGAGCACAGGGCATAGAGGAGCCATTTTGTAGCATTGCTATTGAACATTACCTTGGCCCGCTGTTTCTTCACACAACTTTCCCCATCTTCTTTGCACGCAATTTCGGACTGACCATAGTTGAGATTGGCTGTTCTTTCCCCCTCAATCATGCATGTGCAATTTTGAAAGAGTGCAGTAGAATTCAAATGTGAGGTAAACATTGGGCAGTTTAGCAGCCATCTTGCCCAGTCTGGCTTCTCTGTCCTTTCTTCCTCTGAAGGAAGGGCAATTATTTGTGGGTTTCTCCCCCTATTTCTGAGCTCTTGGTAGTTCCCTGAGATATTCCTTGCACACCTATCTTCCTCTTTTCCCTTTCCTCAATCATTTGTGCATGAACATAAGTTGCCATATCACACCACAGTTCTGTTTTCCTCCATGTGATTTTTTTGTTATTATCAGTGATGGCTAGGTTTACAGTGACATGGTAGCCATCCTAGCCACTCCTCAGACTAAGTAGGGCCTTTGGCCCTCCAGATGTTGCTGAACTGCAACTCCCATCAGCCCCAGCAAGCATGACTTGGGATTATGGGAGTTGTAGTTCAGCATCATCTGGAGGGCTAAAGGTTCCCGACATCCACTTTAAAGCTTCCTTCTCTCAGCTCCCCACAAAAGCCAGTTCTTCCTTTTGACAAGAGGAGAGAGAGGTGACTGATGAAGGGGACTGTGGAGATGGGATTTGGCGGCCATCTTAGAAAAACCACCTTAAGGACCTGAAGTGACACTAAGGACTTGGCAGCTGTATTGGAGCAAACCAACTTCAGGTAACTTGCCCCATGTCTTCATATATTGAGCCAAACTAGATTATTATTTGCTAGAAACTTCCCTCATCCAAATGGTGCGGTGGGGGCAGAGGGACGCACAGGTGCTGAGGGTAATTATTGCTTCTGTGGATTGTCGCGCGCTGTCTCCTGCCGGATGGGGAGCAGTTGTTACCTTGCCATGTCCTCTCCTCTCCTTCACAGCGTCACTGCCACAGCCTCACAACCCCCAGTGGTGTGTAATTTGTATGTAGGTTTTTAAAAATTAAGACTTGGTGCAATAAGACACCCCCTCTCAACGGAGTGGGAGTTGCTGTAATAAAGACAACTGTGTAACCATCTGATTGTGTGTGTTTTTAATGTGGTGGGAGGTTTTATATAAGGATCTTGAAGAATAGCTGGGTTGTTGGGGGTGGGTTGCTCAGCCACAGTTCCCAGCTCTGAATTTAACTGCATTCTGAAAGGGATGAGAAAGTCAATATGGTCAAGTGCTCACAGTGCTCTGTATGCTTAGATTTGGTCCTGGATCCTAATCTCATGGATGAGGTTGATCAAACTGCACACTCTTGATTATGTGGGCAGTGTGAGTCTTTGGAAGGAGGCAGGAGGCTCTAGGACGCTGCCAGAGTCTCGTGCCTCCTTACCTGGCTTTGGGAAGGCAGTGCAAGGGCTTGTGGCAGGGGGTGTGTGTGTGCAAATGTCGCAGAGGGCCACCAGAAAATACACTGAGGGCTACGTGTTGGACCACCCTGAATTAAATTCAGTTTTCCTTGTGAGTTTTCCTGTTGGGCAGAGAATTGGCACAGACACAAAAGCTTTGCAGGAAACAGGGACAGACACGGCCTTCATGCATCTGAGTTTATTTACTCGATTCATGCGTTGATACAAAAATCTGTAGCAGTTTATAATTTGACCTTCTCCCGCCCCGCCCCGCCCACCATTTCTTTATACAAACTGGTAATAGGATTTGTAATATTTCTTGGAACTCCCCACCCCCACCCCACACACAAAAAAAACAAAACAAAATTCTGAATCTTATGAAAGGATTTGATTGGTCCCAGACTCAGGAAGACCCCCACCCTTTCCTGTTTTTCATATAATAATTTTAATTAGCAGGCACAAATAATGCAGAACCGAGCAGAAAAATGAACAGTAACAAATAAGTTACAAAATAAGCAAATCTAGTGAATAAAAGTGCTTACCCATTTTTGCTCAACATTATGTTACGAGCGCTATATGGAAAACAATGAACTGTGATTTGTTTTTTGGAATGATGGCATGATTGAAATCGGTTCTCCTGGCGTAAATAGACCTGCTTCCATATCTCCCCATCAGGAAAGATGGTGGAAATTTATATTTTCACTGAGACAGTGTTGCAGAGGGATAGGAAGTGTCAGGCTATGACGTTTCCTGTTCCCTCCTCAACGCCGCTACATATGAAGGCACGCTTAGTGCTCCACAAAGTGAAAAACTAAACTACGTCTCAAAAACGGGGGGGAAAGGAAATACAAAATAAAATCTCCCTCTTGTTCTTTCCCCCCAAAAAACCTCACCCTGCCCCGAATTGTATAATAGTAAAGCAAACTTCATTCTTCAGCATCCAAAATTTTGCCCCACCCCAAATAGGAAAACATCTATCAAGCATCATGTCAAAGATATAGGTTATGTGGTTTTTCATTCAATAACGGATACGTGTAAATGTAAAACCCCTCTCCCCCAACAAACAGTCTCTCCTATCGTTCCATAGGTGCCTCCTCAAATTCTGCTTTTAACCCCCCTTCGTGCCCCACCCTCTCCTGGCCCCCAGGGTCTGGTGGTGGTTTAAAGCATGGTTTTGAGTGTAAAACAAGGCAACAGATTATTTTGTAGACCGGGGGTGGGTGGGTGGGAAGGGGCAACAGGTAATGTAGCTTTGAGAGAACATCTGCAATGGAACCTCTCCTTTCAGATTGCATCGTGGACCCCAACTTTGATCTGAAGTCTCAGATCAGCAGTTGATTCTACTTAGCAGGTCACTTGGAGTTAGCTGCTACAGGATGGCGGTTGCAGGATGATGGTCCTTCTCTCCAAGTGGACTGTGGACCAATCGACTGCCCTTCTTGCTAAAGAGAGGACTGGATACCTCCCTCTCGGTGGGCTGGCTATAACTAAGCAGGCCCCAGTTACTGATCCCTGTGTGAAGTTCTAATTCTTCCCTCACTGTTATTTGCAATCCATCCCAAAACAATTCCTTGTTCCTGACCCCATCCTGTTTGAGATTTGGGTTTCCTGAATCCCGCTGAACCCACCTCTCCTTCCATTTTGGTCCCGCTGGTATTCCATCTCCCACCAAACCGAACCCTATTTTCCCTCCTCTAAGAGACCGCCATTCACCTGCCAGCCCCCTCACCACTTTCCTGACCCATTTCCCCCCTCAAAGCCGTCCTTCCAATTGACTGTCACACCATAATACACTCTGAGCTCTCTCCTCCCTTCCAAGTTTCTGATTCACCCCCTCAACTTTCCCTCCCCCCAAATATAAGCATATAAAAACATGCAGATTAGAATACTTGCATTTCAACATCAAAATACAACAGCTTTCCCCTGCCATCCCTTCCCACCTTAGAGAGTTACAGTCTCCAGGAAGCGGGAGAAAAACAACAAAATTGCCCAGCCTTCTACACCATGCACCCATCAAAGGGAGAGCAAAATTATTATTTTTCTGAGGGATAGTTGAGGGAAGGTCAGAGGTTAATAATTCGTGCAGATGGGATTAACGGGGGGGGAGTTTAAGGTCACCCCCTCACCCTAAATAAAGCCCTGTGACATCCTCCGAGCGCAGATTTTAAAGGAGGAGGCCATTATACCACCCCTTCCCCCATATTACCACCCTCCCTCCCCAGCCCCATTGAATAACAGTCTGAGAAACAAAGCAAAAAATTAGTCACATTGTGCCGGGTGAAAATTCGTGTCTGACACACACACACACAATTCTTTGCTGGTGCCCTTCCCCCACCCACCCCACCCACCCAGTTGTCTCTGTCCAGTAGCATACACAGTTGTCCATCAGGCCCTTTAAAAATAGTTGTTGTTGTTGTCGTTTGGTATGGAGTGTATGCTCTCTTGTGTATTCCTCCGTCAGTGAAGTACAGTTCGACTCTCCTCTACCGGCGCCCCTTTCGTGTTCTGTTGCTCCTCTTACCAGTGTGGTCTTAACACTCTTCTCCAGCCTTTCGCTCCGCAGGGCTTGCTCTTATCTTCTTCCCTTCGCAGGACACCCAACACACACACAGTTCCTCTTCCAGTGGATTTTAAACTGGCCTGGGTCATCATTTTCACATCCAGAGGGAGTTTGTCGCCTTTGGTGCTTCCTCCGCCCATTCCACACTCTCTCTCGCACCACCAGCTGATCTCATACATTAGCCTTTCATTCTGCAATTCTGTGTATATAACTTTCCCCATCGAGCAGTTTTTCAACTTGTTTTCAGGGGAGGGGGGTGTCTTATCACACATCTCTCTCAGTCTCTCTCTCACTCACACATTTCTGCTTTGAACCTCTTTTCCTAGCCTTGGTGTTTTCTCACTCCTTAGTTCCTGGCTCTGTTTCTTTTGTCACAAGTGTGCGATTGCTGACCTCCCCTATCCATTCTGCCTTTCAAAAATGGCCTCATGCCAGAACTGAGCAAACACATTCAGATTTCCTGGTGTGGCCAGGGAACTTAATGCCAAAGGGCTTGGCCTAAACAGCTTTCTATGCCCTCCTAACTGCCTCCATTGCCTCTTGTGTGTGCTCCAATCTGCCCTGTTGCTGCCCTAACTCCATGCCAACTTGGGATAAAGGCAGGATATAAATAAGCAAATGTCTCAGCTGACTCCCACCCCAACTGGATACTTTCAGAGTCTCTTAATCTGTGTTCCGTCAAACTTCGCTTCCCCTTAAAAGCCACATATGCCAACATGACAAACACCAAAATAGCTTAAAGACTAACCAATGTATTATGGCATAATAGTAGTTCGTGGAAGTTTATGCCATGACATTTGATGGCCTTTAAGGTGCCACAAGGCCCTTAGTCTTTTGCAGCAAAAGCAACAAAACAACTTTATTATTTATGGTGCTTTTTTCTTTTACCACGTTAAGGTCGGGTTTGAGAAGAAACACAGGGAATGGGGGCTGGGGTAAACAGGATGCCCTTTGGATGAGGGCATCATGAAAACCACACAAAAACCATGTGCATGCCCGTGGAGCATCAAATGCACTTCGAAATGCCATGTGTAGGCATCCCCGCTTCTCTGAAAATGTAAACACAACAGAGCATTGTCTCACCTCAAAGACTAATTTATTGCTGCATAAGCTTCTGTAGACTAGAGTCTACCTTATCAGATGAATGGAGTATACATAATTGGGAGACAGGACAGAGTGGACAAAGATGAGCAAGATCGGAGGGAAATGTGCTGAAAAAGTACAGACTGTGACAGCTGTCAATGCCCAAATAAATGCATCACCAAAGCTGCGTTGATGATAGCACCTGCATCCTGGCATTGGTAAGCTACGTATATTAGTCGGCTTACCAAGGTCAGGATCCCGGTGTTATCATCAATACTACTTTGTCAACTAGTTTGCCTACATTTTATGTCATTGTCACAATCTGAAATTTTTGCATTATGTTTCGCTCTGACCTCACTCCTCACCCCGCCATTTAGATGAGCCTGCAAACTCAGGTTACCACTTGATTCATCTGTACATGACAGCTTAAGCCACAAGACACCATTATTCTCTTAAGGGGCCACAGACCTCTTCTGTTGTATTTGCTGCAACAGACTAACAAGGCTACCCCTCTGGAAACGGCTAGACATCCTGCCTTTTCCTGCTTCCATTTAGACCCATGTTCTGCTTTCCTTTTCCCTGCTGAAGAACCCTATGCAACCCAACACCCTGTGACCCTGCTCTAATACCAGCAACTGGACTTCTAGAGGAAAAAGAGATACCTTGGCCCATGCTCTCTTTTCTTCTGAATGGGTGCCTACTAATACTCTTCTCTATCCTTCCCAGTTTCATTCATTCCAGCAACTTTCTCATGTAAAAATGCAGCAACACCAGTTCTATTCCTTCATGACTGGTTGGTGACTGGTGGGTTTTTGTTCCCCCGTTGGCTCATTTGCCATTCTTACAACTTCTTGAGCTGCCCTTTTTTTTACTTCCTCCTCTTTTGTACTTGCGCCTTCAGTTTGGAGAGTAGTGTCACCTCCCCCCCCCATAAAACCCACCACCACTCTTACCAGTCTGTTCCCTTCTTTGCAAGGCCCTTGGCTCCTTCTTTCTCCTCCATTGCCTCGTCCACAATTTCCACTTTCACGCTCCAACTTCCACCGGTCCCATTTGTTAGAATCCTTTTGCTCAGAGCTGTATTCCCTCGACATTGATTTTATTCATTTCTCCAGCCAATACCATAAATTTCACTGCCGTTCTCTTTCCTGTTGAGTGGCTGGGTGATGGATTCGGTTATACAAGCCAACCTCCACGCCTATGTGTGTGTGTGCCACCAACTCCAGGCAGCTTTGGCCTCCTTGTTAGCAAACCTCCTCTGACGCAACAGTTAACTCACTACAACAAACTCCCACCTGCAAAACGCTCAGTGGGCTCTGGTGGGCTCTTCCCTGCTTGTTCCTGCTTGCTGTCTTTGTAAACACGACGGATGAGAGCAGGAGACCTAAGAAGTGTTTCCTCTCTTGCTGCTGCTGGTTCTGTTCATTTGTTCCCAGCAAACATGTAAACATGCTCCCCACCTCCTTCCCAGGGGGGTGGGGAAAAAGAGCTTTTCTCCGGCAGGTTCTTGTAAACATGGAATATCGAAAGAGTTTTATTTGCTGTCGAAATTTGGCAGTGGATGGAAGATGGGCAGATGGGTCATTGGTTGAACAGATGACAATGGATGGAAGGAGAGTGAGAGAGAGTGCAGAGAGAGGGAGAAAATTGGCGGAGAGGAAAGAGGAGATGAGAATACCTCCCCATCTAATTTTTTGTTTCCTTTCTCCTGTTTCACCTTATTTTTGGTTAGCTAAAATCCCTAGAAGGATGGGACACATGCAAGCATAACAAAGACGTTGTTTCTCTCAGTTTCGCTCTCTCGTGTCCCTCTCTCTTTCTCTCTCTCATCTCCGTTCTTGTGCTCCTGTTTTTGCATGGTTCAGAGATGGATGGGGACATGGGATGGATGTTCTGTACTCATGCTGGCTCCCAGCTCCAAAGATGAACGTTTCGGTGCTAGGGATGAAGTGGCAAGTTGAGTGCCGCCTTCACTGGAACACTGAGGGGTTCGGGTGGGGAAGGAGAGGGATTCAGGGACAAGGCGGGTTGGGGTTGGGGGAGCGGAATAAGAACACAGGGAAGGAGAACAGAAGAAGGAGATTTTTACTACCTGGAAAGAAACATGAAGGGGAAAACATTTTCACACATGCCCCAATTCAACCTCCCCACACCTGGCTTCCACTAGAATCTGGAGCATGTGGGAACAGGTCATTGGGAAAGCAACATGGAGGCTAAGGAGGCAACGTCAGGGGAAGGTCTGATGAATGCATTTATTTTCTCCTTTTTTGTTTTTGGCTGCTTTAGGTATGCTGGCAGCAGGAAGCAGGGAAGTTAGGATGGGAAAGGGTTCTGAGGAGACATTGGTAGTTATGAAGATGGCCTGCTGCGTAGAATTAGGGCCAAGGTTGTGGCTGAAGGCCAAGGCCAACATAACCTTACGAAAAGCACTGTGTAATGGGAGGGGAGGCTGCAGCCATCCAAATGTTTTTGGGATTCCCATTTCCATCAGCCTGGGTCAAAGGTCAGGCTTAGTGGGAGTTGTAACATCTGGAGAAAACATCTGGAGGACCACAGGTTCCCCATATCTGGGATAATGTGTAATAATTTTGGGAAAAAAGTAGCAATAGCTGTGCTCAGGGAGGGGGGTTGCTCTGAAGGGAGGACATGAAAAGCAGAGCATACAGCAAAAGGGATAAAACTGATCATTTCAAGAAGCTGCCATTTTCCCCAGAGGGTTAGGAAGAAAATGGAGGTGTTGGGGGACAACTTTATGAGGAAAAGAAAAGCTCTTTTCTTTTGAGAAGGGAAGGCATGGAACTCGCCTCACTCCTCAGGTAACAGTGATCCTGACTGCTGTCCTGAACTCTCAAAATACTTTTGTAAGTGTACACAGCAGGATATGAAAGGGGTAGGAGAGGCAATCCCTTTCTTTGATTTGGTTTCTAACCCCCCCCCCAAAAAAACCCCACCTTTCACACTCTTCTTGAGTTTTGGCAACAAAATGTTGTGGCGTGGAGTGCTCCCTATATTCAGTGTTCCAGCCAGCCATGCTTCCTCCATCCCACGTCCACCCTTGTCTTTCCTTCCCAACAGATAATAATAATAATTTATTATTTATACCACGCCCATCTAGGCAGCTTCCAACAAATATTAAAACACAATAGTCTGTTAAACATTAAAAGCTTCCCTAAACAGACACTCAGCATTTCATGATTTCTGAGCATGCTTAGCCCTTCCTGGGCTCCTTCAGGTTGGGGGCTTAATGGAGTTTTCTGTTATTCTTCCCCCCCACCCCCAACATCATCTCCTGCAAAATTCCACAAACTTGCTGATTCCTCCCCCTTTTTCTCTCAGTAGCCCCAGTTTGGCTACAGAATTAACTTAGCGCCTGCATTTTATATGTATATTATCTCTCCACTGACAAGCCTTTCTCTTAAGAAGGGCAACTCTTACAAAGATAGCCAGTTTGGAGCCGCTTCCCCTTGCTTTAAGCAGCCCCCTCTATTCCACTGGCTCAGAGAGAGGTCACAATCTGATACAAACATATATTCTTGACTAGAAATTGCTCCATCTGTTTATTTATTTCATAAAATTTATACACCCCTTGACTATAAAGTAAAATTGGTTTAAAACAATACTTCTGTGACTAAGCGCCGAGTGCCGTGGCAGATGCTGACTTTTTAAACGGCAATATTAAGGATTCTAAGAATAATATATTCTCCTCTGACCTGATGGTGTCCCACAGGTCCCCCTCAAAAGCACTCGGGCAATCAGGATCCAGCCAAAATACGCTGTCAGGTGGCATGTGTGCAAATGAACCACCATTCGTGTTTCCATCCCTAGGCTCTCTACGTCCCATAATGCTTTGCTAAGCCCTTCTCTGGCCAAACTGATCACAAATGTTTCCAAAAACCCAAAAATCCCTGGAATCCCATTCTGCTGGTTTCTTTGTACTGCAGCAGAAGACTCGGCAAGGGGGTTAGAGCTTAAAGGGCAAAATGTTTGGACAAGAGTCCTCGCCACCCCCTGGTCCTCGGGATACTCACCTCCGAAGTTGATGGCGCAAGATGCCACGATGATGAGCACCCCCCCGACCAACGCGACAATGCTCAGCAGCTTTGCTACCCGTCCCAGGCGCCGGGCGCCGTCAATGTCTCCTTGCTGGAAGCTGTTCCGGGACTGGCAAGGAATTAAAAAAGAAAAGAAAAAAAGGAGCAAGGGTTTGGTGATTGTCCTGACATACAGCCTTTCGGTTAAAGGAAGAACAGGGAGAATTGAAAGAGAAAACTCTACACTTGCGTGCATTGTCAGAAGAAAATGGGCCCACTCTCAGGCGGCCCTCAGCAAGGTGCCACCAACACCCACCCAAGGCAGCGTGTGCTTCTGTTTCAGCTGCTATGGCAGCAGCAGCAGCAGCCCCTGCCTTCTGCTGTAGATTTCATAGATCTATAGGCTGGGGCCACCATATTCATCAAGAAAGCAGGCAGTCACCACAGACGATACCACTAAAACAGCCATCCAGGGCGTCCGCTTAGAGGTGAATGGCAGCAGAGCTGGGTCAGGCTGGTGAGGGGCCCTTCTGAACCCCTGGGGCCCCCGCCCACTGCCTCACCTGGCTGGCTGCTGGGGAAAAGCCAGGGCTGTGGGGTGAGAGTCTTGCTGTGCTGTCCCAGGCTGGGTCCTCAGCACCTTCAACAAAAGGCATCTCTGGCAGCAGATGAGGGGAGGACCTTTGCCAAAGAGCCTGTCAATCCGCTGCCAGTTCAAGGGGACAGCAGCCAGGGGGACTCACGGCCTGACCTGTCACGAGGCAGCTGCATCAGTGCATGTGGTTTGGGAGAGGACCTAATGCTATGGCAAGAAGCCAAGAAGTTGAGATCCTTCTTGGCTGCTGCTTGGATAGAAGCAATCTCTGAGCTTCCTAACGGAAGAACGAGACACAAGAAAACAGAATTTAAGCCTGTGATCCTATGCCCACCTGGAAGTAAACCTCGTGCAGCTCAACGGAACTTACTTTTGAGAAGGCACGGAAAGGATTGCGCAGTGAGAGGCTTGTAGGGTGGTAGTGTGTGCCCAAAATGGATTTGGGTGGATTGTGAATGGTCAGCTGGCATGAGCCGCCAAACCTATTTTGTTCCATTTAGCGGGTTTTACCAAATAGGAAACCTGAAGGAAACTTTCTAGTAGGTTGGTCGACTCTTTGAGAGGTGTCCCAGCCTGTCTTCTTGTGTGGATAGATTTACCTGTGAGGAGGTGCTCCAGTCTGAGATTTTAAGCAGCAGAGTGAGCCACTTCCAAGTTAGTAGCCTTGCTCCTTGGCTGAGGAGGAGATTGACCCACAACCTCAAGGGGCAAACGAAAGAGAACAGTGACAAGGAAGCGCTATTGTGGGGACAGCCTTGGTGCTGGTGGGGGTATCAAAGCAGCAGGTGCCTCTCCTACTTGTTCCAGGACACACAAACCAAATACACACACACACACAGAGAGAGAGAGAGAGAGGCGCCACTCCCTTTGCACTTACCATGACAGAATACACAAAGGCGACGATGTTGATAGGCCAGATTGGGCAGAAACAGGAGAGGGCAGCAATGAATATGTAGTCTCTGGGTTTCTCCCCAGCTTCACCAGCTGCCGATCCTGTTGCAGAGGCCTGCCGGCTCAGGCTGGCACGCGGAGACCCCGCGGATCCCGCTAAGTGCACCTGAGACCCGGACAAACTGCCCCTCACGACAGCCCTTGGGCCGCCATTGATGCTGTTCTGAGGCTTCAGGTCATTCAACGACGCCGACTTGGAGCGGGCTGGGGGGCTAGTGGGTGGGGCCGGGGTGGTCCCTATCTCCTCAGCTGAGCCACCCCTAATCCCCGGGGGGTCCCCATTCTCCTGCGGCTCCCCCACCGTCTCCTCCTCAATGGTCACCGTCACCATCACAGGCGATGCGGGGGTCTCTGGGCCTTTGGGGCTCTTAGGTGGGGACTGCGGCTTGGGCTGCTCCTCAGGCTTCCCCTCCTCCTCCTCCTCCTGGGCATGATCCTCAGGCTTCCCCTGCTCCTGCTTCTCCTCCTCCTTCCCTTGCTGCTGCTGTTCTGGGGGAGCCTCGTTCTTCTCAGCGTCGTCCGACATGGCAGGCAGCTACCTGGATTAGAGGAGAATTAGAGGAGGGGGAATGTTCAGGGTGGAGAAGCAGCCGTCTTTCCCCTCCCTGCCTGGTACTGGGTCTGATCTGCAGAACCAAAGTCCAGGGCCAATGGACCAGCGCTTCTCAACCTGCAGCCAAGTTCTCAGAGTCCTCCAACCCCCTAGCAGCCTGCAGTGTCCCTTTGAGCTGCCTAAAGCAGGGATGGGTGACTTGACGGCCTTCAGAGATGGTTGTGTTCCATTTCTCATTGTTCCTGGCTCTGCTGGAGATACCCCTTCCCAGTGCTTTGTTTCTAAAACAAAATGTTTAGGGATACTCTCAATGAGGCCAAATTTAGATTCATTATATGTTTAGGGGTATGCGTACCCCTGCCTACCCCCGGGGAAAAAAGCACTGCCCTCTCCCCTGGTCTAAAGCGATGTGTGGATCAGGTTGATGTGCAAAAAGGTTGACCAACTGATCAGCGGTTGCAAAAATTGTGACAGCTGCATATGGGGGAGGGAGGAAATAACATCGCCTCTCTTCTATGTGGTTGGTTTTTTATAGGATATGGGACGTCGTTGCGAAAATTGCTACTTCTTATTAGACACGTGCTCAAGAGAAATAAAGTATATGATGCTTGGTTTGTAAAGAAAGGTGAATGGCTTTTAGCATTGTATGGAAATATGAATTCAGCTGGGATGCAAGGTTTTCGTTTATTTTAATTGCTCCTATATATGGAATAACATAACAGGTGCTATTCATAGAGCAATAATTCATAGCTACTGTACATGCCTTTCTAATGACACAATTATATCATAATATATCATATAATGATATATTATAGTCAACAAAAGAGTGGCGAAAGCTGTACTGGGATGCAATCTCAAAAATGATAGAATGATCTCGATACGAACCCAAGGCAGACCTTTTAACATCACAGTAATCCAAGTTTATGCACCAACCACTGGTGCTGAAGAAACTGAAATTGACCAGTTCTATGAAGACTTACAACACCTTATAGAAATGACACCAAAGAAGGATGTTCTTCTCATTATAGGGGATTGGAATGCTAAAGTAGGGAGTTAAGAGATAAAAGGAACAACTGGCAAGTTTGGCCTTGGAGTTCAAAACGAAGCAGGGCAAAGGCTAATAGAGTTCTGCCAAGAGAACAAGCTGGTCATCACAAACCCGCTTTTCCAACAACACAAGAGACGACTCTACACATGGACATCACCAGATGGGCAGCACCGAAATCAGATTGATTATATTCTCTGCAGCCAAAGATGGAGAAGCTCTATACAGTCAGCAAAAACAAGACCTGGAGCCAACTGTGGCTCAGATCATCAGCTTCTTATAGCAAAATTCAAGCTTAAACTGAAGAAAGTAGGAAAAACCACTGGGCCAGTAAGATACAATCTAAGTCAAATCCCTTATGAATACACAGTGGAAGTGAGGAACAGGTTTAAGGATTTAGATTTGGTGGACAGAGTGCCTGAAGAACTATGGATGGAGGCTCGTAACATTATACAGGAGGCAGCAGCTAAAACCATCCCAATGCAAGAAAAGGAAATGCAAGAAAGCAAAGTGGCTGTCCAACGAGGCCTTACAAATAGCGGGGGAGAGAAGGCAAGCAAAATGCGAGGGAGATAGTGAAAGATACAGGAAATTGAATGCAGATTTCCAAAAAATAGCAAGGAGAGACAAGAAGGCCTTCTTAAACAAGCAATGCAAAGAAATAGAGGAAAACAATAGAATGTGAAAAACCAGAGATCTGTTCAAGAAAATTGGAGATATGAAAGGAACATTTCGTTCAAAGATTACCATAATAAAAGACAAAAGTGGAAAGGACCTAACAGAAGCAGAAGACATCAAGAAGTGGTGGCAAGAATACACAGAGGAATTATACCAGAAAGATATGGATGTCTAGTACACCCCAGGTAGTCTGGTTGCTGACCTTGAGCCAGACGTCCTGGAGAGTGAAGTCAAATGGGCCTTAGAAAGCCCACTTAGAAAGTGATGATATTCCAGCTGAACTATTTAAAATTTTAAACGATGATGCTGTTAAGGTGCTACACTCAATATGCCAGCAAATTTGGAAAACTCAGCAGTGGCCAGAGGATTGGACAAGATCAGTCTACATCCCAATCCCAAAGAAGAGCAGTGCCAAAGAATGCTCCAACTACCGCACAATTGCACTCATTTCACATGCTAGCAAGGTTATGCTTAAAATTCTACAAGGCAGGCTTAAGCAGTATGTGGACCGAGAACTCCCAGAAGTGCAAGCTGGATTTCGAAGGGGCAGAGGAACCAGAGACCAAATTGCAAACATGCGCTGGATTATGGAGAAAGCTAGAGAGTTCCAGAAAGACATCTACTTCTGCGTCATTGACTATGCAAAAGCCTTTGACTGTGTTGACCACAGCAAACTATGGCAAGTTCTTAAAGAAATGGGAGTGCCTGATCACCTCATCTGTCTCCTGAGAAATCTCTATGTGGGACAAGATGCTACAGTTCGAACTAGATATGGAACAACTGACTGGTTCAAAATTGGGAAAGGAGTACAGCAAGGCTGTATATTGTCTCCCTGCTTATTTAACTTATATGCGGAATTCATCATGTGAAAGGCTGGGCTGGATGAATCCCTAGCCGGAATTAAGATTGCCGGAAGAAATATCAACAACCTCAGATATGCAGATGACACAACCTTGATGGCAGAAAGTGAGGAGGAATTAAAGAACCTTTTAATGAGGGTGAAAGAGGAGAGCACAAAATATGGTCTGAAGCTCAGCATCAAAAAAATGAAGATCATTGCCACTGGTCCCATCACCTCCCGGCAAATAGAATAGTGATGTATGGAAGTGAGAGCTGGAACATAAAGAAGGCTGGTCGCTGAAGAATTGATGCTTTTGAATTATGGTGCTGGAGGAGACTCTTGAGAGTCCCATGGACTGCAAGAAGATCAAACGCATCCATTCTGAAGGAAATCAGCCCTGAGTGCTCACTGGAAGGACAGATCGTGAAGCTGAGGCTCCAATACTTTGGCCACCTCATGAGAAGAGAAGACTCCCTGGAAAACACCCTGATGTTGGGAAAGATGGAGGGCACAAGGAGAAGGGGACGACAGAGGACGAGACGGTTGGACAGTGTTCTCAAAGCTACCAGCATGAGTTTGACCAAACTGCGGGAGGCAGTGGAAGACAGGAGTGCCTGGCGTGCTCTGGTTCATGGGGTCACGAAGAGTCGGACACGACTATACGACTAAACAACAACAACAACATATCATATAATATATACTAAAATATGAACAGAATGCCTCTGAATTTAGCTTTCCCTTTCACCTAAGTAGCTTCAGGCAGGTCTTCCAACACCAAAGATTGGGGGTTAGTATTTATTTCCTTCTCTTTCAGCAATCTTGAGCCCAGCATTTTATTTTATTTTACTTTGGAATGGGTGGCACCCATCCAGGTGAGGACACTCTCTCAACAAGGCCAACCCAAGACACTCTGCCGCCTGAGGCAAAATAAAACATTGCATCCCCTCTGGATCTCACTTCAGCACTGACAATGGGACTCACATCTGAGTCAGCAGGCTAGTTTAGCAGGGCGCTGTGTGACATACATTGCTCTACCTTCAACAGAGAGAGGTGGCTGGGAGGTTCAGAAAGAATAGCATAGCTGTCAACCTTCCCTTTTTTGTGGGAAATTCCCTCATTCCAGTGCCATTTCCCACTGCTTCCCACTGCTATCTCGGATTGTTAGATATCCCGTAGACTGTTCCCGGGACATGTGAGGCTACTGATCCCTTATTTTCAAATCTGAAAGTTGACAGCTATGAAGAACAGTCAAGGACTGATACAACTGCCCACCCCCCTGTGACACCTGAGGCAGTTTCCTCACTCTGCCTCATGATCCAGCTGGCCCCACCACCCAAATACACACCATCGCTACCATCACCATCTTTCCGACCAACACAACCCAATATTGCCATTCCACTGAATGGCACATGCGCTGTTAGAAATTAGCCAGGCGCCAGGCGCGTTTTGCTACTGGAGTGGTTCCAATAGCAACTACATGGAGATTGATGGGCTCCAGGTTGGCGGCCACAGTTTTAAAACCTCTGCCTTAGTCCATCGTTTATTCCGGTTCCATTTCCACTGTGTGTGTTTCTCCTCCTTGCATACTGGGACAAGTGAATTGTTGTGAGAGCAAGCTACAGTCAAGTAACATAGATGAGATGATAGGATCACAGAACTGTAGCATTGGAAAGGATCATCCAGTCCAACCCTCTGGAGAATAGACATTCTGTTGTGGAGGCTGTAACCTAGTTTTAAGACGCCATTTGACACCTTGCTTATATATCTGAGTTTCTAGCGCTGGGCACATGTCAATCTAAGTGATGCACACGGCCCTTCTGTTACCAAGAGTTCTGTTACCTTCTGCTACAACCTGGCTCCAATATATCTAAAGAGCCCCTGTGGACCCTTTACTCTGCAAGATCTACAAGAAGGACTAAGAAACTACTTATTGCTTTATGAAAAGCATTTGCATTCCGCCTTTCATTTCATGGAGAAGCTTGTGTGGGAGACGTGTGTTTTTAGTTGCCAGTGGGAGCATCTCCAGATGTAACTCATTTCACACAAGTTGGGTGCCTGCATGGAGGAGGTCTTCCCTGCAGTACCATTTAGCGGACCTAGGGAACCTGTGGCACACTTAACAGGACCTCCTCCATAGATTGCATTTATATTAAATTTCGCCCAGTTTCTTATTTGGCAGAAATTCAGATTCAGCTTTTACATTGCCCTTGGAAATGGACTTGGAGGAATGCTTAATGAAGAGCCTGCCAACAAACCCGTAAGGCGAGTAATGTTAAGCATAAACTCAAGGTGCCATTTCATATTTCAGTAATGGGTGGATGAAGGTGAGAAAGAGATTTAAGTGGTTGGGAGATAAGCCCTAGCAGCTGGTTTGTGGATTCCTTAAATTAAATTGCAAAAAGCAAAACAAAGAAACAACAACATGCACACATACTTTAAGACATACCATTGCATAAAGGAAAATTGTTATGTGTGTGTATGTGTAATCTGTGTTGTGATTCTTTTCTTCTTTTATACTTCACATAACTATGACAGTTTTTATTCACAGAGGATAAAGACCTGCCTCACCCCTTTTTTAATGCAAAGAGATCTCTGGCAAGCGCACCTTGTATGCATCTCTATTCCGTTGCTTAACAATAGGCTACATAGTGTACAGAACCAGAGAATGGGCTCGAGAGCAGCTAAGTGCTCCATCACATGGGGCCATCCCTGCCTTCCCTGAATGGCGTTCCTAACGCCAACACTCCAGATTCAATATCTATGCTTTTCCCTTTCCAGAAACAAAACTGGGGAAAGCAGTCTTTGAAAGGAGGTTGAAATGGAACTCAAACAAGAAATAAATGCTCCCGTTTTAAATCAATAAAGTAGCTGCAAACACTAGCCCACTTGAAAACACACACCAAAACAACTATTATCAAGGACATGCACAAAACTAAAGGCATCCTCTTGCCCGAGGCACAGCTCTTAGGAATTGTGAGAAGGGCTAAGTACAAACGGAAGTATGGGGGTGAGGGGCGCTTTGGCCCTCTGAAAATAGCAGGCATTAAACTGGCGGCTCTGGTCAGTGGACCACTTCACACGTAAAACGGACTCCCTATAGCCAAAGGCAGCTCCTTTACAAATGTACCTCAATGATGCATATTTGCAAGCAGGTGTTTATGGCATTCCCTTCTAAAACTGCCCTGTGTAAACTGGCCTTCTGGACTGCCTGCACCGCAGCTATCAGTGCAAACAAGGGGACCCATCATTCATCTTTGGCTGATACGCCACCTATACCTGGAAGCTGCCTTAGACCAGATCAGACCATCGGGTATTTTTTCCACTGACTGGGGGCAGGTCTCCAGTGTTCCAGGAAGGAGCCTTTTCCCAGTCCTTACCTGGAGCTGCTGGGGATTGAACTTAAGACCATCTGCATGCAAAGCAGATGCTCTTCCAGCTGAGCTATGGTTGCTCACCTACCGCTGGGAGATCAAGGCACTGTTGTGCATGCTTTGGTGGCTTCCAGATTAGAGCCCTCTGAAGCCCTCCACATGTGCTTGAAGATAGTTTGGAAACTTCAGCTAGCGGAAAATTTAGCAGCAGCAGCAGGCCACCTGCAGACAGATGTATGCGACTGTTCTTAAATATCACCTATTTTGAGACATCTGCCCTTAAAATCCTAGCGGTTTAGAGTCCTTGTGAACTCTTAAGATCTTCTGATGAAGACCTGTTGCTGATGCTCTACGGAGAGGTTGGATTCACTCCCAAATAGGGGTAGCATCTTCTCAGTCGCAACTCTGGTGTTCTGGGAACTCTTTATGAGACAGGTGAATAGTTTCTTCCCTGCTGTCTTCCAAAAACTGAGCTAAAATGTTTATTTTTCAGAAAGCCTTTAGAAATCAGTTGGTTTGTTATGCTTTGTTTGTTTGCTGGCCTAAGCTCATGCTAAAACTGTTGTGGCTTTTATCATTATCAATGTTTGTTAGTGTACAGTTTTTGTGATTAAAATCGTAAGCCGCTGCGCAGGTGTTTTTTTTAAAAAAAGAGACACACATGTGATAACACAAACAAACAAACAAACAGCTGTACTTCCTGGTGGGCATCCTGTGATCTGTTGGGACACTTCCCTGGCACGTGCTGCAGTGCCTCTATAGCTGTGTAACACCAAAGCAGACTCTCATCATATATCAGGCTGTTAACTGCAAAGCATTATCAGAAGACACAAGGTCCCAAATGAATGTGCGACTGTAGAGCTGTATGCATAATTATTTACATTTTTATCCTGTTTTTCTTCCATCATAGAATTCAATATGATGCACATCTCCCATCCAGGCAGTGACCAGACCCAGATGTGTTTAGTCTCATTGAGTGGCGGCCTTCAGACTGCACCCTAGAGCTCACAAAGTCAGAGGAGACCAAGTCAAAGGACACACACAAACACACATGACTCCAAAACATCCCGTGTAACAAATACCTTGCATCGGCTTATCAGGAATTGGAAATGATCAGGACAGTTCACATCTGATCCAAGGAGAGAGACTGTAGAACTGGTATGCAGAACCAAGAGCATCTTTCGCCACAGTGAGATGAGCAAAACAGAAGCAGACTCTCACTACATACAGGGAATATGTATGCAGAATTGAACTGCTGGTTGGTATTGGAGGGGAGCAGTAGGGGCTGGAACCATATTGAATTATCTTAAATTTACTGATTCTGCAGAGGAGAAATTAAATCTTGGCAGGCATAATTCTTCCATCAGACTCCTTCCTAGGTCATGCTAGCCTCTGCTTAGGTGAGTTATCACCAATCTCCACCTTAAATCCCTTTCCACCAGAGTCTTCACAAGGAAATTTCAGGGTGGGAACTGACCAACCTTGGTTCCCCTCTTCTTTTCCCCTTCCTTCAATTCAGTTCTTTGACAGAGGATAGACCATATGAGTGATGCTGTGGGCTGATAATCTTCAACAAAAGATGTTACAACTTCTGCACTTTCAGGTCTGACCTACCTCTCGAAGATCTGGGGCGCTTGGCCTGGACACAGTATACTGTGATGTTAAAATGTGCAAAGGCAATGCAATTTTAGAAGGTATGATCAGTTGCAGGGAGAGGGAAAGGGCATGGATCATCGGAAGAAAATAGAAGCTAGAGGGAGCTGGTATAGATCTTGTAGAGAGGAAAAAGGAAACCTTAACTATGTGAAGGGCACAAAATCACATGGGAGGGAGAAGAGGGGAGGGGGTAGGGTGGATGGGGAAGCCCCATGGGCCATCTCTGACCTACAGGCCAGAGGCAGCTCCCCCACAGCTGACAGACTGTGCTAATTTCCCTGTGGATACCACTGGGACTGATCCTGATTCAAATGGAACTTACTCTCACAGGTAAATGTGCATACGATTTGTAGGCAGACTTTGGCTTGATTATGCTCAGACTTCAGAGCACAATCCATTGGGTTTCCTGCAAAAGCACCACTGAAATTAATGGGAAATATGAAATATATTATTTGGAGGGAAGCAACAACCAGGGGGAATTTAGAGTTCTTCTCTAGAGGCATAAATGGGTTAGGAAATCAAATGTCAAGGATGCAGGAGGTTGTGTTCATGCATTCCTTCCTACAATCTGGCCAAAGCTGTTTTAGTCCCCACCCCCCTGTTGTTTGTAAGAGGGAAGAGTGGCAGGGATATGTTTTTTCCCCCTCTTCAAAAAGTGCTACAACAATTGTCATGATATACTGGTTGTCATTACCATGTTCCTTCTTCCTGACTGACACACTCTTTGAATGAGACACAGACAGACAACATGATTAAAACACTGGCTGGCACAAAGATGCCATAACAGATTCTCTGACTGACACAGCCATCTGATTATTATGGAGCCTGGAGGCATGGAACACCTCCACATGACCAAGGCAGTTGTGCTTGACATCCTGCTCCTTGCTGATCCACATAGTGCAACGGGCAACCACACAATTTCTCTAGTACCCATTCAGCAGGCACACCAAGAAGGCTGACATGTGGCACGGCCACCACTTTGTGCAATTCAGACGCACAGGGACCTGATTTGTTCCCGAGGCAGATGATTATTTTATGACAAACCCCAATGCAATGGACATTGATCCTTAAAACCATTACCTTATTTCCACACACTTGCATGTGCCCTGCACACATTTTGATCGCCTGCTGTGCAGCAGATGTAACCACAGCAGTAAATCCTGGGCCATCACAAAGAAATCTTTGCCTGACACCTCCGATTAGCCTGACCAGCCGATCTCTGTGCTTGACAGCCTCAACAATTCCTTCCCAGTTACTGGCTCTGGCAACCAGCTGCTGCCTTCCTCAAACGGAGGATCTGCCATGGGGAGGCTGATTCCCCCATCCATTGAAGCAGTACGCCATTGAAGTCATCCTGACAGGCCCCATGGTCAAGTCACCAATGGTCTCACCCACTCTCTCCTTCGCCCACCCACAGCCTTGCCATTACATCACATCCTTGGTCCACTGCTAAGCATTTTCTCTTATAAGAAGAGGAGACACACACACACAGCATAATGCTGATGCAGACTCTCCTTTGACTTAGGGTAGTTCTGTGTGCTTTGTCCCTCGCCAGTCCACCCTCTGCAAGCAGTCACACGTTATGCTCGCTGCAAAGACCTATTAGGTGGCTTAAGGAGAGCCATTGGTCTTCCGACAGCTTCTTCTGCCAAACAGAATGGGAATTGTTGTACATTAAAGCACGCAAGCATCATAAAATCATCTAAGTCTCATTTATACAGCAGATAGCTGGAGAGTGAGCTTGGAAACCAGCTTGGGGGGGTCACACATCATAGAGAGAGTGCTTGACCCTACCTTAGACGGAATTCCCTTTCTCAGATAAATCACCTGTTTAGGGACAGAGGATCTCACGTGTGAATGTGTCCTGTGCTTTACATAGGCAACATCCCTCCCTCCCTTCCCTTTCTCTAAGACCACACCCAACTGGGCAAACCCACCTTGGCGCCCCCCCTACCAGAGCCGCCCCTCTCTTTGGGCTGCTTACACACACCCAAGCCCCACACAGTCCCTCCTTCTCCCTCCTCCTGTACCAGCGGCAGTTTCTCCTTCACAGCATCCATCCACAATCGCCTTCCTACCACCCAAACCGCCTCCCTTGGGGACTCCCGCTTCTATCCTTCATCTTACCCCTGGTGGGAGCTCACCTCCACAAATCCTTCCCTCCTCACCTGTTTTGCCTCACTGTTTACGCCCCCCTCTCCCCCTCCTCCCAGTGACTTCACTCCCCGCACCCGACTTCCCTAGACCACACGACCAACGCCTTCTGCTACCAAGGACAGCTCCTTGCAACCCTTTTCTAACTCCGAGACGCGCCTGTATCTTCTACTCCTCGCATCCAACCCGGTCCCCAGCTTCAAAGGGGAAAAGCAAGTCCTCTTCTTCAACCTGCCAGCCATTCACTGCCCCCCTGCTCACTAAAACCCCATTCAGAGAGACTTATGGGGAAATCCTGCACGGGTCTACTCAGTAGCTGGTCCCACTGAGTTCCTCGGGACTTACTTCCAGGAAAGAGAGTATCGGGTTGTAGCTTTAGCAAAGGCTCGCCACAGCCCACCCCTCTGCCCCCTTCGTCTCCTCCTAAACACCCACTGCCCTCCCCCCTCCATTTATCTCCAACTTCCGTCTCACGCCCTCCTTCCTTCACACCCATTTCTGAGCAAGGCTGAGCCAGAGCTTCTCCACACTCAGCCTCCCTCTCCCACCTCCCTTAGCCAGCCCGTCCAACTCTTCGACCCATTTCTCGTTAAGGAACACAGGCGCGCGCGCGTATACACGGGATCGAGACCCTCCGACATCTCCCCCAGCCCCAAAACCAGCTGTTTTCTTCCTCCTCCCTCCCGCTGCCGCCCTCCTTTTCCTCGCTGCACCTTTCCCTCTCCAGTCCCTTTATCCCATTTCTGTGCCCATAGATGAAACCAGCAGCCGGCGAGGGGATTCGGTTGCCCTACATATCCACCCCCCACCCACTACTCCCTGCTGCCCCGCCCTCACTTCGCATCCCTACACCCCCACCGCCAGATGCCTCCGTGAGCCCCCCATCTTCCAGCCCCACCATTTCCATCGCCACCCCTTGGAGAGTGCCCCCCCGCTCCCCTTTTCCCGTTCACACCCATCTCCGCCTGCTCCCTTCAGCCCCCCCCGTCTCCCCCGCCCGCTTGCCGCAGCACCGTTATCCTTTAAGACAAATAGATAAAGAGGGTTTGGGGGGGCTAAGGATGGACCAAGGCAGGGTCTCTCTTCTCCTACCTGGGCTCCCGGCTGTGTCCAGTTGGCAGAAGGGGGTGGGGTGGGCAAATGGCTGGCAGGATTAGTGCCCCCCCTTACGCACACATCACACCCCTCCCTTTCTGCTGTATCCCTCCTTCTCTCCCCTCCCCTTCTCTCCCTGGCTTCGGAGGGAGGAATAGATGGGGAAATGCAGCCTCCGCCCCCCTTCCCTCCCCCCCACAAACCCACCCCTCTTACTTGCTCACTCGGCAGCTTTGTCTGCAAAGACGCCCCTTCCCCTCCCTTTGCACGAGTGTGTGCATCAAATGGTCTAATCGACCCTGCTTCTTCAAGGCAAGCTGGTTGAGGTTGGGGGGAGGGAGTTGTGGTTTGGGTTTTATGAAGAATCAGCTGATCGGGCGGGGGCAAGACATTAGCAGAAATGGTGTTGGTACTGGAAGCGTCCCACATATTCTGTATCTCCTCTCCACCTCAACCCCCCTGGAATAGACCAAAACTTCATGTCAGCAAGCCACAAGTGCAATGAGCATCAAAGGACTAAGAAGTCCCAGCACCGCCACCATTGCCTCCTCCTCAGGGATTGCCCAGAGGCACAAATGTGCGCTGAATAAAAATGGGAGCTGGCAGATGGGGCTGAAGGGTGCCTGGGAAGACCCCATGGGTGGGACCTGAGGGTGCGGGACTGAAGGGGACCGCAGGCTGGGCGAAGGAGGGAAACTGTGCCCTCCACCCAGCTGAGCTCAGCAAGATGATGTGGGGAATTTTCTGCACCAATCTGTTTTTGGGGAATCCTGGCTCCACAGCCCTCCCTCCTCCCCCTCCGGGAGAAAATTATATAAAATCTCTCGCTTCCAGTTTCTCATCCATTATTTATAACCTGCCCCGGCTGCTGCACAAGGGAGGGAGGAAAGAGCCCACAATTAACCTGCCTCGCTCACACCATGCCACAGCTCCAGTGCAGCATTTGCTGTCTACCAACCAGCAAAAAACCCCACTGCCACTGCTGCCACCGCCGCCACCACCACCCAGATGTCCAGCCACAAGGCATTTGCTCCTTCTCCTAGAAAGGGGAGTTTGATGCAGCAACCATGAAAAAAAGAGAAGAGATCCTCCTGGGTAATCACAGAAAGCAAGGAAGTGCATTGGGAAACCCACTTAGAGCTGAAAATTGCAACCTGGTGCCAGATCCATTAGACATTTTAAATAGGCATAAAGGTCCTGAGAGGAGATTCTGATGGTGTAAGGAGGTAGGCAGAGCAAGAGAGACCAGCAAATGTAATACTTCCCCCTTTACACTCAAAGTGACACAGAAACGGTCTAACAATAAACAGACAAGAGTGTGGATTTTTTTCCTTCAATGTTTTTACTAAAATCTTTTGCTGTTGAGACACAGATCCAGAAAGGGTGCATGGGAGAAGGAAAGATGTGGGGTGAGGGAGGGAACAGGGAGAAAGGATAGATGGACACAGCTTCATTACATTTTGTGTTAACAAAAAACGAAAACAAAAAAAAACCACAAAGGGAGTTTATTTTAAATGTCAGGGGATTTTTTTTTTAATATATATAATACAAAAAAGCGAGGACTCTAACCCCAAACTGTGGGGGTTGCATGCAACAAGAAAGGTTTTCAGCGGGTGGGGCATCAATGCTTGGTGTGGGGGGCTGACACGCTTGGAACACGAATCACGAGAGAAGCTCAGGGAATGGAGCATTAAAACAGACACCATGAAAGAATGAGGTGCTTGGGCAAGGAGGGAAATTCAGAGCAGTTCCTCAGCAGGGGAATGGAGGGCACTCCACACTGAAGCCATGGAGAAATCCAATCCAATCCTTTTCCATCCCATCCCACTGCAGCCCCCTGCCACCCCAGACTTGAGCTCCTGGCACCTACAATGCCCCTCAATCCTGATTTTCATCCCTCTTCTAACTTCTTTTTGGGTTTCCCAAGTTCTGTCAACCCCTCAACCAACACAACTCTATTCCCAACTCTGGCCTCCCCCCGCCACCAGCTGCAATCTTGCCCCACAATTTTGTCCCACAGGTATCCCATCCTTGAGCCCTCCTCATTCTGTTCCTGAGCTGAGCTTGTTAAGTCTTTCCTGTCCCATTGTCTCACTCTTTTTGTATAGCTGATTTAGGGGCAATAGGGAGCACTGCTGGAATGAGCAAGAGACTTATGGTGACGAAGACTGTAGCTATTTGGCTAAGGACAGGAGAGGGTGCATGGGTTTATGGGACTCTTGTGGGGCTAGACGTTAAGGGGACTAGAGCAGGGGAGTCAATAAAACGAGGGTGCTCTCTGAATGCACACACAGCCCTTCCATGGCCCTCTGAACAAGAGCTGCTGCTTTGGCTGGGCAGGTGCTTTCCCAGCACCACTATTTTACGAGCACAGGCAGGGGAGAGAATGAATGAAACCACCATTAAATTAAACACCCAAATATGGCCACTGCATATTCATCTGGGCTTGGAGGCTCCAGCTGCCAGTGAGGGAGAGGGATGGGACTGGGAGGGTCGGCTTCTGCCTCCCCACTCCCAGAAATCACCAGGGCTGGGTGGGGAGGGCTTGGCTCACAACCGAAGCTCCCTCCATGGGCAGCACCGTGACGGCGGCGGGAGGTGGGGCCGAGACGGCTGCCGCGAGGGGGCAGACCTCACCCGTACCTGTGGAGGAAGACAGATGTACAAAGTCAAAGGGGTTTCTCACCCTCAGAAATTTAATTAACACAGTTGTGTAGCCTGCTTCCTCCCACCCTCCCCCTGCTGTAAGCTGGAGTAGAAGACACAGCTGGTTTCACGTAGTAAGAAAGAGATGGATGCAGCTGCCCCTTCCTCCAAAGCACCATATTTATCCATGTCCTGTAGGGAAGTTCCCTTCCTTAAAAGGCTGAAAAATAAAGCAAGGTTGAAAGAACTCACTAGCTCTAACTTGAAATTAACCGCAGATAATACAACTAACTGGGGTTTATCACTTAAATTGTTGTCCTAATGCATAATAAAGGTTAAACTTTCACAGGAAAGTTTTCTCAGGGGACTCCAGCTCTCACAGTTCTCCAAGATGCATGATACATAGGGAATACATCCATAGCAGTGAATGGGGCTAGAAAATCTCCCACTACATTACAGCATCTCATGGGAATAGATTCACTTACTGCTGCCCCATGATCAGTTGTGTCTCAAAAGCAACAGTTACGCCTAATGTTGGACAGGAGACAAAGTAATGAAGGGCAAAAAGGAGACAAAACACCCATCAATGTGCCCTGTCTGTTGCTAACTTCAAAATATTAATAGTAGTCTATATTTCTTGTTAAAAGTACAAGAACTCCTTTGACTTTGGAAAAATAAAACAATATTCAGATAAATAAAACATTCAAAGGATTATGTGCACCTTTTAATTTTTAAAAAAATGAAAGCTCAATCCTGCTTCTATCCTCTTTAGATGAACCTGCAAAAGGATCCTTAGTCACACATAAGCATCCAAACCAAGATAGGCACTGCAATATGCAGGCACTTAAACACTGGCAGAGGGATGCTAATTTAGGATGCAGCCGCCCCAGGGGAGATGGGGTTCTCCGTCTCCCACTGAGAATACAAGGACACGTGGGTACCCTATGGGACAGATGGGCCTCCCCTCCCCATTCCCTAGGACAGAAGGAAGCGGCTCTTGCCTGGTGGCCCGGCCAGCGTTTCACCGCAGCGGTTGGCCCTCAGTGGCCGCAGCCCCTTCTCCTGCGTGCGTCTGCAGATGCCCGTTGAGCTGAGCCGGGGTCTTGCAGTGCACGCCACACAGCTTGCAAAGGAAACGCTCCAGCCGCGGGGCGGCCAGTCCGTGGTCCTTGACCGCGTGGACCCTGAGGTAGGCCGCTGTGGTGAACCCTACGGGAGGGGGAGAAGGACAAAAACCAGCCAGGTCAGTGTCCGGTCTACTGAAAACGTACTCCAGTGTCCTGTAATGCTTGGCTGTGCCTCACCCTAGAGGCGGCTGCGTCTCAACATCTAGTGAAAGATCCATTGCGACAGGGCTCCCTGGTGAAGAGGCAGCTTCTCCACCCCAGAGATGGCTGCATCTTGCCACCAGGTAAGCTATCTCTGTATGAACAACAGACCCCACTCTAGGGGCAGCTGCATCGCGGCATTGAGGAAGTAAAGGTGAGGAACTTAAGACTCAACACAAAAATATCAGAGCTGTAATCCTAGACCAGAAGTAGCTGGATGAGAAGAAGAAAGCAGATTTCCTGCTCCCGCCCCACAGCAAATCTATGTTATCTATATTCTCTGCAACATGAAATATTTAAGCCATAAAAGAATTATAAGAAGTGATTAATAGTAAACTGCTGCTTTATGCTTCTGAGAATCCAGTTATCTACAATATGTTTAAGATTTTATTTTAAATATATGGGTAAAGCATAATGGATTATGCACATTATCCAGTGAGATAATCCAGGTGTTTCCACAAAGGAAAAGCAGATTGTTATTATTATTGTTTTTTTAAAAACTGTTTCTTACTAACCTGCACATTATTCAGCCTATTTTGACTTATGTTTTAAGGATATTGTTTTCTATTTAAAAATAATATACCCATCTAAGTATGTCAGATGGGTAAAGTTGTAACACACACAATTCAAATATTAGCAGTCCTCTTTTCATACTGTTTAGTTATCTACCTGCACATTGGATTCCACCTATATATGGAGAATTAGCAAATCTAACTATATACAATAAATCATGTCATCCTACACTTACACAGTACAGTGAAGCTATTTAAGCCTGTGGCAAAATGGTACTAAGGAGATACTCGGACATGTAAATGGAGAAAAAAAGATTAGGAGCCAGCTGTCTTGCCAAGCAGTTTTCTTGTTGAGATAAAGCAGGAAGTCTGAGCAACAGCTGCCGGCCAACAAAAATAAAATGCTGCCTGGTCTCAACATTGGTCCTTCAAATGCAGCTTGTTTCAAAGGCATTATTATATATTCTTATCAAGTCAGTCCTCTTCTGCAATTCTGTATTTAAGGCTCACAGAGAGGAAGTTTGGCCTCACATGTAAAGGATTCAAATCCGGCTGACTACTTCTAAAGCAGGCATGTGCAACTTTGACTTACCAAGATGAATGCAGCCCACCTACCACATACTGCGGCCTGTCAGTTGGATAATAAACCAATATAAGGCCCTGGTGGGTCACCATCCATGGCTGTTCAGCTGAGCTGAAGTTAGTGAGAACCTGGCAGGTCTGTTTGAAAGCTTGTGGAAAACCAGCCACATCTAATTCAAACTGCAAATGAAATAACCTGAAGCAGGTCTCAAGCATGACTCTGGCTGATATGCTGAGGAACCATATTATAAAGGAGCAAGCACTTATGCAAGTACCAATTAAAGTTGGAATCCTATGCAAATGCAGCTGGGAGTAAGCTCCATTGAAACCTAATTCTTACAAAACCTACATCAGATTGTACTGTGCGACTGCTAGCATTCCCAGAAGAGACGGTTAAGTATTTTTCTCTCCCTTCCAGATACTTTCACAGAGAGCCCTGTCCTCTTACCTTTGTTGCACAGTTCGCAGACATGATTCGGCCCTTGGCTGTGTACTTTCATGTGGTCCGTGATGTAGGCGGCGCTCAGCATCTTTCCACACACGTGACATGGCACCTTCTCCTCATGACGGACTGTGTGAGCACGCAGCCGATCCTTGGTGGCAAAGGCTGCTTCACATGTCTGCAGAAACAGAGAGAAAGGAATCATGGCGAAAATGTTTTTGCCTACAGCAGCCCACTTCCCAAGGCAACCAAAGACTACGGGACTTGAGAACGTGCAAAGTTCCCTTTAAGTACAGGGGACCTGACATTGCCTTCTCTTGCACCAGAAACTCAGGCAGATTATTGGGGACAAATTAAATAATGGGAGGGAGTAGAGAGTTGATACAGCAATACTGTCAGTGGGGGAAGGTACCTCACATTTGAAGGGCCTCTCTGTCGAGTGGACTTGCCGCACATGGCTGTTCAAATGGTCCGGACTGTGGGAGGCAAGAAATATTCAAGTAAGTGATCTGTTCTTGAGGAATTCTCTTTCATTCCCTGCTATAAAGGTCCATGTCCCCCCATTATTAAATTCATCTCCTTTTCCTTCTCAATCCCAACTATGTTGCTATAGTTTCATGTCTCCTAAAGCTGGGTTGTCCCTGTTTCTTTTACTGGTAAAGTTTTTCTGCTTTTAACAGATGCACAGGAATATGCTTCTTTTGGAAAAGCTGTTCCTCTTAAACGCCAGTTAGCTTGCAGCTGTTAACAGTAAAATAACTCTGTCATTAAAAAGTGCCAGTTATAATTTTAACAGGCTTAATTCATCATTTTCAAGCATGCACTGATGTGAGTCTAGGCAAGATGAGTGAGGGAGACTATGTGCCTACAGAAATGTTCTTGGGGAATTCATCCACTCAATGGTTTATTAATTAGCCACAGATTAGTCACAGATACTGATAAAACCTAAGCTGGAAAACAATTCAGAAAAGGATTTGACACTCAAGAATCCAATTGATTTACAGGGAACCCTCCATTAGAAAGCAAGCTGAAAATAGAAACTGTAAACTTAGAACTGAGAGATGCTGACATGTTTTAATCTCTTTTTAGTTTAGAGCTGATTTTAATTTTTTTTAACGTTTCTTATTTTTAACTAGCTTTGTTAATAATATTCTTGTAAACCTTTTAGAGGGTTTGTTACAATAAAATGGCATATAAATGTTGTTAAATAAATAAAATAAAGGTTGTCACTTATTTGAAAGGGTAAGAAAGTGCAGTGTTGGGAGCAACCTTGAATATATATAGATAGCTTGCCTAGAGGAAATTTCTACAGCACATGTGTAATTTATATGTGCTTTCTGCTGCTAAAATTACAAGCCCTTGTGGTGATGAAAAGAAATTCTGGATATATTCAAGTAGTTTCTACCCAACGAAATAAACAAAAAGGGTGTAGAAAACAGTGTATTCTAGTCAGGTGTTAACGGTCCTCTGTATTTTCTGTAGTTCAGTGTGACTTGAGTGTATATGTATCAGACCATACCAACACTCATATTTTAAAGACCTACTTTAAAAAGGTTGCATTTCTAAAGTTATTTCTTTAAAAGTTCATGTTTACTCCTTTATTGTTGCAAGTCAGAAGCCTGACTCTATGGCCTCTAGGAGCTGTGAAGCCTGGAATGTTACTAGAATTTTTTTTAAAATAGGTTAAATAAATTTGTAATTTTATGTTGTGAACCACCCTGATATCTATGGGTATTGCTTCCATTTCTACAAGGGGCTGTCAGATCAGAAAACTTCAGCACCTTCTTTTTATGTTCATGCTTTTACTGGGGGCTTACAAGAACATCTAAAGCCCATGGGGCAATTTGTTTCTCTGGAATTTTCTTTGTATTTTGAGGACAGGCTGTTCTTGGTATTCCATGCAACTGCAGGTCCACACAAAACCTGGGCCAAGTGTAGGAATTGAGATGGCCTAACTTATTTTAAAGAGCAAGTGCATTCTTTCTACAATTGTACAGAAAAGCTGGCAAATGTAAGGGCAATTCTGGTAAAATCTCAGAAACAAAGGGAGAGAAACCTGGTCACAGAGCCTTTCTGATCAGGCTGCAACTTATCAGTGTTCTATGCTGCCAGCATGGTGACAATGCAATTACTAAGTACATTTGCAAATGTTTAATTCTGGAAATGTGAGGTTTTCTTTCCCCACAAGCTGACCTCATTGTCTGTTGCTTGATCTAACAGCCAATTAATATGCAAAGAAATTCCATAGATCTGGCACTTCTTGAACTGTACACTTCAGACTGCAGGTGAGGGACTACATGTTTGAATACACCTTCCTGTTAAAACAAATCCCTTGAATGAAAAGCTAGCATGTCAAGAAAGCTTTTAGTTTCTTACTAACATGCTAGTTCAGTATATGCAGGGATTTGTTTTTACACGGAGGAACAATGAAACACGGATACGTCTGTTGAGTTGACAAAGTAAGGAGAAGTCTTATGCTATTTCTACATGTTTGAATCTGACCTGAAATGGGCAATATTAAATTGTGGGGTTATATTTACATTTTCCTGTTTCTTTTCAATACTTTATGAAAGCCACTTGTTGCACTTTTGTGAAGGTTCTTTGAATGTCTACACTTACCTCCCATGGGTGTTGATGCCTCAATCCCAGTTAGAAGCCTCTTGTTAATGGTTGCATTTTATAGGTAGTCAGAAAGAAACACTGCCTAACACTCTCTGGTATTATAATACAAAAGTACTAGTGGCAGGACTGGGGAAATTTTCTGGATTGGGTTATACACTGCCAACTTAAAATAAGTCAGTGAACCACAATTGAGAAAATATGTGCTTTCACATGCCTCCCCTTTCCTTTCTTTCTGTCCTGTTTGTTCAGCTGGATTGGTACGTAAGAACTGCAATGAGTTAGCTGCTCCTAGGAATGGAACTGGTGAGGGATTTGGATGGATTTCCCATGCGGTCTTTACTGTTCTGGAGTCCTCCCACAGAACCAGCACCAGCTGGTGTCCCTTAGAAAACCTCTTATATGGCCAAGGTAGTCAAGATTAGGCTTGGAGGAATTTGAGTTATGGCAAGAGCTGCAAAGGGAAGGGATCCTGAGGCGCCCCCAGACATCCCTCAATCAGTTAATGTTAGCTTCTAGTGTAATAGCGCCATCCTAACTCATACTGGTTCAGGATGTTGTCTGCTAAAGCTTATTCTCTATCACAAGGGGAAACACCTTTTCTAAAAGCCAACCTTCCTCACGTAAGCCCTGCAACAAGTCCCCTTTGAACTGCCTCCTCCCTGCACCCTTGAATCCCTCGTACCGAGAGAAACTCTTCCCACAGTGGCTGCAGATGTACGGCTTGTGCACAGCACCATCATGCGAACGGACGTGATAGCTCATGCGGTCCTTCCGCTTGAATCGCTGCTGGCAGACAGGACACTGGTAGGGCTTCTCGTCTGAATGGGACAACTTATGCCGATTGAGATGGTAGACGTCCCGGAAGGCTTTCCCACACATCTCACAAGCATGGTTCTTCCGGATGCGTTTGCCTGATGCTGTAGTGGTCACCAGCCCTGCTCCTGACCCTGCTGTGTTTCCTGCACCTTCGGCAGGGGCAGGTGTTGCTGCTGTTGTGCCACCGATGGCGGAAACACTAAGCAAGCTGAGGGGGACCATGGTGGGCATCTTCATGGTCGTGGGTCCAGCGCGAGAAGCTTTGGCCCCCGTATGAATGGCTTCATGGCGCCGCAGGTTGTAGCCATTTTTGAATTCTTTAGCACACAGGGAGCAGATGTAGGGACCTTTGCTCTTGGGCTTCTTCTGGGCATCACCTTGCTGTTGCGTAGCAGAAGCTGCCTGGGAGGTTGGGGCTTGTGTAGTTTGAGAGGATGGTGCTACCTGCCCACCACCACCCTCAGAGGCAGAAGGTTGCTGCTGCTTCAAAGCGGCCGTGTCTACTGTGGAAGCAGATGGTGCAGAGCCAGTAGCGGCAGCAACCACAGCAGCAGCAGCAGCTGTTTCCTGGGCTGCAGCCAAGACTGGAAGGAGATCCACTTGGAGGGATTCAGCAGGGGTGGCTGTCTGCTGGGGAGGGGCTGTTGTGGTGGCAGTCTGAACAGAAAAAGAGATTTTATACTTGAAAAATACAGTAATGAACAATGAATTCTGAAAGCCTACAGTATTCTAGTAACTTGTAGAGTGGATGGAATAGTAAATTCCCATTTCAAAAGCATCCATCTCTCATAAACTAGCTTGAACTCATCTTAGGTGGGGGAAGATTAAGATGGGCTGGATTATTATTTACCAAATGTTATGGGAGGAGAAGCAGGAATACTCGCTACAAACACTCACCAGCTCCACTGAATAGTTAGAATTCAAGTTAAAGACCTGGGCATCTCAGAGTTGGAGAGCTCTGCTTTTACAGATACCATGCCCTGCAAAGTGAAGACTTTGGTATTTCTTACTAAGTCTGGAAAATCTAGCTCAGTACAGTGCCATCAGCTTAAGTGTACTGGAAGCTTCACCCTAACTCCAACCACAGAAAATACTAGCCCATTTGCTCTCATGCATCTGCACGTTTACAGGTGGGAGAAGGACAACCAGGTTCCAGTTTGTTAAACATTTCTTGCTGGTTGCCTGTGTGTCAAAGGCAACTGGATGATTGGCTATTTACAAACTTGGATTACAGAAACTTTATCTGGGATAGCTTTCTGCCTATCTTAAATGTGTACCCTCCATTCTAATAATACTAATAATATCATCATAAGCCTTTAAAACTGATGCCAGTGAATGGTGTGGAAACCACAGCATGCCTGAAGCTAATCAGGTGTGAACCTGATCATTCTCTTGGATGGGAGTTCCGAGTACGAGCAGAATATAAAAAACACATTAGAAAAGAAATTCAGCCTACAATTCAGCTTACATATATGTCTGATGCAGCTTTGTACTATTTAAGTACTAGCCTGGTAGCCATCAGTGAGAAGGAATTCTATGCAGGCAAGTGAGCAGTCTCAGGAAGGAGTTTTCCATCCCTCCTGTGCACCTACCAGAGAAATGCAGCTAACTGATGCAGGAGGGACAAAGCTCTCTGTCCATCTGCCATCCCTAGCGTGCTAGTAAAAACATGGCAGAAAAGCAATGTTTGTAAACTTATTTACAAGGCTTTTAGAAAGAAGAAATGCATAGATTTGAGCCAACAACCATTTAGACACCAATTTGTTCTTATTCCTTAGCCAAAATATTTCCCAGAATTTTCAATCAGGAAATAAATCACAGGATTAGAGAAAAATGTGTTTGGAACCTTTTAAAAATCTAGAAAAGTATTCTTTTAAAAATGCTAACAATTTAGAAATCAATTTCAATGAAAATATGTTCAGTCCATATATGGCAATCCATGGGTCCAAACTAAGCCATTTTACTTTGTGATTTTCACATTTACAAAGAGAGATTAATTTTTTTCACTCCAAATTCTACAAACCAAAAATTACTTCTTCACTGAGAAGCTTTTGTGCATTAGCTATATAAGGTGATGAACATAATTTAACTCCAGGCAACAAAGAAATACATAAGGACCCATGGTGCTGGCTTGCCTGGCTAGAAGACTTTCTAGTGCCCATCACCATCAGAAAACAGTAAGGACAACTACCATATCATGAAGTGACAGTCTTTCTTACATTCTATAGATGCGAAGTTAAGAAGAGACTTGAATTCAAATTCCTGTTCAGTCACTGATTTGTGACCAAGGTCAAGTCATATGTGTCAGAAACTAGGCAGAGTTACTTGGAAGTAAATTATGCTTTGTTTTGTATTGCTTATTCCCAGGAAAATGTGTGAAGGACTAACCCCTTAATCTCTGTACACTGGTCAGAAAAATGGAACAAGGGATGCTATCAGGAAAAATGACAAACCACTACATAAACCTAAGTTCAATCTAGCATTTCAGAGATCTGTTATTATTCAAAAATACAGTTGTCTTGGTTATGTTCCTTCACGACCTTTTAAATTCAATTTAGAGCATTATCTGTAAGTGAAGTTCAAATAGTTCTTTCTCTGGTAGAGGTTTGTCAGCATCCAAGTCTGGGTAGCTTCCAAAACAACCAGCTATATGCAACATTAGTTATACTCAAAACAGATCCACTGAAATCAATGAACCTAAGTAACACCAGTTGATTTCACTGGGTCTACTCAGGGTATGATTTAATTAGATATTACCCAATAAAACTTTGATTCAGATTGCTTTTTAAAGTATAAAGTTAACCAGGGAAGGGCTGACCTTAAACTGCAATCCTACGCCTACTGACCATGGTGACACTTCTGAAAAAATGTGTATGGGATAAAGCTGCCTATCAGGGTATTTACACAATAATAATTTATTTTGTTTTAATTTGTTACCTGTTGAAGTCTGGGATATATGAGGCTAGTAATATTAATAAAAGCAAAATAAATCTAAATAGAACCAAAGTAATATCTGCACAGCAAGGCAGAATTCTTGGCCCCAGTAAAACTTTAACTTTTAATTCAGAGTAAACTTGAAGTGCACCACTTCATGGGTTTGGTAACTGTGAACTGGGAGAAGGGGACGGTTTCTTTTAACATAAGGGTATAGATTTAAGTACTTGGCTTTAAAACTCTGCACAAGCTTTATAGGGTGGTCTCTGGCAAATCATTATTTCAGAGCCTCAGTCCCACAACTGTTTTATGCTGTTTTTTTTAAATTGGTGCTGCTTCTGTAATGATTTTAATTGACTGAATATAGTTGTATTTTATTGATTTTAATTTGTGAACTGCCCAGAGGACATGGTTAATTGGGTGGTATATAAATGCTGAAAGTAAACAAATAAAAATAAACATTAAGTGACTGACATCAAGTAAGAGTGGCTAAATAAATGTAAAACAGTATTTACAGTAAGAAATACAGAAATTATTTTTTAAAATCAAGTATTTGTACAGGGTACCCTTTGAGGTTGAGGCAATTCGTATAAAAAATTTTGGTCTCCAGCACTGAGATGCAGCTGCCTCAAGTAGATATCGTTTTTCAAAGGGGTCCATCGCTCTCCATTTGGTGCCCAGACAGAGCTCACCTGGAAGGGGCTTTGACTGCAGCCCTGAGCAGCAAAAAATCTGGACTGGATTTCGGTCCCAACCTGCAGAGGGTTCTGTGTATGACTCTGCTAAAGAGACAGAAAAAAAGAAAGATTAGGGAACCTTAAAAGAAAAAGAATCCTCCCCACCTTTCAGCAAATTTGGAAACTCAAGAGTTACCGTAAATTCAAAGGACGGCAAGAGAGAAATGGGTAATTGTAGGAAATCGGTGTGTTTGGTTATTCCACAGGAACTATGGATGATGAGATGAAAGATGTAGAGAGAGCAGCAATTGCTTGACCCAAGTAACTTCAAGCACTGAATGTAATTGTGGAGTAGTTATGGTTTACAACAGGAAAAATATGGGGTTGAATCCAATGTAAGTAGGGCAATTTAAATTAATAAATATGCCTTTCTGGTCCATTAATTTCAGTGGGTCTACTCTAAGCAGAACGTAGTTGGTTTCCCATGGTGTGGGAAAGGAGGAAAGTTTGTTTGTGGGAGAATAGAAAGCTGGGTGTAAGGTATGGGACTGTAAAGATAAATTGCTACACTGGGCCAAGATGAGGGTTTGACTATTGTGTACAAAAGTATGGAATAAAAGAGGGCATGTACTAGGAGAGTCTACTTTTCTTCGGGAATGGGGAAAAGGACAGGCAAGGGTTTCCCAACAGCAGTAGATATGGGCCAGCATTATGTTAAGGTCTATGCCTGGGAGATCCCCCTCCCCAACCACACACATGATGGTGAAGTACTAGGGGAGCCATGTCTCTTTGACTTATAAGAGGAGAGGCATTAAGGGAAAAGCAAGTACAGTAGTTGCATATCTGAAAAAGGGGAAGGCCTGAGGCTGAGCTCTGCAAAGGGAAAACCTGGACAGGAAGCACTAGGAGGGAGGGCGATTACCCAGGAAAGGAGCCAAGGGTGACAGCAGCAGGCAGGAGGTTATTATTTGGTCAGAAACTGGAAAGGGGAGGTGGCTGGGGAGGTGGGGCTGCAGGTTTAAAGAGGAAATTGTCTGCAAGGGAGGCTCAAGAAGTGGAAGCAGGAGGTTAAGACAAGGAGCTCCAAAGGGTGGGGAAGTAGGGGCCTCATGCAATCTTGACAAAATTTGGCCACACATGCCTGGTCACAGGAAAAGTTGGAGTTAATGTACCTCCCACCGTGTATACAGCCACTATCTATATCATAATGCATTTGTAGGTGAGGAGGAAAGAAGTGGGGTCATCTCCCTGCATTTTTTAATGTCCAGAGACGGCCCCTTTAGGAGTCCACACATAAAGGTAGGCAGGAAACAGGTGGGAAATCCAACACTACACCTGTTGGCTGCCAAAGGTCACACCTAGCTACCTCCTTTTGTGCCTGCGCTTCAGGGTAAGTAAATAGCGGGGCCAGGAAATGAGCATGAAGCCTCTCCTTGGCATGTGTGGCCAAACTCGCACTGGTGTTAGGCAGAAACCCCTAGAGGGCACAGCTTTGGGGAGGGGAAAGCAATTATGGCAGGAGGACATTTTATTTTGTGGGGGGCATGACGGGAAGAGAGGATTATGCGCGCGTAGCCTTGGAGAGGGCGAGGCAGCTGTAGTGCGTGTGTATCTGAGGGGGGGCATTTTGGAAAGCAGGATCACTGGGAGTGGGACCGAGGAGGCACCGAGGTAGCAACTGGCAGGGAAAAAGGTGGGGGACAAGCGCGAGGGGATGGGCAGAGCGAGCGCGAGAGGGAGGTGACCGTTGGTGGGGGGGGAGAGGGAGATGAAGCGCGAGGCGGAGGGAGGGGCTGGGCACAGCGAGCGTAGAGAACGAGGGGGTAGGGGGAGCGCAAGGCTGCGCTGGGCGGAGGGAGGTGACCGTTGGGGCAGCGCGAGGCGGGGGGGGGGAGCGCGTGCTGAGTGCGCCCTGCTGGCCCGCGCGCGCAAGGGCCCCCGCCCGCTGGGATTCCCGAGGGGAGGGGCGGGGCAGGGAGGGTGTGAGCGGGGAGCCTAGAGCTCTTGCTTGCGCTCCCTTGTCCTCCGCTCGCGCTCCCCCCCTTTTTTTAGCGGAGAAGGGAGGGGGGAAGGTGGAGGAGAAGGGAGGGGGGGTTACCTGGAAGATGAAGCTGCTCCAGTTGCTCGGGTCCATGGCGGCGGCAACGAGCGGGGGAGGGGGGGGTTCAGCTCGGCGAGAGGGGGGGTCGGGAAGGGAGGGGGGAGCGAGTGGGGAGCAGCAGCAACGTCGCGCGGGCGGGGGGAGTGAAGGTGGGAGGGGGGATAGAGCGAGGAGGCAGCGGCGCGAGGAAACCTCGGCGCGCACGCTGATTGGCCCCCTCTGCGCGCGCGCGCGCCCCCCGGCGCCACAGCCTCTCTGGGCGGGGAGGGGTGAAGAGGGGGTATGGAGAAGGCGGCAGGTAGCGATTGGGTGGGGCTGCCGTCCTCGCTCCCGACGTGCGCGGGATCGTACAAAAGGCCCCCACGTGTGGTGCTTGCTGATTGGGTGGAGTGACGAGCGCTGTGGCCGTAGGGTTTTTTTCTTTTAAAGAAGAAAGTTGATTGGCCGGCGCCGAGGCGGCCGCGCGCGAGTAACGGTTGCTCCTTTCCCCTCCCCGTTAGTTTTCTTTTGAGTGACTCCGTCCCCTCTCACAAAATGGCCGCCAGGGAAGAGCTTCATCCGTAATGGCCATTATGGTGCCTTTTCTCTTTCTGCCCCTCATTCCGTATTATTCAACCCCCTGCCGTACACTTATGTCGCCTATATTTAAAAAAAATGTCGCAGGGAAGACGAACGAACTCGACAGCATATTTGGGCTTGCAGGTACTAGTAAGTAAGGTGTAGGACGATCTGCATGACGCCTGCTGTGATCTAGAACTTAACACAGACAGCTATGCTTTCATAGTATGGGATTATGTCACTGGCATGCGGCATTGTACTGCAGCTTCAACCATATCTGGAAATAAACCCCGTTGAATCCAGTAGAAATTCTGAATAGATATGGTTTGTATTGCCCTCTTGGCGCTTACACCACAAACAGGAGATTTTACTCATTTATGCAAGTTACTTTAATGTGACTTTTATGCAGACTTCACCTGGACAACCTTCAGCAAGAACTTGAGTTAAATGTGAGACTTCTAACTCTTATGTCACCTCTTGGCAAAGAAGGCCTCAACCACAATTACCTAGGGTCCCTTGTTTTATCACATGACAGGCTTGGGAAAACATCAGGATCGCATTTGTGCACCAAGTGTTCTTAATTGAGCTCATATTTAGCACCACAATGCTGCTGACTCAACTTGGCAGGCAAACAGATAACAATTTTTAGTAGAAATCCCAGTGGGTAATACCTTGTTTCCATATTTTCTGTGATCGCTGTCCCATGCACCCTGTTCAATCCACATTATACTTGTGCCAGGGCAGATTTGTAAGTTAGCTACGTTCATGTAATATATGCTATTTTACTACTTTTATAATATTCTTGTCCTCCAAGGAGTTCAAGTGGAGTACTTGATACCCTGTGGGATAAGTTCCAGATAGTGACAACTCCAAGGTCACCCAGAGCTTCATGGGCCAATGGGAATTTGAACACTATGAGTCTTCCTTGTACTACAGGGATACTAACCTCTATAGCACTCTGTCTCCTGGCTTGAATTGCACTCTGAAACCACAAACCACTGAGCGTCAGACTTTTATATGGATGCTGTCAACATATTTTCTCAAAGCCTCTGCTTGGTTTTGAGTTGGACTTTTAAAAAAATGTTCCAGTAACCGATTTTCCACAAGCCTGTGTCTTGACTGATTCTGATAACTTCTCTGTTTTAAAGCCAACCCAAAACACAAGTTTACAACCTATTTGTTGTACCCTTTGTAGCACTGAGCTGGGCAAATTGAGGAGTGCTTTTGAGGGATTACAATGTATTGCTATTATAATCGCTATATAATAGGAAGATGCTTCAAATACTTAAGTGGTGGTGGAGGAGGTGAAAATAAACATTTTCTAACAATGACAATGTGTGGCCCTGCTCCTGGATCATGCATATTCCAAATATAACTGTGTTATATTTGTGTGGATATAGAATTGCAGCTCAATTTCATAGTCAATGGGACTCAGCAAAGAGGGACTTTGAGTGCAGCCCTGCTGTGCAGTCCTGTGTGTGGTTTCAAAAGCAAAGCCTTCTATGTTGAATGATGTTTACTCACAGGCACAAGTATGCTTAGGGTCGCTGCCTTAGGGCTTCCAAGTAAACAGGAGTCGAAGTGGAATGTTTGCCGCACAAGTGAGGTCACGCACTTTGCTTGGATGTGACGGCAGAGGAAATGGCTGGCAGATTAACCCCCCAAAATGACACGCTTTTGTTTTTCTGGTGCACCTTTCAAATGGCTGAAGTGGACAATTAGTATTCCTTAAATTAAAAAACAACAACAGACTAGGTGACGTTACGCTACAGAATTTGTCTTGTTTTGGAAGCTATTTCTCAACGCGCATGCGTTTTGCAGCAGTTCGGTACCGTAGTCTGAAAAGAAGGAAAATACGCATGCGCTTTGGGAAGAACGGGGGCGTAGCAGTGAGCCGTGCATGGACCGATGCGGAGGCTCTGCGAAAACAATACGCTCGTGCGCAGTACAGCTCGCTGGTTGTGTCGCGCGCGCGGCTATATAGTGTAAATAAATCAATGCGCATGCTCCTAAAGCCTCGGAGAGCGCATGCGCAGCGGGACGCCTGCGTCTTCCGACTGCCGTGAAGAATGCAGTATGCGTTTGCCGCATGCGTAGTAAAAGCACCTCGCGATTTGCCGCCTCCCCTCGTTTCCCGTATGAGTTGTGATCTCCATTTTACGCTGCCTGAGCGCCAGCAGTGCCGCCTGTGAGCGAATTTCAGTCCGGATTGTTTCATGTTTGCAATAAATGTGAAGAGGCCAGGATTGAAAGCAGTTGCTCAACAGTGTTCCTGATGAAGAATTAAGTGTGAAGCACGTTGGGTTTAATTTTTAAAAACGCATATATTATTCAGTCTTCTATCCCTGCGACTGATGCCTTCCCTCCTTTTTTACTGTTAATGTGTAAGAAGGAAGAAAATAAAGCATCAAAAGTAACCAGGAATTCCCACCTTCAATTAAACTAAATAAAGTATTTAACTGATAATTATTTTGTAGACCTCTTGTGATCTTAGTGGACTTACATCCCATACAAGAAGGTGTGGGAGGGGAAGCACTGTAAGGAAAAAAGGAATAATATAGGAGGCTCCTCTTCAAGCTAGAATTTCAATGAATTTCTCCCCCAAGCTGTTTTGTGTAGCCAATAACCAGAGAAGTGCTGAAATAATTTCTCATACATTGCTTCTGTAATCGTTAAAATAATGTTTTGAGGTTGGCTTTTCTTTTTCATTTGTATATTGCCCGCCATCTGAAAATCTCAGGGGTGGTTCACAACACAAATAAAAGATAAAAAACTACAAAATATATGATAAAAACAAAAAAACCAGCAACGCTCCCCTCCCTGCCACACACAGCAAAGGGCTGGTTGTAGAGAAATGTAATGAAGGCACCAGGCGGACCTCCCTGGGGAGAGCAAACAAACAAGAAGGCCTGTTGTGTTGCCAGTCACCCTCCAGATCTCTCATGGAGGAGGCACATGAAGAAGGGCCTTGGAAGATGATCACAGGGTCTGGGTCGGATCATATGGGAAGAGGTGGTCTTTGGGGTATTGTGGTCCAGTACCAGGACTTTGAATTAGGCCCAGAAACTAATCTGCAGCTAGTGCAGTCAAGCCAGGATCAGTGTCATGCTCAAACAGTCTTGCCCTGGTGAGCAACCTGGCTGCTGAATTCTGCACCAGCTGAAGCATCCAAACCCATCTTCAGAGACAGCCCCACATATAGCTCATTGCAGTAATCTAATCTAGTGGTTACCAGAGCATAGACAATGGTAGTTGGGCTAATATTTTTGACAAATGGATAAATTGAGATGAGGCTATGACTGCAATCCTAATCCTGTTTACCTAAGAGTAAATCCCATTCATTCACTTGGATTTACTTCTGAGTAGACATGGTTAGGATTGTGTTGTAAGAAATAATTGTCTAGATTTGAAGCAAGGATTCAAAGCTTGAGCTCATACCCATGGGTAAATTATTCAACCACTTAAAGAGAAATATGTATTCCTAGATGTACCCAGGTAGTCTGATACAGTACAGCATACCAAGTGTGCATCTATTACACAAATGTAAAGCAGTTTAGGCACCAGTGCTTTGCCCCAAAGGAACATAAGAATTGTAGGATGACATCTCAGGCAGAGATTCCTTGGTCCCTAAAACAGCTACAATTCACTGTGAATGCTAAAAACTTTTCTATCTGAAGTTGAATGATTATGCTGGATGTAGGGTAGGTTAGGGTGGCCAACTGTGCTAGGGCTCCTGTGCCTTTAACTGCTGCCCTATAGTCTTCCCCTCATTGTTGAAGTGATTGAAAAAGCAGCACCTGCTGCATTCCCTCCTTTCATGCAACTGTTAAAAAGGGAGCCCTGCCCTAAAATAGTCATTGGTAATTTGCCAGCTTTTAGCAATTGGGTTGCTAGCCTCTTTGTTTATTGAAGGAGTTATGTAACTTGAGAAGTAAATAACCAGGCCGAATTTCATAATTTTTTACAAGTTTTCATCAGACCCACCTATCCCAGCATGATATATAAAAATGCTTCTAAGTCAAGTAGAAAATCTCTAAAAAATTTAATACCCCAGTAAGTTAAGGTTACCAGACGTCCCTGTTTCCCGGGGACAGTCCCCGGATTTACAAATCAGTCCCCATGCAAAATCCATTGAAGTTGAAAAGTGTCTCCGAATTCATTGAAAAAAATCTGGTAACCTTACAGTAAGTCAGTCTCAAGTATCTTTATATGTGAGTGGGATTATACAATATCTGGTAGGAAGGATATGATACGATATCTGGTAGGCCACTTCCCTCGCATGGGAATTCCCTTGTGACTTTACAGCTATGTAAAGGACAGGCTTTCAACAAGTGAAGTGTTTCCCACCACTGCTCAAACTTCAGCTGTTATTCTCCATCAGGGCAGTGGCGTAGCGTGGGGGGTGCAGGGGGGGCCGGCCGCACCGGGCGCAACATCTGGGGGTTAGGGTTAGGGGGTGCAAATCCACTGGTTAGGGGGCGCAAATCCACGGGTTAGGGGGCGCAAATTACTTGCCTTGCCCCGGGTGCTGACAACCCACGCTACGCCACTGCATCAGGGCTGGCTCAAGACATTTTGGCACCTGAGGCAAACCACAAAATGGTGCCTCCCCATTGCCAGGGGAAAAGGAAGGAGTGAAGTTCTACACTGGGAACAAGGGTGGGAGGGAGACCCACAGCACCTCCTGTTTGTCAAGAGGCTGCTGTAGAGCGGGCATGAGGGGGCTCTGCCGTCATTGCCACCATGGGTGGTGCTTTCCTTGCAGGCTGGATTTGCTGCCCCCGTGGATCCTGCTGCCTGAGGTGGCAGACCCAAAGGAGGGCTTGTGAGAGTGGTTGGGTGCAGGGGTACCAAAGAAGGAGGTTAAAAAATGCTAGAGTGAACTGTTCTGGTGCTTTATTAAAAGAAACTTGCAGATTTCAGCAAATCAGCCTGCCAGCGTCTCCCAGCCTTTACAGATGTGGGATGGACACCACAGCGAGGACATGGCTTGTCTGCACCCAAGCAAATCTGCTTATATTACTTATACACAAAGCAGCACTCGTCACTTTGAAGAAGAAGAAGAGAAGAGTTTGGATTTTATATCCCGCTTTATCACTACCCGAAGGAGTCTCGAAGCGGCTAACATTCTCCTTTCCCTTCCTCCCCCACAAGTGGGGGGCTGAGAGACTTCAAAGAAGTGTGACTGGCCCAAGGTCACCCAGCAGCTGCAGGTGGAGGAGCGGAGACGTGAACCCAGTTCCCCAGATTACGAGTCCACCGCTCTGAACCACTTAACCACTACACACACACTTTGGCTAGAACTTCCATCACTCCACCTGACTAGGTGAAGGCATAGGTGGCAAATACCCAAATCTTACAGCTAGTTCCCCTTTCTGGGCTCAGAGCCCCGTACCCTAAGCCCACATATAAGGATAACATCAAAGCAAGCCCATTAGCCTATAACAAAGCAAATGCATATACAGTGGTACCTCGGGTTAAGAACTTAATTCGTTCTGGAGGTCTGTTCTTAACCTGAAATTGTTCTTAACCTGAAGCACCGCTTTAGTTAATGGGACCTCCTGCTGCTGCTGTGCCGCCGCTGCACGATTTCTGTTCTCATCCTGAAGCAAAGTTCTTAACCCGAGGTAATATTTCTGGGTTAGCGGAGTCTGTAACCTGAAGCGTATGTAACCTGAAGCGTATGTAACCCGAGGTACCACTGTATAGGAGCTCATTGCTGCAACAACTACCAATTAATTGTGGGGTTATCTCAACTACCAAGGTGGTATTAGCAGAGCTTCCAGAACAGTTCACCTTTGGATCAACACAGTGGTTGCCTCACCTTGCCTCACAGGTGGGCCGGCCCTGATCCCCACCCTCTCTTTCTTTGCCTGACACTGCACCGCCCACAACCATTGTAGGCATGATGCTGAAGTATTTTTCGCTCTATAAGACGCACCAGACCATAAGACACACCTAGTTTTGGGAGGAGGAAAGCAAGGGGGGAGGAAATCTGAATCTCAGAAGCCAGAACAACAAGAGGGATCACTGTACAACAAAAGCAGCGATCCCTGTTGCTGTTCTGGCTTCTGGGATAGCTGTGCAGCCTGCATTCGCTCCATAAGACGCACACACATTTCCCCTTACTTTTTAGGAAGGAAAAAGTGAGTCTTATAGAGCAAAAAATACGGTAGTTACCAGTTCCCAAAAATCCAGAAGGCTGTTCTCTACAATATGGCATTGAATCCTGCCTGCTCCAAAGCTTCACATGATAATAAGCCACTGTCAAGTGCATATTCACGTATGAATAATAGCCAAAAGATGTAGGGGGGCAATAAGGAGCTAGGAGTTCACATCCCAGAATAAGCTCTGAGCACCACAAAGCCATGCTTCTGGGGGAGTGTCCTCTGTAAGATGGTGTTGAATTCCATCTAGCTCAAAGCTTACTTGGGGTGCAAGGGACATATATTATTACATTTTGGGGCTATTGTCCCTGTGCAGACATGCACTTGGCTGTTCCTTGCACCCAGAGGATTCATCAGCATTTCTTAAAAGACCGTGTCCCAGTTGCGCAGGTGCATGCTTTGTGTGGTCCCAAACCTCATCCTGAGTTGCTGGCTCTCAGTTCCTTGCTTTTTTATTGTCACATGTTATCACACATTTAGGAGTGTTGTGCAAAGATGGTCATTTTGGGCTGAGTCCAATGCTAGTCCTACTCAATGAGTAGCCTCATTGAAATGATCGCATCTAAGTTAGGGTCTGCTCTGAGCAGGATTAACATTGGTTACAACCCTTAGATGATAGAAAATCATTGCTTGTCCCAAAGGGAAGAGTCCCCTGAAAATGCAGGAATGTGGGGTCAGTATACTTACCTTGTGATTCAGTTCAGGGACATATATTTCTTTTTTAGTGTTATGAACTTTCATCAGATAAGGAACTGGGAATTAGGAAGCTACTTCAGCATGGTGAGGCAAATCCAGAACTAGGATATGAGAAGTAGGAACCAGCTTCAGCAACATAATAGTGGCTGAGATGTGTGGCCACACTTCTATTATGAACAGACCCAGTTCCGTTTGATAAGTTTGTCGTGTCTAAGAACTCCCAATATGATGATTAGGGGATACAACTACCAATGTCTCTTCTCCCCATTCTTTCAAGGTGTGGCCCCTGCCCTTATGATTCCTTCTATGCTGTTAGGGTCATAAATTAAATTGCACCATCCATTTAGCAATCTGCTTTCCCTTTAAAAGGTTCTCTCCCACTCGCTACTTTGCTCCTCCTCTACCAGGAACCGAAAGCTTCAGGGGGAAATTCCTGGCTACAAAACTCTCCAGAAAACAAGCGCTCTGTTCTGCAGTAAGTTTTCTCCTCTCGCAGATTCCGCTTCATTTTAGCTAGTAGACGTCTTCGCTTGGGATGTGCTCTGGATGCTATCCATCTAGAATCGGGAGGTTGGTTACAAAAGCAATAATCCCTTCCAAGGCTGGAGCTTGAGGAATTCGGAGTTGCTGAATCCTTCCGTCTGCCATTATCTGGAAATTTAATTTGTCTTGCTTTTTCTCCCTCCCTCCCAGATACCAAGCGCTGCAGCTAAGCTGTTCGAGAAGTCTAGCCTGAGATTTATATTTCCAACAACATTCAGGTCCTGTAACTTCCTGCCCTAGTCTTTTTATGTGCCAGATTGCTAAGCACTTTCCCTGTAATTGCCTGGAGACTTTGATTCTGCTCCGTGGAAGTGGGTGTGTCCCCTTAGTAGCACCCCCATCCGGGCTTGTGGTTGTTGCTGCATATTGGTTTCTGCAAAATAGGGCAGGGCTGGGTTCCCTCAGTTTGTTGAAGGATTAAGTGCAGCGAAAGGCATTGGTTTTAGCACAATGTGGATACAAAGGGTGTCGCACAGTTCCTCCAGGCCCTGCCCACGGGGGTAAGCCTGTGGGAAGGTGACTCAGGAGTCGAGGGTGTGCCCAGGGCAGCGTTTTAAACTGGAGATTTCTGTCGGGTTCATCCTATTCAGATTGCCCTCTCTTTACAACCGCTCTCAGGAGGCGAGATGGCAGCTGAATCGATAATCCGGATCCCCCCATACTACTACATCCATGTCTTGGACCAGAACTCAAATGTGACTCGGGTGGAAGTGGGACCCAAGACCTATATCCGCCAAGACAATGAGAGGTGAGCAAGCCTCAAAAAAGGAGGGTAGTTTCTGTTTGCCCCCTTTCCTCAGGAGGGCTCCAGTAGTGCCACAAACAGTGAGTGACGCAAGTGTTAGTAATTCCCTGCAGTAGTTATGTTCCTCTTCCTGCTTCACCATTTTCTCTTTCTCCCACAGATATACACTTCCCTTTTTAATAGTTGTTTATGAGAGGCATCGCCCGCCCTTAACCATAATGTTTGGGGCTTTTTGTTTTTGATAAATTGGTTTTATTTATACGTAGGGGAGACCACAGTAACAGAATCGTTACCTTAAAATGGCTAAAAGAGAACAATGTCAGAAAGGGCAAACCGAACTCTAAAGTTCTTAGGTATGTTACAACAGGCATGACTGTGGAATCTTGCCTAGGCCGAAGCTTACTTCAGGTGCAAAGGACATTCGCCTTTCTGTACTCTATTTGCACTAGTCTGTCACTGCACAGCCCTGTTGTAGGTTTGGAAGTGATTTGCATGAAGTCAGGGAAGTGGAGGGGATCCAGTTGCACAATGGTCATGGCAATGGAGTGAGAAAGGAGAGGCACCGAGAGGAAAGAAGTGGTGCTTTACAAAACGATGGGGAGAGGCTGAAGAGGGTGAGAAGGGGGAAACATTGAGGTTTTGTTTTTTAAACAAGTTTTAACAAGGGAGAAAGAGTGAAGATGTATACAACGCACAAGCCAAAACCAAAATGCCTTTCTCAGCTCCCTTCTTGCTATACTCAAACCTGGTTTAAACCGCCACATCTTTCCCCTCAGTGTCCTTGCAAGACTACGGGTATAATGAGGTCACTTTGCTAAACCTGAGCTGCCAACAAGCTCAGATATAAGATCTCTTCCCAGCTGCAGAGAACCCACAAGTCCACAGTCCTAGCTGAGCCTTTTAATTCTTCCCTCCAAACCTGCTTCCCGCTCCAGGATCGTGTTTGCCCCAGTGAAGATGGTGATGGTCCCCCCTCGCTATTACTGCGTCATCCTCAATCCAGTGGTCCGAGGAGCAGATGGTGCAGTTGAGCTCAATGTGGGGGGGCAGGTGCGGCTTAGGCATGCCGACCTAGAGATCAGACTGACTCAGGACCCTTTCCCTCTGTACCCAGGGGAAGAGCTACAGCAGGTAAGGACATGGGAGCTTCTCCTCTCCACAGTGGGGCCCCATAGCGAGGGCACAATCAGAGGGCCATTAGATGTGGGGCACATGTGTTTGGGCCTACAGCTGTTAGCAGTGATGGTTCCATTAACCTCCATCATCACAGACAATACGTCTCTGAATAGCAATAGCTAGGATCATGAGCAGGAAAGTGCTCTTGTGCCCAGGTCTGGCTTGGGGGCTTCGCAGGGGCATGTGGTCAGCCGCTGTGAGAACAGGATCCTGGACCAGGTAGGCCTTTGGCCTGATCCGGTGGGTCGTTCCTTTGAGATTCAGCACTTTGAGATTCTCCAGAGGAGTCGGAACATAAGAAGTGCCTGGTGGATCAGGCCAGTTGCCCTGTTCTTACAGTGACCAGCCAGAAGCCAGTGGAAATCTTCACGTGTTAATCCAAAAAGCAGGACCTGTGCACGAAGCCTTTGACTTGGGAATTGTTCTGTTGCCATGACTCCCTTTGCTCACTGTCTCCCCCTCCCTCTCTCCAGGGTGTTACACCTCTGCAGGTTGTCCTGCCTAACACCGCCCTGCATCTGAAAGCCCTCTTGGACTTTGAGGATGACCATGGCGGCAAATACGTTGCTGGGGATGAATGGCTGTTTGAAGGTCCTGGTAAGTGAGAATAAGCTGAAGTTCAGTTGTGGCACAAATGCATGGTACACAGAGCGCTGGCTTCCCCAGTTAAAAGGAACAGGTAGGAGGTGGTGTGAAGAGCCTTCACCTGAGACTTTTGCTGGTCAGACTAGACCAGGGCTTCCCAAACTTGGTCCTCCAGTTTTGTTTTGTTTGGACTGCAGTTCCCATCATCCCTGACTACTGGTCCTGCTAGCTAGAGATGATGGGATTTGTAGTCCAAAACCAGCCAGAAACCCAAATTTGGGGAAACGCTGGACTAGACAATAGGTGGACCAAACAGCCTGGCCTGATGAAAGTTCATCTGTGTGGTTTGAGGCCCACCTTCTTGTTTAACATCCTTGTTGTTCATAGGCACCTACATCCCACAAAAGGAGGTCGAAGTTGTGCAGACTATCCAGGCCACCATCATTCGGCCCAACCAAGCCATAAGACTTCAGGCACGGAAAGAGTGCAAGGACAGAGAGGGCAATAAGCGCGTGACAGGTATTCCTGCCATCCCACCCGCAGTCTTGTAAGGTGTTCTGTTTTTCCAATATGACCTGCCTTGTGACTCCCTCTTCTTCACAGGTGAGGAGTGGCTGGTGAAGCGGGTTGGGGCTTACCTGCCAGGCGTGTTCGAGGAAGTAGTTGATACCGTTGACGCCTATGTCCTGACTGAAAAGGTGAGTGATGGGCTTGTTGCCCCTCGTGGTGAGTGGAGGAGGCATGTGGGTCAAGTCTCTGCTGCAGTAGCTGAGCAAGGATGTTTTGTAGGATATTGTTAAGAGTGCTCAAGGTCCATACTTTGGAGAATGGGGAATCACAACAGCTCTGAGGGGAAAGTGATTGCTCATCAGCTACCTCTTGGCTCTCCAGCCTAGGCACTTACAGTTGATTACCCTGCAGGTGGTTGAAAATACAATATTTTCAGAGTCAGAGCAAACAAGTGGGTGGGACAGCTTTTATTTTTGCCCCCCTCTGCTTCTCCCTCCCTGCTCATTAGACTGCCAGGGAAGAGGCCAATATCTTTTGCCAGAGCTCTGAACTGACCACTTGCAAAGTTTTTTTTGAAATATATAATTCAGCTTAGGGCCATGTAAAATTAGGCAAAGGGCCTCAGATGGCTCTCTTGTGCTCCAGCCCAGTGGTTCCCAATTAGCTAAGTACTGATGACCCCCTGTTTTTCAAAAGCCAAGCTGTTAAATAGTTCCTTTAAACAGCCTACCTAGACCATTTCCCATGCTCAGGGATAGGCAACCTAAGGCACCGGGACCGGATGCGGCCCAATTGCCTTCTCAATCCGGCCCACGGATGGTCTGGGAATCAGCATGTTTTTACATGAGTAGAATGTGTCCTTTTATTTAAAATGCATCTCTGGGTTATTTGTGGGGCATAGGAATTCGTTTATTATTATTCTCAAAATATAGTCAGGCCCACCACATGGTCTGAGGGACAGTGGCTGGAAAAGGTTGCTGACCCCTGCCCATGCTGCAGTTGGCGTGGCCACCTGTTGGTGACCACATGAACTGCAGAACATGATGGCACCTTAGGTTTTTATGTATATAGGAAGATATATACAGTCTATGGATGTGTGCGGGGGGGGGGGGGAACAGAATTTAAAATGGTCAAAAAGCCATGGAATGAATCACAGATTTTTTTTTAAAAAGCACATGTTCATTAATCTAGATAAAACCTGAGTTGTTACATAACTTCATCAGACTGAAGTTACGTATCTTTTTTTCCCTAATGCATCTGAATATTATTGAAGTATGATGGTACAGTATCACAGCTGGCTAGTAGAAAGTGATTGGCTACCACAGCCAGCCAGAATGACTAGTTGTGTGTGTGGAGGTCACTTGTATGAAAAGTATGTGGAAAAACAATGGTGGCTTTCCCCACAAATTCATGCCATTGTCTTTTTCCCCCTTCCCTCCTCATAGAAAGCGCTGCACCTCCGGGCCTCAAAGACGTTCCGGGACTCCCAGGGTGTTACCCGGAAGACAGGAGAAGAGTGGCTGGTCACCATGGCTGACACCGAGGCCCACATCCCCGATGTTTACGAGGAAGTCCTGGGTGTTGTCGATATCACCACCTTGAACAGCTGCCAGTACTGCGTGGTTTGTGACCCAGTTGGAGCAGATGGCAAACCCCAACTGGGACAGAAGAAGGTGATCAAGGTATGCGCCCAAACTCACGTAGCACAGAGGACTTTGGGGGCACAGTACTTGAAACCTCAGAAAGCACCATGGGAGTTTCACACTAGTAATTACGGCCAATCTCTTTACACTGTAGGAGGGTGAATCTATTTACAGTGGTGCCCCGCAAGACGAATGCCTCGCAAGACGGAAAACCCGCTAGACGAAAGGGTTTTCCGTTTTTGAGTTGCTTCGCAGGACGAATTTCCCTATGGGCTTGCTTCGCAAGACGAAAATGTCTTGCGAGTCTAGAGATTTTGTTTTCGCTTTCCCCCCCCCTTTATCTAATCTGCTAAGCCTTTAATAGCCTTTAATAGCCTTTTAGCAGCTAATCCGCTAAGCCTTTAAGCCTTTAATAGCCGCTAAACCGCTAATAGCGCTAATCCGTTAAGCCGCTAATAGGGTTGCTTCGCAAGACGAAAAAACCGCTAGACGAAGACTCTCGCGGAACGGATTAATTTCGTCTTGCGAGGCACCACTGTATCTGTATACTGATATTAGGCAGGGGCCTGCTAAAAACTTCATTGTTTCACCAAGTCCAGGCATCTAATTTTAGCATGTGATATGTGGTTTTAGTGAGTACAAGTGTTTTATAATGTTGTGTGTGTGTTTGTGGTATTTTTAAATTATTGCTTTAGACTGTCTCGCATCACTTAGGAGGTCTTTTGTTCTAGTAAGTGGTATATACATTTTGTAAAATAGAATCGCCACATTTCTCAAGCTGGCTGCAGAGCCGCCCCCTGCCTCCCTCTCTGATTTTCTCCAACCCTCATTGCTGTTTCCGCAGGGGGAGATATCGTTCTTCCTGCAGCCTGGAGAGTGGCTGGAGCAGGGCATCCAAGACGTTTACATCCTTTCGGAAGAAGAGGGCCTCCTGCTCCGTGCCCTTCGCCCCTTGGAAGAAACAAACGAGGTAGAAGGACCTGAGCTTGCAGTGGGGGCAGGTCCGCTGGAGCACATGGGGCGCTGCTGCCCCATTGCGTGACCGCCAGCCCAACCAGTCCAGGGGGTGGCCCTGGCTGTCAGCAGCCTCCTCTTTAGTCTCGGCAGCAACAGCAGGTTGGGGGAGGACAAAACTAGAATTCCTTGGCTCTGCCTCTCATTGGCTCTGGCCTCCCTGCCTTCTGCCCTCCCAGTGCTAATCGGCACCGGCCACCCCTGTGAGCTTGTGCTTGCGCCAGGGAAAAAGACTGGTGGCGTCAATGCAGGTGGGCACGGGAGGAGCCATTTCCCCCTGTTGTCTTTCTCCCTTGCACCCAGGACGGAGAGGAGGTTACGCACAAGCCGGGTGACCGTTGGCTGATCCGGGGGCCCCTGGAGTACGTGCCGCCGGCCGAGGTGGAAGTGCTGGAGCGGCGCCACTCCATCCCGCTGGCTGAGAACGAGGGCATCTATGTGCGGGATATCAAGACTGGGAAGGTGAGTGGAGCAGGCAAGACAGCGGTTACCGGATATCGGCTGCTCCTGGAGAAGCCTCTACGCAGCGCAGCCTAAACACACCAATTAGCAGCACCCTTGAGACACACACACCTCCAGAGGTCACTGCTAACAAAAGTATCGTGGCACTCAGGACACAGTTTGTGTATTTGTGTACATTATTTATTAACCGTCCTTCAGTTGAAGCTTAAGAGCAGGTCTCTCTCTCTCTCTCTCTCTCTCTCTCTCTCTCACACACACACACACACACACACACACACACACACACAAAATCGGGAGTGCAAAAGATATCATATGACTTCTATTCTGGTGCCTTGGTTGTGGTCCTTTGCAGGGATTAGAGAGAGAGTCCCTTGAATATGATCCTCTGCTAGAAGCAATGCTGAAGGTCGTTTTCCACCGGCAGAAGACCCCAGTAAAATGTCCCTCCAGCAATCCAGCTGTTTTGCTGTTTCGCTGGAGAGGGTGTCAGGAAAGAGCCCACCCCCACCCCCCGGTGGCACTCCTGGAGGGACAGTGTTCAAGTCAAAGGGTTCCAGGGTCAGATTTTCCCAACTCTTTCTGAGCTTATTGGGGCAGCTGAACCGAAGCTTGCTCTCTGATCACCGGAAAGTGCACAACCCCCTCAGAAAACTTTAAGGAATTAGAGGCATTTCTCTTGGCATGGAGGTTGCACTCGGTTGGAAAAGCTAGGACAGGTTTTTCCAGAAAGGTTGGTTGGCCCATGTATGGTCAGTTGTACTTCCTGAGCGCCATAGGGTTACTCAACACTATAGAGGGTTGTCAGAGGTCCTTTGAGAAGGAACCATTATGAGGAATTGTGGTTCCTTTCTTATGCTGTGTAACAGAATGTGCCTCAAACCAGCCCACTAGTTTCTCCTTTCACATGATGGGGAAGACTACTGCTCTCGAGGCAAGACATTCGCTACTTGATGTAACACTCTCTCCAGTTAAGAGTGCCTAATTGGGTTCCTTTCCTCTGTCGTTATTTTTTCAAATATATTGAGAAAAAAATTTACTTTCCAATGCTTAGTATGTTTGTTGGTTATTTGTTCCTTGCTTTTGTACTTGCTCCTCCCCCCCACAAAAATAATAAAAATGAATTGCCAAAAAGAAAGAAAAAGCATTTGAAAGAAAGAAGCCATTTTGTTTGCTAGGCTGTGTAAAGTGAATATATAATATTCCAGGTTATTCTGGTAGGCTTTTCAGCCAATGATGTTATTGCAGCTTATTCCAATCTATTGTACCAGAGCTCAGCATAGTTCCTGACTGCTCGCTCTCTCTCTCTCTCTCTCTCTCTCTCTCTCTCTCTCTCTCTCTCACAGGTCCGAGCTGTAATTGGCCACACTTACATGCTGTCTCAGGATGAGGAGCTGTGGGAGAAGGAGCTTCCGCCCCACGTGGAGGCCTTGTTGACTGTCGGAAGGGACGCTGTTGTTGATCGTTCCAGGGATACATCTGAAGGGGGCACTGGGGCGGCCCGTGACCGGACTCGGGTCGTGACCTACCACGTCCCCCACAATGCCGCAGTGCAAGTGTACGACTACAAGGAGCGGAAGTCCAGGTGAGAGGACCAGTGAGGGAGTGTGAGATTTCCCTCCACCCTTGGAAGAAAGCTAAACGTGAAACATGAGGGGAGCAGTATGTTATTTGAGGGTCTTACTTAACTCAGTAATTGGGAAGCCCATGTTCTTCCATTACGTCGTTGGACTACAACTCCCGTTGTTCCTGTTCCTTGGCCTTGCTGGGCTGGAGCTGGTGGGACTTGGATGCCCGCTGACCACAAGTTCCCCCACCCCTGGCTTACATTTGGGAATTAATTTCAGGAATTTGTGGCCTCTGACCCGACAGGAAGCCTTTCCTCCTTAATCGTAGGTGGAGGGGCTGCTGGTCTGTTCTGTGGGAGTTTCCCACAAGGCAAAGCATCGCCCTGAGAAGCTCTGAGTTAGCTTTTTCTTGGCAACGGCTGATGGTGGAATGAAGCCTTAGCAGCCCCACCCTCCCAATTTGAACCTGCTCCTCTAAGCCCCCTTCCCCTTGCCTGAGAAGGGTGGCTCCTCAAAGAGCCAACCTTTTGGCCTGAAGGTGGCAGGCATTCCTGCTTTGTTTTGTGGCCTCTCGCCTGGCATTCTCCCTGTGGCAGACTCTTCAGGTGAACTGCGCTTGGAGGAAGTCACCTGTAAAGGGTTCTGCAGGCCCCTGGCTAGCAACCTCTGGTTCTGCATCAGGAAACCTTGGCCAGTGACACAGCAGCCCTAGCTTCTGCTGGTTCCACCTGCTCTCTCTGCCCTTGTTCCAAGAGCCTTGGCACCAAAAGCAGATGGTGTGACTAAGGTTTCTTCCAGGCGAGCTGTCGTGTTCGTTTTTCATTCATTCACCCGCATCCTTTTGTGTTCATATCCCGCCTTTCCTTCAAGGAACTTGAGATAGCATCCATGGCTCTTGCACATGTGTGCACACACACATTTTAATTTAATTTAATTTAATTTTTGCTGCAACCCTGCAATGTAGGTTAGGTTGAGAGCTCGTTCCTAGCTTATTGTTTCCCAGTGAGCTTTTGACAGCATGGTTGCCTTACAGCAGGTTTATTCTGCCCAGGATGGGCAGGCAAAGCTGTACTGAACCTTCTGAGGGCTTCTGTGAGGCCCATAGTTAGAGAGTTTCTCTAGAAGACTAGAAACAATGAAAGGAAGCCACTAATGAAAGGACCTCCTAACATGGGATCAGGTGTTTTCAAAACTAGGGGTGATTCATCACTAATCCTACTCTTAATAGGAAGCTGCAAAACGAGTGGAAACATTTTATGAACCTTGTGGGAGACCTTTTCTGAACGGGACTTCCTTGTGAGTAAGCATTTTGAAAGGGCTGAGGTCATAAAGATAGGCATCACTGGTCAGTTCTGCGCTGCTCTAAATGCTTTGCGAAATCCCTCTTTTAACTCCACTTCTGTTGTGGAAAATCAGTGTCTCAGCAGGAATAAATGAGTTTAGGGTAGATGGCAGTTCTGTCTTGGTTGAGCAGTATCTTGGGAACATCTCCGACGTAGGTGGGCTATGAAGATCTGTGCTGGTGGAGGTGCCGTGTTCCTTTCAAGAGTTCATTTCAAAGTCAGTTGGAAATGAAGTTTAATGTCCCCCCCTTTTATTCCCCCTCAGGGTGGTTTTTGGGCCAGAACTTGTGCTTCTGGGTCCAGATGAACAGTTCACGGTGCTCAGCCTGTCGGGGGGCCGACCCAAGCGCCCCCATGCTCGCCGTGCCCTCTGCCTCCTCCTGGGGCCGGATTTCTGCACTGATGTTGTCACCATTGAAACGGCTGACCATGCCCGCCTGCAGCTGCAGCTGGCTTACAACTGGTGAGTTGGAGACTACTGCTGTTGGGAGGCCGAAGGGAGACCCTCAGGTGGGCCAGAAGGGTGTTGTGCTGGGGGGGGGGGGACATGTTGATAAAAGTATGGAGGACTGAAAGTACAGTGGTACCTCGGGTTACAGACGCTTCAGGTTACAGACTCCGCTAACCCAGAAATAGTACCTCGGGTTAAGAACTTTACCTCAGGATGAGAACAGAAATCGTGTGGTGGCAGTGGGAGGCCCCATTAGCTAAAGTCGTACCTCAGGTTAAGAACAGTTTCAGGTTAAGAATGGACCTCCAGAATGAATTAAGTTCTTAACCCAAGGTACCACTATATGCACAGAACTGAGTATTTTTGTTATTTTCTTTTTTATGTTATCTATAAGTCTTACAGTGCACGCAGGCATACACTGTGTGCTTTATTCTCCTCCCAGAATTCATACGTTTTTTTGAAGCCTCTGGGTTAGCTCAGTTGGTTAAAGTATGAGATTCTTAATCTCAGGGTTCTGGGTTCAAGCCCCACACTCGAACAAATCCTGAAAGAATCCTGCATTGCAGGGGTTGGGCCAGGTGACCCCTGAGGTCCCTTCCAACTCCATAATTCTATGAAATAAAACAGGATGGGGAAAGGCGCATGTGTCACCCAGATATCTTTACAGTTCACGTGTAAAGCAAACGTGGGGTGTATTTCTTTTTTAAACGAGAAAGAACACATGATGGAGTGGAGGGCAACCCGCCCCTCGCTCCCCAGATTTATTCTCCACCTTCCCTCATTGTGCTCTACAGTATTTAAGCCATTTCTCCCAGTCCTCTGGCTCAGTTCCAGCATGGCAGACAGGCTGGAAGGAAACTGGCCAGAAGAAAACTACTTGCACGCAGCAAGACTGCAGCAAAGTGTGTGTTGTGTGTGCCAGGGGGAGGCTGTCGTTTCCACCCCTCACTCATTCCTGGTCTGGGTGGGTAGGTGGGTGTGTTTTGAAATAGACCCAGACCCACATATGTTTGTGTTTCTGCCCTTTTACTTACATATCTCCACTGCGTTTTATTTGGCACAAAGTAATTTTTCAGCAGGATCACAATGGATAAAATGTGAGTTGGAGGGAAGGAATGAGGTGGGGCCATGGGAGGTCAGGTCAAGTTGGCTAAGAGTTGTGGGAGATGACAGATAACAGTATCTGTCAGGGAAGACAAGTGTGTTTTGCTTAAGTCCCGTTCCATAAGTACTGGAAGACAGTGCTGCCAAGGCAGGCAGGCTCTCTGAACCTTGACTACACACTGCTGCTGTCATGTATTTTTATATTTGTTTATACAACTGAGGACTATCAAGTATATCCACCAATTTCCCCCCTCAGGCACTTTGAGATCCCCTCTGCTGCTGAAGCTTCCCGCCTGTTTAGTGTCCCAGATTTTGTTGGTGACGCCTGCAAGACCCTGGCCTCTCGTATCCGGGGGGCAGTGGCTGCCGTCACCTTTGACGACTTCCATAAGGTGAGCTGTGTTTTCCCCCTTGACTTCCTGTCACTCGGAGGGCATAAATACTTACTTGTGTCTCTATTTTTTTTCCTTTCTGTTTGGGAAAAAAAACATTCCTTAGTCCTGTATTCATCAATATCCATGGCCAGACCAATATATTTTGCTGCCTAAGGCAAAGTGGCAGGTCTTGGTTTTGCATTGTCATTTCCCCAGTTCATTATACTAATGCGTTAGCTGGCGCGGAAGCTGTGAAATGCTATTTCTTACTGGAAATGAATGTTGCCAGAACTCGAACCGCCTGATCTGTGCTGCCGTGTTTGGCTTCGATGGGGAAGGAACCATGCGCGGCTCCCTCCGGTTCGCCCCCAACGGCCTTGTCATCAGCAGCATTGACATCCAGAGCGTGGAGCCCGTGGACCAGAGGACGCGAGATGCCCTCCAGAAAAGCGTCCAGCTGGCTATCGAGATCACCACCAACTCTCAGGAGGCAGCTGCCAAGTAGGGAACCTCTCCGGGGGGTGGGGTGGGGGGACCCTCAAGCCGACACTTCCCCAGCTATGCTCCAATCCATGTGACACTTCCTTGGCCAAAGCATTGCCTGGTCCCTCCTCCTCTTTGGCCTGTTATTCCTGTTCCCCCATCAGGACAAAATGTCCATGAAACAACCATCTGTCCAGAATTCTGACTCTGGAGCATCATGATACATGCAGTGTCATTTTGGAAAATCCTTAGAAATCATGCTAGTTGCTTTTTTAAAAAAAAACAACCAGTGTAATTCATAGCGACTTAAGACAACATGAAAACCACCCTAAAAATAAAACAGAAAAATCTAATACTCATTCCTGTTTTTAAAAGGCAGGACTGTTTTCTATATCCAGTGTGTGCGCACACATCCAGTATTTTGCATGGACATGGCATGTAGATTTCAAAATCCTGTACCAAATTAAAGCTGGTCTTTATGGCCACCAGGAATTACGCAGTTATCGCTCTCTTTCCATCCAAGATTAGCTCCCAGAGTAGCTCTCAATTAAAACTCACGCAAGTGGTACAATAAAATTAGGGATTTGGGAGGGGATGATCTCTTCAGTCCAGACCCCGGGCTCGGCTCTGCTCTGCTCTCATTCAAAGACAAGCAGCCCTCTCTGCTGGGCAGATGAAACAGCTGTGCACACCCCTCTCGTGTCCTGTTGCTTGTTCTGCTTTAGCTAGCTGTGAGAAGAGGCAAGGAGCTAAACACGGCTCTGCAACCACCGGAAATCTGATTCGGGCATCTCTCTGGCTTCTGAAATTTCAGCAGGTCATTGAGGTGCCACACTTTCAAGCATGTCTTGGCAGCTGCATGGGCAGTTTAAGGCTTCCCAAGCTCCTTTCTTGACTCCATCCAAGTGTCGACATCTATTGCTTTCAAAACATCCAAGCCCCACAAGGAGTTTTCCCTTGTCCCTCTCCATCTTCCTGACCCTTCCACAAGTGGCAAGCGGTCTCTCCCACCCCCTTTCCCTTTCAGACCACCAGAGCTTCAGACCGAGAGAGGAGGGCGGCAACTTTTTTGCAGTCCTTCAAATGGATGAATCTCTGCCCTGCCCACTCTGCCCTTCTGTTTTCTCCTTCTCTGATACCATTTTCTTTTCCCCACATCTCAGGCACGAAGCAGAGAGGCTGGAGCAAGAGGCTCGCGGGCGTCTTGAGCGGCAGAAAATCCTTGACCAGGCCGAGGCCGAACGGGCCCGGAAGGAGCTGCTGGAGCTGGAAGCACTGAGGTGAGCGAGTCAGGACTGAGAAGGGGCCAACCCCGAAGGGGCCCTGAGTGTCGCATGGGCCTGGCGGCAGATAACGCCCAGGGGGGTTTCACCTTCCCTCACTCCTCTCCCCACAGCACAGCGGTCGAGAGCACTGGGGCAGCAAAGGCCGAAGCCCAGTCACGGGCAGAAGCTGCCCGGATTGAAGGTGAAGGGGCAGTACTGCAGGCCAAGCTGAAGGCCGAAGCCACGGCCATAGAGACGGTGAGCTCCTCTGTGTCCTCTTGTGGTTCCTTCCTAGTCTTCCTTCCTCTTGGTGCCAAGACAGTGGTGGCTCTCCTGTTCTCCTCTCTAGCACAGTGCAGTGGTACCTTGGTTCTCAAACTTAATCCATTCTGGGAGTCCGTTTGACTCCCGAAACCGTTCAAAAACTAAAGTGTGGCTTCCAATTGGCTGCAGGAGCTTCCTGCACTCAATCGGAAGCCACGTCCACAAACCGGAACACTTCCAGGGTTGCGGCGTTCAGGAGCCGATTTGTTCGACAGCTAAGCCGTTCAGGAACCAAGGTACCACTGTGTCGTGGGCTGCTGGGAAAACTCATCTGAAAACTTATGTTGACTACTATAATTTCTTCTTTTTTGTGTTCTTTTTTTAAAATCTCCAAAGCATTTGTCACTAAACAGTTTTTTATACATACATAGTTTCTTCTTGACTTCCCACCCCTTCTTTCCTGATGTTTGTTTTTTAACTCCTTTTTATTAACTGTTTCGATAATCCACGGCTTATATTTCAAATCCTGCCTACGACTTCATGTATGGGTGATAATTTGACAGATAAATCCATCTGTGATCTCATTTCCTCCTTAAACACTTCGTCATTGTGTCCTTGTAATTTAGCAGTCAATTCGCCATTTTTCCAACTGCTATAATTTCCCTTCCAACTGTCAGAAGCTTGCTTACTCTCTTCCTTTCTGTGCTTAACTCATAACTGCACCTTTAGCCTAATAATAGCGTTGTTTTGGTTCTCTGTTTTGTTAGCACAGTTCTCTAGCGCTTGCCAGGGTTGGGGCATTTTGCTACAGTAGTGGATTTTTTTGCACGGAGATATAGTTGAGTTGGACGGCATGCTGAGATCCATTTCAGCTCTAGCATTCTACCCTTGTCTGAGTGGAATTAAAAATTCCTGATTAAGAAAATGTTTCTTAATCAATACATCAAGAACACTACACTCGGGAACGCCTGACCTGGAGACTTTTAAAATTCCATGGCTCAGCTATTCCAGGAGCCTTTGGCTCGGTGGCTCCTTCGGCGAGCCCTAGGCCCTGGCAGCTGCCCAAATTTGTTTAGAAGAAATGATGGCTGTATTAGTGGCACGTTTGAATTTTTAAATACATTGACTGAATCCAGAAGTGCCTTTCTCAATACAAAAGCCATCTTCCTCTTGTCGAAGTGGTGCCTCTCTTTATACCCTTGTCTCCAGGACATTGGGAAAGAAAAGTGGAAAATAATAATAAATGCTTTTCCTTTGGTGTAAAGCTCTTCCATAATTGGAAGTATGAGACCCAGTTATCAAGACTGCATGCCACACGCTGCTCTGCTTCTAGGCTCTTGTGCAGATGTTTTAACGTAGAGCTGGCTTAAAAACTGTGGCCCTCCAGATGTTGGTGAATTCCCAACTCAAGCTACCTTGAGTCCTGCCAGGGGGAAAAGCGAGGTATAGATAAATCTACAATAATATATAATAATCGGCCACCATGGTCAATGGCAAGGAATGGTGGGAGTTGTAATCCAAGGCCATCTGCCCCTGGTTTAAGGAACTGTGCTAGTGGACCGCTTTTGCTTCCACTCAGATGTTTGGATCCAAACCAATGTGTCCTCCTAGGTGCAATGTTTATTTCAGAAAAACAACCCAAACCCTTTTATGCCGGTTGTCCTTGTCCCATGTGCTGAGCATCTTGCGCACTCTCTTCCCCACCATCCCTTGCAGGAGTCAGAACTGAAGCGCCTGGACCGAGCGCGAGAGCAGGAGCTGCGCTTCTGCAAGACTCAGGCTGAGCTGGACGTGGCTCGGGCGGAGGCTCTGGCCGCTGTTGAAGTGAAGAAATTTGAGGCTGTGATAAATGCGCTGGGGGCCAGCACTATCCGTGACATTGCTGTGGCCGGCCCAGAGATGCAGGTGAGAAGCGAGGAGAGGAGAGAGGGTTCTGGAGCAATAGGGAGGGGTTCTTTAGAAGTGTGTCACTTTTATCGGGGAAGGAGCCGTAGCTCAGTGGCAAAGCTTGTGCTTGGCCCCAGTTCTATCCCTGCTGGCGGCTTCCGTTAGGAAGGATCTGGCAACAGGTGATAGCCTGCCAGGTGGAGTAGAAGATAACTGAACTTTTTCTAAAGCAAGTAACTTGACCTGGTCTAATGACTTGAGGGATGTGGGGGGCAAAACAGAACTTGAGTGTTAGCGACAAAGAATCCTAAGAGATTGCTATGTTTTGGCCAAGGGGATTGATGAATTATCTCACTAATCTTGGGCAAGGTCCAAGGGTGGTCGTGGACCAGATCCAGGCATTCTTGGAGGAAAATGATTTTCTAGATCCTTTTCAGTCGGGGTTCAGGTCTGGTTTTGGCACAGAAACTGCTTTGGTTGCCCTGTATGATGACCTCTGTTGGGAGAGAGACAGGGAAAATGTGTCCCTGTTAATTCCCCTCGACGTCTCAGTGGCTCTCAATACCATCGGCCACTGTATCCTTCTGGAGTTAGGAGTGGGTAGCCCTGAGTGCCCAGCTGCACCCCTATCTGCAGAGGGGTAGCCTAAGTTTGGTTGTCTGTGCTCTAGTAACCTCTAGATTAGATTACTGCAAGACATTATATGTGGGGCTGCCTCTGAAGATGGTTTGGAAATTTCAGCTGGTGCAGAATTTGGCAGCCAGGCTGCTCACCTGGGCAAGATGATTTGAGCGTATTATACTGATCATGGCCCAACTGCACTGGCTGCCAATGAGTTTCCAGGCCTAATTCAAAGTGCTGGTTTTGACCTTTAAAGCTTTAAATGGCTCAGGACTACCTCTCCCCATATGACCCAACCTGGACCCTGCAATCATCCTCTGAGGCCCTTCTTCATGTGACTCCTCCATGAGATGTCTGGAGGGTGGCCATTTCTGTGGTGGCTCCCCATTTGTGGAATGCCCTCTCCAGGGAAGCTTGCCTGGTGCCTTCATTACATATCTTTAGGCCTTTGGCTGATTGATGTTCTATGCCTTTCAAAATGTGTTAGTGGGAGGGGGGGGTTATTGGTTTTTGTTATTTTATTTTATGTCCTCATTTTATATTTTTAGGTTGTGCCCTGTGATCTTTGGATGAAGGGTGGTATACAGATTTAATTATATTATTATTAATAAAATAAATTATCTTCCATGCAGGCAAAACTACTCCAGGGCCTGGGCATTCAATCCACACTCATCACAGATGGTTCTTCCCCTATCAACCTTTTCACAGCTGCAGGAGGATTGTTGGGGATTTTGCCCAAGCCTTCTGAGACCTGATAGATCCTGGAGATGGATGCTTCCCTTCCGGATGAAAGCTTTCTTTAAGTACCTTTGCAAACAACATAGAATGTAATAATTTCCCCAGGCCATCGGAGCCTCCTTTGAATGTGCCTTTTTTTTGTGTACAAGTATACAATAAACACTGAAGCAATCTATTCTATGTAATTTCCTTACTCATTTTCATTTAAAGTATGGAGTTGTCGTCTTGTGGGAACATTGATCCTGGGTTTGTTGGGGGGCGGGGAGAATCTTGGCTTTTAAGTGAAGGAGGGAGTGTTGGTCAGAGATGGGAGGCACATCCATTGTGAGGTCATAGAAAGTGGGTGTGGCCAGGAGAGCAGCTATGCTGAGCAGAAGGCAATTTCTGCTACTCCAGCTCCTGTACTCTTTTACAAATCTTCCTGAGCTGATCCTGAGTAGTCCTCGGCTTGTGACAGGTGAACACAGGTCTTCCTCCACTGGGCATCCTTCCACCCCACTCATCCCCAGCAGCAGTGAGTGCTGCAGAAGTGACCATGGCTCAGTGCTATTCCTTTCAGGCAGAAGATCCCAGGTTCAATATCTGCATCTCCTGTGAAAAGGGTCTGGAGCAGGAGATGATGGGGAAGACCTTCCAGCTGAGATGCTGGAGAGCTGCTGCCAGTTGGGGTAGACAATATGGATCTAGGTTTAAGGCTGCTTCCTAGACCTTGCCTTATGAACCCTGGAATGTTTCATCTGGCTGTGTGAAGGGTCTCTCCACAGTATAATTTCGACCCTGGGCATTTCCACGCTACTCGTTTTAAACTGCTTTAATTGGAAGCCATAACAGGGAGTCCTTGGATTCTGATCTAGAAATGTGTCAACAATCTTGCATTATTTTTATATGGCTAGAGATGGTTCCAGCCCTGAACCAACCGAGTTAAGGCCCTTTGAAACTACTTTACATGTTATACTTGTTGAAGTGATATAGTTACTGCCAAAATTCCCCATTACCACAGTAGCTTCCAAATAGGTTCTCGGTGGAGATTATCGTCCCAATAAGGTTCTGATGATGTTGGATTGCTGAGGCCTCTTTCCTTCTCCACGTTCATCTTGCAGCACAGATTGTCGCAGGAAACATTTGCTCCTTTTTAACTTCCGCTCTTGCCCAAGCAAAGTAAAGGGCTGCGTGGGGCAACTGTTCGCGAGGCCAAAAGGAGTTCTCTGTGGGTTGTGTGTGGCCTAAATCAGGGCTACGGCAAAGCATTAGCGTTGTGTGGCTGGCTGGAAGAGAAATATTCATTGCTGCTGCAATGCAAGGGCATGACTGTTCGTGGAACAGGAAATTAGTAGCAAATGTTTCCTGGAAAACAGATTTTTTTGTGTGTGCTTGCGTTTGTAATGAGGTCAATGGACTAAGCACAGGAATGCTAAAAGCGCCCACTGATGGGAGGTGCTTTTGGGGCCCACAGCTCGTGCAGGAAACCCAGGGAATGCCACCAAGACGGATTTGTCCCAACATCAGCCGCTCTGGTTTGATTATCCCGACACGGATGAGAAGAAGATCCTTGCCGTTTACAAGCTCATTGGAGAGCAGCCTGAGTATATTCCCCCAAGTGAGTCCCCCTGCCACTCCTGTCTCTTGACCCTCTCTCAAATGCTCCCTCCCCAATAGCACCTGCAGGGGAGGGGGCTGAGCACAGCCTTTGCAGGCACCAGGTCCCAGCAGGTTTAATCCCTGGCATCTCCAGCTGAGAGCTGGGAAAGACCCAGGGTGCCAATGATGGCCTGAGTTGACCATATTAGGCTAGGTGGACTAATGGCCTGATTCCCCCTGCTCTATGCCTAACCTCTGCTCTCCTCCCTTTCCAGAATGATTCAGGGCTGCTTTGGGCTTCCTCCTCCTTGCCCTGTGCTCTAGCCTTGCCCTATTTCCCCGTGACAAACCAACCCTCCTCTTCTCTGCCCCCTACAGGTTCATTCCCTCACCAGCTGCGTTATATCCTAGTGGGATCCATTATACTCATCCTGCTGTTCTTCCTCTATCAGATCATATCTAAAGTGTACGTGTCATTTTGGTCGGTGTATGTTATGCTGCAAGTATTCTCCCTGCCTCCTTATTGCCTTTGGATGTCATTATTTACTCCCACCTCCACGGATGGAATGACACCCCCTCCCCTTCTTCTTCCGCAATTTCATTCAGGATCTTCAAGAAGTCAAATGCAGGATAAACATCCAGGTGATCAGCAGATATGGCTCTGTAGCCAGCCAACCACTCTTTGTCATTTCCTCTGTTCAATAAAAGGCTATTGAATGAGGGGTTCTTTTGCGATTGGTGTGATGTGCCAATGGAAAATCAAAGGGGGAAGGGGAGCTGGGATTGGCAGGTATTGGTTTATGGGGCACACGAGGGCTTAAACAGCAGACAGACCTAAGTTCAGGACTGCGAGCGGCCTGTGGAAGGCTTAGCAGGGAGAAGAAAGACACACATTGGCCCTCTGCTGGCATTAGATAAAGGCTCCTTTAATACTTTTGCAGACCTCAGGTTATAAATACAGCCCGCCCACCCCCTATTTACAGCTGGATCCCTGCCCCATGGAATGGGCGTTCCTAGGAGGGAAGAGGGAAGGGGTTGGTGTGCCGAACAGAGGAGGAGGTGGAGGCAAGAGGCTTGGTTATTGCTAGGTGGAGGGAGGGGTGGGTGCATGTTAGGAAGCACACCTCTTGGAACCCTCCCAGTGCAAGGGGATACATTTTATACAGCATTTGGGGGTTTTCTGGGCAGGTGGCATCACAGTAATACTGAAGATCACTTGCAATTTAGCAGCATCCAAAAATTCCAGGGTGTTTCCCTATCAGCTACCCTACAACAATTCCTAATTCTGCTGATAGAACCCCTAACAATACAGTGTGAGGAAATCCAGACTATTTCCCTGCCCCTTTTAATAATAGCTGTGATACTGTGACTCTATGGATAATAGTATAGAAAAGCCCCCGTTGTCTCTCTTCCCTACCTCCCCACCCCCATCACTAGCATCTCTCTCTGTTCCCAAGAAACAGCACCACCCCACCCAAATAACTGAGTTGTCTCCTTGCCTAGTATGGGCTCAGGTAGTCCTGGGGTGCTCACAGCATTGTGTGGAAATAAATAGCACATATATTATTTGGGGAGGTGATTTACGAGAGCCCATAACACACTAGAGATGCCTTGTTCTTATCTTGCAGCCTCAAATAAACTTCATCCATGTACCCTGTTCTCAGCCCTCCTATATAACCACTGGCCTGAAAGTCCCTCTGTAAAAGAAACATCATATATATATATATATATATATATATATATATATATATATATCCCTTTGGTTTAGGACTCTACCCCCATCCCCACCCCCGAGGAGTTTCAAAATACTGAGTGTTACCATATTAGAGGGCTGCCTTTAGCAAAGGAACCCCACACTGCACCAAAGGACTATTGTCTTTGTCCCTTCTGAATACTTTACTGGAACCCCCTGCCCCCCGCAACGCCTTTCCAGGCCTACCCAAATCCCCTTTGGCCTAGGAGCCCACTCCCCCAATCCATCCAGTCCCTCCCATACCCCAATAAATAAATAAGTTAGAGGAAATGTGGTCTGTCCGTCTGTGGCTGAGGAGGGAGAGGTATCATCAGTCCAGCACCTGCGTCTCTGGTCTGTGCCCATTTCGCAGCACCTGATCCTTGGCAGCGCCCTGGGAGCGGTATACGCGGAAAGCGCCACGGCATATGAGGCCAAACCAGTAAACCTGGGGCGCCATGAGGATGGCCGATCCCAAGTTGTACTCGGCGGGGATGGAGAAGGGCACGCGATAAAGGGGCAGGCCGGCATAGTGCCCGTATACCCAGTACATGTAAGGAAAGAGCAGGATCCGGCAGCAGAAGAATGTGATCAGCATGATTATCCCATTCACCTTATGAAGAAGGGTGTGTTGCTGCTTGTACTGTGGCAGGAAAGAAGAGGAGGGGTTGAGAGGGCAGTCAGGACACAACCAGCTCCCTCCAGGAAGCCCAAGAACCTGCTCTGCCCCGCTGGGTTCTCATTCCTCTCCCCAGAAAACCCACAGGACTGGGCCATACTTACCAGGATGAGGACTTTGCCGAGGCAGACAAAAGGGGTGCTGAGCTCAGCCATCAACATACAACCCAGGAAGAAATCGCCCTTGCCCTGGCGCCAGAGCTGAAGTGGGGGAAAGCGAAAAGGGTGACTTTTGGGGGGTGGGCGTTAGCAGCCTCTAAAGCACACAGCCCCTCTCTGCTCCATGCATCGGCATCCCATCCCATCCCTTCCTCGCCTCCTCCTCCTGTGGTCAGAGGTTCCCACGCCAGGCCACACTCACCACGGACATGGGGAAGCAAACCAGCACCATGAAGAGATGGTGGACCACCATGAGGAACTCCTTGTGCAAGTAGGTGCGGACGACGGTGCGCAGCGTCCGGGTGCCGGCCGACTCGTGCCCTTTGACCCGGTACTTGTGCCAGTGGCACAAGAACATGGCGTAGATGTCGTAGATGAAGTAGGGGATGGCAAACTGGGTGTAGGAGGAGGTCAGCCAGTGCCTGCAGAAGGAGGAGAAAGAATGCTAGGGCAGGGGAAGGTTGTGAGCAAGACACAGTCCTGGCAGTGACTCAGCAGGGAATTCCAGTGGGGGGGGGAGCAGGAGGAGCTGCCCCGCCCCCTTGGAACAGGCTCACGGCCATGATCAATGAGTATTGATGACCTGCTGATGCGCTCTGCTCACACAAGGTCAATGAGAACAAAGCCTTGCCCATTACCCCCCAAGTTCTTCCATTCCTGCTCTCTGCTCTCACAATGCTGGGCTCTCTGTGGTTTAACAGCTCCCTGTTGTTTCTCCAAGCCACGCTGACCACGGCCATAACCAAGCTACGGGCTGCCATTCCCACCTCACCTTGTCCTGACATTGCCTTTCAATCCTGACTGTAGCCCCACTGCCACCCCCAGTCAGGGCACCCTCAATCCCCTTAGATCCGGGATATTTTGTCTGACTACCGGCAGCGAACCATGCTTCCGACCTTGTGCTTATTTAGAAGTCCACAAGTTCTATAAAAGGTAATAGGATTAATGTAAATAAGTCCAGGACATTGGCCTTAATCCTATTCCATTTCAGGTGATAAGAGGGGAATTCAGGGACTGAAAAAGGTGCTTCTAGCCCTGATCCCTTTCCCCCTTCAGGCTGAGAGGAAGGCAAATGGAGTGCTGTTTCTTTAAGTCTGGGCTGTGACTTCCTTACTGCCACCTCCCCAGCTGACTTCTCGTCACTCTCCTCCCTCACCACTGCAGCCTGCCTGGGCATTTGTGCTGATGGCTCCATGCAAGGTGATTAGGCCAAATGCCAGAGAAGCAGCCAGGATGCTGCAGTGCTATGCGGGATGCAGGGCCCAAGAGACGCTGTGGGGTGCTCAGCTTGGAGACCAAAATGGGGCAGGTGGGATCCAAGCAGAATTCAGATGGGGTGGAGGTGGGGGCACTGGTAGACGGTTTCTGTGCTACAGGACTGCAAAGATGATATCAGGAGCCCGGCACTGGGGTCAGTTAAGGGAACGCTTCGAAAGAGTTGAAATCTTGCCTACCCTCACCCACATTGCTTCCCAACAGGAGATTCCCAGTGCAAAGGGCACAGTGAGAGCATTGTAATGGATATACAGAAATCTGGAAACTCTTCTCTTTGCCTTAAGAGAATCCTCAACTCCTGCCTCTAACTGCCTTGCTCTAACCAGCTGGAGTTTACTCTCCAAAAACCCAGATATCCAGCCTCCAGATGATGTAACCTGCTAGAGCCCACTCCCCCCTCTAGGGAGCCCAGGAATTCGTCATCACTGGTTGCCCAATAAAGCCAATTATGAATCCACAGAACGCAAATCAGCAGTAGAAACAGCTGTTGCTTTGGTCTAATCCCCTGCCCTGCTCTATCCTAGGGGAGAATTAGCACACGTGCCCCCCATTCTAGCCTGTCCTGGGGAAGGGAATAATCCCAGCTAAATTCATTAGCGTGAAATGAAGCAATCCTGATGGCAAAGCGAAAAGGGATGGCAGATTGGAAAAGGCCCAGACACATACACACCCCACACCTCTATCCCGTCCCTCTTCCAGGAGCTCTCTGGGTTCCTGCTGTGTTTATGGTCCTGCTTGCCCTGCAGAGCTGCCCTCTTGCCAAATTGGTCTCTGCAGAGACTGAGGTCTGGCAGCTGTCCTAGAATCCAGTGGGACTAGCGGCTCCTGCCCCTTTGCTCTCTCTCCAGCACACGCTCTGGGAATCCTCAACTCAGTTGCCCCATGAACTGCATGGGACCTTGGGAACGTTTGTGCAAGAGGGAACTGCCCATGGTGCTGAACTTAGAAGCTGGAAGAATGAGGCTGGCATTTCTGCAGCACCACGGACAGCGCTCTGTGCCACACAGGCCAATCTGCCTCAGTCATTGCCATTGCTTTTGCCCTGCTCTCTCTTTCCAGCACCCCCTGTTGGATTTGTAGCAAGTGGGAGCAGCTTTCAAAAACAGAGTTCATGACTTTACTCTCCAACTACCTCCCAAATGCCTTCTTATGGGGCAGAAACAGCAAGGCACTGTCCTCTTCCCACAAGCCACTGCTTCCACCAATGCTGTTCCCTACAGCACCTCCTGCTGGTAAGATTATTTCATTTCCTGTGCTCTGCCTTCCAGTTCCCTGTACTGACTTCTTCCCAGGCCTACTCCTTGCTGCACATCTGCCTGTAACATGTCACTGTCATCCTGTTCTAAATTTGGTGCCCATCCCGGTGAAGGTGTCAGGTTTCTCACTAGCGTGACCTTGCCAACACTCTGCTGGGCCGCGTTCAGAAAGTGAGGTTGAGAAAGGTGTGGGAGACACAGGGAGAGAGAGGTTACCGCACTGCAGTGCTGGGCTGGCATGCACACAGCAAATGCTGACTTACTGGTCGTCGATAATGTGCTTGCAGGAAGAGGAGACGATGTAGCCAACCGTGGAAGCCATGATGGCCTGCACCGAGGAGACAAACCTGTTGTAGGGAAGGAGGGGGAAACAAAAACAAAGTTAACTGCCATTGCCTCTCTCTTCTCTTGGACTCAATAGTCTGCTCCCCATTCCAGTTCTGACCCCGGGAATCCAGACCAGCAGACCTCAGAGCAATGAAATGCCCCATGGAGCTGATCTGGGCCTCCTCCACCTTGAGCCCTGCCAAGCACCTTCAAATCCATGCTCTTTGCCATCCCAGAACAGCTGCTATCTTAAGGTCATCTTAGGGGATCAGCAACAATTGCTAAGAGCCTCAGCTGCTCCGTGACCCTGACACGCAGCCTTGTCATGTGATCACCAGAGACTGCCAACCCTGGAGCAGCTTTTGAGCGCCTAGATATATGCACTAAGCAATGAGAGCAACCAGACATTCTGCCCCAGAGCGTCCCCCTGGAAGCACTGAGCAGACCAAGTGTCTTAACACTCCTGGAAAGCCCAGCAAACAGCCTTGATCTCCTGAAACACCCTCTTAACAGCAGATCCCCAGGAATCTCATCCCTCACAAGTCACAGACCTTGCCAAACCCTAACCCTAACTGTGGCTTCACCAATCTCCTCAATGCTGGGCTCCAAACATCTTGCTGAGAGGAACCCTGGGTTTATATGGGCTACTGCTTCTATTGGCTGTCATCGTGGGATAGCGACACCTCATCACCCAAGTTGAGCTTTAGCTCAGCTCTTGATTCCCAATTAATATGCCCCGATCTCTCCTTGAGAAACCCAGAGGTCTGGCTCATGGTTCCAGGCACTCCATCTCTCCCAGAGAATCCAGCAGATCTGTCCCTCTGCTTCCTTGCAGATATGCCCACGGATCCACTAGGGAAAGCCACTTTGCAACTTGCTGCACCCCATTCCAATCCCAACGGACCCAGGAAACCTGGCTCCCAACCCCGCCTCATTCTAGGACCTATTTTAAAAAAGAGCCTCATTAGAAAAACCTAGTTCATAGCCCATCCTCTCTATGCCCTTGTACCACTCCCCTTTCAAAGGAGCCTGCCCCTTTCCCTGACGCCCTGGACCCACAGCTTCCACCCTCATCCTTCAAGAAAATATGGGAGGGAAGAGTCCTAGCCCCTCACACCTGAGGCCTGCTGGATGCCCACCCTCGCCTGATGCGGCCCACCCTCCGCTGCTGGACCCTGGCTGCATCCTCCCTCCCCTGGCTCCCTGGTTACCTGGCGGAGACGATGACCGCGTCGGCCTCCTCCCATCGCAGCCATGGCAGCCACTTGAGGCCGTTCTTGGACAACAAGAAGAGGCCGGGGAAGACAATGCCCCCTGCTACCAAGGCGTGAAACATCTCGCTCAGGCTGCAGGGTTGAGGGGGGAGGAGGAGGAGGAGGAGGAGGAGGGGGCCACACAGATGGGGAGGGTCAGCAGGGCTAGGATCCCTCCAGGCGCTCCCCTCGAGGAAGACTCATGGTATCCAAGGGGGCGAGGGGGGGATGGAGAGGGAAGGGGGGGATGGCGGTGGTGTGCGGGTTGGTCCCAAGCAGAGCTGCTGTGACAGACAGAGAGACAGAGCCAGGGGAGGGAGGGGGAGCAGGGAGCAGCTGTCAGCACAGTGCGGGAGGGAACTTAAAGAGACAGTGGCCTGTGGTGTGTGGAGGGACTGGCGGAGGAGAGGAGCGGGCGGAAGGAGGATGCTGCGAGGATCAGCGCAGCCAGGAGCTCAGGGGGAAGCAGCGGCAGCAGAGCCCAGGAACTGGAGACAGGGGCTGCGCTGCCGCCGGAGGAGGAGGAAAGGGAAGAAGCGGGTGCTGATAGGAGGGAGGCAGGGAGAGGATGCGGGTTGGGGCTGCTGGACTCTATAGGTGGATCCGAAGCGGGGAGAGGTTTGGGGTGGTGACTCAGAGCGGGAGGCTTGGGACAGGGAAGAGTGGCGGAAGGAGGGAGAGGAATCTGCCCATTCATCTCCTTCAAACCCTCACCGCAGCAGGGAGTCCCCTGGGTTTAGCCTCTGCCTCTTTTAAACTGGGAGAAGCTGGCTAAGAAGATTGGGGGTGGGGGGAGGAGGAGGCATTCCCCCCCATTTGCGGCTAATCAGGCAGCAGAATTAACCCCCTGAGTGCCACATCATCCCTTCCCCTCTCTCTCCCTCCCTCCCTCGCTTAGCAGGAAGTCGTGCTCACAGGATGATTTAGGCTAATCCTATAATCCCAGCCTGGTTTGTGAGGAAGGATCAGGTCTCTGATGTGGGAAGTGGGAGGGTGTTGGGGGGGAAGAGAGAGAGGCAAAATCAAGGGGGTGGGTGGGGGCAATTAACCCTTTCCACTCCCAAAGCATTAGGGACTAATCCTCCAATAAAGCTCCACCTGCTGAGCAGGTGACCCTGATGTGACCTTTGATAGGTGGGTGGAAAGAGCCTGGCAAGTGCCTGTGGAACTAACTAAAGCAATACTGACACCTTGTGCTGGACTATAGGAACTGCAGCAGGTGGGTTTCCCAAAGAACAGAGGTGACCTGGTTTTATGAATTGCTTTAACCCATTTCTAAGGTGGGCCAAAGATATTACCTACAGGAGCTGACCGGACTGGCAGCTGAATCTTGCTTTGAACTTCAGCATAGGACTGCCTCTCCACTATATCAGAAGGCAAGGGCACACAGGGCTCCTTCCTTCAACACCTCATCATTGCTCCATCCTTCCCACCTTTCACCCCCATCTGATGAATGGTAGGGCCATCTCTCTCTCTCTCTCTCTCTCTCTCTCTCTCTCTCTCACACACACACACACACACACACACACACACTAAGAGAATCTGGGTGTCCAGGTAGTCTCTCACTTGGCAGATACATAGACTGCATTGAGCTCCTCCATTTTCCCAAAGCGACGCAGAAACCGATACACTGTGTAGAAGAAGCTAGGATAGGCCGCAAAACCCAGGAGAAAGAAATAGGGAAATTCTATCTGCAAAAACTGGGAGTGGGAGAGAATGTCAGAAATTAGATTAGTCTCCTAACTAACAGAAGATTCTCCTCCAATAAAAAGTCAGCACATCACTCTGGTCAACAAAGTACAACTATTCCGCTGGTTATTTTGGTCATCCCCCCCCCCCCATATATAAATTATTGGAGGAAAGTATTGTAGCGGCTGGTAGGCATGACAGCTAAGGCATGGTGCAACAAGGCAAGCTTAGGCTATGGAGTCCATGGTCTCCAAGGAACCACCTTCATTTGGAAATGTGCATTACTTCATTTGCCAACAATGCTGTGTTTAGGGGCCCTTCTACTTATTCTGCTGAGAGGGTCCCCCCAAAGTCCCACCCTGTTGGCATCAGTTGTAATGCGGACATGGTTGCTCCACGGACAGACGCAAGACACCTCTGCTAGCAGATGCCAAGAACAAAGGACAAGAGGGTCTCCCTGCTACACTCTGCTTGTGAACTTATTGAGCTGGATACAGGATGCTGGGCTTGACAAGACCTTTTGCTCCATACAGGAAGGCAGTTCTTATTGTGCTCTCAGCCAGCCAGTTCATTGTGAGCAAAGTATACTTTCTGTTAAAATGAAGATTTTCACACTGCAACCCTAGAAACATGACTGCCTAAGAAAGTCAGTCCCATGTACTTCGATGGGGCTTGCTCCCTGGTTACAGGATTGCAGCCTAAATTGACTTAATCAAAAGCAAGACTGGAGCATAGTAAGAACTGCCTTGCTGGATTGGACCAAAAGGTCCATCGATAACTCTTACATTCCAGAGCTTTTCAACTAATTGTGCCATTATTTCCTGGGTCGTCCTGTCCTTCCCCTTCTCCCTGCCCCACTCTCCACCATCTGCTGCTAGAGAAAACTGAAATTTCCTTTGCTTCTGGAAGAGAGGAGCCTCTTCACTGGTACAGAAATCAATGAGGGACAAATGTGCACATATTTGACCTCAACCAACTCACCTGTTCCCATGCCATCCTAGCAAAGACAGCAGTGGTCACAAATGATATCCCAACCATCCGCTGTCCTCCACATCTATGGAGGGTATTTCATGTTGGCAAGAGATCTTTCCCTAAGGGACTAATGAAGATGTAATTGAAATCTCACAGCTGAAAAGGATTCTACTTAAACCACATATTATTTCTTGAATATATTATTGATTTAATTTGTATACCACCTTGCCTACCCAAGGTAAAGATATGTTTTCACATTCCTCCTGAAAGTTAATAAAAATGGAAACTGGCACAGCTCACTAGGGATGGCATTCCACAACCCAAGTGATCAAATCGTACTGGAACCAACAACTGAGGCAACAAAGAGATGCATTTCCTAACAACCCATCCATGACCTAGTGGCTAGAGCAGTGGTCCTCAAAAGGGTGTGGCGTATCACATGGGTTGGGCAGGAGAGGATGGCAGGAAGATTCAAGGGCAATCAATATTGTATCTGGGAGATGATTTGTGTTCTTATGCGTTGTTTTATACATTCTGGATGTCCCATGATCATACTATAAAGTAAAGGTAAAGGGACCCCTGACCATTAGGTCCAGTCGTGGCCAACTCTGGGGTTGTGGCGCTTATCTCGCTTTATTGGCCGAGGGAGCTGGCGTACAGCTTCCAGGTCATGTGGCCAGCATAACTAAGCCGCTTCTGGCGAACCAGAGCAGCGCACAGAAACGTCGTTTACCTTCCCGCTGGAGCGGTACCTATTTATCTACTTGCACTTTGACGTGCATTCAAACTGCTAGGTTGGCAGGAGCTGGGACCAAGCAACGGGAGCTCACCCCATCGTGGGGATTCGAACCAGCGACCTTCTGATCGGCAAGTCCTAGGCTCTGTGGTTTAACCCACAGCGCCACCTGCATCCCTTATATTATAAAGTAGGTGTGTTCTATGATATAAATCAAGCACTTCTATTTTTTGTTTTGTTTTCCAATGTGTTTCTTATCAATAAAAATCCAGTGTGGTGCAAGCAAATTATTATTATTATTATTATTAACTGAATTTATATACCTCCCTTTACCCAGAGGTCTCAGGGCAGTTCATACTTTATTCTGAAAGTATTTCCCAGAGAAAAAGTTTGAGAACCACTGGGCTGGATTGTTAGACTCACACCATTCCCATTCCTTGATGAGGATCACTTAGGCTGGTCACTATCTCTCAGCAACAACCTCACAGGGTTGTTGTAATGATGAAATGAAGGGAGGTTATGCCTGCCACCTTGAGCTCCTTGAATAAAGGTTTGGATGGAAATGTAATAAATAAAACATATATTCACTCCTGTGGGATAAACGCCACAACACAAACATACAAAAAAAAGAAAGCAGCAGGTTTTATGCAAACACAGACACAATCCAAAGCTGTGCACTTTCCGATGTCATTGATCTCAGCAGTGCAACCCTGTGTGAAATAGCCACACTTTAGGTTTTCAAAAAGCCCTGGAAAACCCACTTGGTCTATGTGGCACTTTCGTATTACTTCATCCAGTTATTGTACTCCTTTTGGCTGACAGGTTTGTTAAGGTTGTGGCTACATTCAATAAAGTAGAGGGAAGTTTCATATAGTATTTTATCTTTGCGCTATGATGAAGTGCACCTCTAGCATATCTGAGGTATTCACCAGTATATTTTTAGTGGCATACCTGGTGTTGCATCATTGCAGCAAGGCTTCTGCCCTCTAACCCAGTGGTTCCCAAACTTGCCCTCCCCCCGCCACTTCGCCCCATGGGCCACATGAAAATTGGCAGACCGCTCTGCCTTTTGTAGCAATTTCAATGTATTGCACTAGATGCTGTATGATTTTTAATTGTAATTTCAGACAAGCTGTAGACCACCTGAATGAAGTTCGTCTGGAAACCACCATTTGGGAACTTCTTTAGGCCCCCAGCAAGCGTAACTGAAGCACATAATTCTTGGGGGGGGGGGGAGTCTGATATTTGAAGATTTGGGCTGCAGTCCAACTCTCGAGTAGGTTAAGAATGGGCTGGGTAGGTTAAGAATGGGCTCTGCCACTGCTGAAATTCCTGCTGTCCTCGGTAGCTAGGACAAGACACCCCAAATGGAGCATTAAGGGCACAGGGACAGGCAGAGCAAGGACAGCCGATGAACCACTGGATATGGGATGGATTTGGTTCCCGCTGCTGTGCCAGCCGCTCTAGGGTCCCTGGGGCCACATGGCCCGAGGTTAGGATTGCTCAGCTAGTACTTCTGAGTAAAAAACACATAGTAATTTTCAAAACATTGGGGTATCTAAATGTTATTTCCCCCCGATTAGCAACCACTTAGTAACAATGAGTAAGTAGTTCAGCATGAAAACCTTTGGATAGGAACCAAAAGGGGAAGCTGTTAATACGCTGAAGTTTCAGCATTACAGTGGTACCTCGGGTTACACACGCTTCAGGTTACATACGCTTCAGGTTACAGACTCCGCTAACCCAGAAATAGTGCCTCGGGTTAAGAACTTTGTTTCAGGATGAGAACAGAAATCGTGCTCCGGCGGCGCAGCGGCAGCGGGAGGCCCCATTAGCTAAAGTGGTGCTTCAGGTTAAAAACAGTTTCAGGTTAAGAACGGACATCCGGAACGAAATAAGTACTTAACCCGAGGTACCACTGTATATCGGGGGGGGGGGGGGATGACATATTTTCTACTACATAAATGAACCGTAGGTGTCAATTTCATAGAATGGCAAGAGACCAATGAGGGTCATCTAGTCAAACCGCCTGCAATGCAGAAACCTTTTGCCCAATAGCCCTGAGATGAAGAATCTCTTGCTCTACCAAATGAGCCATCCAGTGCGAAGGGTGAAAATCCATATATATATTTTTTACGAGAACGAGGCACCTAAATGACTAGCTTACCCACCTTCAGGAATATTAATGCAGCGACCTAAATATTTTCTTATGAAGGCAGATCTGCGTATATATTTAAACGACACTTTCAGTTATTACATATGCACCGCCATCCACCTGGGCGCATCTGAGTAACTCTGCATGTCCGCTCTCCTTCCCGCCCAGTCCTGGGGCTAATTAACGAGGGATGATTAATACATTTAAATTATTGCAGCAAATGTCTGCGCAAACTCAAATCACGGCCTGCCCTCCTCTCTCCTGCCCTCTCTGCGCATCTAACGTATTGCACGCAGCCCGCCCCACCCCGGGCCTAACTGCCCCTTCAGATAGTTTGTGGTTTCCGTGGCAACAACGAACCGCCAACAATAGCGGGGGCACGGGGAGGTGGAGGGGTGGAGTGGAGCAGGAGAGACGCTTTGCGCATGTGCAAAGAGCTGCAACCCGTTTTCGAGACAGATGCAGGAAAAGTGAAGAGGGGGCAACGCGGTTTTTCCGAAGGGTTCCTTTCTCTCTTTTTCTCTCCCTCCCACACCCCACCACCACGTGGGGGGGGGGGGAGTGCTGCCCGTAGCAAACAAAGAAGATCGCAGCTCCGTAGCCGAGGCTCTAGGTGGGATCGGAGCTCCCCCTCCCACATTTCTCACCTCTGATTGCCGCCCCCCCCCCCGCCCGAAACAAAAGAAGAATTGTAATTTAGTGCGGAAAATGCGTTTAAAAAGAAAAACCCTGGCAACGCCAATGTAGCCCGTTAATCATTCTCATTCTTGCAGGCTGCGGTACTGCGAGAGGGAAAGAGCGCTTTGCAACAACCCTGCAATGTCGCCACCCCGTGAAATATTGTTGCGTTGATATCAATAATTTGTATTGATTTGGGGCTTTGATATTGTATATTGGGTTTCTATTTCTTTCCTAAGCTGCTATGGGCATTCACTTGGAAGAGCGGAGTAGAAGTATCCTAAAATAATAATAATAATAATAATAATAATAATAATAATAATATAACGGGGAAGCTGTTCTGCAGCATCTCCTCTGCGTTTCTTAATTACAAACCCTCACGCAAAATACCCTTCAGACTGCAGGAAAGCCGAATCTGCTTAAATTGTTCCCCGAGGCGAGGCCAAATCCTGTGCTCAGTTGCACGCAAAATCCTGGGGCTCCGTCGAATCGCATGCATGCAGATGGCTGGGTGTGCTGCACTTTGAAATGCTTAATTAAAAAAATGAAAATAAATACGGAACAACTCCCGAATAATAGTATGATCTCCTATTTTTGCTGCTGTTTATGGGGCGTGGACACTCCACTTCTCTGTCACACCTAACACTAAAATCCTGCATCAATTTCCCCCGTCATTTTCTATCAGCTGCGGCCTCTTTCTGTCCAGGAGGGGACCGAATATGACGCCCGAAGTAAACCCGCTGGCAGCCTCCGCGTTCAAGTCTTTTGTTTATAAGTCTATAATCTTCCTATTGAGCGCATGCGCTGCGCCGCGGTAAACGGCGAAGAAAACCGAGCGAATCATCCGCGCATGCGCCGCTCGTGGACTAACGACAGTCATGAACTTTTGAATATGATGCGCTTTCCGTTTTACCCCCACCCGGCCCCGCCCCGCCTCCTTCCCTCCACCTTTCGGGGCCTGATTGGTCGCTACAACGGGCCAATGCCGCGCTACAGAACACTCCCGTTGCTGGGTAGATTTCCTTCAATAGGTAGGACGAGTCTGTCTGGCGACGTTTCTGTGAGGACCGAGAGGAGAGTGGAGGAAAAGGCTGACGGTTTGGCGGGTTGCTGTTAGGAATGAACTGGGATGACGTTTACTCGAATGCAGGCAATAGGGGAAATTCCAGGCCACGAGTTTAGATGAAGGGCTTTGACTATTGTACCTCGAGCTGTTCTCCCCCCCCCCCCCGCACCAAAATGGAAGAGGCCCACTCGCTTCCCTTCTCGCTGACGTCACTTCTGGCGCAGGCGCCGCATTTCCGTTGACGCCACTTTTTTCATTCCTGTCCGAACTCTCGCCTCACTTCCGCGGAGGAACGCAGCGGCCTTAAGAGAGTTTGGTCGCAGTGGGAGCCCGTAGCGGGCCGCGCGCGCAGGTGCGGTTTCCAGGGCGACCGAGGGACGCCTTGGTATATTTACATACTGCATGGCTTCCAAGTTGCCCAGAGCAGCGTCTCCCCCTCTCCCGTTTTATCCTCACAACAGCCCTGTGAGGTAGGTTAGGCTGAGAGACAACGGCTTGAGCTCCAGAGCCCAGTTTAGTCTCGGCCATTCGCTCCACAATGCAGGAAGCCCGGGAAGCGTATGAACCTGATACGAATAAAGCTGCACAGTGAATGATAAACTATATTCATAAGGGAGTGGACATTAATGAGAAGAGACTGGAGGTTCATCAACATTGGGAGGAGGAGGAGGAAGGCCTGTTTCGTTTCCATTTGATCATAGAAAGAGGGAATTTTGAGGAAGGGAGGGATGCTATGAACAGGGAGAGGGGGTTGTGGGGCCAACTGTCAAAACAGAAGACAAATATTCCAGCTTCATTTCCTAAATAAAAAATTATTTATCCCAGTGACACTGAAACTTTAATACCATTATACATATGTGTGGGTGTTATAACAGCAATATAAGAGCTTTGGAGCCTGTTTGATCAGTCTCAATATGCTTGAGACCTCTTTGAAATCAGTAGCGTTCAGAGTTAATGTATATGCATGAAAGCTTCATGAAGAAAGTGAGTTTTAACTCTGTTGTTCAGTAAATTCTGACCCTCTCTTTTGATCTAGCAGACTATGGATGTTGTGCTCAAGAACAAGTGGAAGCATGGTCTATAATAGCTTCAAGTTATTTGTCTCTTCCTCGGGGCTATGAGCTATCCATGGAGCCTCCAGAGGTTGATGTCTAGTCCTTCCCCAACTGAGGAATGGCAGTAAGTAGAGCATTCTTACTCTGTATTCACACTGCCCTTCACTTCACTTCTCAAAGTGCCCCATCTCTCCTCTCCCAGTTTGACATGTGACTGAACTGAATTTAATAAATCTACTTATGAATCAATGAAGACTGATTTGAAAGCCATGTGTTAAAAGTCGAACATTTTGAGTTTGGAATATTGATTATTGTGGGATGCTGTCCATATAAGTTTTAGTATGTGATCCTCTGTGCCTCACAGATATTTGAAGGTTAGAAACTCACTAAACAGTACTATCTCTGCAGCTGCTGCTGCTGCCACCACTAAATTAAGAGGAATCACCTAACTTCCAAACATGTACTAACCTATGTCAGAGAAGCTATACACTTGGTGTATATGCTTCTGGTCAGAGGTTAAACATTCCCTCTGCCAATTTTCTGATATTAAGAACCTTCCAATTTCCCAGAAGGTATTTCACGTTAAGTCAAAAGCTGTATTTCAGTGCTCAGCCATGTAATTCCTTTATATGCTCTTCTTCCTCCACACCACTCCATACTGTAAACGTCCCTTCTCCTTTGGCTTTCCTCCCCTTACAGACTCCATCGCTGAACCCTCCACCAGACCTCCCTTTTGCCACAACCTTATTCCTGCCTCTCCCTGCCATCGTTTTCTTGGTCGTTGGATCCTACTTAATACTCCTGGCCCTGGTCCTTGTCCTCCGACAGTGCCTGATGGTAACTTGGGGAAGGGATGGCAATAGTTGAAAGGGCAAACACATTTGGGGATTTTTATAGGTGTAGTAATGAGAATAGATCTATCTTTTCCATAGTGCATTACAGCATACCATATGACAGTGCATTATGGGAGCAGTAGTCCTTTGGAGAGCAAGTAGAAAGGGGTAACAAATTCACATCGTTAATATTGTGTGGTTGGTGTTCTGACAATTTTGGATTGCTTGCAATCAATTCCGTAACAAATCATAGGAGCTCTAGCCTACGAGAGATGAAAGGAATTGCTTCTTAACTCAGGTTGCTTGGTTTCCTTCTCTTACCTCTTCACAGGCCCGGGGTCTTTGTGCCAACTGCTGTTCCTGTGAAAAGCGGCCTTGGCCAAACATGTGCGAATGCTGTTTGACCTGTGCAGAATCATGTGACTGTGCCCTTCCTTCCCCAACCCGCTGTATGGATCGCTACTGCACCTGTACTAATGTGAGTTTTCCCTCTGGATAATTGATCAGCTTTTTGGAAATACCTGAGACTAGTTCCCCCTGGGGTCATTTGAATACAGTGGTGCCTCTGGTTACTTCCGGAGGTCCGTTCTTAAGCAAAAACCATTCTTAACATGAGGTACACTTTTGCTAATGGGGCCTCCTGCTGCTGCTGCATCTCCCACTCACATCCCAGGGCAAAGTTCACAACTAGGGGCATCTATTTCCGGGTTAGCGGAGGTCATTACCCGAAGCATTCGTAAGAAGGACGGTACGTAACCCGAGGTTCCACTGCACACAGCAGTGTCCAGGTGGAAAGGCAGTCCAGGGCTTAGCAGATGAAAATGTGGGGAGTGGCAATGACTGGCCTTCATGTATGTTACACATTTGGGGGGGGGGGGACTTATTTTTTTGTTGGGGGGAGGAGAAGGGTGAGAGGGTATGGTTGCATGCTCTGTTACTCTGTGCTAAGAGGAGAGAGAGAGAGAACAATTCAGAGCAGAATAATACCTTGGCTTTTTAGAGCAAGGATGGCAAACCTGTAGTTTTCCAGATGTTACTTATTTAACAAGATTTATATAGCACTGAATTTTAAAAATCTCTATGCGGTATGCATAAATCAATATAATATATTCATAACAGCACTCATCAAATCAAACTTAAAAATGGGTAGACATAAAATTTATCAACATGTATAGGATTATGCTGCGTATTTTGAATTGTGCGGCAGCTCTACTGTTTACCTGTGTGTGGTGTGTTTGTGGATGTGGCAATGTCTGAATGTGGAATTAGATCGATATTCTGAGCTGGAGAGTGCATTTCCTATGGATCTCTAATTCTACCTGCATGAGTAACAAAGCCAGCAAGTTAGGCAGTAGCAAAGATGTGGTATTGCTGGAGAGATAATAAGCTACCTGAATAGTTTCAAGCAAAGAGGCTCTTGAAAACAGCAGCACTTGTTATTTACTAAAGCCCATACTCCTTAAAATCATATGCCAACCAAAACAGTATATATAATTTGAAAGGAGGAGAGGGACAGGCAAGAGGGATCTGTGTGGGAGGAAGAAAGATGAACAGGGTAGACCGACACTTACACTTTCTTTAGAGCTTGTCAGAGCTTCTCCAGGGAGGCTGTGACCTGCATGTTGAGAAACATTGAACTTACAGGTGTTCAGAGTGGAAAAATGTCAAGGCAACCTACCATGATATTCAGACCTATCCTTTGCTGGTATCTTATCTTCAGACAATGCCTATTTATTAATTTAAAATATTTATACCCTGCCTTGCAACAGTCTTGTAGTAATCATTATTCAGTATTTCCCTGAGTCCAAGTTTAGTGAAGGATGCTGTAACATCTTGATGCAGGTATTTCCATAGGTTAACAGTGTACAATTTCTGTCTCTTACCAGCAGGGCTGGGAACCAGGGGCTTGTTCCTTTCCTCGCTTGTGTCCACTCTGCGATTGTGCCTGCACATACCAGCCCCCAGACTGCCAGAACATCAATTGCATTTGCTTTGAGATCAAACTGCGATAAAGAACTCAAAATAACAAAAATATTATGTCTGTGATTTGGGAGTGTGGGAGGATTTGGAAGTCTCCATACCAGTGGTGGATCCTACAAGCGGTGGACAAGTAAAAAGGGAAGTTAGTTGCTCAGCCTGACATAATTAACTTGTCCTGATGCAAGAAGTTTTGAAACTGAGCTTTTTCTTTTTCATGTTGATTTTTCAAGTGCTTTTGTACTTTGTACTGCATGTTTGATATTAATGTTTTTATATGAATTGCTGCATTTTATAATAAAGCAGGTTGAGTATCACTTGTGTCTCTCTTTAATGAGAATGCAAATGGAGTCCATTTAATAGACCTTTGCTGCATGGAGAAGTTTCCTAAACTCAGAAAGTGCTGGGAAGATATAAGAACAGAAATTGAAGAAATAATGGGCTATACTTTACCCAAGGGTCCTCTAATTTTCCCATTTGGGTATGCTCAAGAAGCTCTTTTAATAGAGGACAGGGAATGAAGACAACATATCTTGATGGCTGCCAGAATTATTATTTGTCAAAATTGGGGGAAACAGAGCATCTATGAGGTAAAAAATAATTAAAATATGGGACACAGTATGCATGGTTAAGCCATAGCTGTCAACTTTTCCCTTTTCTTGCGAGGAATCCTATTCGGAAAAAGGGAAACGTTGACAGCTATGGGTTAAGCTCACACATGGTTGGAACCAGAGAGGGTAGACAGCAAGATAACAGATTTATGGAGAAATAGAGTCTCTTTGTAATGTACTGGAACCATAAGGTACAGAATAATGCAGTTATTTAGAACCTTGATCTGTTATACTTATTTTCATACGGACATTGGTTTTGCTATGTTCAGTTCTAAATACACCTTATAGTTATGTTGTTGGCATTTGTTATATTTTGTTGTGTTCCACAAACACACACTAACAGCTCTAGGCAAACATAGAGGGGAATGAGCAAAGGAAAGTGTAAAAGGATCATGAAGAGATTGGGGAATAGGGTTGTACTGGAAAGTCTGTGCCTAGCCCTGAGAATGTTCCTGGGAAGCTGAGGTGCCCTGGCTGTCTGAAGAGACTAGCATGTGCTACCTTTTAGTTCTGCAGACCTAGGGCCATCAAGGATAACGTATGGTTTCTCATAGAATCATAGAGTTGGAGGGGCCACAACAGTCATCTAGTCCAACCCACTGCAATGCAGGAATCTTTTGCTCAACGTGGCGCTTGAACCCACAAACCTGAGATTAAGAGACTCATGCTCTACTGACTGACCTTTCCCAGCTAACAGGGAAACTGCCCCTCAAAAATAAAAGCCAACTTCCCATTGTGGGTGCATGGACCTTAGTTCACCAAGTCTCTTTACAAGGCTAACAATGGGATCCTATGCATGCCTTACTCAAAATCCCACCAGACTTACTCCCAAGTAAGTATGCATAAGATTGTTGCTCCAGTAGTTTGATATATTTGCATATGCAGATAAGGGATGCAAAATTTGAATGGAGCGGAAGAGCACTAGTAACTGATACCCTGGATATCCCAGCAAAATACATTTAATCACTATATTCGACAATTGCTAAACAGCCGGTCCTCTCGTCCTTCTTTACTGAAGCATTATCACAATAGGGGGCAAAAAAAGTGGGAAGCCCACAGCTAAACCGCCCATCACAAAAGTAGCAGCTTGTCTCTGTATGGAGAGCCGACTCCATATTGGAGTTGGGGCTCGTTCCCACAGCCAAGATGGCTCTTTCCCCTTCCCGGCAGCTTCACAGCCAGCTTGCCCGGCCTCAAGATGGCCTCCCCTCCCCGGTTTAAAGGGGGAGCGGGGGTGCGTCACTTTCCCATCAACCCTTCTGTAGCTGCAATCAGGGTCGCTTGCAGCGATTTGAGGGAGGGGAGGCTGCTGGCCGGAGCGCTGGGGCTCTGAATGGGTTAGAGCCGGGGAGCCGGGAGCCAGGATGCCTGGGTCCTCTGGGGAGGAGGGAGCGGGGCTGCAATAGGTCGTGGCCGGGAGCTGTGGGGTTCCCCGGGAGGAGGCGAGGTGTGCGAGGGAAGCCATGTGCAGACAAGGGAGAGAGGGCTTCATTGTGGCGCTGCTGCAGAGGGGCACGCTGAAGAGCGCTTGGAGGGTGCACAGCTGATCTATTTTTCCTTTTCGGAGGGGGGGGGGAGGCATTTGAAGATTGCTTTTGATCCGTTAAAGGGCTGCAATGCAGCATGGGGGTGTTGCTTCCAGGGAATACTGGAGAGTAGTAGAGTGGCTGCATGGACATCGGAGGGGAGAGAGGAGTTGCATTATTGTTTGTCCAGAGCTGGTGGGGTGGTAGGCAGATAGGTTTCGGGAGGCTGCGTGCAATATTTTTGGATGCTGGAAATTTTGGGAGGCAGGCTACTTCTGGGGGTGTGTTTTATTATTGTTCTTCTGCACTGGGGCTAGTTGGGGGGTGGGGTGGAGAACGCTGGCCCATTTGTGATCTACTGAGGTGGTTGGGGAATGGTCTCCATTAGGGGACGCAGTTTGGGGTGCTGTACCTTTCTCCAGAGGATAACCAGTGAATTGGGGACAGGGGCTGATAACAGGAGTGGATCTGTGAAAAGTCCCCATTAACCTTTTGGTGGGTTAAATCCTATGCTGGGGTAGGAATGCTTTCATACGGGAGTGTTGCAATTCTGTGGAAGTTATTCTATTCACTTGGTGGGTATGTATCTTCATCTGAAAAAGATTAGGTTTTGAAAAGGTTGACTTCCTCCAAACCTTGACTTTTTTAAAAAAAACAACCAACAGTATCCTGCTACGTTGATGAGGTGCTGGAGGAATTTTTAGAGGGTGCAATCATATCACACTTTTTGAGGGGGAGGGTTGTGTGTACTACTTAATTCACCAAGTGTGACCTCTTAATTTTGTAGGGATGTTCTAGTGCAAGGACGTAAATATACTGTATGTGTTCCCCGCAGATATACAACTGGTTTTGTTGTATTATATGAAGATGGTTATTCAGTAGAACCTGTATTTGAGTAGGTATTTAACTGTTAATAGGCTAGGTTGGTCAGGGAAGTGCCCCTTCCCCATTATATTAGAACTTGGGAGGGATGTCTAGAAGTGACCTAACTTTTCATGACATCCCATTAATTTCCAGGATTTGATTGCAGATTGTAGAAGTGTTGTCTGCATTTCCGAGTCGTTTCTTTCCTTTTTTGATGTCGTATTGTCTGAGAAGAGGGGTGTGGATGCTGTCAAGGGATATCAAAGTTAGATTATCTCAGTATAAGAGAACTTGGGGTGGAGCAACATAACGAAGAACCATATTCCTTTGGTGGGGGGGGGAGGGTGTTATGTGTATCTGGACTATTTGGAGGTCACACTGAACTGGAAGGAAACCGGAACAGCTACATGAGGTCACTGTTCAACAGGTTAATTTCCTCTTGACAAAGTGCTCTCAAACTCCGGGGCAACTTAGATATCAGTTTTCCCGGAAATAATACAGGGGGTGGGTTTCTTTCCACCCCCTGATGCTGCCCCAAGCCATGTCGGCTTTTGGGGATGCCCATGAGTGGTATATGGGGGCTCTGAGCCGGCAGGAAGCAGCCGCCTGTCTCCAGGGACACCGCCATGGAACCTTCCTGGTACGGGACAGCACCACTTGCCCCGGCGACTACGTGCTGTCCGTCAGCGAGAACTCCAAGGTGATTTCTGAAAAAGGGAAAAAGGGAATTTGGGGATGGAAGGGCCCTGTAGGAGGAGCTGAAGGTGTGTGGGTTTGATTGCACATTGGAAGCGGAGGGTGGAAGCTGGGTTTGTGCCTGCGGAGGGTCACGGTGCGACAGCCTCCTGCTTCTCTACCCTTCTCCTTCCTCCAGGTGTCTCACTACATCATAAACAGCCTCCCTGGGCGCCTGCGGATCGGGGAGCACGAGTTTGACGGCTTCCCTGCTCTGCTAGATTTCTACCGCCTCCACTACTTAGACACAACCACTTTGGTAGCCCCCGTGGGGCGGGTTGTGGCTCCAGCCTCTGCCCAGCCACCTCCCGCTGGGGAATGGGTCCGGGCTCTCTATGACTTCGTCGGCCGCGATCAGGAAGACCTCCCCTTCTCCAAGGGGGAACCCCTGAGGGTGCTGGCCAAGCCGGAAGAGCAGTGGTGGACAGCGCAGAGGGCCGACGGGCGTGTGGGCATGATCCCCGTGCCATACGTCCAGCCCTGTCCGTACGCCCACCCGAGCAGCCACGGTGCCCCTCGCCACGCTCCGGTCATAGCGAGGGCAGTGCAGCGAAGGGTGCCTGGTGCCAGCGACAAGACGGCACTGGCCTTCGAGGCAAGTAATGGGGTGGTCTGCACTGGGGGCGAGTTCACAAAAGGGAACGAGTTTCTGGTTACCGGTTGGGTTGGGGAAATATGCAGATTACTGTTGGGCACTGAGTTTTTTCGTTGCACAGAAATGTGGCGTTCTGGTCCAGCCCTCTTTGCACCCCCAAACGAAAAGCTTGTGTTTGGACTAGGTTTTGCACATTAATTCAGATGAAATAGTTATGCAGCATAACACTTATCTGGAGGGTCAATGAGCATAACTTTGAATAGCTGTGGAGCAGGATGAGTGGTGGAGTGGAAGGAGGGAAGAACGCATCAGTTCGGATGGGAAAGGGTGTGGAGGCTGTGTGGGAGTGCAGACGTTCATCCACACATTAGATGCCTGCCGTGGTCCCATTGCCAGGCTACACTCCTGAAAACTAAGATCTTCAATCCATGTTATGTTTCCGTGCGGCAAAACTCCATGCAACACACCCTGGCTTTGATCCTGTTCCTCATTTGAAATGGCAGTGAAGGGAAGATGAGAAGCTGCGTGATTTATTCAGGAGAAAGACTTGTTTGCGGGGGGGGGGGGGGAGAGACTGGCTGTGCAGAGGTGGGTGGGTAAAAAAAAATGCCCCCATGATATTTGCATTCTGACCCCTTCTGTGTCTCATGATGCTCTACAGGTGGGTGACCTCATTGCTGTCACCAAGATGAATGTCAACGGCCAATGGGAGGGGGAGCTGAACGGGCGCCGTGGCCATTTCCCCTTCACTCACGTCAAGGTCCTGGACCCTGAAGAAGCCAGCTGAACATTTGATGATGTAACCCATGGAATGCTGACTTTCCCTGCAGTGGGGCACGACCCTTGAACTCTGATCCACACTTGTGAGCTTCTGACCGTCTCGAACATTGTACTTCCTTGAATTTTGACCTACCCGGTGGATGTTATTGATCATCCGGTTCATTGATACTCAAGCTCCTTGGATATGGACCTCTTCTACCACTTTGGACTCCTTAACCCATGAACCTTGTTCCTTGACTTGCTGTTCTTAAAATGCTGTGGTAGTTGAACCCTAAAACTTTTGACTCTTTACGGGGACCCGTTCATGTTTCCTCCCTAGAAACATTGATCCATTTTGGCCTTGTGATTTTTTCAACTCTGATTATGTGCCCTTGAATCTTGCAACTCCCCATCCTGTGCCCTGTGAACCCAGAAACTCTTGAGCTTTGATTCTTGATCCCCTTATTCTTGTGATTTTATTTTTTTCCTTTGATCCTGTCCACTTGGGGTGGGGAAACAGGGCGGGGGGGGGGGGAGCGCTTGGCTTTGGCCAGATGGCTGGCAGGAAATCCTCCCCACTCCTTATAGAGACCCCGCTTCACTTGTTGTCTGTTCCAAACTGCCTTGTTAATTAAAGTTTCCTGCTGATTATCCCTCGCTGGAAATTTACTCCTTCTGGGGTGGGGCTAGAGGGTTAATATGGGAAAAGAGTAGCACAGTTGTTATGGTAACGAGCATCACAACCCAGGCCTCAAATGTTGCCATGGTGAAGTGGAGCACAGCCTATTGCTGTAGGCAGGAGGAGGCAGCAGCAGCAGGCCACAAATGCTGCGTAGAGCATCTTGGTTGCGTGAAGATCACTATTAAGTCTCTCTCCATGCCTGCCAATGGTTCCTGCTTAATAGGTACAGTATTCCCCCAACCCCCCAAGTTTATATACCTATTTACTGGAGCCGGTTGCCCTGCTTGTACCTCTTCTTGATACAGTCCCAGCTGCTCCTTTCTCTTAACAACATCATTGGCATATTCAGAATTTCAAAATTCAGTATGTTATAGAATTTCCCCAACCTGGTGTCCTCCAGATCCCTTAAAACACCAAAATAGTGTCTGATCTCAGAAGCCAAGCAGCGTCTGTCCTAGGGAATACAGTGGTACCTCGGGTTACATACGCTTACATACGCTTCAGGCTAACCCAGAAATAGTGCTTCAGGTTAAGAACTTTGCTTCAGGATGAGAACAGAAATCGTGCTCCGGTGGCACAGCGGCCCCATTAGCTGAAGTGGTGCTTCAGGTTAAGAACAGTTTCAGGTTAAGAATGGACCTCCGGAACGAATTAAGTACTTAACCCGAGGTACCACTGTACTTGGAGAGAGCCAGTGTGGTGAAGTGGTTACAGTGTCGGACTAGGACTTAGGAGGCCAGGGTTCAAATGCCCATTTGGCTCAGGAAGCTCGCTGGGTGAGCTTGGCCCAGTCATTGCCTCTCTGCCTCACCTACCTCACAAGGGGAGAGCCACGTACACCCCTTGAGCTCCTTGGATAAAAAAGTGGGTTGTAAGTGCAATAAATAAGAACTCCCGTCAGTCCCAGGCAGCTTGATGGAGCTGAAGTCCAAAACATCTAGGTGGCATCAACGCGGGGAAAGACTGATTTAGAGGTACGATTTGTGTGGCACACCATACACAAATTACATCTGTACATACACAACCCCTTGATATAAGGGGAAAAGTCATCTTGCTGATTTTTAGTCGTGCTTTTGTCATTACTTTCCCCAAAATCCCTCTGTGATCCATGGACATCTTAACCCATGTTTATCTCTAGATAGAAATTATTCTTTCTAGGTGGCAGGGAAATGTTAGAATCATAGTACCATCATCACTGTTGGTGATTTAGCTCAAGAGCAGGATCTTGCTCAGGACGCGATCTGCAAATGCAGGATGCAACCTCAGCATCCTTGACATTTGGATGACCAGCCTCAGCTTCCAAAACTCCCCAGTCCATTCCACTATCAAACAGCTCCTACCATTAAGGAAACTTTGCCTGATATTTTAGCTGCAATCTGCTACTTGTACCCATTGGTTTGAGCCCTGCCCAAGGCAACTATTGTGTCTCCCTGTAAAAGGTTTGGCCTGGGTATATTCTCTGCTAAACAGGCCAGGGCAATGTCAACTCTTCATCGCAGGACTTGGCTGAAGTTCCAAAAGCCCTGTAGCGGCCAAATTCACCCGCCCATGAGGAAGCATCTAGTTGTGTTGACACTTGCTCTGCACCTCACCCGGAGGCACTGCTTATATAATGTAAAATGAGACAGCCTTCCCCCGCCCCCTTCATCATTTGATGAATGTTGGAAGATGTAACTTCTGTCCACTTCATAGCAGCGAGGCATCTGCTAGAAAAACAGAGGGGCTCTTCGGCTGCCAGCCAGCTGCTTTACAGCTGGTGTAGCCACTGCCTTCTCTTCCAGTAATAATTTGAGGTGGGGTTTGTGTGATAATTCCCAGTTCTAATTGGTTGTGTAGCTCTAACTGTAGACTTGAAGAGCCTGACATGTCCCTTAAATAATCTTAAGGCCTGTTTCCTCCCCAGGCCCTAAACATCAGGAATCCACTTCCTTTAGCTGAGTTGGTCCACCACACCCATTGCTTTTAAAAAGATTTCACAATCCTAGAATCATACTGTGGAAAGGGGCCCTAGAGGTCAACGATAGCACCCTGCACAACTCAATGCAGGGTGTGTTAATGCAGGATGCACCCCTGACTGATGGCTGCACGCCCCGCTCTTAAAATATTTCCAGCAAACGAGAGTCTGCCATCTCTGAAATGAATCATGCTATCTTTCTGTAACCTAAACAGCGAGTTGCATATACCTCTCGTTTTTAAAAAAAGAAAAACAAACCCCTTTTGGTATCGAGTTGTTGTTCCTGCAGGGGGGCAGCAGATGGCGCTGGGAGACTTAAGGTCCTGGGGTAGGGGCAGAAATGGGAAACCCAACAGAAGCTTTAAAATGCAAGCCAGTAGCAGGAGAAAATTGGCGGTGGTGGTGGGGAATCACCCAAGATGGAGGGTGGAAGTTGCCTCCTTTAGCCTTCTCCTTGGGAAAGGCAGGAGGGGGCTGGATACAGCTCACGGGTTGAGGCAGATGGCCATAATATATTCTAAATCCTAGGGGTTGCTTGCAGTCCAGTGGCGTAGCATGGGTTGTCAGCACCCGGGGCAAGGCAAGTAATTTGCACCCCCTAACCCGTGGATTTGCGCCCCCTAACCCTAACCCCCAGATGTTGCGCCCGGTGCGGCTGGCCCCCCCTGCACCCCCCACGCTACGCCACTGTTGCAGTCTGCACCACCGCCAGCGCAGGGCTGCCGGGAAGTGGGTCAAAACTTGGCTTTCCGGCAGCGAGAAGGATAGCATGCGTGTGTGGGGATGGTTGCTTGGTTGGGACTGAGCCACACTGGGGGAGAGGGTATCGCACAGGTCTCTTAGCCCCGGGCCCCATGACACCCTTGCTGTTCCTTGCTCTGCAGGGAATGTCAGAGGCCTCGTGTTTCACATTCCCAGACCCCAAGGCCTATATTTAGGCTGCCCTGCAAAAGGCCAGGGGTCGGGGAGAAGGTTAGCGCGGCCCCTCCCTCCCGCTCCGGCTCCCTTCTTATACAGCCCGGCCCCCGGTTTTGCCTCTGCCAGTCACCCAGCACCCAACGGAGCCGTCGTGTCTTGCCAGAACCCCCGCTACACCCACGGTATCTGGGAGATGGGAGGGAAAGGAGGGGGCTGTGGAGGGGTGGGCGGGCGGGCGTCGGGAGAAGGGGCTGTCGAGAAGAGGCAAATCTGGATGGTCGCGCTGCTAGGAAAGGGTCCAAGATGCTGCCGGCATGAGATTGTGGGAAGATTTCAAGGGAGAAAGGATGTGGGGCTCAGTAGGGGTGCAGTGAGCGGCCTTAGCGGGAAATGACATCTATAGCTCAGCTAGTTGCAGTGTGGTGCTGATAACGCCAATGTTGCATGTTCGATCCCCAAATGGGACATGTGCATATTCCTGCACTGCAGAGGGTTGGACTAGATGATCCTCGGGGTCCCTTCCAACTATGCAATGCTATTATTCCATCTCTGTGAATGACAAGGCATGTGATTGGTGGATGCTGTCTCAAGGGCATATCCTTTTGTTTAAAACAGACAAAAACCCCTGCCTGTTCTGAGTTTACGAACAGTATATTTCTCCTTTAAAAGGAAAAAAAAGCAACAACACTGAGCCTGTCTGTGTCTGATTCCCACCCCCCTTTTAAATCCTGTCTCTGTTCTCTTCCCATCACCCCCTTTATCATTTATTTATTACGTAATTGATGGGGCCTCCCTAAACCTTGAATCTTGTTTTCATACATCCAGTAGTTACTCCATGTAAGACCAAAGGGACTCCAGCTATATTATCTAACACGGCTGTTTCCTTTGAATGCTGCAATGACTTGCAAAAGTCTTGCACAGTTGCTGATTGTTTGAGGAAGTAACGCTCACATAATCCCATGGTATCTGGGACACAGAAACAGAAAAAGAGTGTGTGTGTGTGTGTGTGTGTGTGTGTGTGTCTGTCTCAATCCTTCTGTCCCTGGTGCTTGCCCAATCCACCGCTCCAGGGTTTGGGTGTGTGTGTGTGTGTGTTGTACCTTCCAGTACGTATTTGTCTTGTAAGCAAGCCTGTGGCCTCACTTTGCCTGGACCTCCATTGCTCCTTGGCTCATTCTTTGCTCCTCCTTAACCTGCTTCCATCACTTGTCTTATCTAAGGCAGCTTTCTTCCAAATGATGCTTTCAATCAGGTCGTGCAATCCCTGCATCTGCAACTCAGATGTAAAGCCTACATTGAATGGAATGTATACTTTGATTTTAAAAGCCCCGCCTGCTGCTTTCTATCCTGCATGAAAAGGATACCCTTGTCCACACTGCAGCTATTCTGAACATTACTTGTGAAAACCCTCTTCCACATAAGGTGGTCTGGACAGGGTGTGTATGGTAGATCATTGTGGGCACTAAATGGGTTGCAGTTTGCCGACTTGCAGTTTGCCGACTAGTGATCTGGCATTTTAAAAAAAAGGGCTGCAGTTGTTTCTTGGAAGGATCTGCCTTGCTTTTGCTTATTTGTTGTGAAGGGCCTGGGGACACGCAGTCAAGCTCCTTCCTTTGTTGCTCTCCTCCCCCCTACTGCCACTTCTTTGGGGAGCAAGAGCTTCCAGAGTTGGGTAGCTGGGTTAATGTGTTGCAGGAAAAAAATCAATTAATAGTCTTATGGCACTTTGAAGACTTAACAGATTTATTGTAACATAAGCTTTTGTGGACAAGAGTCCACACCATCCTTCAGAGGAAATGGATTTAAGTCCACGAAAGCTGCCACAATAAATCTGCAGCGAGGCTCTTTGATATTTGAGATGGGGAAGGCAGAGCTATAATGCCCTTAACAGTTGCCGGGGGAGCAGAAATTTTAGTAGGCTAAACTTTCCTTAGCATGAAGACGAAGAGGGGGAAAGCTTCACCCCCTACACTTCTGCACTGGAAGCCCGGTGGCAGTGTTATTATTCAAAAGGCTTCTGTACTGAGTCCTCTCAAAGCGGCTTGCCATCCATACCGTTCATTAAAACAACCAACAATGAACATCTATTGCCATTCAGCAACCGTTTCAAAGAGACAGGGAGCCTTTGCCACCTTCTTCCAGGAGCCTAGACACCTCCTCCTATACCCCCCTTGTTAACATTTCGGGGCTTGGTCATTTTGGCGTTGTGGATGAGCAGCTGTTCGACTGCATTGTCGTTTAAAGGCTGGCTGATCTAAGACTCTGCAGAAACTTTATAGGGGGCGAGTGGCTGTGATAGTTGTGGTGAGAAGGGGTTGGTCTTACTGGCCCTGCAGAGGTGGAGCAAACAGTATTAACTGCTGCGGGTAGGCCTCCCCCCCCCCCCGCCACCTCCTCTCTCTGTTGTACCCTTTAAGGCAGTGCATGAGGTGGAGAAATCCGGGAAACGCTTCACCTGTTGAATGGGTGCCTGACCTGCTATTTAATTAAAAAGGCCGGGCAGCTTCCGGTGTAAATCACTTTGTTGATTAACTGCTCGGTATGACTGTGCGTTTTGGAAACGTAAAAAAAGAGTAATGGAGATATATTTTTTAAAAAGAGACAGGGACGTTCTCCTCAGGGAGGGGGAAGAGGTCAGGAGGCAACCTTACTGGAAAAGCGTTGGGATCGGGTGGGGAGAAAGAAATCGGCGCATGAGGAAGAGGGATCTGAACGGATGGTGACCTTTCTGCCGTTCAAGCCGCGCGTACGTTCAGTCCTGGCAGGGAAGCTCCCAATCCGCCAACCCTGTTTATAGTCGCCAGTCAGGTCCGAATGGGGGGAGGGGGAGGGGCGCCTCTCTCGTACCCCCTGCCGCCTGCTACGTGCTTTCCTGCACAGAGACCAGTGACTCAGCTATTACCGTAATCACCCCAAGAGAAGCCCAGTTTGGATTCTGACCAGGGCTAAGAAGAAGGTTCTGGACTTCGGATTGGGGAGCCAAGGCAAAGGGGCGGCGGGGGGGGGGTGTTGCAGCATTCCCATGTTACACTGACCCCACAGGTGCCTGGCCTTTTCGCTCCTCTCATCAATCAAACAGCAGCTGCCTCTCACTTCCCAGCCGCTGGGGTGTTATATAACCCACGGTGCTCCCCTGGCAGTTCCTTGCTCAGTGCAAAAAAACCGACAACAGCCCAGTTTTCCACCCCAGCCCACATCTTGGATGTGCATAAGCGCCCAGCTTTTTTCTCTGGGTTATTGAATCTCTCCTGGTTCATTACAAGTGCAGTAATTGCAAATCCGCCCTACAACTGATACAAACAAGCCGAAATGCACTGTTTCCCTTAAAACATGGATCAGTGGCACTTTAAATTGCAATTAGCATATTTTATTAAATTTATTCCTCCCCTTTTTACAAGAAAAGAGGTCTCAAAGCAACTGATAGCAAGTTTAAAATGCCAAGATGACATCAAATAGCCCAAAGTTACATGGTACTAAAAGTTTACATCCACCAGCAACCAGTAACAGAAAAATAACATCTGCCCACCCCAAAATGTGGACACCATGAACAGGCCAAAAATCAAGCCACGGCAAGATCCAAATGCTTGGGAAAACTGGAATGTATCTGCCTGGCGCCTAAAATCTTACAAGACAGATGCCAAGGGAACCTCCTTATCTGGCTCTCTAAATTGCAAATGTGTTGGCGCCAGAGAATGTCAGATGGGACGAATGTTTGGCTCCTAACACCAGAAAGGTTGAGGCTCATCCCAGTGTGGTCTTGAGCAAAAGGCATTCTGCGCTTGCTCTGATGCACCCCTATTTATGAGTTTACAGGACTAAGAAGAGTGAAACCAGGTTCTGGGAAGGTGCCCTGAATTGGGTTAAGTTCTGGGCAGAATTCAAAGTGGTTCAGATAATTTTGGGTTTATATGTTTTGCTTTTCAAAAAAACTATTGGACAGCTGGACTGTTTCGGTGGGCAGGTTTTGAGTCATTATTACAATTCTTCCTCCCTGCCTCCAATCTCAGTTAGCCACCTATGACATCTTTACCCCAATGCACAGCTTGTAGGCCAATAAAGAGCAGACAGGATCACAACTCCAGAACCCAGATGCTTGGTCTTGTCAAAGAAATCTCTGTTGCCTCTATACTGATAAAGCCACCAGTTTTGACCCTGGAGCTTTTATGGGGAGTTCAGAATCTTCACCATCAGCTGTTGTTGCTTCTGATCTTTTAGTACTGTAATCCTTTATCCTGGAATTAAAGGCAAAGTTTTGCAGTGGCCTGTGGCTACAGGCAGCAAATATTTGTCCTTTCAAACGGGTCCTACTCCCTTGCAAATGTGCTTAGGCTTGCAGCCTTTCCCCGTTATAGAAGCTGCCCTTTCGCTTGTGAAAATTCCTTTCTGCGGGGCCACCGGTTCCATCTTATCGCTTCCACTCCGATTCTCTCTCTTGCACAATCAGTCCCATGCCCAGGCCTCTCTCTCTTTTCCGCAGCTAAAGCCCAACACTCATGGGGGCTGAGGGGATCCAGAAATAGCAGCGTGTCCTTCAGAAAAGGACAGAGGAGCTGGAGGAGCGGGGATCAGGTGTCCCCTTGAAAGGTCATCGCTGAAACTAGAGTCTGGGAGAGGATGCAAAGGGGGGAAAGACCTATGGAGCCCGATTTGGCTTCCCTTTCCATCTCCCAGGAAGATGGGGCAACGCCCTCGGTCCTCAACAACATTTTATCTCTTCGTGCTCTTTAAACGAGCAGGTTAAAAAGTGCGTGTGCCCTTTTAGGGTATGCAGTGAATGCGCCTAGCGTATGGAGGTTTCTAATCTAATCGCAAATATGAAAACGTGATTTTGCTCCTAAGCACACGCTGGGATTCTGCAGCACGGTCGGCCACGGGAATGAAATCTCTTATTTCCACGCGTAGGACTCAGTCGAGTGGAGCAGAGTTCGTCCACGCTTATCTCCGTTTCCTTATATTTAAATAAATACCTTCGCTGCTATTAGGGGGTGGGAGAGCTTGGGCCCTTTAAGTCTCCTCCCTCCCCCCTCCTCAATGAGTCAATTTCACACCCTTTTCCGCCTTGCCCTGCTACATGACGTTCGATCCCGGAACGCGGAGCTTCTTTTGAGCATTCGATTCGAACGCTTCACTTTGCTCGCGCCCATCCCGGCTCCTGTTTGCTGCTGCTAAGGAAGAAGGCAGGTTTGACCCCCCCCTCCCCATTTTCTTACGCACGCATTCCTCCAAGGAGAACGAGTGGCGAGCCCTTCCTCTTTACAGATTAGGATTTCGGGGGGCGGGGGCGAGTAAAGAGAAAATAAGGAATGGTCGCAGGAGCAGTTGCGGATATTCTTTCCCCGCCGCCGCCGCCGCCGCCGCCGCGGTTTATATAATATGGGGATCAGACTTGGAGATAGATAAGATGGAGACGGTAAAACGTGGGGTGGAGTGGGGGAAGGGAGGAGGAAGTCCCGGCGGGGGAAGAAACGCAGCATTTGAAATCACGTGGTGAAGCTTAATGTACAACTGTTGCAGAGGGGAAAAGAAAACAGGACAGCCCCCCCCCCCCAAAAAACTAAAGTAAGCGTAAATATTTCTCGATCCTTCGCTCACACTTTCCAGTTTTGCCCCCCTGCAATTGGACTCGCATTGCAAAGGTGCTGCAGCTGATTGGGGTAGCTAATATCGGGGAAGCTCAGAGCATGGCGAGGAGTCGAAAAAACGGGGGTGAGAACTGGGGTTCCCTTGAGGAACAGGGTAAACGTCTATTTCCTCTGTCCTTGAAATGTCCTTGGTATCTGCTAGCCATCACCTGCTGGAGCCTTTGCTTCTTCTTTCAAATAAGGCTTTAATCTGGGCATCCCCTTTGACCTTAGTGGGAATCCTCCGATTTCCATAGCAACAGGGAGGAGCAGAATTCTCTCCCGCCCTCCTGGCCAGTCTCTGTACAGACACGAAAGTCCTTGTTGTGGGTGTCTCCTTCAGATACAGGACTGAGCAGGCAGAAAAGAGGAGACCGCGTTGCCAGGCTTGTATTAACACTTCTTTGCCTTCTCCAGTTTAGCCATTCAAGATGCCTCACCAATACCCAGCCTTGACACCTGAGCAGAAGAAGGAGCTGTCGGACATTGCCCACCGCATTGTGGCCAAGGGCAAAGGCATCCTTGCTGCTGATGAATCCACCGGTAAGGGACAGAGAGCTGCCGGGTGGGGAGGACGAGCCAGGAATGTGGAATCAAAAAAGGGCTGCACAGCCTTCATTTTAACGTAACAACTGTTTGCTTCATCCTCTCCTCCGCCTCCTAGGCAGCATTGCCAAGCGCCTGCAGTCCATCGGCGCCGAGAACACCGAAGAAAACCGTCGCTTCTACAGGCAGCTGCTCTTCACCGCTGATGACCGGGTCAACCCTTGCATTGGTGGAGTCATCCTCTTCCATGAGACCATGTACCAGAAAGCCGATGATGGCCGCCAGTTCACCCAGGTCATTAAGGACAAGGGCGGCGTTGTTGGCATCAAGGTAAGCGACGTGGGTGGCAAGTGATAAGTCTGAAATGCCTGAGCCCACCATGTTTGGTGCCCTGGGAGGTAGGCCAGTTCCAGTATTCTAGTGACGCACGACCTTGAAGGCTGCATGACCTTGCAAAAACAACACCACCACAATGCAGGAAAAAATGCTCCAACTTGAAGGCACCACCCACTTTTTAAAAAATCTGTTTGCAGAAGGGCTTGTTAACTGATTGAGCTAGCATCTGAGCAAACCTTAAAGAAAATTCCTATTCTCTTTAAAATTAGATAACCTCTCCACATGTCACAAGAGACATCATTTTAAAAGAGGCTTTCTCTCCTGTGTGTGAGAGGGGCAGTTGTAAGCAATAGAAAATTATTCATTTTTTTTTTAAAAAAAAGTCTGCCTGATGGTTTATTTATTTAGAAAATGTATAGTGGTGCTTTCCCCTTCCTTGCTCAGAGTAGTTTACAAATACGAAAGGAAAAGAGTGGTCTGGCCATGAACACTAATTACCAAACTAAGAACAGCAGCCAAAAGACACACAAAGAACTTCATCACGGCACTTGCGATCAATGCACTAAGCAGCAATAGGGGAAAGCTTGTTTAAAAAGGGATGTTTTCAGTCACTGGAATGGAGACAAAGGGAGACTGCCTAAGCTCATGGGGCAGAGAGTTCCACATATGGGGCTGGCAGCACAGAGAAAGCCACCTTGGGCACTGCTACCTCTCTTGCCTCAAGAAGACAGACTATAAACACTGCAGTCCTACTGCATAAATGTGGATATGCTTAGATGGGAACTAATCTTAAGGGGATGAAAGCATTGGAGACCACAGGGTCATCTGGATTTCTCTGTTGCCTCCTTCCCTCCAAATCACAGCCAGATATTTTGAATCCCAGTTACCTATTCACTAAGCAAACAAAAATCTTGGTCCATTTATGTGCTAAACAACTTACATATGGCCTACAGACGATTGAGTTGGGCTAGCAAGTCGATGAGCAGGAGCCATTATTTATGTTGTTTGTTTCTGGATGATTGACTTGATAGGACAAGATGTTTAGCTTAGTGGAAAGAAACATGCCACAAAGCAAGCCAAAGGCTTAACAGACTTCTCTGCCTCGCTTTCCTCCCTGCAGGTTGACAAAGGTGTTGTGCCTCTTGCTGGGACTAACGGAGAGACTACTACCCAGGGTGAGTCTAGATCTCTGTGTGTTGGTAGGGGGAGTTGTGAAGGGAAGTCAATCTAGCCTGGAGCTAGGAGAAGCAGCTGGGTTCGACGGCATCCGCCCTTAACCCCCCTTTTACCTGTGCAGGTCTGGATGGCTTGTCTGAACGCTGTGCCCAGTACAAGAAGGATGGCGCTGACTTTGCCAAGTGGCGCTGCGTCTTGAAGATCACTCCAACCACCCCTTCCCACCTGGCCATCATTGAGAATGCCAATGTGCTGGCTCGCTACGCCAGCATCTGCCAGGCGGTGAGTGCCAGCAGGCATTGAGGGGAAAGGGGGCATTCATCAACATCTACTTAACACTAAGCAGTTTCTAGAAAGACCCACTTGTTTTCCGTTTTTTGGATGCTGGAAGAAGGTTGAGTCATCAGGTTATGGGCAGCTCATGGATCGTTTTATGACTGACCGGACGGTTGGCATTAGGATTGTTTTATCTGCTCTGTATCGCTGTTTATATATTTTAAAAAGGGATTTGTAACCAACCCTGAGGTCGTTAGATGGCGGGTGGGATGGAAGTACACCAAATAAACAAATGGATGGAGCAGTGGTCTGACTCTGTAGGGCAGCTCTTTGAATCTGCCTTGCAGCTTGGCAGTCAGAGCGCATCTCAAGATGGTAGTGTCGAAATGGCAGTTTCGTCCTCTTCGCCAAATACCGCTCTGGGAAATTTCCCAAGGACATGCAGTGCCCTTATTTTGCAAATGGGTGGAGGCAGTCTTCTGCAACTGCAGTACCCATCTGCTGCTACAAGAGGGCAGCAAGGAATTTGGTAGGTTAGACATGTGGCTTCCCCTCCTGGGTGGAATTTCCAGCTCTGATGTACTTGAACTAGGAAGGAATTGAACATACTCAGTAGCTGCTGAAACATCTAGGTAGAGCCCTCAGTTAGAACATAAGATGCATCTAACTAGATTAGGCATGTGATTAAATGTCCTTCTTGCAACTTGGAATTCTTACTGTGTTTTGATTTAGCTCTGTTTTTTTCTGTGGGATCGTAACTGTCCATCTCCCCTGTCTCTCAACTCCAGAACGGAATTGTCCCCATTGTGGAACCCGAAATCCTCCCTGACGGTGACCATGACCTCAAGCGCTGCCAGTATGTGACTGAAAAGGTGAGGTGGATGTGGAGGGAAGCGCTTGATTGACGCAAATTGGTGTGGGCTGGCTTTTGCCCTTTTCCCCCCCTCATGCTATGGAAGGAAAGGAGAAGGATCTCGGAAGAACTTCCCAGCACTGACCTCCTGCTCCTTCTGCCATGCCTAGGTTCTGGCTGCCGTGTACAAAGCCCTGAGCGACCACCACATCTACCTGGAGGGGACCCTGCTCAAGCCAAACATGGTGACCGCTGGTCACGCTTGCACCCAGAAATACACCAATGAGGAAATTGCCATGGCAACCGTCACCGCCCTGCGCCGCACTGTGCCCCCAGCAGTTACTGGTAAGCGAACGGGACCCAGAAGCACCTGTTCCTTCCTGCCCCACAAAAAATATGTGGCAGCCCTCAACAATTTACACTGCAGTAATATATAGAGCCCATCCCTACAGGACGGCTGCTGGTATCTGTTTAATAGTGGAGCTATCATTCTAATGGCTACAGAGTTGCCACCATAGTGTATTACAATCGTACCTCCGGTTACGTAAGCGGCAAACCTGGAAGCATATTTCCGGGTTTTTGTTGCATGCACAGAAGCGGTCCCTCCGGCTGCGGAAACCTCGGGATCCGACCGGAGCTCCGGAATGGATCCTGTCCACAACCGGAGGTACCACTGTATTTGTTCAAGGAAACTCCTTTAGCTTTTGCCTGGAGAGCTTCCTGTAGTTGGGACATTGTCCCACCCCACCAACTTTTTTGAAAAAGATGTGCTAGACAAACCCATTTTTTTGTGTGAAGGGACAAGTGGTGATTCAGGAGGCAGAACTGGGGTGTGTGTGTGGATATAATACCCTCTATTTCTAACATTTTCTGCAATCAAACTCTCCTTCTCCCCCCTCCCCCTTCAATTCTGCATTTCTCAGATATTAAACCCTTCCTTCCTTACCAGCTGCTAACTGTATTGTCTTGCCGCAGGTATCACTTTCCTGTCTGGTGGCCAGAGTGAGGAAGAGGCCACCATCAACCTGAATGCCATCAACAACTGCCCCCTGCACAAGCCATGGGCCCTGACCTTCTCCTATGGCCGTGCCCTGCAAGCTTCTGCCCTCAAGGCCTGGAGTGGCAAGAAAGAGAACCTCAAGAATGCTCAGGAAGAATACATCAAGCGCGCTTTGGTACGTATTGCTGGGGCCCCGGTCGCCCTGGGGAGTGGGATCTAGCAGGTCAGGGTAAGGGGCTGGGTAGCCACTGCACAGCAGCAACTCCTTTAAGGTGCTCAGGGGTTGGGTATGTGCAGCGATCATCTCCCCAAAAGCTGCCCTTTGACAGAGGCACTCAAAAGGGCTTTAGGAAGACATGTATTATTAGTAAGAGATTCAAATGCAACAAATCTGGTTGGGTGCAAAAAGCAGAAAAACTAAAAGCAACGTTAGTGGGGAACAGGAAGGGATCTGAGGTGTGTCTCTGAAAAATAAACAAATTAACTGGTCACACATTGCATTGAGAGTCAGGGCTCCCAGGTTCTGTTCTCCCAAACTTTTGGTGGCAAAAGGTAGGGCTATGGGCGAGGTGACAGGGGGTTGCAATTGTCAAAGTTACGGGTAAAGTGATGCTGGGAATCAGGACTCCTTGGTGTTTCCTCCTGGTAGGGGACAGGAGTTTTGTGTATCAGGAAAAGGGGTCTAATTTATGTTGTGGCTGTGATCCTAATAAGGAGGATGTGCGAAGTGTAGCTTTTCTTTTTAAAGAGGAAAGCAGTTCCAACATCTCTTCTCACTCCCCCCTCTTGTTTTACACAGGCCAACAGCCTTGCCTGCCAGGGCAAATATGTTCCATCTGGAAAAGGCGGAGCCGCTGCCAGCGAGTCCCTCTTTGTCTCCAATCATGCTTATTAAAATCAGAGGCCTGGCTGCGCTCTTTTGTTGTTAACGTTGTGCCTGTGGTGTCTCTTGTTCTATTTCTTGCCCTGCCCTGCTTCCTCTCTGCCAGCTTCTATAGCAGGGAAAGGTAGACATCTTTGCCTTGCCTTGAAAGAACCCAGAAGCCTTGGCTTCTTCCTTCCCCTTGATCCACCTCCCCACCGCCACCTCTGTATGCCTTGTGTGTGTGTGATGTCCCGCTTTTCCTTCTGGTGACCGACGACACTCCTGGTCCGTGGCCATAACACCGAAATGTCTCCGGAGCTGGGACGACGCCTGACTCGCGGACTTCTAGAAATAAAAGAGAATCTATTTAAACATTGCCAGGGTCTCTGTTGTTCTTTCTTTCCCCCGCAGAGTTCTAGATGGAAAGTTTCATGCACACCATACCAAAAGATGTACAAGGAGCTGCACTGGGCTTATGTCCTATTTTGCCCATTGTTGTTTACTCCAGGGATAGCCAATGAATGCAGTGCCTTCAATATGTTGTGGACTGCAGCTCCCATCATAAGGACATAAGAAGCGTCTGCTGGTTCAGGCCAGTGGCCCACCTGATCCAACATCCTGTTCTCAGTGGCCACCCAGATGCCTGTGGGAAACCAGGAAGCAGGACCCCAGAGCACAAGAGCACTCTTCCCTCCTGTGGTTTCCAGCAAGTGGTATTTAGAAGCATTTTCTGCCTCCAGCCATTGAGGCAGATTATAGCAGTTAGTAGCCATTGATAGCCCTACCCTCCCTGACCATTGACCATGCTGGCCAGGATTGATGGTGGTCTCCAGATGTTTTGGACAAATACTCTCCTGTTGAGTGGCAGATTGTGTTCCCCCCACCTTGCCCTTCTTTTTGAGAGTCTTAGAAGCCAGGGGCTTGAATCTCTTCTATATAGCTGTTCAGCTATGCTTCTTCCACTTAAATGACCTAGCTATCAAAGTGTGTGTCTCCATTTCCCCCAGAAAAGTGTTGAGCAAAATAGTGGTGAAGACTGTAGATCATGGGAAGTAGCATCAAGGACTTTGCTGGTTAGCTTTTCTTAGAAGAAGCCACATCAGTTTTTATTCACTGTACCGTACAGAAAATTGTTTCTGATCATGGATAGTTTGAGGAATTAATATGGGACGTAGAGGTGGAATTATCTGAATGCTATTTAGATTACTGCTAATAATTCCTGTAATCTTTGGGAAGTGTGGATTATAGAAGATATTTTGCTTCGAGAAATACCAAGCATATTAACCTGGTAATTCCATTGCAGCAGATTGGCTAGAGGCCTATAGAATAGGAATATTGCATGCAAAAGGAACTTGAAAATATGGGTATACAGTACTGCAATGCTTTTAGTTGTACTACATAGAACACAGCCCAATTTGCAATCAAATGGAGGGGGAAATGGATAGGATAGTCTATAAGTGAAACAGGATTGATAAGATGTCTTATCTTTTTTAGTGGCTTGACCATAAGCTCAGTTGGGTGTGCTAACAACCCCCAACCCTGTATCTCTAGGTTTTGAAAAGTGTTGGATATAGAACAAAGGGAGAGTCATCAGCTTGGACCATCCTCAGTAAATGCACAAATCAGGCTTTCGTGTGGTCTTGTAGTATATCACAGATCAAACTTAGCACAATGAGGGAAGCTATCATTTCCCAAGTGTGGGAAATGGCTATTTTGGTATCATGGACTACATCCTTTGACAGGGTGGTGGTGTCTTATTTCCCATTCAGTTAGGAAAATGCTCAATTGTCTCAAAGCACAAGTGCTAACAAAGGTGCTGACAAATCTCTGGATTCAGCCAGAATAACAATTAACTTCTGCACAAGTGGATTTGATTTTCTCCAAATATATATGCTGGTCCAGTGTTTGGCTGGATTAGGACAGTACACGAGGGACACAGAAAATATAGAGCAGAAAAATAATTATGCGCATTTCGGGGGTTGTACATACATCAAAGCTCGAGGACTAAGCAGCCCCCTTAAAGCCATAGCTCTGCCCCTTCGGCTGAAACCCTCTGGATCCACGGAACGCAGCGCTGCCTGCCCTGTTTACACTCTGCTAACTCACACCCCAGGGGCTTCAGACGGAGCTCTTTCCTGCAACATAACAGCATAGATGACCGGTAGGGTTGCAAATCATTCCGCTTTGGGGGTGGGGGCACTTTAAAATCACTTTCCCACCCGCCCCCGCATGGCTCATCACACCCTTCAACTGAGCTCCTCCAAGGCGCGCCCTCAGAAAATCAGGAGACGCATCCTCGCCTCCATTTCAGGAGGCACCCTCCCTCCCTCCAGCAGCTTCCGCCCGTGATACTAGGCCACTTCCAGACCGACATCCTTCTGCCTCCAAGATACAGAGACACAGAGAGACCTTTTGGACTCCAACTCCCATCAGCCCCAGCCGGCAAGGCCGACGGCGACGAATGACGGGGGCTGTAGTCGAGCAGAACCTGAAGTCCCATAGGGTGGCCTCCAGCCACGCTTTCGTTCTCGACCCCTTAGCTACGTGCAAACACCTTGTGAAGTGCTGTCTAACTAATACAATGTTCATATTTAAAAGGGATGCGCGTCAATTAAATAGTAATTGGGGGTGTTATTGGGTTATTGTTCTTATTTTGATTTTATATATTGTGATTTTTTTTGTGAACGCCCTGAGACCTCCGGGTATAGGGCGGTATATATTCAAAAAATAAAATAAAATAAAATAAAAAAGGTTCCCCCCCACGATTTCCGTCACTTCCGGCGGAGTGTCAGCGGCGCCTTTTAAACCCCAGCATGGCCGGCATACTTTTTCCGCCCCGCCCCGCCCTTTTTCGTCACATCCGATGAGTCAAGGCCCCGCCCCTTCAAAGGGATAGCGGAGAGAAGCCCCGCCTCACCTGCGCCCGTTCTTGGTCCTAGAAGGAAGCGGAAGTGACGTCCAGCGCCCAGTAGTTGGTGGGAGAGCCGGAAAGAGAGAGGGGGAGGGGCCGGGCCCGGGAGCCGGAGGGAGCCGCGGAGCAGCCGCCACCGTCGCCGCCGCCGCTACCGGGACCCCAGGTAGGCGCCCGGGAGGTGGGGCGTCCGCGGGGGGAGGGGGAGGCGTCCTTTCCTTTGGCTCCTGGCCGCGGGCGGGGGCGCCGGGGAAAGTTGGTTGCCATAGAGACAGCAGCCCGTGGGCTCGGGAGGGGGAAGAGGGGAGAGTTGTCACCTGGAGGGAGGCTCTGGGCGCTTTTCACAAGCGAGACGGCCAGAGCTTCCTGGGGGAGCGGGACTGGTGGGGCCCATGAGGAGGAGGAGGGAAAAAGAGGGGCTTCTCTCCCCTCAAGCTCATGGAGGGGGCAGGCGTCGCCCTGTCTTGGGGGTGTCCAACTTCGTGGAGTGAGGTGTTTTATGTTTTCCCCCCGAAAGGAGGGCGTTTTGGAAAGGGATGGGCGTGGGGTGGAAGGTGGCCCTTCTGAGGGTGCGAGGGAATACAGCAAGTAGCAGCTGGCTGAGTAGGTTTTATTAACTTGCTTGATTTCTTTATATGCAAATTTCCCTTTGCCCTTTTAATGGCGAGTTCAGGGGATATGGGCTCATTTAGAAGCGTGAGGGGGGCAGAGAAGCAAAGATGGGTGCCATGATGGGAAGATCTTAGAGACCTATAGGGTGGCATTGTCATGGTAACAGGAGGTAGTTGGTCATGCTCTGCTCTCTCCTTTGATGTGACTCATCATTCCTTATCTTAAAAAGTTCTGGGTATCATTGGGCAAAGAGATCAGATAGTGAGGTGAGCTTTTTGAATGAGATGGTTGGGTGGAGGCACCTTCTCGTTACTGTTGGATAAGAAAGATGGAAAAGGTGGGAACTTTTTCCTAGGAGATAATCTGCTCACTCTGTTGGTGTTGAAAAGAAGTCCTGGGACGCAACATAAAGATTTCACCACCCTCTCCCCTCAGATAACAGAAGTGTGTAGAACAATGATCATTGTTTTTATAACAATGCATTTTATTTTACTGCCTTCCAAATGTATACTGTATTGCCTTTTCAGTGTATGAGGCACGGTTTGCACAAATCTTTGGAGAAGCTTGAAAGAGAATGCCTCTGATACCAACAACTTCATATTATCAGAGGGTCTGAAGGCATAGTCCCTTCCAGCACTTTTTAGTAATACACATATATAAATATAATCCAGCTTGGGTTTAATTCACTTTCTTATTTGTTTTTGTTTTGTTACAGTGTGTGAAGTTTCTCCCAGTGTTTCTTTACAGGTGCTTCAGGATAGTATAAGGGGTTTACTATATAGATCAGCCTCCCCTAACCTGGTGTCCTCCAGATGTTTTGGTCTCCTATCAGCCCCAGCCAGCTTCACCAATAGAAATTATAGTCCAGCAAAATTTGGAGAGCACCAGCTTGGGGAAAGCTGATGTAGATTATAAGTCTCTCCCTTACTGATATTCCTTGTGATTCTTCCTATAATAGTAGGAAACAATATAGAGCTGAGGGGCTGTTATTTGACTTTTACTCTCATCCTTTTTGATGGAAATATTTTCTGGGTGTATGTGCTCGATTCTTTCCCCCCATTGTCATCAAAGGTGTATGCCTTGATGTTAAATGTTAATTTTTTAAAAAAAGTTGACTGCAATTCTATTCCTACAAGGGGGCAAGATGGCCGAAATCAGTGACCTTGATCGTCAGATTGAGCAGTTGCGGCGCTGTGAGCTCATCAAGGAGAGCGAGGTCAAAGCCCTCTGTGCCAAGGCCAGGTGAGTGTTGCCTGACATCTATAAGAATACCTGTTCTAAGACTGTAAAATGCAGTCAATTACGGTGTAGAGTGTCTGTGTGAGACACATTTCCTTTTCTTTCTCTGCAGAGAGATCTTGGTGGAAGAAAGCAACGTCCAGAGAGTAGATTCCCCAGTAACAGTGAGTCTTGTTTTTTAGCGAATGTTCATCAGTGTTTGGGGACTCAAATGCTGGCAGCAATAACACCTGAACTTTTTATTTTATCCTTTAAAAAAAATTGCTGTCACAAGGCGTTTTACAAATAAGAAATTGAAGCATGCTGCTGATTTTTTTTTTTAAAAAAACATCCTTTGAAGCAGATTGAGGGAGGCCAAAGGTGACTTTCCAGGACACTATCTGGCCTCAGAACTATTCCATATGCCATGTTACTGTGTAATATCCTCATGTGTTTTTGCCTCAATTGGAACATGTGCTTGAAATGTAATCATGTCTCTTTCCTGGATGGAAATTTGGTGTGTGTCTGCGTAGGTGTACAAACCTCTTGAGTTTTGCCTGACTGGAATGTAGTCTTGTATAAGAGGTACAAGTCACAGCTGTTTCTCCATCCATTTCTGCCTTTGGCCTCATTCCCTACTAGCAGGCAGAAACTGGACACAGGCCAACAGTGGAATGTGAACAAGGTTCTCCTCTCTTGCCTTAATGAATGAACAGTAACAGAAGAAAAAGAATATCAAAACACAGCACCTGGATTCTTCTGAAAGTTCCAAAGTTCTTTTGAATAAGAGGAATGACAGAGGGAACACATATTTCCCTGGGGGTGTAGTTTCAAGAATGTTTTGCTATCACCAAAATGCCATGCCCCTGCCTATCTAGCTCTTACTGGTGGGCAGAGAGAAGGGCCTTGGTCTTTCAGATACACTGGACTAGGTATGATAGTAGTAATAGCCACCTTGAGAACATTAAAGAGTTCCATATTCTTTCCAGGTTTGTGGGGATATCCATGGCCAGTTCTATGACCTTAAAGAGCTCTTCAGGGTGAGTACTGCTCAGCCATCCAATTCCAGTGCCCAGTTTCAGCTTTCAAGCTCTCCTGGGACAATATATTTACATGCCCTTTCTTTCTCTCCTGCAGGTGGGTGGTGATGTGCCTGAGACCAACTATCTCTTCATGGGTGACTTTGTCGACCGTGGCTTCTACAGTGTTGAAACATTCTTACTACTGCTGGCGCTCAAGGTTAGGAACGACCCTTGCCCCTCATGAATCCAAGGATGCTTTCCTTGTTCTGCCTGAACAGAGATGTTGGGAATTCTGGGTTATATAACATTTCCATGTCTGTGGTCTATGCCGGTTTGGTTGTTTCTCTTACAGGTCCGGTACCCTGACAGGATCACTCTGATCCGTGGCAACCATGAGAGCAGACAGATCACCCAGGTATATGGCTTTTACGATGAGTGCCTGAGGAAATACGGCTCTGTCACCGTTTGGCGCTACTGCACTGAGATCTTTGACTACCTCAGCCTCTCTGCTATCATTGATGGCAAGGTAAGCATGCTGTGTGTGTTTATGATGGTAGGAGCATTTGAGAAAGAGTATGTGCACCCCATCACTGTGTGCAGGGCTTTCCAGAGTACTAGAGGCCCTGTTCCTGTGGCAAGGGCCTTACAGCCTAAAAGAACACTTAGGTTTTCTGGTGTGAGAATAGAGTGCAACAGTTAGACTAAAGTGGGAAGATAACAGCATGAGTTTTAATGTGGTGGGCAGGGAGGTGCTGTTTGGCCCTAGAACTTCTACATGCAGCTTTCCAAATGCACACATTCCTTTTCTGTTGCAGATTTTCTGTGTCCATGGTGGTCTCTCCCCATCCATCCAGACACTGGACCAGATTCGAACGATAGATCGCAAACAGGAGGTTCCTCATGATGGTCCCATGTGTGATCTTCTTTGGTCTGACCCTGAAGGTATATTTGTGCATGGAGTGGGGTGGTTTTGTGTGTGTGTGTGTGTGCCATGCATGAAGGAGAAAGGAATCTTTGCGTGTTGCATCTGGTTAAGATGGTAATAGTATTTGTTCCAGGAAAAGTTTAATAGGTTAAACAGTATTAGGAGTAGAGCGTACCAGGAAGAGCCGTGTAGCCCAAGTAGAAGAGCGTTGAGCCTTTAATTCTGGCTTAAAATTGCACTGAAACCGAAAGAGGCGGAGTCTGTTACCAAGAGGTCCCCAGCAACTTTGATCTGACCTTGTACTTCTGTACAAGCTGCTAAAGAGAGATCACAATTGATACGATGGAGTTCTGAGCACTCCGTGGAACTTATTTAATGAATCTGTCCTGTGTTTTTAGTTCTTTATGTTGTAAGGGAATGAATAGGGTCTCACTTATTGGAAGGCAGAGGATGCTATAGTCTCTGTGGGTTTAATGCCCGATAAACTGCACAGTGAGCTAAAGGAATATTTGTTTATTTGTTTTTGTTTTAAAGCTTCTATTTCTTTTACTGCTTAGTGCAGTATTCCAAAAATCTCTAAAACAAGAACCTTTGAGTCTTTGATCTAAAGAAGATCAGGTATTTTCTGCCCCCATCATTTCATCTCACTCTGGTTCTTTTTAAAAGGGGTTGACTGGTAAAAATGGACGTGGAGCAGCCTAAGCTGGGTCGGGTGAGGGCTTTATATGAAATCCTACCTCTTGGCCAATTGCTGATCAGCTTTGTTCTATAAGTTCATCAAGAGCAGCTGCCCTTTCCCCTAGTCGATCATGCCTGGTACTTGGTTTCCTTTGTGTCGTAAGCCCAGCTTTTCTGTCCTTTGCAGATACCACAGGCTGGGGGGTGAGCCCACGAGGTGCCGGCTACTTATTCGGCAGCGACGTGGTGGCGCAATTCAACGCGGCGAATGACATTGACATGATCTGTCGAGCGCATCAGCTGGTCATGGAGGGGTACAAGTGGCACTTCAACGAAACAGTTCTTACTGTGTGGTCAGCTCCCAACTACTGCTACCGGTGAGGAGACAGAAGGGATTGGTGTGGAATAGCGGGCAGATATGGCAAGCCTAGCACTGTGTACCGTTTGAGCTGTGTGGCATATAGGAGGGATTGCAGGGTCAGTCTGTGTGGAAGGGTGGCATTGATGAAACTGGAGGCATCCCATTGTGACCCTTCTCCTCTGCTCTGCACACAGCTGTGGGAATGTGGCAGCCATCCTGGAACTGGATGAACACCTTCAGAAGGAATTTATTATCTTTGAAGCTGCCCCCCAAGAAACTCGAGGCATCCCGTCTAAGAAGCCTGTTGCGGACTACTTCCTGTGAATGCTTCTTCCATCTCCCCCCACCCTCCCCTCGTGCGGCTTCTGTTTTTCTTGTCCTGGCTGGGGTGGGCAGCCTCTTTGAAGTTTGGCAGGGTTCAGGTCTCTTCTCCCCCTCCCCCCCCGCCCCACTCCATTCCCCTTGCCCAATAAACCCTCAGTTCTGGACCCCTTAGACTGAATTGGCCATCTTTTTCCACACTACTGAATTCCAGCCAGTCGCTTTATAGTCTCTTCAGGGCTGCCCTAATTTTTATTCTCCGCCCGAAACACATTTTTGGGACCTCTGGTCATTGAAAAACCTAGAACTCTGTTGATCTCGGATCACTCCAGGCGAAACGGGGGGAAAAGGTCAACCCAGAAATGGAGAGAAGCTGTAGATCTTCAGAGTTCTATGGTTTTCTAGGGGCGCAGCTGACAGCCTCCCAGCCTAGTTCTCTAGCTCATCTGCAGTGCGACTGGAAATTATTTATAGAGGATGTATCAGATGGAGAGAACTGGACTTGGAAATAAAGAGGAAACCAGTGACCAAAGAATATCTGCAACTGTTAGGAGGATGAGGTCTCTGGACTAGTTCTCTGCTTCTGCGTCACTTAGGTGCTTCCTGGTTTAACTCTTTTTTTAAACAAAAATATTTTTACTTTTTGGTCAGCTGATCTTTGAACTCCGGTTTTGGTGCCATTCCATAGCATTTAAGCAGAGAATAGGAAGTGCTTCAAACCTTGCTGTGTCTGGTTGCTGGAAGACCTAGAACTGTGGTTTCTTCGCACTTCGGTGTATAGTCTGCTTGAGCTACATGGAATAGATGAACATAGACTGGGAAGTGGTTCCTCTGTGTGCCGCCATATCTCATTCCCACTTTCCTCAAACATTTATTGGCCACTGGAAGGTTAAACTGTCCCCACCTTTTTGCCAGACTTTGCAAAAAATAATAATAATTAAAATAAAGTAGACTTTCTGGTCACTGGAGGATGCAAATGCTTTATGAAATCCATTTAAAATTTTTTGTGGTGGATTTATTAAATGTATTATTGGCAAATCTATATCCTGTTTATCCCCCTCCCTGCCACTCCTTCTCCTTGAGTGGGGAGACTGGGACCATATCACGCTAGTTAATTTGACCAATGGGGCGTGTTCTCTGTCTCTCTCCATCCCTCCATATCCTACCCCCTGTGGGGTTGGTGTATCCAAATCCCACCCACCACAGGGTCAAAATCTCCCACCCCCTCCCCTTTATTCCTGTGAAGGGATACTCACATTCAATCCAGATATCTACTTAGAGTTAGAAGGGGAAGGTGGAACTTCCTGCCACTTTTCTTACGTCTAGGAGTGCTTTCCCCTCCGATGATCTGTCTCTTGCTCTAATTTTATTTTGTTTTCATTTTGGGTTTTTTCCTATTTACAACTTTTAGATAAAAAAATTCTAATAAAACTAAAAAAAAAAAATTGACATTTTGTACATTGCGTATTTCTGTGGCCACATGGTTTGTGAGCAGGGTGCATGTTGAATGCTGCCAGATCCTGGGCAGGTGTAGGTGTCCTCCTTGTCATTCCTTACCTCCCAAACCTGCTTGGCTCCTGCAAAGAGTGGAGGATGAGATGAGCTCCATACTTTCACTCTTGGGGAGTGTTTCCACTTCCTTTATTGAGTTGAAGCGGATGGAATATAGGGTCAAGTAATCTTCACGGCCTTCAATCATGCCACAGGGAGAATCTGTCTACCTCGGAGCCTGTTAAATATATGATACTACTACTTCCTACATTTTTTACAAACGAGTTTCTCACTTGATGGTGCTGCTTCTCGAGGCAGGTTGGTGCTACACACATCCATCAATACTTCCTGACCCAAAACTGCTCTGCAACTGAGAACTGCCCCAATTTATTTAACCTGTTTTGGTGAGATGTCTTAAAAGGATCTGCTGATGCCTTCTGACGTATAACTTAAAACCAGTCAAGCAGAGCAGAAATCTAGGCTGGAATTTCAGAATTCTAGCTTGCTTAAATATGTCATGGAAGAAAACAGACGTACACTATGTTATGACCTTAAAAATGTTTAATTATAAGACAGGCAGGATACAGACAAGTTTACCCTTCCCAACATGGACAGTAATAAAGAAACAGGGAAAGCCATGAAATCTAGCAGGGGAAACAGAATACCTAGAAGACAGGAATTCCAGGGTTTGTGGGAGGAGCAAGAGTTAGAGCATAGGTGGCTGAGAGCCAGGATAGCCAGAGGGGGGCCCATAGACACGAGGTGGAGGCGGGTAGGGTGCGAAGCTGAATTTGAAAGGGGGAAAGGAGGAGGTATCGGGAGGTTCTGCTCCCCCAAGGAAAGGAATAATATCCAGCCCATTCCAACTCGCCGGGAGCATAGGTCTGAAATCAGATTGCTCGGGAGGTGACTTGGTAGTTGGGGATGATGGAGGAGCTGCCATTTCTTGACTTGGGCTGTGGGGGGAAGATGAGGGGTAAGTCAAACACTGATAAAAGTGCAGGTGGCCCCCCTTTGAGTGGCTTGACATGACCAACCTTCCAACTGCGTGCATCTGCCCAACTACGTCTCCCCACAGACAGCTATAGTTTTTCTGTATTCTACTGGTTCTAGCTTCCCCATAGATAATGCTGCAGCCCTGAATGTCTTTTCTGCATCCTCGCCTTGCATATTCTTCCTGTTAAATGTCATATTGTGCGGGACGTTGGCCACAGTAATCAGTACATGGTTAATTCTGGTTCTACCACAGAATGGCCTTGGTAAGGGCCAAACACCTTTCTCAGTTAGCGATTTCTGCACTGGGTTGGGTTCAGAGACTCCGCCATTGCATGCAGCTGGTGACAATTTGTGGCTGCTCTCTGTTACGGATCAAGCACTAGCATAAGAAGTAAAGTGGTGTTTCCTCACTAAAGGCTGCAGGTTATCTATTTGTGTAGGTTTTTAAGAGATTGCTCGAGTGGCTTTTTTCATCATGGGCATGACCCTTGCTTTGTAACTTGCTTTACAACTGTATCTTCCAGTAAGTTAAATGTTGGTTAGCAGCTACTCTGGTATGTCAGGCAGACTTCTACTTACTTTTAAAAGTTTTCAACTGGCACAAGTACATTTATTTGTTCAACACACACAAAAAAAGGGGGGGAGTGGGGAACATCACAGCTGGTAGCCAGCTGCTAACTAGAGAGGGCAACACCTATTTTCAGACTAAAAAGCAAAGTGAACTTACAAATATGCTAAAGACATTTCCCTCCCCCCAGAAGCCTCTTGGCACTTGTAATGCCCTGGAGCCAAGGTGGCCATGACAGTGCCCTGCTGATATTACTGAACTCCCATCTCCCATCAGCCCCAGTCAGCATGGCCAATGGTCCGTGAGGAGGGAAGTTGTAGACCATAGCATATGGAGGGCACCATGTTGGCTAATGTTTAGAGTACAGTGGTACCTCAGGTTACAGACGCTTCAGGTTACAGACTCCGCTAACCCAGAAATAGTACCTTGGGTTAAGAACTTTGCTTCAGGATGAGAACAGAAATCACATGGTGGTGGCGCGGCGGCAGCGGGAGGCCCCATTAGCTAAAGTGGTACCTCAGGTTAAGAACAGTTTCAGGTTAAGAATGGACCTCCGGAATGAATTAAGTTCTTAACCTGAGGTACCACTGTACAGCGCAGTCTTTGCCAGGTGCAGCTGCAGCAATTCTCAAAGTAAAATTTGGACAATGGGCACATAGAATCATAGAAGTGTTGAGGTGGAAGGGACCTTGAGGGCCCTCTGCAATTCAGGAATCTTTTGTCCAACATGGGGCTCAAACCCACAACCCTGAGAATAAGAGTCTTGTGCTCTACTGACTTGTTTTCAATGCCACGATGTAGCTGTACAGTGGTACCTCGCAAGACGAATGCCTCGCAAGACAACAAACTCGCTAGACGAAAGGGTTTTTTGGTTTTTGAGCTGCTTCGCAAGACGATTTTCCCTATGGACTTGCTTCGCAAGACGGAAACGTCTTGCAAGTTTGTTTCCTTTTTCTTAACACCATTAATACAGTTGTGACTTGACTTCGAGGAGCAACTCATAGATAGTAGCCTTTTTTGTGGTAGCCTTTTTTGAGGTTTTTAAAGACTTTGGTGATTTTTGAAGCTTTTCCAAAACTTTCCAAAACACCGTGCTTCGCAAGACGAAAAAAATCGCAAGATGACAAAACTCGTGGAACGAATTAATTTCTTCTTGCGAGGCACCACTGTAGATAATTCCAGTTACAGTGGTACCTTGGTTCTCGAACTTAATTTGTTCCAGAAGTCTGTTCATGCCATAAAAAGGAAAAAGTGCCTATTGCCAAGTGGGGTGTTTTTTTTTTTGTTTTTTTTTGTTCCCTCTGGCAAAGGTTCTTCAACGTATTAAGCGTGGCAAGAAATCAGAGCACTTCAAATTATTGCCTGGGTATCTTAAATGCTGTGAGGGTGCTTTCAAATCAGCCCTACCCCTCTAAAAACATTTATACCTGTTTATACCCTAGGACAGGGTTTATTCAGCCACCAAAGGAAACCTGAACACCAGGGTTGATTCAGATCACCCAGGGATGCTCCACACTTATTTTACAAAGGCAGAAGTTTGGCAACACAGCTCTAGAACTCGAGGAACGTGACATGGCTGGCTCACCTGCCGTAGGGTGAGGGTGCCCTCCGCAAGCCATGGAAGGCGGCTGGGTGCTGCACATAAGCCTCTGCTCCGCTGGGATTGATCCCTGCAGTGGGGTAGAAGGAGCAAGAAGGGTGTGGAAGCGCAGGTGGTGGTTGTTGCTCCAGAGGTGTCTCCTCTGTCAAGGTGGAGTCGCAGGGGCCTTTCTTGCTCTCTAGGTGGAGGCGAAGTGCAGGTAGGGGAGGAAAAGCAGGCAGAAGGTTATATAATGGGAAAGGGGAATAATAAAACAGGATTCGTATGGATTTAGAAAGCACATAAGTGTGGCATAGGAGGGAACCTCTAGGGACATATACAACTTTTTAAAAAAATATCCAAAATAACAGGTTCTCTGGAATGTTGTCTGAAATAAAGAGGCAATTCATTATAGTACCAGGGGTTGTGACCTTTTCAGGTAAGGGCCCTCTAGCAAGTTTGTGCTATCAAGACAGAGCAGGGTATGATTGTAATTGTGGGGAAAGACAATTCAGAGGAGGCAAAAATATGAAACAGCAGGTATAATTTAAGGAGTTATAGGACTTGGGGTGAGGGAAGTGATGGGATGTTGTGGCGGGGGTCGCAAAAGTCAAGCAGTGAAAGGAAGCAAAAGGTGGCCATTGTATGTGGCATTGTAAGAAATGGATATACATAGGGCAGTGAGTAGCTACCAAGAGTTAAGGATGGTGAGGAGGCCCACAGAGTATCCACTTAAATGATCCTCACTTTGTTTAATGAAGTCTGGAGAGAAATGTTGTGTTTTGCTTTTAAAGCGGTGGGAGGAGACAGAGACCAGACAATGTCTTACGAAGCTAAGCGACAGAATAAGGTATGTTTGTTTCTCTTACCATTTTCCCCCATGTTGGCTTCACATTCATTTGCCTTCATTTTCCTCTTGATTCGGGCCTCGCGCTCCCTAAAATTTGTAAGGGGGACCATAATAAGATGTGGAAAAGCAATGTTAGAAGCCAGGGGCAGACTGTAATAATATGGTGCCCTGAGCAAGGACAAAATCCCCCCTCCTTCTAATATTTCTTATTTTCTCAATAATTCATTTTGGTATGGTTGCTTTTTTAATGGATGGTCTCAGCAGGTATAAATTTAGTAGTAGCAGTTGTTATGAGCCCATTCATCTTGGCGCCCTGTGATTCTCCAGCCCAGTGAACTGCAATATTTCTCCAGTGAAGACAAGCCCATCTCTTTATGGTCTACGCCGCCCCCCCCCCGTCAGTGGCAAACATTTTGGGAAGGGAATCACTGCTGCCAGCTAATATGAGGACTGAAATAGCTCCTCTCTACAGCATTGACATCTTTCCTGATCGGGTCAGTTCACCTTTTGCTGTTCATGCCATTCTCCCGGAAGCCCTTTGCGAAAGGGTTGCTCTCTATCTTCATCTGAGTGATCTGGGAGGGGAGGAAACAGGAAAATGTTAGGTAGGCAATTGAAAGGGTATGATTAGATGTATACGCACATATATTTTTATGTTTTCTGAGATTTGTTTTAGCGTGCGAGCACAGATATATGATCAATCTTTCCACTTTTGTATTATGTTTTCAAAAATAATAGAATACTGGCATATGCTGACAGCATATTCAAGTTCCAGAACCTAGAGCAAAACTTTTGCGTGGGCCTCCGTAATAGAGAAGGAGACAGTCAACAAAGCCAGCTCTCCTGAACACCTCTCTTCCTACTCTTGCTGGTACTAGTTCTTACCTAGATGTGAGCTGATTGTCGTGTTACTGTTTTTTCCAGGTTTGGGGCTGTATATATATATATATATATATATATATATATACACAGTGTTTTTTTCTGGGGGTACGCAGGGGTACGCATACTCATAAACATTTTGTGAATCTAAGTTTGGCCTCATTGAGGGGCAGTATTTCAATATAAGTAGGAAAATGAGAGTACCCCTAAACATTTTTTTAAGCTCTCTCTCTCTCTATCTATATCTATATCTATATCATCTATATCTATATCTATATCTATATCTATATCTATATCTATATATCTGTCTGTCTGAACTGTTCGAAGTGGGTATGCGTGCAAAATAGCTTTTAACCAATCTAGTGCTCTTCAGAAGTATTGGGCTACAACTCCCATCAGCCCAGGCCGGCACATAATGGGAGGGATGAGACAGAAGAACTATTTTAAGACCGGAGGAGGGATATATAGTGCAATAGCTATTGTAGACCCTGTGTGAGAGTAGAGGAATTGCACTTAATAATAATTTTGTTAAGGGATATTAAGGTCCAAGGAAATGGTTAAATAACAGAGAAGCTGAATTTGTGTGTGTGTGGGGGGGTATATTTTAGGGCAGAAACTTACAAAGGAATATCGCAAAACATGGAAAGACTCCCAATGAAAAGTAAAGGCTCTGACTGAGTAGAGGAAAGGATATTTTGGTTGAGAGGTATGAAGAGCTATTCAAAAGTGGAAAGAAACACAGGAATGGAGTAATAAATAAGGACACATAGGGGAGTTACAAAATGATGAGGGCTGCACAGGCCCATGCAGAGGCGGAAGGGCACCATTCAGCCTGAGGTGAAAGGTTGTGGAGTGAAGGGATATGGTCAGGAGGAGAAAGGAGCTGAGGTGATTTAGAGGTGGAAGAATCCTGAGGAGAAGCCATTGTGTTCTAGCTGTAATGGCATCAATAGATGTGGGTGAGCAAGTGAAGAAGGGAGGCCTCAGGCCTGAGTTTTATGGAGGTGGACAAGTGGGGGAAGAGAGCTTCATAGGAAGGCGGAGGGCGTCAACAATCCCAGATTTCATGGAGGTAAGTGAAATGTAAGGTTTGCCCCATGTCACAGAGATGCAAAAAAAAGTGTGTGGGGGGGAATATATTTTTGCAGCACTATTTAAAAGGAAAAGTGTCACATGAGGGGGCAAAGGGATATGGCCAGAGAAAAGGAAAACAGGCCATTTTAGTGACGTAGAAATGCTCAGGGAAGGTCAGTGGAGTTCCAAAATGTGCAGTGTTGGAATGGTTTTTAGTTTGCTGTGATTTTTCCTGCTGTATTGATAGTGAGTCGCATGGGATTAAATTGAAAGCGAAGTCACTTAGGATCCCTTGCGCCTGCCCCTCTGGACATGGGGTTCGGTTGCTACTTAGAAGTGAGGGGAAAATGCTCTGTGTGTGTGTGTGTGTGTGTGTGTGTAAAACCCTTGTGAAAACAATTTAAAGACTATTTGCAGAAATACTGTAAAATTAATGAATGTTAAAATGATGTTGGATTGAAAATAAGTGGTTTTGGTAATAAGGTTAAAAAGAATATGCAAATATAGATAGTCATATGGACGAAAATATATAGTTATAATAGGTTAAGTCACAGAGTAAAGATAAATGAAAGAGGGTAAGGATTTGCTGAAAGGATTTTGTAAACGGGAATACAAAAAGGGGAGGTGTGAGGAGGTCAAGGAAATAAGTAAATGAGCCTAAAGATATTTAAAAATGGATTTTTTCTTTATTTTGTTTTTTAGCCATCTGTTTTTTGTATTTTGTATTTTCTTTCTTTTTTTTTTTCTTCTAGGATTTTTTTCTTTTTTTTGGTAATTTTTTGTATTTTTCTTGTTATCTTTTTTCTTTTTCTGTCTATGTTTTCTTTTTAGTTTGTTAAACCTATGTTTATTGTAAAATCCTAATAAACATTTTATATATATATATATAAAAATAAAACCCTTGTGAAAACAGAGGCATCTTCTTGCCACACTTCCACAAAATAGCGGTGGTGGTTCAGGAATATGTTGATGGATTAATATTTGTGCCAATTCCAGAGTGTCTCTAAGGAAATGAGCATGGGAAGGCTGCCGTTTCTGGAGCTTGGTGAAAAGAACAGGCACAAAAAATAATATGGAGTGGGGTGTTGGTCTCACAGAAAGCTAAATTAACTTTCTGGGGAGGGTCTCCTGTGCTATTTCTCTAAAATGAAGCTCTGTCTCACATTTGTGCTTCTATTCTAAACACATTTCCTCCGAAGTCCTTTAGAATTTGACGGAGTTGATGTTCGCCTGAGAATTCTCAGGACTGCCGCCTTTTTTTAATGGCCAGTTTTTGATTTGATTATCATTTGCTGATGAAAAAAAGTGCCTTTCCTTCAGGGATAAGCAATGGGGGGGGGGCAGTGAGGGCGGGAAATGGATAAATCATTTGTCCAAGGTGACACATCCCTGCTTCCTGCCACCAATGGGGAAGGGCCTTTTAGATGCAAATATTAAATTTATAACAGCGGCCTTGTTTCTCACCTGTGGGTTCTGGTAGGCCGTGACAGTCAGAAACTGGGTCTCGGGAAAGGTGAAGGAAGCGCAGCCACTGCCTGCCCCACGGCGTCCTCCGGCTCCAACCACATGTATCCTCGGCTGGTAACGGTGCATGGAGTGAACAATCAGCTGAGAAGGGGGTGCAAGAGCCAGAGGTGAGTCATATTATCTGTTTACTTGTCCAAACAGTTTTTCCTACCATATTTCATTTTTAATGCAAACAGATATTTTAGCTCCTGTTGTAGTCAGGGCCAGTGTAAATTCTGTGAATCTGCCCGAAGCACAGGCTTTTTTATGTTAAATTGCGGGATTCACTCGCTTGAGAATCTCTGTTTTATCGTACATTAAGAAGGACAGCAAGATTCTAGTCCTTATGGCTACATAATGAGGTTTCAGTCCCTGGTGAAATCACATGGACTGAGTAGACTTCTAATGATCCAAATATGGGGCTTCAGGTAGCTGCATAGTTACTTGCCCTTTCTCATGAATGATGGGAGCAAAATAAATTATGCACAGAATCACAGAATTGTAGAGTTGGAAGGGACCCCGAGGGTCATCTAGTCCAACCCCCTTCCATTCTGGAATCTCAACTACAGCATACATGAGAGAGAAAGCAACATATCTATTGTGTTTAGTTTATATAATTTGCAGACGATGTAGAATTTCAGAATGCTGGAGGAGATTTTATTTTAAGCACAAATTGTACAAAACCCTGGGTATGCCTCTTTGCTATATAACCCATAGCCATAATCCATTATTGTTAGCAATCTGAACCGCCAAATATCTGTTAGTGCCATTCTTTTAACCCATTTTTCCCTTGAGGTGCTCAGAGCATTCCCTACAGCTACATTCCTTTCCACTTAATATCCTATGCCTCATGCCCAAAGTGCCCTTTCCCCCTGGCCATACATGTCCATGGGGATCCAGTGTGTTGTTGGTGAGCTTGAGCCGGTGGAAGGATACAGGTTGGCGCATCCAGTGGGCGCCTGATGCAGGCGAGTCGGGGTGGATGTAGACCCTGTCTGGTGGGGGCAGTTCAGCCTTGCCGCTGGCGTCCCACCGCTTGCCATGCCATTTGTACCGGGAGCTGCCCACTGGGACCACATCCACTAGCAGCAGGTACTTGGCTTCAGGATCCAGTCCTGTTACTGAAACTTTCAGCTGTGGAAACATCCGCCTGCAAAATTGATTAAAAATGTGGGTTAGAATATTTTAACTGGGCAGGCAGCGGCGGGGGGGGGGGGGGGAGAGGTTTCATCAGTGAGACATAACAAAAGGCAGGGGGAAGAATAGGACCACCACTTACTCCTGCTGCCGCCACCACCCTCAGCAGTAGTTGGCACAAATTATTATTTTTTTTTTTCATTTTTGATGCTGACAAATTCAGAAAAATAAAAGAGCAGGGTGAGTGATCCTGTCATACTGGACATCTATGTACAGGGAAAAGTGAAGAAGATTAACAGTTCCTGATAATATATATCCCATCTCAGTACTAAGTTTCATACAACACAGCGGAAACTTCCTAAAATTGTTCCAGTGTGCATATATATGCCTCTGACATGAAGGTTCCATTAGTTGCAGATAGTTGTATTCTGTGTGTGTCTAAGTCTAAGTCTAAGTGTCTAATCTTTCCAAAGTCATCTCAGATCATCATCACATCATGTGGCATTGAATCCCATGGATTAATTCTGGGAAATGTGAATAAGTTATTTCGTCTTTTGTGTGCTTTGAATGTACTGTCAATCATTTCATTTTGATGACACTTCCCCCCAGGATCTAGTATGGAACTTACAGGAGGGATGAAGGAAATAGAGAGCTATGTTTATCAGCCTCTAATAAATCTAAACTCTAAACTCTAAAGGTAAAGGGTCAGGGGTCTCCTTACCTTTACCTTTAATCTTCCCTGATTCTGAGTTTCTTGAGCAGTGCTGTAATTTCTAAGGAGAAAGGGGATATGCACTGGCTCTGATTACTCAGTACTGGGGAAGATGCAGTCCACATTGGTTCAGAAGCATTGGTTTTGCATGTGTCTGGGGAATCACTAGCACTGGGACAAGGTTCTGGAGCTCAAGGTCCACTTTTTTCTCTTTTACCTCCTGCTTGGCATCTCACCTGCCTGCCTTGGTGATGATCATCTCTGTACCAATCCCACTGAAACGCTTCCAAAGTTCTCCATTCTCCAGGCTCATCCGTACTCCCGGGGGTAGGCGTGTAGTTGGTGGGGGGCCGGATGGGAGAGGCTGGCCTGACCCATAAGGGAGGCCAGGAGCAGAGGGCAGGAGGCGCCCTGGGGGTTCCAACCCAGGGAAGAAGCTATCCAGCTTAGGGGCAGCATCAAGGTCTGACGGCAGGGAAGAGAAGAGAAGGGAACAAGTCAGAAAAGAGGGCTGATGGAGCTGAGGGATATTGGTTGAGCTGGGGGGGGGGGCGGGAAAGACAGGGGCTTGCAGGCAAGACTGAGGGGCTTCATCCCAGGAATTTGTCACCCTCCTGCTGGTTTCCGCCTGCTTGCTCCCCCCTCTCATCTCCCCCGACCAGTTGGTCTTGGGTGCTAAAAGTCCAGCTGATGTGGGGAGCAGGAAGCAAGCAATGGAATTTATGTGAATTTTGCATTTCTTCTGTCCCAGCCTGCCCTCCCACTGGCCTGTTAAACCCACAACTGCTTTCTTCTTTTCTGGGTACCACTGAGTCCTACTCATGCCCCTCCTTTGGGTACCTGCTGTCAGCCTTCCTGTTGTCCCCCCCCCCCCCCGCCTTCAGATTCTAAGTCCTACATTTCTCCCAGAGCATAAAGCAACTCTGGCCTCCAAATCCCTTTGCCCCATTCAACCATCTCTGAGAATTCACCAGTCTTGGTTCCCACCCAGTCCCCATTCTGTTCTATCCCACTTCTCTCCTGCCAAGCACAGAAGTCCTGGATTGCAGACTTACCCCTCCCCTTTCTCTAAACCACTCTCCCTCCCAAAGAACCGGGAAGTCCTCCTTATTATAATTCCAACTGCTCTAATCTCTTAACACATTGCAACTCCAGCCCACCCCCATTCTAAAAAACCCTACAAACTGTGGCTCTCATATGTTTCTGTCCTTTTATCCCACCCTTCTTCCAAGGAGTCTAGGGAAGCACATGCGGTCTTCTTCCTCAACAACCATGTAAGGTAGGTTATATTAGAATGAGACATGGTGACTGGCCCAGCATCAGCCAGTGTGGCTGAAATGAGGATGCACTTCAGCCCAGTCAACATTTTTGGTATGTGATTGCTCCTTTACTCACCCTTCTAATCTTACTTTGGCTTTTAATTTCCCTCCCCCTCCCCCTCTCCCACCACCTCCACCACCACCTTCCCCACCATCATATCCCAATTTCTCACCTGGATATCTGAAGGCTTCATATTGAGGTGCCTGACCCTGGGGATACCCAGCCCCGGGAGGCGGGGGAGGTCGCAGAGGATATGAGCCCCCATACTGTGAGAACATCTCTGTGGGGTGATACATGGGGTGCTGCAGGAAGCCTTGGAGCCAGGACTTCTGGGTTCTCTGGGAAAGGAGTGAGGACCTCGTGGGTTAGAACAGGTGAGACTGGAAGCCAGGGCTCCTGCTTTCTCTGGGTAGGAAGGAAGGTCTAGAGGGTTAGAGGGATGGTGCAAGTCGTAAGGGGACCTCTGGGAGAGTGGGGTGCAGAGTAGGAGCCTGGAAGGAAGGGAGGCTGTTCGGCTAGAGCAGGGTTGAGGGGCTGGGAGCCAGCTTTCCCCGGTTCTGTCTCTGGAGGCAAGTCTGGGATGCATCCACCCTGCAGATCCTCTCTTTCCCTGAGGAGCCCCTGGCTGGGGCTGTATTTATGATTCTGCTAAGACCCTTTGAAGTGAGACCCCAAATGGCACATTCACACCTCAAGAGGGGAGGGGTTTGGGGCTTAAGGCAGGGGAACAAGGGAGAGAAGTAGCAGGGACATATATATTCTCTGTCGCAGGGCGTCCCATCCTTACACACCTCCTAGCTATTTCTGTCAACATTGCTCTATTTTATCCCACTTCCTCCTTCCCTGCTATTTCATCTCTGGCCTGTGTGCTGTCATGCAAGATGTGTGCAGAATCCACTCCCCCCTCCCCATTCCTGTCCAATCCCCACTTCATCTCTTCTGTCCCAATTTAAGCCCCCCCATGCCCAGTCCCACCTCAGACTTCATTAAGAACAGTCAGCTGAGTCCCTTTCTGAGCCCACCACTTGATTTCTCCTAATTGCCTAATTAACACCCTTGCTCCAAAGTTTCCTGATTGATCCTGACCTATGGGATCCTTGGTTTACAAGTGGGTGAGGGAGGAGGTGCCATGGTCATTTGTCATCCAGATGTTTTCACAGCTGGACAGGACAGCTGCAAAGGGACTGTCAGATCCTTGGGAGTGCAGAGTAGGTCCTTGAGTTTATATCCACAGTTGGAGAGCCAGGATACCTTGGTTCTCTGGAAGCTCATTGTGGTACAATATTTTCTAAACTGTTAATTTAATTGGTCGTGGAAACTACTATGTGATTGCACACTATAATGGCACAAGTGGAACAGACAGAGGAGTAATTAAGTATTGTGATGCCTCAGGATGTATTATGCCAGGCGTGCCCAAAGTCCGTTTTGGGGGCCTAATCCTGCCCACCAGTCGATTTAATTCAGCCCCTGTGGCACTTTATCTCCTGGGGTAAAATCCTAAAAAACCCCCAACAACTTCAATCCTAAAAAAACCTCACAACTTTGGGGTAAAATCATAAAAAGGTCAACAACTTTGGTCGGCCCTCACGGCCCTTCACTTCATCAAATCTGGCCCTCTTTGAAAAAAGTTTGCACACCACTGATTATGCTGTTGATGGTAAGATGTATGCATAGCCCTATTCAACAAAAGAGGAGTGTCTGTAATCAACAAGAATGTTCTTTAACAAATCAAAGGTCAAAATTCTGTATTTGTTCACTTTTATGTGTTTTTGTTCTGTCCTTCCACTAAGGAACTTAGGGCAGTGAATAGGGTTGTTTCCCCATGTTTTCTTCAGAAGAGCCCTGTGAGGTGGTCAGACCGAGAGGTAATGACTGGCCAAAGGCCACGCAGTGAGCTTCATGACTGAGTTGGGGTTTGAACCTGCATCTACCCAGCTCTAGAATAGAATAGAATAGAATAGAATAGAATAGAATAGAATAGAATAGAATCATAGAGTTGGAAGAGACCACAAGGGCCATCGAGTCCAACCCCCTGCCAAGCAGGAAACACCATCAGAGCACTCCTGACATATGGTTGTCAAGCCTCTGCTTAAAGACCTCCAAAGAAGGAGACTCCACCACACTCCTTGGCAGCAAATTCCACTGTCAAACAGCTCTTACTGTCAGGAAGTTCTTCCTAATGTTTAGGTGGAATCTTCTTTCTTGTAGTTTGGATCCATTGCTCCGTGTCCGCTTCTCTGGAGCAGCAGAGAAAGAGGTAATGACTGGCCAGAGAGAGGTAATGACTGGTCAAAGGCCACGCAGTGAGCTTCATGACTGAGTTGGGGTTTGAACCTGCATCTACCCAGCTCTAATGTGACATTATAGGGACGCGGGTGGTGCTGTGGGTTAAACCACAGAGCCTAGGACTTGCCGATCAGAAGGTTGGCAGTTCGAATCCCTGCGACGGGGTGAGCTCCCGTTCTGGCGGGAAGATAAACGGCGTTTCCGTGCACTGCTCTGGTTCACCAGAAGTGGCTTAGTCATGCTGGCCACTTGAACCGGAAGCTGTACACCGGCTCCCTCGGCCAATAAAGCGAGATGAGCACCGCAACCCCAGAGTCGGTCACAACTGGACCTAATGGTCAGGGGTCCCTTTACCTTTTAATGTGACATGCTAGTCCCCGCTGTGCCACACTACATCTCCAATTATGCTCCCATAAAGACTGAATTCTGCAACCTGACCAATTTGTGCCAGTTAAACAAATCTGCACGCAGTTACTTATTTTGCAGAATTTATTCTCCTTTTCCTAGCCATGATAAAAGGGCAAGGAGCTAGCTAAGTCACAGAAGTCCTTCTCCTGATTGCTGGAAGTTATTTGGCTTTGCTGCTGACTTTGTAGACTTCACTGGAAATTATGTCTGTGTTTATGTCTCGGTGGTTCTAAGGGCAGGACACTAGAATTCTTAAAATATAAGGTGATGAATTCTGCACCCATATATTTTTTTTGTTTGATTTATACACCACCCTTTATTTAAAGATCCCGGGGCTGTATACAACTTTAATAACATAATTTACACAACATAATAATAAAAATATAATACACAGCATAATAATAAAATAATCATAACAACAGTCTCCCCCACATTTAACAGGCCATAGGTTATTTAATGGTCGAAGGCCTGGGTAAAGAGGAATGCTTTTGCCTGGTGCCTAAAGACATGTAATGATGGCGCCAGATCAGCCTTTTGGGAGAGAGCATTCCACAAATGGGCAGCCACCACCAAAAAGGCCCTTTCTCATGTTGCCACCCCCCAAACTTCTTGGGAAGGGAGGGTGTAAAGAAGGGGCTCAGGTGACAAGTGCAGGGTCTGGGTTGGTTTGTATGGGGAGAGGCCGTCCTAAAGGTATTGGGGTCCTGAGCTGTGCAAGGCTTTATAGGTCAGCACCAGCACTTTGTATTGGGCCTGGGAACGAATTGGCAGCCTGTGCAGTCAGGTCAGGATCAGCGTTAATGTGGTCAAACTGTCTTGTTCTTTAGCAAGGCTGACAGGGAAAATCCGACACCAGAGCGACCAAGCTTTCCACAGAGAGTGGAGTAAATTTATTCAATATATAGACAGTTATTGTAAACATGTAAAGACACTAGCAGGACTGAGATAAATCATGCAGTGTTTATTGGAAGAAATTTTCTATTTTGTGCATTAAGTTTAGGATAAGTTAGGATAAATGTAGAATTGAGACGGTATAAATGTGTGAATTTAAGATATGCTTTATAAAAACCAGATGACAGAACGGAGGGAAGTCAAGTGGCTTGGTGGAGCTAAAAACGTATAAATGGAGATATGACGTTATAATATTGTTAAAAATGGATATATATGTATATATATATCACAAACTGTCTTGTTCTGGTGAGCAACCTGGCTGTCAAATTTTGCACCTGCTGAAGTTTCCAAGCCGTCTTCACAGGCAGCCCCATGTATAACACATTGCAGTAATCGAGTTTAGAGATTACTGGAGCGTAGGCCACAGAGGTTAGGCTATCCTTGTTCCGAAGGCATTCCGTGCCACCTCTGCCCAGGGATGTGCCCTACACCTTCTGCTGTAGAGACAGATGCAACATGCTCATTCAGCTTCTCTGCAAACTCATTTCCCTCATTTAGCACACCTTTGACTGCCTTGTCGTCTGAAGGTCCAAATGCCTCCTTGCCAAGTTGCTTGCTTCTGATGTGTTTCAATACCATTTTTCGCCGTTGTTTTTAGTAATGTGCTCCTCGGTTTCTTTTTTTTTGCATCCCTTATTGTCTGCTTGCTTCTTTTCTTTTTTTGGCCAGAGTTTTGTGTTCCCTTTTGTTCTCATTTGGACAAGAATGAGAACAAGAGGTCTTCCATTTTCTGAAGGAAGACCTCTTACTGCAATAGCTTCCTTGACTCTTCTCATGAACTGTGCTGGCATCCTCTTGGCCCTTGTGGTACTTTTCCTGACCTGTGTGGTACACATTGTAGCTGAACTTCTCTTGTGGTTTTGAACAAACGTCAAGCGTTCTGGAGAGATTTAAACCCCTTAACTTCCTTCCTACCATTCCCCTAATTTCTGGAGAGGTTTCCTCTTTTGACATGAAACATGACTGTTGGACTTTCCTGGCAGTTCACTTAAATATAAGTCACATTTGATAGCATTATCCTTGCCGTTTCCAGTTACTTCAAAAATAAAAGCTGGATAGCTCAGTTGGTTAGAGCATGGTGCTGATAATGCCAAGGTTGCAGGTTCAATCCCCATAAGGCACAGCTGCATTTTCCTGCATTTGCAGGGGGTTGGATTTAGCAGTTCTCAACCTGTGGGTCCCCAGCTGTTGTTGGACTACAACGCCCATCATCCCTGAGCTCTGGCCTTGCTAGCTAGGGGTGATGGGAGTTGTAGTTCAACAACATCTGGGGACCCACAGGTCGAGAAAGGCTGGATTAGATGATCCTCAGGGTCGCTTCCAACTCTGCGATTCTATAATCTTGCACTAGGACCTACACTTCATGGCCCACATAAGATGAAGGCCAGGGTTGCTGCTTCTTTGGTCAGTTCCATGACCAGCTGTTCTAGGGCATAGCCATTGTGTGCATTTGTTTTTACTGAAACATGTGTGTACTTGAAACCACATGAACGTATAAATAACACAGAGGGGCCCAAAGTGTTGTTGGTGTTTTTAAAATTACTTTCTTAACAACCCTGCTTTAAGAATAACTTGCTTGGTATGCCACTGTGTGAGCTTTTGAGTTGTGCCAAGAGATATTGGGGTAAAAGCACCATGCCCCAACTTTTTCTGATGGGCAGCAACAGGGCAGTACTGTAATGATGCCAATACTGTGTGTGGGATTTGAGCGCCCTCTTCTGCTGCTTTAAGGAAATGCCCAATGAAAATAGAGAATTTGCATCCTCTTCCTGCCTAAGCAACCTTCCCTCTCCCTGAATCCTGCCCACTGCCTTTGGCATTCTTGGAGGGTGGGGGTTAAAGGGATGGAGGAATGAGATTGGCCGTGTCACTTCTCGTTATATTAAGTGAAGGTTAATACACATCATTTGGGAAGACAGGCGAACTAATATCAGTGTACTGGATTAAGCAAAGATCACCAGTGTTGAAGCAATGATTCTTCAACATCAACTTTGTTGGACTGGTCATCTTGTGTGGATGCCTGACTATCATCTTCCAAAGCAACTACTCTATTCCGAACTTAAAAATGGAAAGCGTCATGCTGGTGGTCAACAAAAGAGGTTTAAAGACTGTCTCAAGGCAAATCTCAAAAAAGTAGTATAAACACTGACAACTGGGAAACGCTGGCTTGTGAGCGCTCCAGGTGGAGAACAGCCTTTACCAAAAGTGTCATGGACTTTGAAGACACTCAAACTCAGAACACAAGGGAGAAACATGCTAAGAGGAAGGCACTCTTGGCAAATCCACACCGTGATCAACTCCCACCTGGGAACCAATGTCCCCACTGTGGAAGGACGTGGGTCCAGAACTGGCCTCCACAGTCACTTACGGACTCGTTGTTAAAATCCGTGTTTATGGAAGACAACCTTACTTGGCCACGAGTGATCGCCAAAGAAGAAGATATTAAGCAAAGGTAGAATTTGGACAGTGTTCTCGAAGCTACAAACATGAGTCTGACCAAACTGCGGGAGGCAGTGGAAGACAGGCGTGCCTGGCGTGCTCTGGTCCAGGGGGTCACAAAGAGTCGGACATGACTAAATGACTAAACAACAAAGAGTATGTAAGACTCTTGCTGTAGGTAGTTACTATAGGAGATGGCAATGTCAGCAGACAAGCTCCCCACAATTCCTGCCAAGGCCTCTCCCTCCCTGTTAAGCATGGAATAAGTGTTCAAGGGTTCATCTCTGCTGTCTCCGGATTAGTAAAACTCAGTTTATTTGTAGTTGCTCCTGATACTAATATGCTTTGAGGATTTCTATGAAGTGAAGCAGATTCCATACAGCTTTCTGATTATTGGGGGTGGGGGAGGGGAAAAAATATATCCGCGCTTGAATCCCATCTAGAATTCTCTCTTTGCCTCCCAACCCTAAATGCCTGTCGTTCTAGCCGTCTGTCTGGGCTAGGAGAGCAGTCACACCTGCCCTGTGCCAATGGCAGTTGAATCCAGGAGGGTGATGACAGCAGCCTCTCTATAGATGCACAGCTGTTGGGGGTCAGGGGAAACTGGAAATCTTTTGCTCTCTAAAATGGAACTCCCAGACCTGTGGCGCCAGAAGCTGGTGGCCTGAGCCCACCCAGGCACAGCTGTGTGCATGTTTCATGTATTGCAGCGGGTTGGACTAGATGACCCTCGGTGTCCCTTCCAACTCTGCAGTTCCATGATTTTATTCAAAGGCTGTATATTGTTGACGAGAGGATGCTGGGAGCAAACCTAGTGCAGCATCACGATAGTCACTGTTGGGAGACAGGACACTGGGCTGAATAGGTTTTGTTCTGGGCCAGTGAGCTGGTTCTTAAGTTTTAAAAACACTTTCATAGATACTTAAAGAAAATAGGAAAGCAATCCTTTTGTCCTCTGACTTATTGTGGCAAGAGAAAGGTATGATGTGGCAACTAATTCATATTAGGGGGTCAAAAGAACATGCCGCATAGTGTGGCGCAAGTATTTTAATCCAAGTTTGCCATTTGCAAGAACCGCTCCAATAAGAGTTGCATATTGCCAGATACTATATGTGAGTTAATCCAAAATTGGCGGTCTAATTCTGTCACTGGGCAGCAGAGGGAGCTATTGAGCAGTGCCGTTTAGGACAAAGGAATTGTGGTTGAAGTGGGTCAGTAGGCGTCTTTGAAGATGCAAGCACTTATGCATATAATTTGTAGCTTTGGGGGCATGATGGGAAGGAGAAGTTGCTAAATCCTCTTGCTTCATAACCAGAGAAGAGAAGGGGAACTTTGCTAGCTGATCTACCTCTCAGTTCCTTCCTGGTCGTCTTATTCTTCAGCTGTTGAATTGTCTGGGACTTGGAAAATCCACCTTCTTTGAAATTATGCTGTAGGTTTGGTTGTTGTCAAGAGATGTGGTGAACGCCATCCTAGTGCAGAAGGAAATCTGCAAAATGAATTGTCTGTGATAGGTGAGCTAGTCTCCCAGATAAAATGGGCAGGATGAGCAAACCATAGTTTGCACCCGAGTTTTCCTATTCTTCACCAAGGAAGGAGACTCATTGCTCTTGGACCTTTGAAACGGATTTCTCTCTTTCTCTCTCTGTGGTTTGTGCAGGAACTACTGCTGTCTTAAAGGCTGTGTAAACTAATGAAGACTCCTCTCCCATCCCTGGGAAGGATACCTTGGGAAATATGGAAATCTGCCTTACAGTATGCTGGGTGCGTGACTGCCTGTTTTCTCAGAACCTCCCTTTGTTCAAAGCTCATTGTCTCTCTCACTGGGACCTTGTGAAGTGATGCAATTTACACGGAGGTGTGGCTAATGGAGTAGTCACTAACACTTACATGTAATGTATTTGTTGTTTTGCTGCTGCCCTTATTGGCTCTTGGCATACGGAACCTGCCAAGAATATGGCCTTTAGAAAAAGGTGGGGTGGTTAGAAATGCCAGAAACAAATAAATAACGAGGGACAAACAAGGCCACAACTACTCAAGACTGGAGTCATCAGTACATCCCTTTCTAGGCAGACACTGCAGGCTACACCGCCCCCCACCGTAGGGAAAAAAACGGTATCACTTCAATGCTTTTATTTATATAATACATACTCGCACAAACTCACAAATACTGTACAACCCACCCCTTCCCTGCCCCACTGTACATCCCCACCCCCCGCCTGTGTGATTTAATGCAGACTCCCTCTGTACAACAAACCCCACCCCACCCCAAACCCCTTCTTGCACACTGCCCCTGGCCTAGGTGTCTCCTGGTGTGCTGCCACTTCTTGCCACACGATGGCGACATATCCGAGCCCCGAGTATGTCCTCCTGGCGGAAGTGCTGCTTCCTTCACAGCTTCCGTGCACCTGAAGGTGGTTTGGATGGTAGCCCCTTGGTTAGGAAGGCAGAGGCAAGTCTTGTGGAAATTGTCATTTCTGGCGCTCCACCCTTTACATATGTAGCTGTCCAAAGGTGGCAGCGTTTGTATCGTTTTGTTTCTGTTTGTTTTTTTCAATCCCAGCCGTTATCCTTGATCATGTGGTTGAGTTCAATGATGTACTTGCCCTCCTTGTACTTCTGGCTTGTCTCGAAGGCTTGCTCCTGCAGAACGAGAGAACGAAAGCGTGAGCTTCTTTAAGGCAGCGTGTGAGTCTTTAGGGGAGCAGGGAGTGGGGGATGCCAAGGGAGACTCACATATTTCCATCCAAGTGTGGTCTTGCAGTTCTCGCAGTAGATGTCCGCCACGGCATGCAGGCCTGTCAGCAACACCCGTTCCTCTGCTGGGCCACATCCAACATTTACCCTGCAAGGGGGGAAAGAGAGAGGGTGTTGGAGTCCCTGATGCTTTCCTAGTCTGAGTTTCACCTTGTCTTTAGATCAGTGATGGGCCTCAGTCTAGGCAGGTATTGGCCAGGGCCCACAGTTCTGCTTCCCACGAACCGCCCCCTCTGATGAGCACGGGAATAAACCCAGCCGCCTTCCTGACCTTAAGAGTTGGGGAAGTGAGTGTATTATCCCCACCTTGTGCCCTGTGCTTCTGAGGCGCTTCCAGTGAACAAGCCCACGCTATGTATGGCAAAATGAGAGAACAGTCATAAATCTGTCTCCAGGCTGCAGCTTTTCAAGCTATAAGTGGGAACTCACACAAGAAAATGCTCCCCAGACAAGGAAAAGGACACTCTTCCACTGAAAAGCATCACACCTGAGAGCACAAGCTTGTAGACCTAACATTTTAAAATAATAATAATAATAATAATAATAATAATAATAATTTATTTATACCCTGCCCATCTGGCTGGGTTTCCCCAGCCACTTTTAAGACCACATAAAGGTTTAGGGTTGGTTGTTGCTGGCTGCTTCAACCTTGTATGTAGCTGTCTTTTATAGTTTTATGCCTTAAGTCTGCTGCTCCCCTCCTGCGATACTCACACAGAGTTGAATAAATATGCCCGACCTTGGCTTCCTTGGAAAGACTGTAATGACAAGAGACACAAAAAACAGGTTAAAAAAAGAGAACATATCCAGAGGGATAGACATGATGTTAGTTACGGCAAACAAATGACAGCAAACACAAAAGGAGTCCCGTGGCACCTTAAAGATAAACAGACTTCTTGTGGTGTTAGCAGCCCTAACTAGCAGACTTCTGTTCCAGCTGCATACCTCTCTCTCCCCCCCCCTCCACTGATGGTCCTTAGCCTCAGCCCTGGTTTCTCAGCTCCCTTCTGCATTTCCTTATTTGTTCTCTGGCTTGTTTTCAGGCACACCCCATCTCTCCACACTGGATTCTGTGTAATGATTAATCAGCCAGCAGCTCAAACTTGTTGACCTTGCAGTATCTCAAGTACAAGAGGGTGGAGATGGCAGTTGAATGTTAGGCTCTGGAAAGACAATACCCCCCCCCCACTCCCTGTAAGCTGCCCACCTAAATTCTCCTCCTTCTCTGCCTTCATTCTCCACTTCTGATCAGCGGCCCTCTACTTTTGAGCACTGGGGAAGTCTAAAATAGTCCCTGTTTGTTAACTGTAGCTTCCTAGGATATGATCTCGCAATTGGCAAGTGTTCTAATCCCTCCCCTTCCTTACTGAACATTTATAAATTGCTCACCAAGGAAAAGCTTCTAGGCCTATAGCCTGGCCCACTTGGGAGGTGAGCCTTGGTGATTTCCCCAGAATAACCTGGCCCAATTCCAGGGCTCTAGGCAGTGGAAGGGATGGAGCATACAGTGCTGTGAGTTTCGACTGAGACTTTTCATGCTGGAGCTGCGGCAGTAGGTAAAATATTCAATCCAAGGGATCAGAGTTCAAATCCTGTGCCTGCCACAGTCTGCACATGGCCTTGGGAAATCCACGCTGTCCTGGACAACTGCAAAATGTGAATGCTTCCTTGTGCTAATGTGTTTTTACCCGGTTTCTTGATTTTGTTGTCAAGTGACCCCCCCCCCAGTGTTGCTGTGAGGACAAGCAAAGATAAAAGATCGTAAAGGCACACTAAAAATGCTAGATACATGATTGCTGTCTGATTATTGAGATGGGGCTAATATCAGCAAATCAGAGTAGGACTCCCTTTAGTTTCCTGACCCTTTCCCCCCAACTTTTATGTTATCTATTCTTTCTTCCTCCTCCTTTTGGCTAAGATCAAGTGTAGAAAACCAACTGACTGAGGAAAAACAACCCCTCTGGTGCTGAGAGCTGCCCCCCGCCCCCCGCTATAGCAGTGTGCCAGGGACCGTCCCACTCCCCCTTTTCACCTTGGAGATGAGATCGTCGTGGTTGGCCAGGTGTGCCCGGCAATGCACGCAGCTGTAGCGTCGGTGACAGTTGTCCAGATAGGCTTGGAAAGTTTTGGGTTTGGACAGCCTCACCATTGTGGTGGGGTCACGCAAGTGGGAGAAGCTTCAGGGGAGTTGTGAAGAACCAGATAGTCCCTAGAGGGGAAGCTGTGTGGGCGGTGGCGGGAGGAAGCCCCCCGAAAGCCCTAAAAGAGAGGGAGCAATGAGAAAAGGGTTACCAAGGTATGGACAGGCTCGTGAGTGGAGGGGAGAAACAGCAGGGAAGTCAGGGTGCCTGGGACCTGCTTCTTCTTAGCCCTGGGAGCCAGCCAAGTTCTGCCTAACCGGTCTGGTGTCTAAACAAAAACAGTACCACGTGCTTTCCCTCCCTAGGCAGCTTCCTGGAGGCTCAGCCTGTAATTAACCCCAGGATGTAGGTCAACTCTGATCATCTCGTGATGAAGCTGCATTACCAGGAATAGAACCCAGGTGTCCTAGCTCTTCCAAGCAGTGCCTCTCCAAAGAGCCTTCAGTTTGTGGCCTTTCTAAAATCTCTGGAACCACGGGTGCGACTGCCAGGACCCAGGAATTCCTGTCTTTCCTTTCTCTTCATTCCTTCCACCCTTCACCAAGAGATCTGGGAGTTTCTGGCACATTGTCAAAGAATTTAAACAAATTCACCACCTCTCTACGTGTTCCGCTTTCCCTTTGGTCGTGTGTACCTAAGTCCCTGTTTTAGAGATGTCGGGTGGCGCTGTGGGTTAAACCACAGAGCCTAGGGCTTGCTGATCAGAAGGTCGGCGGTTCGGATCCCCGCGATGGGGTGAACTCCCGTTGCTCGGTCCCTGCTCCTGCCAACCTAGCAGCTCAAAAGCACGTCAAAGTGCAAGTAGATAAATAGGTACTGCTCCAGCGGGAAGGTAAACGGCATTTCCGTGCGCTGCTCTGGTTCGCCAGAAGCGGCTTAGTCATGCTGGCCACGTGACCCAGAAGCTGTACGCTGGCTCCCTCGGCCAATAAAGCGAGATGAGCGCCACAACCCCAGAGTCGGCCACGACTGGACCTAATGGGCAGGGGTCCCTTCACCTTTACCATCTACCGTGGTCGGTTGCTTTATGTCTCCCCAAGCAGACTGGACTTGAAATGATTAATTTTATGAAAATCTTGGGAGGTGGGTACGAAATAAGGGTAGATGCACAAGGAGGCGAAAATGTACAAAAGGAATCCTTGTTGGGGGTGGGGTGGGGACCTGATCAAAGGATGCTAGAAAATGTGCAGATGTGAAAAGATGGTGGGAGTGAGAGGTGGGTATGATGCGAGGTGGATGAGTGCTTAAGGAACCTACAGGAATTGCTGTTAAGGAATGCAGACAGTGAGGAGGCAAGGCAGACGGGGCGGGGAGAAGAGCTGCAAAAAAAATGCAAACCGAAAGGATGGAAGCCACAGATAAGCATGCTTAAGTGCAGAATGGAGGGAATGGTGTAGAAGAGGCAGATGGGTGCAGAACCAGAGGGCAGAGAAAACAGAAAATTCCAGCTGGAATGTGGAAGGAGGAGATATAGAAACAAAGCAGCCTGCGGATAAATGGGGTGGAAGGACCAGACGGGGAGAGGGGAGGCCAGCAGAAATAACGTGCCTTAAATGAATGGTGCATTGGAGGAATGGAGTGGGGAGGAAGGCAAAGGAAGAGCCCTTTGCAAGGGAGGGAGGGATGCTTGCTTTGCAAAGGGAAGTGGCTGGGGGGGGGAGGGAGTCTGGAACATGGTATGGGGGAGGGAAAGAGAGGCGGTTCCTTGAAAGGAAACAAACCAGGCAAGGGAATGCTGAGCTGGGGAAAATGGTGGCTGTAGCTCCACATCTTTGCAAACAAATAATACTGGGAGTTGAATTGAGAAGGTTGGGGGTTTTTTTTGAAGGGAAGCAACATTTAGGGTCACTCTATGATCCAAAAGACCCGGCGCCCTCCAGATTTCCCATCCCCTCTTTGCTCTTATTGCAAATTACTGTATTGCTCTGGTCTCCACCTCCTGTATAAGTAGACATTCGGTGTTTTTCCTTGTTTAGGGGTGGGGTAAAAGAAGAGAAAAAAGTGCTACCATAGTGGCTCAGAGGAACAAGGTGTGTGCGCAGAGATCAAACAACTGGAAGAGGAAATGGTAAAGAGAGGAGAGGTGGTAGAGGCAAAACTGAAAGGAATGAAAAAAGGGAGGTAAAAGAAAGGGGTTTTATTTTACATCTGGGATACAACCTCTGTGGCCCCCTCCCCAATTCTCTGTGAAAATTTTCCCCAAACTGTAGAGAAATTCGAAACAAAAAGGTTTATCTCATTACTGGAGAGCATATGGTTGGTAAAGGGGCAGTCTGTGATTTAGTTCCTCTTCTGTGCAAAATACAGCATTGCCCCATGGGCAGTGAAAAATACTAGCTAACAGGTAGGCATTTTATTTAGCAGATAAATGTGTGGTTGACCATCTGCTAGATACAAATGATAATAAAGTAATCTAGGTTCCACTTTGATGATCAAAGGCGCTCAGGATATGAACAAGGGTTCAATTTCCATAATAATGCACTTTACACATTGACCTCATCAGACAATGGGGACTTTCTTTCACATGGCAGAAAACAATGGACCACTACATGCAAACGCAGTACAATGCGAAGGAGGAGTTTCTTAAGGTGCTTTAATATGGCAACCTTGTAAATAGGTATATTCGATCCCAGGGCCTGTCTTGACCTTGGTCTCTTCCTTTTTAGGGCAAAGATGGCAGTTTCCACATTAAATTTGGGCTTGACCTTAAACATTGCATTCATATTTTCTATAGTAATGAAAAGTAAGACATGAATGTGGGTAGGATACAATATTTAAGCTATCTGTTTCTTATGAAAATATGTTATACAGTGTGTGGTTCAAGAAGTAGGGAGGGAGGGGTTAACAGAATACTGGGGAGGAGCCTCTCGGGAAAGAGGGAGGGGCCATGACTGAGAGGGTAAACCAAGTTAGATATTACAATGGAGTTCTGTGCCTGTTTACTTGGAGGAAGCCCATTAAGTTCAGTGGGGCTTACTTCTGGGTAAGTGTGTATAGGGTTGCTGCCTAGGTCTCCCCACCCCCCAAAAAATCTATTACAAAATATTACCAATGTACAAAATGTACATTTAATAATATCCTTATCCATTAAATACAAAACATGTAATGTGTATGCAAAAGGAGGGAAGGTGGAAAGAGTGGGGTGTCTGATAGCAGTTTATAAACATAAGGCTTGAATACTCATTAAGTGAAATTTCTAGTTGGATTCTCTGACAAATGAAAATAATGTGATTTTCATTCAGTAGGTTAGAAGTAGGCAACTGTTGCTAAGTTTGCCAGTTTTAGGTAAACTTCCCTATTAGACCCAATCAGCCAAAATGTTTTTCCATTACTTGTAATGATGGAAACATGAATACAGTATGATAAAATATGAATACAATATGATAAAATAAAAATGTGATGGGCAGAAGACTCTCTGTGTGTGTGTGTGTGTGTGTGTGTGTGTGTGTCATACCTTTATGTCCCTCAATATGAAAGATGTCAAATTTGATCTCAAGGCTAAGTAGTGATGAGGAGGGATCTATTCAAATTGAAAACGTGTCAGATATCAAAATTTCAAGCTGGAAAAAAGGAAATTTCCTTTATTTGGCTCTAGCTCATCATCCTGGCTCCTGGGAAATACAGAGAATTACATGTTCTCATAGACAGTTAGGATTCCATTTGGCACCATGCCTCTAATCAATATTGCGCTGGCCGTGTATTCTAGGGGCCAACAACACCACAGACCGCTCAAGACATAAAGGGTGCCATTTTATCCTGAATGAGAAGATCTTGAAAATTAAGAGCCTTTGTATATACAGTATAGCGTTTCCTTCCCAGTAGAGGCTTTTTTTTTAGTATGTAACAGCTCTTTTGAAATCCAGTACAAGCAGGGGGCATACTTTTACATTAGGAAAAATGCCCCCTTTTGTTTCTAACATATTCTAGATCATTTATGTAGCGGGTCAAAGTGCAGGCAGGCATTGCTAAAACAATGCGGGGAAACATATTACAGGTGCCTGCTGTAAGGAGGCGCAAAATAATTAATTACCCGCTGGAATGTCTTCCATCCCTTGTTATTCACCAAACCTATTTGTATCGGTCGGATTATTGCACCGCGATTAGGTGCTTACAATCTCCCACTGCAGTCACTCACCCTAAAGCCCGATTTCCCATTAGAGGTAAACACTCCCCGGCGCCCACAAAACCGGTATTCTTGGGATTTTAAGGACTAGCAAATTTATTGTGGCATATTGCTTCCAGAGCCCACTTCGTTAGCCACCCTCCACCAATCTCACCTGACAGAAGAGAAATGCCGAAGAAGCCTGTCTTTGATGGAGCCCCTTGGCTTCCCCGAGGCCCGTCTAGGTCAGGGCGAGGGTGTTGGTGCGGATTTTGGGTGGGGGGAGACACCCCACAGAGAGACCTGTGGCCCCCCAGAAAAAGCTCCAGCTGGAAGTCTAGACTTCCTCTTGTTTACAAACCAAAGCCGAGAAACAAAGGTGTCTCCTCCCCTTTTTTCCCTCTCCCTCCTCCTCTCTGCGGGCTTTCCCCCTATGCTCCTTCCTCTTTCTGCTCAGCCAATGAGGGGAGAGTATGCAAATGAACTGCAGAACTTTTAGAAGGGGCGGGGAAGGGAGTAGAGAAAGCACATAATCTGGCACGTATGCTGGGGGCGGGGCGGGGCTTGCGCTGCATGGGGCTTTGGTAACAGTGAGTGCCCCTGAGCCTGTGCAGAGTGCTTTCCCCTCGTTGCGGGGAGCAGGAACTTAGAAGGTTTCAGATCAGGAAGTGACTGTCAGGCAGCTGTGTGTTTTTGTTTTTCGGGAAGTTGCCTCTTGGCACAGATAAAACATCACAGCATATGGATATGGTATTTAATACTAGTAATAGACTTTTCGGGACGCGGGTGGTACTGTGGGTAAAACCTCAGTGCCTAGGACTTGCTGATCGTAAGGTCGGCGGTTCGAATCCCCGCGGCAGGGTGAGCTCCCGTCTTTCGGTCCCAGCTCCTGCCCACCTAGCAGTTCGAAAGCACCCCTAAGTGCAAGTAGATAAATAGGTACCGCTTTATAGCGGGAAGGTAAACGGCGTTTCCGTGTGCTGCGCTGGTGCTGGCTCGCCAGCTGCAGCTTCTTCACGCTGGCCACGTGACCCGGAAGTGTCTTTGGACGGCGCCGGCTCCCGGCCTCTTGAGTGAGATGAGCGCGCAACCCTAGAGTCGGACACGACTGGCCCATACGGGCAGGGGTACCTTTACCTTTAATAGACTTTTCAGTGTGGATTTCTCAGGAGGAGGGGAATGGGAACTGGCCATTGTCCAGTCATAGACAGACAGCTTTGCTTCTGGAACATTCCAGGCTTAGTCCCTGGCATCTCCAGTTTAAAAAAAGGATCAGTCTGCAAGTGATGGGAAATATCTCTGCTTTCTGAGACCCCAAAGAGTCATTGCCAGTCAGAGAAGACAATACCAGGCTGAATGGGTATTACACAAAGGGAGTAACCCTGTACACAAGAAGGTGAAATTAAACTGGAATAAAGTACAATTGCCCATTTGGCATAAGGTGCAGCTTTATACACTCACAACAACCCTGAGCTAGTGGCTATGCTGACACACGGTATAACCCAGCAGAATTTATGCCTGAGTGGAACTTGAATCTGTTGTACTTCTAAAGTCCTCAACATGCTTTTGCAAATAGGCACAAATGTCTTCTGCCAGAGAGAGGTAGCCATGTTAAGTCTGTTGCAGCAAAAACAGCTTGTGCCTTCTCCCCTTAATAAGTTAGTAAACTTTCCTATTGTCCTTCTTCCAGTGCATACTGAGTACTTTTTCCATTGCAGCAAGCATTTTAATTGAAGTTTGACATAATGGTTTGAACTGATCTTTAATTTTTGTATTGTATCTTTGTAAACCGCTTAGAGACTATTGTAGTCAAGTTATATATAAACTGCTTGAATACATAAATATATTTCTTGTGGCATATGCTCTGATGAGGCACAGTTCTCTTTGTCAGGTGCATGAAGTAACTACTGGCATGGGGAAGTTTATATGCACCCCTGAGTGTGTGTAATTTACGGGGGGGGGGGGAGATTCCAACAAGAGGAACAATTAGTTTGTGCAATGAACTTCTCCTTCTCAGGATTTGCTGAGACCCAAATTCCGCAGTGTCAAAATTCTGATTACATTGCTTTCCAGCTTCTCATTGATGTCATAGTTTTGTTGTTTGTGGCAGGAAAAAAAGGCTTGAGACTCCTTAGGCACCTTGAAGCCTAGCTTGTTTCTTGGGGCAAAACCTTCTGCAGGCGAAGGAGAACCCACTTAGTCAGATAATGGCAGTGGACAGAGGATGGTGGCTTTGTCATATTGCTGCCCAAGCATAAGTTTGAGCATATGGAGCTGTCCTGTACTGAGCGAGACCATTCATCTGTGCAACCCAGTTGTCTGCTCTGGTCTGGTTGTGGCTCTCCAGCGTCATTTCACGTTTTTATTTTGCCATCTCTTGTACTGTTTAATTTGCATAGCTGAAGTTTACTGCAGCAAGTATTTACTCTGAGGTGGTGACTAATGTTGGAGAGACCGATGTTCAAATCCTACTGAGCCATAAAGCACGCTTTGCAAACATGGGGCCCAAGCCCTATCTCTCAACCTAATCCTACCTCACAGGGTTGTTGTGAGGTGGGAATCAAGCACCCTATCCTGAGCTCCTTGGAGGAAGGACTAGATAAGAAAGGCAGCTTTACATGGGCTATGTTATACTTTTCTTGTTACTTCTTGTGGCATGTTCTAGTTAGGATTATGTGACTTGATCTATAATGGGACTGATGTGCTGAAGATACAGTGGTACCTCAGGTTAAGAACTTAATTTGTTCTGGAGGTCCGTTCCTAACCTGAAACTGATCTTAACCTGAGGTACCACTTTAGCTAATGGGGCCTCCCGCTGCCGCCGTGCCACCGGAGCACGATTTCTGTTCTCATCCTGAAGCAAAGTTCTGAACCCGAGGTACTGTTTCTGGGTTAGCGGAGTCTGTAACCTGAAGCATCTGTAACCTGAAGCGTCTGTAACCCGAGGTACCACTGTACTGTATTAGAGCCCAGGGATTGGAACAGATGACCACTGGATTTTCTTCAGCCCCAACAGTCTCTCTACCATGACTCTGAAATTAGGCAACAATTCTGTGGCAGCAGCAGAGCCACGGAATCTTGTCTCCCACAACCATTCATAGCAGAGGGTGCCTATGTTGTTCTTTCTCTCTTTCTTGGACTGTTTATGTTTGTGTGCATTGGCCACTTCTTATGCATTAACTTCTCAGGGCAACAAAGCATCCTTGAAGAATTCAGGATGGCAAAAGAAGAGTATCTAAAGAAACAGCATTGTCCAGTAGATTAAGGGCAGGGATGTGTAAGGTAATAGTGAATAATGATAGTGGTAGATGTGGGGCAACCCAACCTTTAGGACTGAGTTAGGGCTCAGCTAGAGAAACCTGTTTTTAAAAGGTTGGGGTTCAGCACTGGAACATGCAAGCTGTTAATGGATGCCTCTGAGCATGTGCTAACTGTATTGCCACTTTCTTGCCGTAGCTGAGCCCTGAACAGCTGGGACTAGGACTTGGGGCTTCCAGTTCAAATGGCTAAGTTGACTTCAGCCCTGGACCACTATAGAATCCGAGCACTGAGGTTGACTCAGCTTAGAGCAGGAGGCAGGAAATGGTGGCTTTGGCTAGATCTGAAATTAAGGCAGTCGTATTCCTGTGTCATGTCTGGGAGAAGGCACTTCAGCATGGATTGAGTCTGCTCTGACCGGTCCTAACTCCACCTTTGCTAAGGTGATTTCAGTCCATTTCTGTTTTAGCATTAGTAAGTGTTGTTAACACAGTCATTTAACTTTCCTTAATTATGAATCTTTGCGGGATTAAATGCTATATCAGTCCTGTGGCGATTGGTTTTTACCATCACTTTCTGACTTTAAAGATCATATAAGAGTGTTGGGGCATGAGAGAGCAAGGACGTGTGACATGTAGGATGGGTGGATGAACTTGCAGGAAGTAGTAGACCAGAGATGAGGTTGAAATTGGTTCCTGGTTCCAGCCCCTTATCATTAGCAAGCTAGACACAGGTTTCTCATGCACACACTCTTAAGAGTCTTGTGAATCAGGCTCTTTGGACATTGGTAACAGAGTGTCTTGGCAGATTTATCATATGGGCCTTAACCTGAGGGTGCTTATTGAAGATACATACGGTGAATCAAAATATACGCATTTAACATGGGGGATAACTCAGGAAATAATGCATATCTGTTATGGCAGATGGGGAACAAAATATACACCTTTATTTGGTTGGAGAGAGTTATCTAATTAATTCTAACCATGACTGAACCAACACACATGGACATGGCATAGATGCAAGAAGAAGTAAGTCAATTAAAATAATTCATGCTACCTAAAAAGAACTTTTGAAGCAACAAGTGGGGACCCAGAGGACCAAGTGAAGAGAAAGCACAGCAAAATAACTGAGTCAGGCACCACGTTCTGCTTGGCAGTAAGAGTGGTTTGCAGCAAGAGTGGTACCTAGCAAAAAAATAAGAAGTGGGCTGTGAAGCCCCCCTTTTGTACACTTTTGGACTAAAAAGCTTCAAATCACATTCCAAAGCTTCAAATCACATTTCATTGGTTACTGAAAATTTATATCTCAGGTGTCAAAGGCCAGGGCAATGGTGTATCTTCAGATGTATCTCTGTGGGGAGGGAACCCCACAACCTAGGAGCTGTCACAGATAATAGTCTCTCTCAAACCCCCACCCCTGAGCCCCTGAGTGTGGTGAAACTACCAAGAGGGCTCCCTCTGCTGATCTTAACATCCAAGAGCATCTGTAGGAAAGGAGGCAGTTTTTCAGACATTTGGGGCCTAAGTCATTTAGGTATTTAAACCCACACTTCCATTTTCTCCTGTTGCTTTCCCAGGGAGCAAATGGCAATCAGGTTTTCCGCGAATTGCTGTTTGTTCCAATTCATCGCTAAAGAGCAAGTTTTGCAGGGGAAGGAGGAAGGGCAAAGGCAAAACCACTTGGACCCATGCTTTCTGAGCACAGGACAAGAGGAAGTGTGGACAAGCCCTGATTTGATTGGGCTAGAAATAAACTTGGCAACCAATACAGCTGTTTAAAAACAGGGGTTGTATGTGATCTATATAGAGCATCAGCCAGTAACCTGTCTGCTGTGGGCTGGCCCTGTTTGCCTGGTTCCAGGTAGCAATCAAGCCACTGTATTTTTGTACCAATTGCAGCTTCTGAACATTCTTCAAAGGCAGCCCCACACATCATGCATTCCCATAATTTGGGGTGTGAAAACCTCTCCAGTCATAGTGTGTAGGACTCCTCCCGATCATCTGTTTATAGGGCATTCATCTTTATTTGCTTGCAAGCATTTATACATCATCTTATAAGCCATTCATTCATGACACACTTGTCAGTGCATTTCCCTGTCACCTTAATAGCTACAGAAAGTGTTTATTTTAAAGTGGATTTGTTGCTTTACGGTGACAGAGCCCTTTAATCCACTTTAATTGCACACACAGAAATTCCCCGGTATAGCAAAATACTGACTCTCTGGGCTCGCTGGTGTATTGGCACGAGGACATCATGCTTGAGCACAAAAAGTAGTTTTAGCCTGGACAGCTGAATGCTCCCTGGGCTTCTGGTGGCAGATGTGTGAGTCGGGATGGTTTAAAAGCTCATTGCGTGAAACAAGGATGTGCGAACTTGAGTTCCTTACTCAAGCTTCTTATGTACATGTGTTGATTGGAAACCAACCTCAAACCTCCTTACTGTGTACATATCAGCAGTTCTGAGGAAGAGTTCAGTATCAGCAAATGCAAAGCAGAAGCCACAGCTAGAAACTTGTATTGTCACTTGCTGCTTGTTGGTAGTGCCAGGAATGTGCCCAGGGAGGGTGGGGACTGGTGGCAACAAGCAACACACCCACCTGGGAAAACATGTTGGCTTGCCTCTCAGCTCCGCTCAGCCTCAGCTGACACCAAAAAGCACAGAGGGAAATGAAAGCTTGTCTTAAGAAAGAAAATAGCGTAAGCTCCCTGAGCTCTGCCAGACCCATCTATTTATTGCCCAAAGCATCCAATTCCTGCCTTGTCTCTCACAACATCAGTAATAGGGGGAAATCTCATTCATTTCGCTAGCTTTTCCTAAATCTTTCTCCATACACAATATTGGAGAAGAGTTTGAAGTCCTGCATTAAAATAGTTACAAATTCTTGCAGATGACGGACTTCACTTGTGCTTCCTTTGTGTGGGCATATTCAGGGTTTTTGCGGGGTGGGGAGGTGAAATTCTAGTTGGTGTTTTGCCATGGACTGGGGAAGAAGTTTGGGAGAGTTGTTGGTAGTTTCCAGGAATGGTCCTGGAATAGTCTCGGAGGTACTTGGAGATCTCCGTCTCTATAGCTCCAGCACCAGCAACAACAGAGTCATTTTTGATCGCTCTCCTACCAATCATGATGGCATTGTGGAGAGGACGCGCCATCTTCTCCATGAACTGCTCCATCCTCCACGCAGGATTATCATGCAGGTCTTAGCCTTTGGGCAGTCTGCGAAGAAGTTTCCTCAAAGAGGTCGCAACGCCCAAGGAAATCATCGGTCAGGGAATTTACACTGGTCTGGAAAGATCCACCAGAGGCCATCAAGGTCCTCTTGAGATCTTCTTCAGGCACTCGGCTAGCACAGAACATGTCCCGGTCAGCAAGTACTGGGTAGCGACGCCACCAGTCGGAAGCTTGGAGAGGATGACTTTGGCCCCTTACTTGTGGAGCTTATCAAGCTCGTCGTACAAGATGTTCCACTCGGCGTCCACGATGGCCTGGTAATCCTGCACAGTGTGGACTCTGACATCAGCATTGTCCTTCTCCACCTTGAGCTCCAGCTCAATGTTGAGCAGAGCGATCTTGGGGGACTCATACTTCTTGGGCTCATACTTCTCAAAGCCAGCATAAGAGAAGGTCTCCTTGAAGGCAACTCCTGCCACCAATTGGGACTCCACCAAGGGCTCCTCCCTGCACCTTCTTGATCCCAGTCATTTTGATCTGCAGCAGCTTGTCCAGCATCATGATGGCATCCGTCACCATCTTGGCAAAGAACTCTTTCTGGTGGGAAATCGGTTTGAGCTCAAGGCTGTGCTTGCACACTTCTTCAGCAGGCTCTGCAGCGCCTCTCAGTCGGTCTTCTTGATCTTAACGGCAGTCTTCTTGATCTTATTCGCTGCCAGCTGGGTTGCAGTATGGAAGGCAGCGATGATGATCTGGGGGTGCAGCCCTTCTTCCACATAGGGCTTGATTTGCTTTCGGAATTCAGCAGCTAGAAGTGTAACTGAAGTGGTGCCATCGCCAACCTCGGCATCCCATGATTTGGCAGTGTCCACAAGTGTCTATGCAGCAGGGTGTACCACATCGAGAAACTTCAGGATGGTGGCACCATCATTAGAAATGGTTTTAACCTTTAAAGCCCTATATGGCCTAGGACCCTCGTACCTACGGGACTGCCTCTCCTGGTATGTCCCACGGAGGACCTTACGGTCTTCAAACAAAAACGTCTTGGAAGTCCCGGGCCACAGGGAGGTTAGGCTGGCCTCAACCAGAGCCAGGGATTTTTTGGCTGCGGCTCCAATCTGGTGGAACGCTCTGTCACAAGAGACTAGGGCCCTGCGGGACTTGACATCTTTCCACAGGGCCTGCAAGACGGAGCTGTTCCACCAGGCCTTTGGCCAAGGCACAGTCTGACCCCCCTCCTTTGGCAATCCTCACAGAACTCTAGCCCAATGGTTGCCATTAATTTGAACTGATTTTATAATGAAATGATTTTAGAATGTTGTGTTATTTTACTGTTGCTAGCCGCTCTGAGCCTAGCTTCGGCTGGGGAGGGCGGGACATAAATAAAATATTATTATTATTATTATTATTATTATTATTATTATTATTATTGCTTTGCCTCTGTCATCATCAATGAGCTTGTCCATGCCCCGAGGGCCGAGAGGTCTGGCCGGCCTCTGCAATGACTTGGCAGGCATTGATGTTACTCACAAGCTGAGGCATCCCCTGGGAAGTGTCTGTGCCTTCCTTCAGCAGGATAACAGGCATAAGCAACATCTTTGCAGCAGCCAGGTTGCTAACGGCCCCTCCCCCACTTCTTCTTCTTTTGGGATCTTGTTGCTATAATCAAGAAAGACTAGAAGCGCAATATACAAATTAAGGTTTTGAGGCTTCTGCAAGCAGGGCTGTAGCAAATAGTGTGCTTTAGCGCAACTGTGGCCAGATAAAATCCTAGACACTCTGCACATACCTTGCTCATTCAATGAAAACACAACACACTACTAGTAACAATAAGGTTTATTTGTTTCTTATTTTACCCCCACCCCCAACAAAATGTCTTTTCTTCTCTTCTGACCTCACACACCTCTCCCCCTTTTCTAGTTGGGAGCTATTCTCCCACGTTGCGGATCATTCACTGCAAAGGGGCGGGTGAGCGTCTAGATACTTCCGGAGGAGGGTGGGATAATCGGTCATGACTCCGGAGACTCCATAGCTAAAGGCTTCTTCAAAATACTTATCCTCATTCAAGACCCAAAGAAGAACCTATACGGAAACAAAGAAGAAGAGATGACGGGTTTGAGTGTGGAGCCCTTAGTTGTTCCAGCTGATCACTTATTCATGCAGCTATTAATTCAGTCAACATTTTCCCTGCAAGCAGGATGTTGGTGGTGGAGGAAAAGCCACAACAACTGCTTTGCAGTCAGCAAGATGCTCTTTTTGGGAAGAAGAAGAAAACTTCCTGGTAAGGAAAAATCATAAGGATGACTTTACTGATTGGAAAACACAAGATGGTTGCACTAATGCCACAGGCATCTGAGAACCAATATAGAGTGGGTTGTGTGAGCTCTGAGGGAGGAAGTTCCTGCTTGAGATTTCGTCTCGGTTATGAACTTGTTAAAGCGGCATTCCGTCGCATGCCATAAACACCACTAAGCTTTCAAGTACGCATGACACAAATCTGGCAACATGTGTCTTAAATATGCTACTGTTTCTACATCTCAGCTCCCTACCTGAAATGTGGGAGTATTAATAATGAGCTACGGTACTTTCACAAGACTGTAGTTGCAACTACAGAGGAGGAGGAGGGCTGAATTAATCTGTTGCAGTAAAGCAAAACACACATACACCCACACCCACACCCACACCCACCCACCCACCCACACACAGAGAGAGAGACTGCATATTTGCACCATGCATGCATTTAAAAGACATGACTTCCCTAAAAGAAGGAACTGTAGTTTATCCCCATAGAGCTATTAATGTCCTAACCAACTACAGTTCCCAGGATTCTTTGGGAGAGTGTAATGTGATTTAAATAGATGGCATGCAATGCAGCCAAAGTCCAGTCTTTAAGATACCATAGCTTGCTTAGGAGGAGGATACAATCCATTTTAGAAAACCTTATTTAGACACCCCTTGCTGCCTAGGAAAGGGACACAACCATTTATAAGCACACTCTCAAATCCTAAAACAGTGAAAGCCATGATACTTGCGGAGGTAGGTGAAAGTGCTGGGCACACCTCTCTCAGCTATCTACCTCCCAGGGTTGTTGCACATATAAACATGAACTATGCAGCTCTTTTTCCTGAACACACAAGAATACTCTATTAATACGACTCTGTGCCTCTCGGGTGAAGGGTCAGCACTATATGTAAATATAGCTAATAGTGACATTAAGAAGTCAAATATCCCTCTTCCCCTTGCCACCTATTGCAAAATACTTAAATACCGGGCTAAAGCCTTCTAGCTCAGCCTTCAGCAGTTTCTGCTAAGGAGGGACTATAAATCCTGATTCCTCCAAGTTAATTTACCTGTATTCCTCTGTCTTCCAGATGCTTGAAAAGCTTTCTCCGCATTGTCATCCTATAAAAGAAAGGAAAATATGATGGGGTATATCGGAGCAGTTCAAGTAGTAACATTTGGGGGAGGGAGAGAGAACAAGAGAAACTGCCCCTTTACCTTTTGTGATGGCCCCCTTAACAAAACCATGACCCACTATGACCTAAAAAAAGAAAAAGAAAAAAGAACAGCAGCTAAAAGTGGAGAGGGGGAAAAATCAGGTGGGTAGGTCATGTGGACCTCTCTATCCTGATAGTTTTGAGCATCAGTCAGTTCTCTAGATTAGAGATACAGAAGAGGGAAGCAGCAGGTGATGAAATGGGTCAGTTTTGGTGGTGAGCAGGCTTCTTAAGAACTGAGCAGGTAAAGTATTGCTTGCTTTCACTCACTTGTGGGCAAATTTAGCCACCAGTGCTCCAAACCAGCCCTTTTTTACTGGAAAATATGTCCTGCAATTAAAGGGAAACAAAAAGGCAGCAGAGTTAACAGATCACTGAGATTCCTGACATTCCTCTTCTAAGCTATCAGTTCCAACACAGTTCCGTAAAACCCAAGTCACTCACTCACTCACTCACTCACACCCACACTTTTTCTCAATGAGCACGACATTTAACTTAACTTAACTCACTTGTTATACTTCTTATAACACATAAATATGACATGGGGAAGGCCTAAGGGTACCAGGAAAAGCCTGTCATGTCCAGCTGAACTTGAGTCTCACTCTCAGTTGCTTGGTAAACCTGTGCCTGAACTTTACAACCTCAGACTGCAAGCAGGGGCACAAATGACTGAATGCTCCTCCAGTCCAAAATAAAACTTGGAATACTAAGGAAATGGCTAGGCTACAAACTTTTCCCCAATATATTAAGTTTCTTTCTATTTGTTAAAAAAAGGCTAGGTTTTTATCAATAGGTTATCCATTATACACAAAATTACAAGTAAATTATAGGATACAGAAAGCAGGAGGGATCTGGACGGCCCAGCTTGCAAACCATTGTGGAAGAATTATACATCACACGTAGTTTTCACTTCCCTTTCCTTTATCCTAATAAATATAACAGTATTAACTGTGCAACCAAAAAACAGTTATAGAGGAATAAAAAATGTTTTGATAAGAGGAGAAGTCTCATGTCTATTCTAGCTTGGGCATAGTATTATTACTCAGTGAAAGAGGCAAATAGCAGTTAGGTTTCAAGAAGTACCGGTAATATTCTCTCTTTTTTGTACCTCTGGCCACCAAAAGTTGTTTGCTTAATTTGTGCGTAATTGCAGGTTCTCAGGACATATTAAGGCCATATGAAACAGATGGGACTTTGGCAAACCTCCAGTGCAGAGCAAAATCTAGCTTGGCAGAGGCAGGAATACTTTGCCGGGGTCTTTTTAAGTTTAAGAAGGGGCATGCTAGGCTTTCGTTGTTGTTGTTGTTCAGATTCTGTTGTTTTATGAAGAAGCATCCCATCATGCAAGCTCAGCTGCTTAATTAAGTGCTGAGTTTTTTTAGAATCATGTCACTTCATCACTCATGCGGCTCCTAACAAGCTGTTGGTACAATGTTTTTAACTGGTCCTCACCCCCCCCCCCCCCGGTGTGAACTCACTTGGACCTGACTTTTCTTCCAGAGGTACCTCATTCCCTGTGTTTGCTTGGACCTTACTTCCCTTCCAAAGTCAGTAATAATCATTTCCTTTCCCACTCTTTCTGGTCCCAGATTTAGAGAGAGAAGTTATGAATGTGCATGACCACCAATAATCCAAAAAACCAATGGATATCAGTGCCTGCATATCAGTTACTGAGAGTCCAGTGGATAATCCGGCTCTGTCAAATAGTCTAAATCACACCAGTTGAGTCCTAACTGGATCAGACCGAAGGTCCACCTAGTCCAGCATCTTGCTTCCCAAGAGGATCAGCAAAATTCCTCTGAGGATCCCACAAGCAGGACATGAAGGCAACAGTGACTGGTACTCAGAGATATTCTGCCTTCCAACGGGGGCATTCCATTTAGCCATCATTCCCTCTGTTCTTGATGTTAAGGTGTGAGTGCCGGTGCGTATGCGGCCAACATAGCAACACACACACAAACACACGGAAGTATCAGCGGGCTTGTGGAGCCCTGAGATTTGCAGATGGACAAAAAGTCTTGGAAAAAAGACTTCCAGTTGCTGATCCTTACACCAGGAAAACTGTCCCTCTGAACCTTTACATTTCTTTTCACACAGACACACACACACACCTCCCCCAGCTTCTGTCACCTGTTCATAATGGAGGGCAATGGAAACTCAAGGAAGGTTTCTTTCAGCGGCACAAACGGCAGGATCCCTATGTAGTACAGGAGAAGGATCGTGATGCCACGTTTAATGGAGAAGATGTAGGGCATCTCTGTGTTCTGGGGGATGGGTAAAGAGGAGAAAATGAGGTGAGGGTTTTGTGGTTTCTAGGCTTGATAGCCAGGAAGAAATACGGAACATGTTGTCATCACCCCCACTGATTCCTTCAGCTCATCTGGGACATATCTGTGGGTATCATACATCTGCACTGCACACTTGAACTGGTTTGGACATTTATCTTCCCCCAAGCAAGCCTATGAGTTGTAGGGTTGTCAGAATTCCCTGTGGGAGCTCCTGATACCTTGCACAGATGTACATCCCCCAAGGTCATTGACAGAAGAACCTGGCAGCTTAACAAGTTGGAACAGTGTAGGCAAAGAAGCAAACAGAGAAAGCAGGAAGCTGTCTCCTAGCCATGCCCTGATTGATTTATTATGGCATGTACTTTTGACCCATGCCTCATTTTTATTTTTATTTTTTTGCTATATGAAAGAGTCTTGTATAGTCTGAAAACCTGCATACTGTTCTACAGTCAGAAACCTGGACCAATCAAAGGCATTGCCTCATTTAACGGTGCCAGCATATCAGTTACCGAGAGCCCAATAGCTGTGAAGGTGGATGAAAAACTGTCAATAACATACAGCTGCGCAGCATTTCTTCAGTACTTTCCCTTCAAAGGCGGCCCAGATGGTGATGTGGGAGCGATTGTATTCTCGGACAAGATCTGCTACCTATGCGCAAGAGGAAGAAGGCAGAGCAACATGGATTCAGTTAACAGGTTTTTCTCAAAAGCACTGACTTTCTGTAGTTGCCTAAGTCCTGGAAACTGAATGGAAGATCGTTGTGGGAAGGCGCAGATGGTCTCTCTAGTTACCAATCATTGGTGTGAGCTAAGTGTCTGGACCAGGGCAGTCTATTCCACACAGTCCAGCCCTTCAGAGGTTTGAATTAATTTCAACTTGGTAGTTGACTACAAAGATCAGCTTCCTTACAAATGTGGCTGAGTTATATGACTGGGAGGGAAATCCCAGGGAGGGTAGTATCCATGTTAGAGCAAAAACAAAAAATGAGTGTTGCGTAGCACCTTAATTGCTAGCAATTTATTGTAGTGTGAGTTTCTGTGGACTAGAGCCCACTTCATCCAAGGATGCGTCTGATGAAGCTTAGTGCCTAGTCCCCAGAGGTTTGTGCTACAATAAATTTATATTTGTCCTTAAGGTGCAACGAGACTCCTTTTTATGAGTGGGAGAGTGAAAATGTGGAGATAGGAGAGCAGCTCTGATGCTGCCTAGGTTAGCATAACCCACTATAAGGTGTGATGAGCTGTGTGTCCCTGATTAGGAGTAGGGTGAGGTCTGAATATTGAAAGGGGAGATTAGCAAAAATCTGGATCGTGACCTAGAATGAAGATGTTGGAAAGTAAAGAAGCGATAGTAGCTTGTTGCCCCCATACCTTTCGTATGAGTTCGTCGCTATCCTCTTTGATTTCTAGATTGACCGGTACTCCAGGGAATTTCTGGAAAACCTCCTCCAAGCGTGGAATCCGGTGGTCTTTGCCATGGGAGTAGCATCCTGTTGGAAAGGGTGGCTTATGCAGCAGGTGGAGCATACTTTGCTGGTGCACAACCCCACCACACGTGAGCACCCCAAACACAGCACCCCTCAAACCAAAGCAGCTCTACTCCTCCTACTCACCTGGGGAAAAGGTCACCTCCAGAGAATCCTTATAGGGTGGCAGATCCTATGGGACACAATTAGGGTAAGGACTAAGGAGCCAGGAGGACACCTGGGTTTTCTTGGGGAGATGTGGGATTGGGGGGCTTAGAACATAGCTTGGGGCAAGGACCCCTGGGTTCTTTGGGATGGGGGCAGGTCCTGGGTTTAGAGCCATTGCCCTCCAGCAAATGGCCTCTAGGCACATGATTCAGTCACCTGCAGGGGACTTGTAAAAGGGTAAAAGAGTATTGGGAAATGACCCATAATGAATTGCCGGGGGGGGGGGGGTGTTTAAAAGCACTTTCCTCAAAAAACCGGAATCTTCTCTGTTGGGGGTAATTCAGACTGAAATTCCCAGGTGTCAGAAAAGGTTATTTATGTATGCCACTACTGCAGCCTGTGTTTTGTTAGCCCAAAAAAAGGGAAAGCGAGCGAGGTCCCAACCAAAGAAGAATGACAACTTAAGTTGACAGAATATGCTCAGCTTGCAGACTTAACTTATAGAGTAAGAGAACAAGAAGATTGGAAAACATTTATTGAATATATGGGAAATAACTGTGTACAGCTGAAAGCGCTGGCAGCATTAAGATAACTTCAATAAGTTTTGATGGATGTAATAATGAAATACTGAATGGTTTAGTTTTTGTAAAATATGGTTGATGATATGTAAAATGAACCATGGAAAGAGAAGAAGGGAAGTCACTGATATCTTAAGGATGTATGAAGGAAGACTTTAAATTTACAGAAAATTTAATTAAAAAATTATATATATATATATATAAATTATTCAGCCACCTTGCCAGAGGGTCTGGTCAGTGGCTGGAGGGGAGACCACCTGGGAACTCCACATTCACTACCTCATCGTCCTTCCTTCCTTCGTTTAGAATTATGTACAAACTGCTTAATCAAAGAGCTCTCTGTGGGGCACATAATAAAATTGTAGATAAACCATAGCTAAAATCCACGATATTAATAAGCAAATACACATAAAATAATTATAAAAACACAGATACGATCAGATTTTTTTAAAAAAATGAATATGGGTCAGGTGAAGTTCTCTGGATGGATAGGCTTGATGAAATAAAGTTTTTGGTGGGCATCCAAAACAATATAGTATGGGCCCCTTCTAGTTCTCAAGAGGCAGGGAGTTCCAAAGACAGGTGCTGCCTTGTGTTCTACCGCAGACAGAAAGAGGGACGCAACTCTAATAAATATCACAAATAGTAATGAATAGGGGCAGGGTACGTCGCAAACCTTATAGTCCGTCTCGCTGATCTTGATGTTATGCCCTGTCTGGCGTTCCAGGTTGTCATCATGGGACACGACCACAACCCCATCTCTTGTCATGTGGCAGTCAAGCTCCAAGAGGTTTGTCCTCTGGGTCAGTGCGCTGGAAGGGCGGAGAGAAAGATCAGCATGGGAGGCTGGATGGCTGTAGCAGCAACATCAGTACAAGGCAGGATGGGGTGTAAGGAGGGGGCAACACTCACTGGCTAAAGGCTCCTAAAGTGTTCTCAATCTCTTCTCCAGCACCTGAGAGGAAAACGGAGATGTTGACAGAAGGCAGGCACTCAGCTTCCTAAGGGCTGGCATGGCATTACCCCATTCCCCTTCCAGGGACACCAAGGGCCTGTTCTTTTTGTGATCTAGGAATGCGGCGTTGCAGGTCTAGAGAACTGGAGCAGAAACAAAGACATCTGCACCTGTCAGAACGGGGAGAGTGGGAGGGCTAGCTGCTAGGAATTACGGCTTCGCTCTCTCAGCCCTGGCTTGATGCAGCATGCCACCCCTCCCCTCCCAGACCTCTGTCAATGCCCCCCCCCCAAGCGAACATCCTTGCAGAACTCACCGCCCCGGTGGGAGACGTGCCGGCATCGAACAGGAAACCTGTGTGGCTTGTGGAGCAGATGTGGCTTCTTTCTCAGGCAGTGGGATGTCAGGGCATAGATCCCAAGGGCAGGCAGCCCAAAGAGGAGTAGCTGGAATCCCATGGCAGTGGTGGAAAGCGGCTAAAAGTCCTTGGCTTGGTGGGCGAAGGCAGGAGAGAGACGTCAGGCTCAGCCGGGGCCGCTGAAGTCTCTGGAAAGGGAATGATGCTCATGGATTAGGAGCAGAGCGGAGGGAGGAGGGAGCCCTTCAGGTCCTCTGGAAATGGAGTGAAATCAGGTGGGTTGGGATCCCTGAACTCCTGGGATCTTCTTGATCAAATGCAATGTGTGGTAAGTGTTGAGAGCAGGACTATCCTGGCCGGGAGTGGCTGGATAAGCAGGTTGATGTGATTTTTTGAGGCACTGGAGGAGGAAGAAAAAAAATGAGGTGTGGAGAAGACAGAAACTTACTCCTCCTCTTTGCCTGTCAGGACCTCTCTAATCTTGCACCTGTTCACCCGCTTGAATGACTGTACATATGCATATATAGAGGCACGCACACACACACAATGCTCCTGTCCCCTCCCCTCTTAATGCCAACCTGCACATTTTAAAGACTGCCACTCCCTTGGGGCAAAGAGCAATTTTCTTGGCAGCCGAAAGTCAGGAAGGTGCTCTGGTCCTTCCTGCTTTGAGCCACTTGACCTCATTCCTTTCTCCTTTACTTCAAGAAGAGATTGCTAGAGCCCTTCCCTCCCACCATGGCAGCAGATCTCATTCCTAAAATTAAATAAATAAGAGCCTTTCTTAGATGTGGAATGAAATGCTTTTTTTTTTTTTTTACAGGTTGGCAGTCAGTTAGGAATTCCTCTCAGTGCAAAAACTAACTCCCAAAAGGGAATTTCCCTCAGGATAGCAGCAAAGAGGATTAAGGGGTTAATTTCCTCCTCCGTGTCTACACTGATCTATCAGCGCTCTCCCTCTCTCCTTCCCCCAATGCAACTTACATTTAAAAAACAACCCTGCCCTTTAAATGCAAAGACACAGGCAACATTTTATATCGGCTGCAGTTTTTGGAAAGAGACGGATCTCCCTTCCGGTCTGTATCTTGTGCCACCTTTCTGGCAGGAGAAGCCTAATAAATATTTAACTATGGTTGAGATAAGATGAATTTCGCCACCAGCTTATCTCATGGAGAAAAGGGAGAGTGTTCAAGTTTTTTTTTTTTAATGATATTTATTAAAGTTTCAAAGAATACAAAAACAAAAAATAAAAATACAAGAAAGTACAAAATACAGAAAAAAGAATAAGATTTTTAAAATATAACAACAACAAAAAAAGAAAAATAAGGAAAAACATACAAGATGAAAACAGTTAAAAACACATTAACTTTCCATAATATAACTTCCTTAGCCTTATTTCCCCGGACCTCCTCATACCTCCCTTTCTTGTATTCCAGTTCAGTTTGTTAGTTCAGCAAATCCTTACCATTAAGCTTTTACCCATTTGTAAATCTTTTTTCATATTATTACAGCTGGAAACCACTTAGTTTCTATCCAACATCCTTCTAAGATTCATTAATTTTACAATATTTCTGTAAATAGTCTTTAAATTTCTTCCAGTCTTCTTTCACTGACTGGGAGAGTGTTCAAGTTGTGAGAGAACTGATGGGCCAGGCTTTCTGGGGGGCTCAGGAATAATCTATATTTCCTCGTCCCTTTTCACTGCCCCCCGTTTCTACTTTCAAGTCGTTGAACTAGTTATATTGGGGTTCAGACCTTTCCACTTAAGGTTATGCCACCTCAGGCTGCTTGAAATTAATTTCATCTTCCTCCTCTAAACAGCAGCTCAGTGTCATTCTTGGGGAAAACATTTATTTCACTCTGTTGTTGTTGTCACTGACAGTTTGCTTTATCATCGTGTAGAATAAGAAACCAGCCTGGAAGGGGCCACATTGACTGTAAAGTCCTGCAGTGAGGAATCCCTTGACCTCTTGCTACTGGTTGCATTTCAGTTAACTTCACCTGAGGATGCCGTTAAAACTCTTGGTGAAGTCCGCCCCAAAATGTTCTCACTTGACTCTTCCTGACCCGGAACAGGTCGCCTAGGAGGACTGTCTGGTTTGGTCAGTCCAGTGACTGATGCATCACTGCCAGAGGAACATTCCTGCTTCCTTAAAGGAAGTGGTGTTTTGACACCTCTTAAATAAATCACCATTACAACTTTCCTGCCTGTATAGGCTGGTCTCTAATTTATAATTGGGCCAGTTTTTGGGGTATGTGTGTGTGAGGAAGATGCTTGAAGGGCTAGCAGCAGCAGGACAACTCTTGGGGTGAAACTAATTACGGTGGTACCTCTGGTTACAGAAGCTTCAGGTTACAGACCCTGCTAACCCAGAAATAGTACCTCAGGTTAATAACTTTACCTCAGGATGAGAACAGAAATTGCGCAGCGGTGGCGGGGCAGCGGCAGCGGGAAGCCCCATTAGCTAAAGTGGTACCTCAGGTTAAGAACAGTTTCAGGTTAAGAACGGACCTCCAGAAAGAATTAAGTTCTTAACCCGAGGTACCACTGTATTCCAATCTGTAGTAGGTTACATTTTTAAGACCTAAACCCATTTAATCTGGGAGTAAGCCCCACTGAGACGCGGGTGGCGCTGTGGGTTAAACCACAGAGCCTAGGACTTGCCGATAAAGTACGTCAAAGTGCAAGTAGATAAATAGGTACCGCTCCGGCGGGAAGGTAAACGGCGTTTCTGTGCGCTGCTCTGGTTCACCAGAAGCGGCTTAGTCATGCTGGCCACATGACCCAGAAGCTGTACGCCAGCTCCCTCGGCCAATAAAGCGAGATGAGCGCCGCAACCCCAGAGTCGGCCATGACTGGACCTAATGGTCAGGGGTCCCTTTACCTTTTTAAGCCCCACTGGATTCCATAGGACTTACTTCTGAGTAGGACACATGGTTAGGATGATGCTGTAAGTCACTCTTGCAGCAAAAACAAGAGACTTGTGGCCCCTTAAAGACATACAAGTTTATTGTGGCATACACATATGTACTGCATTGAATTTGATAGTCTTTAAGGTGTCACAATTCTTGTTTTTTATTCCAGTCTGGTTTCAGGCCTGGTTGGGAGACAGATGCTGCTTCAGTGACCCTGGTTTATTTCTGTTCCACCTTTCAGTCAAGGAGGTTCCCTGGGTGGTTCACAATAAGATATGTAATAATGAAAACAATGCAAAATAAGTATTAAAACAGACAATAAAAAAACAAGACAAGCATCAATTAAAAGCAGCAAGTTAAAATGGTAAAGTCTGCAATCGTACACATGTCTACCGAGTTCAATGAAGCTATGCACAGGTAAATGTGTATAGGATTACAAACTTTGGATCAAAACCTAAAAGTCCTGGAAGAAGCAAAAGGTCTTTGCCTGGTGCCAAAGGAATGGGGAATTCCATAGACAGGGCAACACCATTAAAAAGGCCCACTTGATGGCTCCTACCAGAAGGATCAACTGTGTTGATCCTTGTTTTACACCATCAGCGATCTCCCCCTCTCCACCTCCTCCAGTCTGGGCTGATGTTTGACTGAGTACCTGGGTAGGCAGAGCTGAGTCACCTCTGTCCCACCCAGCTCCCCCACCTAGGTCTTGGAGATGCACACCTGGCCAGCCTGCTCACCCACTATCAAGTCATGGATTGGCATGGTTTTAGTATGGATGGACCAGGCTGTTGGTGCCAGTGGTAGAGCATCCATTGGGAGCATGGATAGGAAGAAGCTTGATGGCAGGTATTAGGTGATTTCTGGGGGACTTGTAGGAATTGCCCTTGGAAGGTCCTCTTTCCAGGGTGATGTTGCCATGAGTGATGCTGTATGGTGTCATCTGTATGTTGATGACACCCAGCCCTGGTTCTTTTCCTGCCCACCACCACCTTCAGTTCCAGGTAAAGTGGTGAAGTCCCTGAAAAGTTGTCTGGATTTGATAATGGTCAGAAGGAATTCAATCCAGGTTGGAAATGGACATGGAGATGATGGCAGCGAATTCAGGGGACCAGATGGCTGTGGAAATGCCTGTTTTCAGATGGGATTGCACGGTCCCTGAAGGAGCAGGTCTGCAGTCAGGAGGTTCTCTCAGACACGCAGCTTTGCTTCTGGAATCCCAAAGGCTCCAGATTGCCTTTTTAGAATCCTCATCTGATTATCCAGCTGTGCCCACTACTGAAATACAGACATTTATGCTGGGTATATGCCTTTAAGACACATTCAAAGCACACACACTGCCCCAAGGAATCCTGGGAGCTGTAGTTTACCCCTTTACAGAGCTACCATTCTCAGCACCCTTAACAAACTACAGTTCCCAGCATCCTTTAGGAGTGTGCTTCAAAGGTATGGCTTGTATGCAGTCTTAGCTTAGTTCGTCTTAGTTACTGCCAGGTTAGACTGTTACAATGTGCTCTGTGTTGAGCTACCCTTTGAAACTGTTTAGCACAACAAAGTTGCTTAGGATCTTTTGTGAATGAAAGGTTAGAACCCACAAGAAGCTGGGCCTTGTCAAGTTTCTGCCCCTATCCTCCTCCAAGATGTCTGTTTCTGCCCCAAACGCTTGCTTCTTTTCAAAGATATGTAAAAATATATTTTGTTCTATTGGAGCTTTGAAAATGCGTCTCCCTCTTGAGGGGTAAGGGATGCGGGTGGCGCTGTGGGTTAAACCACAGAGCCTAGGACTTGCCGATCAGAAGGTTGGCGATTCAAATCCCCACGACGGGGTGAGCTCCTGTTGTTCGGTCCCTGCTCCTGCCAACCTAGCAGTTCAAAGTGCAAGTAGATAAAATAGGTACCGCTCCAGCAGGAAGGTAAACGGCGTTTCCGTGCACTGCTCTGGTTCGCCAGAAGCGGCTTTGTCATGCTGGCCACATGACCTGGAAGCTGTACGCCGGCTCCCTCGGCCAATAAAGCGAGATGAGCGCCGCAACCCCAGAGTCGGCCACGACTGGACCTAATGGTCAGGGGTCCCTTTACATTTACCTTGAGGGGTAGGCATCACTCTGTTGGTTAGTGAATTGCTTTAGGTTTCATTGCTTATAACAAATGGTACTTCGTTTTTAATGTCTACTTTGTAAAGTAGAT